TCTCTATGAGATTATGAACAGGCAAACAACATGTAGTTAGGATGAGTGACTTACAATTTCAGATATTTCATGACTATCAGTGGAAAAGATCATTAGAAAAGGTGTATTATACAAAGCAGAAAAAGGTTTAAACAGATTGTTCTCTATGCATGTGAAAGGGCAACATGATTTTTCTCTGCCTAAACTTTTAAGAGAAGAAAAAGAAAACAATTTTATTCACAATCAAAAAAATTCTCAAGTGTTCAATAATATTAATTATTTTCTCAAATCCTGTCACGATGTATCTATATGAACCTTAAAAGCACCTTAATTTGTCAATGAGATTACCAACCTTTGGCCCAACATATATATCAGCAAGGAATGAGATAAGGAACACCAATAAAGTCAGAGACCCAAAACCAAGTGCTGATGCTAACAGCCAGTTCCTCTCCTTTGATAACTTATTAGATTTGAAGATGTTCCTTAACTTATGGTCCGGTTTGGCAGTGGTATTAAGTAGAACCAGAGCTCCAATGAGTTCTAAAATTTGTACAACAAGAAGTGATAATATCTGCACTAAAGAAAATAAACATCATTGTGCAACTTCTCGGATGCATAGATGTCATCTACACGACTCTAATGAATAAGAAACAAGTTATATCAGGTTTAGCTCCTTTAAGTTAAAATTTTATCATGAATCTTGGATGATAGACCAATAAAATAGGAACAAAACCTTGACATCACATGGATAGACAGAATTCATAAAGTCATTAGAAATACATCCTCAATACTCCTCATGAACATTTTTCTTTTTTAATGACAATGGCAATCAAATTATAATTGGTTGTCCAGTTAAACACAAAGAAGAAGAATCTATAAGTTCAATTTTGAGATTAAAAGAAAAAGGCAATATCCAAGGGACTGGGGTGACATGAGGAGAACATAGCATAACTGGCATCATTATTGAATAGCGTTGATCTCCATTAGCAGCAGGAATTCTAGTTCTGGAAGAAGATATTGGCATTTGAGTTAACTGCAGGTTTTTAGCTTATACTCACAGATTTAATCATTCAAAACAAAATTATATCACCAGAACAAATAAAAAAAGAGGCTAACCCAGTCTCGCTTACTTCAGTTTGTGGATCAAGCGCAGGTTGGTGCAACAAGTAGGCAACTATAGACAAGCCTCCAACACCGAGAGGGATATGTAAATTGAACATATACATCGCCATAATACTCCATATACTTCCTCTTTCCCATGGTATATCTAACGAAAGCACAGAAAAGTCCTGTTTACATATACCAAAATTAATGGCGACTAAGGAAAAGAAAGTTTGTTCATAAAGAAGCTGCAATTTCAAATTATAGGACTCCTAAGGATTGAAAATTTAATGAGACTCTCTAACACAAAAACAAACCATGTTCTCCATCTGATAATTTTTGCTTTTCAGTATAAACGCGGTATGCAACTTGCAACTTAGTCTACAATTTAGCGGAAAGTAATATTGCTTTTAGAGTAAAAGATAGGAATTAATTAAGAAACGAGTCGAGATAATCATTAAGCAACAGAAGCAAAATGTACCTCAGTGGGTTTATCGGTACTGTTGTTTTTTTTGCAATAACAATTGGGAGAAAATTTGAAACTGAGATTGGATTTTGATATGGAGAAACAATGAAGAAGCTTCGGTTTGTTGAAATTGCTGCGAAATGTGGCGGGAAGAGCACCCACCGTCGGTCGAAGCGAGAGTAGCATTTCTTTTGCCCTCTTTTTTCAACTTTAGGGCTTGTTTATTGTAATCCACCCTCTGTGCTTTGAATCACATAACTTATCGGGAAGAGCTCTTGATTGCGTCGTCATGCAAGAAGATGCTTACTTCTGAATTTGAACGACATCGTCTATTGGAATTTGCGTTTAGCGAAATGATTTCTGCGTTTATTTGCAAAGAAAATGCCGTCACATAAAACGACTATTTGTTTGCTTCCATCACCAAGCTCGCAGGTTCTAACTTCCCTTTCAATTTCTTTATGTTGCTTTATTTACACTTACACTGGAATTGTCTTATTTGCAAGAAAATTCATGCAACAACTACAAGTAGTGTATATTCATAAATATGACATTGTTAATTTTTGTTGAACATAATGAGACTTCATGCTAAACTTCGTTCAGACTAAATTTTAAGACACTCACAACCTGTTTGATGAAATTACCTTGAAAAAGATTTTAAATGTTGCCATTTCTTGACCTAATCATGCTTGATTAAGATTAAATATTCGATTACTCAAGTCTCAAGCATTAGTTAGGAATCATTAACGATAATGAATTTAGAGTTTAATGCAATAATCCTAACACTCGTGTTACATATTCTTTTGAACTGTAGGAGGATTCTCCAAGCAAGCTTCAATTTTATTTTATGCATCTACATGTTCACGTTGGGAATAACTGCAGGAATACTCACCATTCTTTAATTCTGTGAGTTCTTTCATGACCTTTTTTCCTTTGCATTATCCGTTTCTTAATCACAAAATAGTCTATTTATAAGGCAAGTATCAATTCGATTCATCAATATTATATATATAAGCCATGAGCTCTAGCTAGCTACCCAGCAGAGATTTCTTTTTTTGTCATACCATATGGCTTTTGCAATTGAAATAGATGATCTTAATAAAGAACTATGGAGACAGAGAAACAAAAGGATAGAGAATTTATTGGGGGCTTTGTACAGGTGTGAAGAACAGATTGATGAAGATGATGCATGCACGATGGAGGTTCGATTATATGAATTAGCAACGGTCGGTGACAATGTAGATGCATTTATCGATGAACTAGAAGTCATTTTATCAAAAAGTTATCAACAATCCTTGAAGTCAATTGTTTTCGATCAAGTAAGCCCATCAGGGAATTCTTTGCTTCATGTTGCAGTAGCCGCTGGAAGCGAAAATATCACACGAATCCTTGTTACTCACTTATCTTACTTAATCACGAAAACAAATTTCGAGGGTGATACTGCACTTCATGTAGCTGCCAGAGCTGGAATGCTAAACACATTGCAAATCCTTGTCCATGATTTTAGTGCACCTGAGAAAGAAAGTTTGCTGAGAAAAAGAAATAATAAAGGAAACACTGCTTTACATGAAGCAGTTTCCAATGACCGCAAAGATGTGGCTAGTTTTCTGCTTTCACTTGACTCTGAACTGGCTTATCATCAGAATTATGAAGTTGTTTCCCAAGATATAAAGAAAAACATCGAGAAAGGTAAGTCTCCATTATATCTTGCAGTGGAGAAAGGCCTGCAGCAAATGGTTGGCATTATTTTGACAGCAATAACCCAACATAGAAATGCACTTAATAGGCTAGAAGGAAGCTCTCCTGCGCATGCTGCTATCAAGACAAAAAATTTGGGTAATTAGTTACTGTGTTATTTTCCCCTGTGTTTATGTACATATATACATTAGGATACTTTGAAGGTAGGGAACTATGTCAATTTTTGCAGTCCTTAACACTACGAAACAGGACTCAAGTATGTCAAGTTAGCATAATAGCATGCACATATATATTCTTATGTTCATCGATAGAATAAAAGGTAGCATTTTTTTAAGCTATATATAACATATTCCATGTGCTTTGGAATTTCAGTCATATTGGAACAAATAGCAAATGCAATGCCAGAGCTAACTCGTGCTAAAGAAACTGGGGGGAATAATGTGTTCCATTTAGCATCAAGTGTAGGTTTTCTTCATGGAGTTAAGTTGCTGATAAAAAAGAAATTTAAAGATTTGGCAATTGAAAGAAATGAAGAAGGTGCCTTCCCTATTCATTTTGCCTGCAAAATGGGTCATTTAAAAATTGTGAACGAGTTGCTTAATGAGTGGCCCAATCCAATGGAGTTTGTCGATAACAAAGGGCGAAATATCCTTCATGTTGCAGCTGAGCATGGACGAGAAAATGTTCTAAAATATCTACTTAAACGTCCTGAGCTTAAAGAACTCAGAAATGAGAAAGATAAAGAGGGAAATACACCTCTACATTTGGCTGCAAAGCACGGAAGCCCTTTGTCTGTGTTCGCACTTGTTTTGAACAAAAATGTTCATACAGATATTGTCAACCATGAAAACTTGACTCCATTTGGTATAGCTGAGACACAGTCTATTCAACTGGAGGAGGAAAATTTCAACAGACCAACTCCACACTATACGGTATATTAATTTCTCTATCATAAGTTCTGGATATATATATATAATTTCAAACAGACCAACTCCACACTATAATCGGTATATTAATTTCTCTATCAATAAAGTTCTGGATATATCTAATATATATATTATATATATATTTTATCCTACTGAATTCTAGTTTTATATATATATATATATATATATATTTATCCTACTGAATTCTAGTTTTCGTTTTATGCAGAACAAGAAACTTGTTCCAGATGACACGATTGATGATGAAGGGACGGTGCAGTCAAAAAGCTTTTATAAACAGTTAGATTTTTTTGGAGTGGTATGTTTTTTCTTTTTTAATTGTTTGTTTCATTTTTAATCTTTTTCCTTGTATTTTGATTGATTTTGCTAAATAAATTTTCTTTTCCCCTCTTTGTTGGTGCATGCAGATGATGACATTTTCAATCTTATATTTCCATAGAAGACCTAAAATTGAAAGAACATTAATAGAGAATATGCGCATTCCTGGAAAGATATTGTCTAAAGATGAAGTCAGGAGCAGGATAGAGATTCTTCTGGTGGCAGCAGTACTTGTCGCCGGTGCTGCCTTTAATGCAGCTTGCCAGGTTCCTGGTGGTAATTCTAGCAACTCAGACAGTGAAAATACTCTTATGGAAGTACTACACTATTTCTATTTCCTTTTAGATTCAATAGCACTGAATTTCTCTGTGGCTGCAGCAATAATCTTGTGTTGGGTACAATTATATGATGTGAAAATTGCAAGCCATGCTGTTTGGTTAGCTTCAATAATGGTTGGTAGTTCTATTTACTTCTTGTTCGTAACATTCTTGTTTGCTTTGTTGATAGACGTTTATAAAGGGCAAATCACTGCCCTTTTCATAGCTTCCATTGCAATGGAAGGTGCCTTTGCAGTATTTTTCTTGCTTCTTTGCATACCATTGGTTATTCCACCAGAAGTCAACAAAACTGTCGAAAAGTATGTCTCTCCTGTTATCTATTACTACCTTTTTCTCTATCATTTTGTTCTTCAAAAGGGGCTTGGTTACTGGGTTTCCTAAGTAAACAGATGTCTTCTAGTTAAATAAATGTGAAATACGGATATTTGGTTTGTTGCCAAATAACATATCTTGGATTATGAGTGTTTCTGTTTGTAATAATTTGGGTTCATGAATTGTAATAATTATATTATAATTTTGTTATCTACCTAATTAGTTATTTGAATAAGTTCATGATGCTTGTAATGATTTAATGTACTTGCACGTTAATTTACATTAGAACTAGCATTCATCATTTTGTTATTGAAAAAAGTTATAGCAAAAGGAGCTTGCGATTACCGGTATTGGTGAGATAAGTGGTTCGATACTTTTTTTCTGTAAGATAAATGATTTGACACTCTTCTTTCTTAAATGAGATCGAGGGTTGGATTTTTATAAATAAAGTAAATATTCAGCTATGAGCACTTTACTCAATGAACCGGAGATAGATGTGATTAATATCAATTTAAAAAATTTTAATTTTATAAAATCTCATCAAATAAGGGAAAAGATCAAAAATAAAATTATAAAGTTGAAATTTAATAAATCAAAATTCAATACAATAATAATTGTGTGAGGGTAACTTTCAACAAAAAAATTGAAACAAGATTGATATAATTATTTAGTCTTAAAACTAAAAACTTCCGCGGACGAGAAAGAGCTGCAGTGCTTGATAGAGTTGCCAGAAGCAATGGAGAACGGAGTGATCGTGGAGCTTCAAAGAAACTCAAGCAAGTGGGCTATGGTTGTAGGAGAAATTGTGAAGATGGAGAGAAAAATATTCCCAAAACACGAATCTCTTGCTAGCTCTTTTGACGATGAACTGAAAAAGAAGAATTCGGGGTTGCTTTACTCGGAACTGGACGGACAAGTCGTAGGTTATGTCATGTATTCTTGGCCGTCTTCTTTGTTTGCTTCTATCACAAAGCTTGCAGGTTCTAATTAGTCCCTTCTTTATATCGCTTTAGTTACACTTAGACATGCAACAAGTAGTGTATATTTGTAAATATGATATTGGTAATTTTGTTGATAAGATACTGCGACTTCAAAATAACCATTTTGCAGAAATTTGCTAACTTTACTTGTTTCTTTTGGTTGATTGCTTGCTTATTCAGACAAAAATTTTAAGACACCCACAACCTGTTCGATGAAATTACCCTGAAAAAGATTTTAAATGATGCCATTTCTCGACTGCTGAATTCTTGATCACATCATGCTTGCTAAACCCTTTTATTATTGTTTTTTTTTTTTTTTTTTTTTTTTTTTTGCTAAACCCTTTTATTATTGTTTTTTTTTTTTTTTTTTTTTTTTTTTTTTTTTTTTTTTTTTTTTTTTTTTTTGATAAAAGGATGAACCTTTGCATATCTTGAGTGATAAAATTTTGATTTTCTTATTTGTTGTTGGTGGTAAATGAAAACAGTGAAGGAGAATTATAGAAGGCAAAGCCACGGAGAGGCATTGCTAAAAGCAGCAATTGAGAAGTGTAGATCACGAAAGGTCAATCGCATATCACTACATGTTGATCCTTTGAGGGCTCCAGCAATGAGTCTGTACAAGAAGCTTGGCTTTCAAGTTGATGATTTGATTCAAGGCTACTACTCTCCCGACCGAAATGCCTATAGAATGTATTTGGAATTTGATTCAGATTAGAGGAAACTAGGAGCTTCAAATTTGAACCAAAAACTTTTATTCTATAGTTAATTGGGTTCAATGAATTAAAAAAAAAAAAAAATTCTGACATTTTTGGATTAACCCCTTTGTCACAACAATTTTCTTGCATAAATAATCCAAAATATGTAAGCATAAATAATCCAAAATATGTAAAAAGGTAAGAACTTTCTTGCATAAATACCAAAAAGATACATGGGCAGTGTGTGTGTGTCCATACAAGAAACTAAGTTTTCAAGTTGATGATTTAATTTAAAAATTAAAACAAAAACAGCAAATTGTTGCTGCCCAGGATCGAACTGGGGACCTTTAGTGTGTAAGACTAACGTGATAACCACTACACCACAGCAACTTGGTTGTTTGTTCTTGCAAACAACATTATATATTACATTATTGTTTGGATTTTACGAAACAGAAAATAACCCTGTATAGAAGAATCCAAGCTGGACGTGGTGAATCCAGCTAAGCAGCTAATTTGGAAAAAGGCCGAGAGAGAAAACCGCAACAGAATCGTTCTTTTTCCTTGAGCTAGAAGCCTTTTAAGTACTAAGACTTGCATTCTCCATTTAGAATTTGAGACCTCTTTTTGTTGATTCTGATTGAAGCGATAAAAGTTTGGGTTTTTTGAGGGTTTATCAGGTATCAAAAAGAATGGGTAGGCTAATGAGGAATTTCATACAATCGATATTGAAGTTGCTGAATTCTTTGATAGGGATGGTTGGTTTGGGAATGATATTATATGGTGTTTGGCTTATTAGGGTTTGGCAGAGGGAAATGGGTGACCTCCCCTTTGAAGATTCTGATCATCTTGCTCCCTGGTATGTATTTTTTTTTTTTCGGGTATCCTTCATGGGCTTTTTGTTTGGTTTGTAGGACAAAGAGAAAGTTTCTATTTTTATGATTTTTATTGGTTGATTTTGGTTTGCGTTCTGAAATCAAAATGTAGGGAATATAAATAAAAGTTTAAGATTCCTTGCGTTTTTTTTTTTTTTTTTTCTTAGTTTAAGATTCCTTGCGTTTTTTTTTTTTTTTTCCTTATCCAATAGGGTATTTGTGATCAGTATTCACCTACATTGAATTGGATGATTATGCATTTATAAACTGTTAACAAGTTTTTGGATAATGGGGGAAGTCAGAGGTAGTTGCTACTAGCTATTGAAATTCCTTTTTTTTTTTTTTTTTTTTTTCCTTATCCAATAGGGTATTATGTGATCATATTCACCTACATTGAATTGATGATTATGCATTTATAAACTGTACAGTTTTTGATAATGGGGGAAGTCAGAGGTAGTTGCTACTAGCTATTGAAATTCTTTTGAGGATTGGAATTTTTTTGTTGTTTCGAATTTGAATTAGCAAGAGTTGGTTTTTTGATTTTTTGGGCGGGGTGTTGGAACTTTTGGATATTTTGTAATCGAGAGCATGATTACTATGTAATTCCGTTAACTCTTTTCTTTGTTTTTGTTCGGAACAAGAGAATATTTAGTGCTAATTTGAAAAATATATTATTTTTTCTGGTTATTGGAGAGTGCTGATCCTTTCAAGTGGACAAATAACTTTTTCACAACCTTTTGGTTTGTTTATCTTTTATATGTTTTCAAATTTGCATTTTGCTTTTACATATAGTGGAACTGAGATTTTAATGCTTTCCTTCTGATTGCTTAAAATCAGCTAAGGCATTGTATTTGTATCTTTGTGGAATGAAGGTTCATTTATACTTTTCTTGGCGTTGGGGTCACTTTATGTGTGATTACATGCTTAGGTCATGTTGCTGCAGAAACTGCAAATGGTTGTTGCCTTTATCTAGTATCCTTTTCTCAACTCAGTTAAAATGAAAAATATTATTAGCTCCAGTATATTTATTAGTTGAATTTTGCTATAACTCTCTTAAATCCATTTGGATAGATGGGAATTTAAAATGAAGAATCTTTTTAATTTGATATTAGTGTAGGCATTATGCTTTTCACTTGGTTTTTATGATATCACATATTCAAATCCATCTCAATGAATTCCTACTTAAACAAAAGAAACCTCACATTATTTTGAATACTTGTCAATATAGAATTTACTTAAAAGGCTGAGCTCTTTTATGCAGTTCTTGATTTGCAGATTTTGTGGGATCTTCTAATGCAAAAGTGTTTTATGGAACAGAATTTATGTATTCCATCCTACATTCTTAGATGATTTTAAATTTCGCAATGAACTTTTAGTTTTTTGGAGTGTATGGGTTATTTGAAATTGAATTTCAAACCTTAGCTTTTGGTTGTGAACAGTTACAAGAAAGCCTATCTAGGTTTTTGCTAGTGATCTTACATTCTTACTTACAACAATGCCATAATCAAGTTTGAATTTAATTATCTCCCTTTTATCTAGTATGCATATTTTCTCTCAATTTTGAGTTCTTTTAAAGATCAATTCCATGGAGTCAAATGTAAAAATGCTGATCCAGGTCCAGATGTTTTTACTTTCTGCTGTTTTTTTTGCTTATCGTTACCTTTTTTTATGCATATATATTAATAGTTTCACGCTATGTGTATCCTTTTCAGCATAACTCTTTTTAAACACCGGACCTAGAAGTTAAAAAATCTTTTCAAATGTTTTTTCACCGGGGACTGTGTCGCTTTATATATTTGTGCTTTTAAATGGTCTCCTTTCCAAAATCTTGTACCATGTCTTATTCTTTTTATTTTAATAGGTATGATCAAGATAGAGATTGCTTAAATATACTAACTGTGATCCATGTTAACAAAAAAATATTTCTGAATGGATAGTATTTAGGTACCAAGACACAGTCCCAGCACCACTACAACCTTAAGTTGTATGCTCTAAATATGATTTCAACTCTTTTCAAACAAGGTTTACTTACAGATTTAGTTCGCTGGGATTGACTTTTGACAAAATCTACTATTTCTGACAGTCACTCACATTCTTATATCATAAATTTGCAGTTAATTCTTAAAAGGAAATGTGAATTGAGGTTTAATTATTCAGTATAGTTGACATTTTTTGAGTTAACTTAACCTTAACAGATTTCAGTATATGTTGTTTGTCTTCTTGCTCTTTATGCTGGAGGCTGGGGTTACTGCTGATGTATTTTTAAACCGTGACTGGGAACAGGTATGTCTATCTGCGGAACCCATTTATTTTATTCCTAACCAACGACTTTTGGGATCAAGAGAACTTACTGTGAATTTTTATTGACAATTTGTATGAATGTGGTGCCAATTTGATCAACTTTGCATCAGGACTTTCCGAAGGATCCAACAGGGAGTTTCAACCAGTTCAAAGATTTCATCAGGTCAAACTTTGAGATGTGCAAATGGATAGGCTTGTCAATTGTGTCTGTTCAGGTCTTTCTCTCTCTCTCTCTCATTGGAAACCTGCAGTTTTTGCTTTTTGTACATCTCATTGCTAAGAATTCAAGTGAAAAACAATTGTATAATGAGATATTATTGTATGATCTAAAAACTTGCAAGTTAATCAATGTGCTGATTGGCTGTAGTTTTTGCGAGTCTGCAGTTATATAGACTCAAAACTGAAAGTTTTTCTTTTGGGACATCTCTGTGCACTCAACTTGTTCACCAACTATGCCTTTAATTTGCAGGGATTGTCTTTCTTGCTAGCATTGTTACTCAAAGCTCTAGGACCACATCAGTATTATGACAGTGATGATGAATATGCACCAGACAGGGTTCCACTCCTAAACAATGCTGTTATCCCACCTCCTTATGTTGTTGGTAACCCTGTTGTTGGATCCAAAAGCGATTCATGGAGTGTAAGGATTAATGAAAAGGTACATATGCCTAATTTTTCTTGTACATGTTGCTCTTGCTCATAAGCAGGTATATATTTTTCTTGTACATGTTGCTCTTGCTCATAAGCAGGTATATATTTTACTAATTTGCAATCTTATCATTTTGTTTGAATAATCTGAGCAAGTAGTTCTATATTGTTGATAATCATTAGTGACTGGAAATAGTGGCTTGGCGTACAATGTTTTGATAAACTATGCTTCAAGAAAAGAATGGATACTGCTGTTTAACAATGCGCTTTGGGAATTTGAACTCATGCGAGAGAAGAGTACTGCACTTATAGTTCCGTATTTATCACAGGATGAGGGAATAAGAGCCTTGTGAGACATGAAAAATAAATATGCAGAGACTTTGAAAAGATCCAAAATATTCCCAAGAATTTTAATCCACTTGCTTTTTTTTGTTGCTTTTGAAACACGAGCACCAAAATAATCTGAGGCTACCAGCCAATTTGTCATATTGTTACACTCTAAATTGCTTATCGTTTGGTCTTATTCCTGAATCAGGTGAATCAAGCAAACAGGTGAAATGATTTGCCCAAGGCCAGAACCAAAAACTTGAAAGCATAGAAATTGAATAAACATGGAAGGTTGGAAATGGAACTTTTGTGCTGTTGGTTGATCTGGCAGTCAGTTGTACATGTGTGCCTAGTAGTATTTGTACTCAAACCTTATCCCTCTTGTCATATAATGATTTCTTTTTCTTTTTCTTTTTTAATTGAATTCTACTCGATCCTTAGTTGGTATATGATTCAGAAGTTGTAAGAAATGCAAAGAGAAGATGTATGACATGTAAATTAATCTTAGCGAGTCACAATTTTCTGCTATTCATTGATTGGTCAGGTGTGTTCTGAATGAACATATGAATATCCATAATAGAGCTTATAAATACTCAAAGTAGCAAAATATATTTTTTAGCAAGTTTAAGCCTATGTTCATTATGAAGAATGCAGAAAGGATTGTCCTCTGTCTGTCGAAGAGGTTAAGCTTGTTATTTATTGAAGTCCAAACAACTTGATTATGAAGCCTTTTCTCTCCCCTAATACTGCCTTTTTATAAAGCATGATTAGGGTTTTCATTTTATTGACACCTACAAATACCTAATAGATTACTATAATCAAACACAGTTTTGTGCTATGATCTGAATGGATTCACAAACTACTATCTTCTCCAAGTGTACCTACCTTTAACTACCAAGATATACATATCTTGATTAAAAAATAATTAAAGCAATCTCTTTAAATTGTTATCTTTAAAGCATGACATGACATATTGATTTGTTTGTATTTTGTATTGGATTTTAACCTATCATTTTGTGATGTGGATCAATTGGTGGAGTTTAGGTGTTAACCCATAATGGAAATGTCCTTTTTCTTAATCCGCTAGCAGTAGTAGATGCTTTGAAGGGTAGATATTCAGCTGGAAGAAAATTAATTGTCAAACTAAAGAATGGATTTTTTTATTTTTAAAAGACAGATGCTTTGAAATCTTTCTTTTTTACCTTTAATTTGTTCTATTCCTTGTTTTGAAGCTTTTTTAATGGTTTTTTGATTCCCATTAGCTTTAGCTTGTTAAAAATAATTATCAATGGTTTAGATAACCTGTCATTAGAAAATAACCATGTGAAAAGAGCAATGAGTAAACACATGTGAATATGAGAATAAATCATTATTATTATTATTTCTGTGTTTTGCAAATCACACAATTCTTTTTAAGGAGTTTTGCAGAATTTCTTTATAATAATAATGAAACTTTACAAAAAATAATTTCACTAGTTAATTAATAAGTTTTTTGGCACTTTATATAAATGAAAATAAATAAATAAATAGATGATTGTTTTAGAAAAATGGCTTGGTGGCAAGTTGTCACATGTGGTGTCCAAAGTTATGGACAAAGAAGAAAATTTTAAACCAAATCCCTTTTTGAAAATTGTGGAGATTTTCTCTTCTACTGATAATATGTTGGAGAAAAAATTTTGGAGTTTCCTTCATAGTCAGCATCATCTTCCAGATTTGCTGGGCATTGGATCATGTCACAGATTCTCTCACTTAAAAGAACAAACAATAAAAGAAAAAAGTTTTTTACTTTAAATATATATGATTGAAAATTGCTCCCCAACCTCCCAAAAATGGAGGGAAAAAAAAAAAAATCCCCTTTTCTTCTTTCCCCCAATTTCTTGAAGTTGTTGCTTAATCCACTTAATTGATTATGTTAATGTAAATAAAACTTGAGTGGAGGCAGCAACATCATTAATTAGTGAAAATAATCCTACTTCTTTTGAAGTGACAAACGTTGATATTATAATTAAAATGAACTATGATAACACAACAAGCTACTTTATTGGAGACAATTCGAGATCGAGATGTTTTTTATTATAAACGACGACTTCCTTTCATTCTTTAGAGGTAAAATGAGCCGGGATAACACTATGGATTACGGTCCATTCATTAATTAGAAAAGGCACGAAAACAAACAAACACAACACTATACGTACAAACTTTTGTGTCCCATTGGGGCCATGGAGGCCAATAAGTCTAAACTTGTTGCGCGGCTTATGCGCAACCACCTCTGTAAAACAAAATGCTTTCAGTAGTAAAATTTTAATGCAGCTATCTAATTTTCACTGTAATATACTTAAATTCTACTTAACTGAATTGGTTGAACTAAATATGCTTGTAAATCGGTTGAGATAATCATATGATCAATTGTTTGTTAGGTTGTTATGTTCGTTAATTATTATCCTTATCTTCAGAATTCTGTTCTCTAAATTTCTCCGAATAGCACTGACCAGTATCAGAACAGATTAATGTGTACAAAACGACGTTATTTCTTGACGAACGAAAATCGAGAAACAACTCCATAATTTCAACAAAATCGGCCAGACGACCCGCTTTCATACTAGGGACTTGTAAACCAGATTCTGAAACCAAAAAACCTAAAGAACTAAACTTTTTCTTTGCTATTATCACCCTGTTCAGACGACAATGTAGGTTCGCCGCCAAAATTGGCCGCCGGCGATTAACGACTCTTTTCTTCCATCTGTTTATTTATCTCTCCTTCCCACGTGCAGAGCTTAAAAAAAAACAATAATAACGGTAGAAACTATAGAGACTACGACGCTCCTAATTTTTATTTTATTTCCTAAATGACTAAACTGTCCCTAACTGACAAGCACGGTTGGCGGAATTAACGCCTTAACCGTCGGTGGGCCCCAAATATGAGTGGCAACGTTTCGTAAATAAAGCCAAAACCTAATGGTCACACGGTCACAAAAAAAAAATAAAAATATGAACAGCCTTCATTTCCTTTGTCCTATATATAATACTACGACTGACAAAGAGCTCTACACTGGCCATAGCCTACATTAGCAACAAAAGAACACTGTCGAGTGTCGGCAAGCTTCTTTCTAACTGTTCTTTCATTTTGCTTTCGGTTCTGTCCAGTTGACGTTGTAGTTGAGGCGGTGGTGGCGCTTCCTTTTATCTTACCTCTCACAATGCAGCGCCGCCGCAGCTCCAGTTTGTTCTTGGTCTTTCACTTTCTTGTGTTCCTGAAGGTTTTGACGGTCTCCGGACAAGTTCCGCACCGTGTAAATGACCTACATTGGAAGCCGGCCACTGCCACCTGGTACGGTAGCCCCGACGGTGATGGCAGCGACGGTAGGTCCCACCAATACTTGTTATTAATGTTCTTGCTACTCTATTGGTCCTCGGTATTGCTGCTTGGATCTATTTGAATTCTACATGTACTTAATTGAAACATGAATTAGTTTTTACCCTCTTCCCCGAATTGAGTCTAGTTTACAATTTTATATTTTTCTTTCACACCTGCTTAAGCCGGGGTGATAGTTTGGAACATCTAACCTTGCATTTTTTACTGTAATTTTGACAGCAAGTTTGTGTTTTTCTTCACTAAATCCTAAATTTCCATGTAGTTTCTTTACACAAAACCCAAGAACAATTGTTATAGTGAAATTATGAATGGAGAACGTGGAAATGTATATAAAGTATAACAAATTGATGTGCAGGAGGGGCATGTGGGTATGGGTCACTAGTGGATGTGAAGCCACTGAGGGCCAGAGTTGGTGCAGTGAGCCCAATACTGTTCAAGAACGGGGAAGGATGCGGGGCTTGCTATAAAGTTCGGTGCCTCGACAAAAGTATATGCTCAAGAAGGGCAGTGACCATAATTGTGACAGATGAGTGCCCAGGTGGTTATTGTTCCAATGGTCGCACACACTTTGACCTCAGCGGTGCTGCCTTTGGTCGTATGGCTATTGCTGGTGAAAGTGGTCCACTCAGAAACCGAGGCGAGCTCCCTGTCATGTATCGCCGGTATGTGTGTATATCTTTCTCTTTTTTAACGGTCTCTCCTAGTTTTTCCTTTGTCATTTTCAGGCTGTCCTCTTCTGTTTATTGGTTACTCCATTGCTCCAAATTTCAGTTGTTTCATTTTAGTTCAGTTGTTTTCCAAACATTAATATTTCTTTTGAAATTACCAGAATACCCTTTGCAAGCCCATTTTGATAATAATATTTGTTGTAATACTTGTAGGACCCCATGTAAGTATCCAGGGAAGAACATTGCCTTCCATGTTAATGAAGGTTCAACTGATTATTGGTTATCCTTGCTTGTGGAATTTGAAGATGGTGATGGTGATGTTGGATCTATGCATATAAGAGAAGTAAGTATATATATATTATTTAACTCCACCACAATTTTTTTATACTTCCCAAATAAAAACCTGATCAGAAGAAAAAAAAGAAAAAGAAAAACAGAAAGCATCTTCTCTGAGCCTTCACACACTGAGATACCATTTGCTTGCTGAGGTCAAAAAAGTGTAAAGATAGTTTCTTTTTGGTGCATGTTCTAAAGCCTGCACTTTCTCATTTACCTAAAAAGAACTTTCATGCCTCAACGTGCTAAAATTAAACTTCATAAAAGAAATGAATAGTAATTCCTTAAAAAGCAAAGGTAAATTAGCATTTTGATGATAAGATAAGATTAGATTAGACAATTCCTATTATTGCGGATATGTTAACCCACTAATCATGTGCATTTTTCCACTTTATCAAGAAAATAATATTGCCTTAATAATGTTCCTTTGCCTAATTTATCAAAGAAAAGGAACATCCCATGTTGTATTATTTTATATATTGGTCATGTTTGTCTGGTGGTGCCAATACGCTCAAAAGCACTTTTGTCTATCCCTTTCTTTTCTTATACCCTTCATATTCAACTATTTCATTGACTAATTGCATTTGGCATGTGATATGGGGCCACAATCTTAAAGCCTAAAATTCTAATTAAGCCATTTCTCCATAATATTGATGGAGGGAAGAAAAGCTGCAAAATTTATCTGCAGAAAATAGAAATGCAGAGTTTATAATATTATTATTGGTTTTACATTGGCAGGCAGGAGGCAGTGAGTGGCTAGAGATGAATCATTTATGGGGTGCAAATTGGTGTATTATTGGAGGACCTTTAAAGGGACCATTTTCAGTTAAGTTAACTACTCTTTCAACAGGAAGAGCAGTTTCTGCTAGAGATGTTATTCCAAGAAATTGGTCTCCAAAGGCTACTTATACCTCTCGCCTCAATTTCTTTCCTAATTGATTATTTCTTCTTACTTCCCAAAACTGGCCAGCACAGAAACAAGAAACAAGAACCTTGTCTTCTTTACACGAAAAAGTGCCCAACTAAGACTTTGGTGTTTTGTTTTGTTTTCCTTTTTTTCGTTTTTTCAGAAGAAAAGCAGTCAATGGATTGCATAAATTAAGGCATCCAATGCTTCTCCTTCTTTTACTTTTCTTGTTTTCTTTTGAATGTTGTGTAAGTTCTATGTAGAGGTTGTAGCCCTCTCCAAAGGAGAGAGAGCGTTTAGTGTATTAGTAGGACAAAATTGGCCTGATGTATTCTCCAAGAGTGTACAAGTATTTTTGGTATTTGTAATATACTTTTGGGATATATATTATAGGCCCTACTGGTTTTTAAATTTTAATTTTTTTAGATTTCTGAGTGCAACTGTGTAGTCAATTTGAAGACCCCATTAAAAATAATAACGATAATAACAATAATGTTGAGTTGAGACTAGTATTTAGTGTGGGACCTTGTGGTTCACTATTGTATTTACTTACAGTTGATGGCTAGTGCAATTGCTCACTGCCTACCTTTCTATAACTCTTAGCTAACAAAATTTAATTGGCTCCTGCAAAAATGGACCCAATACTTGTCTTGTCTATGTTTTGAAGACATTTTTTCTATTATATTTAACATAAAGGAAATGAATGAGAGAGAGAGAGAGAGAGAGAGAGAGAGAGAGAGAGAGTTTCTACTAACAATATGAATGGTTGCTTTCGTGTCCTTAGAAATGAACCAGTTATAGGTGTGAACACTTGTGTATGTATGTGTTACTGTATGGGAACTGGGATATATATTTTCTGCGCATACATTAACTAAAACTGAGTCATTCACATGCAAAAGGCTTAATAGCCCTACAGCAGAGACTAGCTTGGTGTGTGTGCTGCTGAGCAGTGAGTGGTGACAAAGAAAGTTTGCTAAGACTGCATGTGGGTGGGGTCCCATAGAATCCCAAATGATAGCTGCTGGATTTTCTTTTATCATGTGAAGGGATATTTATTTGATTCTCTACAATACAAACAATATGTCCCCACCCTTCATAGATCCCTTTCTGTATAAGATATTGTTCAAGGAAATAAAAATCCTTTTTTATAAAAAGTATTAATCTTTGAAGTAGGCTTCTTGTTGAACAAGATGATGATGGTTACTCAATTGCAGTTGGGAGCGAAATGATGATGCAATTAGTTAAAAGACAGTTAATGCTGACGAGATGAATGATGCTCTCGAGAAGCCCAAGACTGGAATTTCTAAATGTTGGAAATGGCACACACAGAAAATTAAAATAACAATGAAAAACTATGATTTAGTTTATCTAGATAATGAATCTGGACAAAATTGGAAGCTACAGAAGAGAGGGTAAAAAAACAAAAGGGAAGAAGAAAAGAAAACGTGTCCATACCTAGAAAATCCTATAGTTAGGAAGAAGCTCGCAGATTGCAACAGCTCAGGTCAGACTCAACAATGTCCAACAGAGCTCCTCTTATTCTTTGCAAAAAATGGTTAAGCAAAGTAATCAAAGAATGAAAAGAAATTAATAGCAAAAAATGGTGGTGTATCATCACTCTTTGGTGGCTGGTTTAGTTGCATCAGATTGTTTATCCTCCGCAGCAGCTAGAGCCTCAAGTTTTGATAAGTCAAATGCACCATTGGAAGCAGTAGCAACTTTAGCAGGTGAAGTTGGACTGTTGCCGGCAGCAACTGCCGCTGCTACTGCAGTAGGTGTGGGCGTAGGTGTAGGTGCAGGACTTCTCAAATCCTCTACATCTTGCCCTTCTTTTGTATGGTTGTCTACTTTCCCTTCCTTGACATCCTTGCCGTCTTTTCCTTCCTTTGCATCCTCGCCGTCTTTCCCTTCCTTTGGATCCTTGGAATCTTTTCCTTCCTTTGGATCCTTGGAATCTTTTCCTTCCTTTGTATCCTTGCCATCTTTCCCTTCCTTTGCATCTTTGCCATCTTTTGCAGGTGGGGGAGGCATCATATGAGCTGGGGGATTCTGTTTCAGATTGGCGAAAATCTGCCTCATTCGTGCAAGATCAGTGGGTTTTCCAGGCTTTGGACCCTGAACTACCAGAATGGAAGGTTTCTTATCGGGATCTCTCCTACCTCTCTTTTCAATATTTGGCACCTCTCTTGGAATAATCTCTGCTATGGCTTTCCAATAATGTTTGTATGCTTCTTTATGGAATTTCTCTTGGTTAGCCAAGTAAAGCTGTAAATAAACAGTCACCTTATCCAAGTAATAAAGCCAAAAAAAAAAAAAAAAAAAAATAAACGAGCTCACCTTATCCAAGCTAATAAAGCCTAAAAAAAAAAAAAAAAAAAAGAGCGGCAGCTAAAGATGCTTGATAGAGAGGGTAAGGTCAGGGCTGGGAAAGAATGAGGGATGCTTAAAAAAAAAAAAAAAAAAAAAGAGGGCAGTAAAGATGCTTGATAGAGAGGGAAGGTCAGGGTGGGAAAGAATGAGGGATGCTAAGGTGATAAAATGAGAAGATGGCATTTATAAATTTTACCTTCTCCCTTTCTCTGTTGTGAGCCTTGTTAGTTTCACAATTTAGCTTCCTTTTCTCATAAAATGCTCTTTTATATTCTTCAGCTTCATTTATAATTTGATTACGCATTTCCTTCTCTCTGTTCTCCTTCTCTTCAAGATGGAGCGCATTTAGACTGTGGGAAATGGATGTAAGCGGTTATACAATACATAAATTTGATAACTCAATTGCAGGAACAAAACACGAAATCTAATAAAAATGGTTTCTAGAATTCCTTTTCACTTCAAACTTGTACAAATAAGATCATGCAAAGCAAACATCATTCAGCACTCTAATCATAACTTTATAGATCAATATAAGCTTTCACTCCGTGGTCAAATACTATCCATTCGTTGTCACCTGAACCTTTGTAACATAGGACAATAAAAGACAGAGCTGAAAACAAGATACTGAAGAAGCCAAAAACACCTCCATTTGCAATAACTCTATCACGAAAAGAAAAAAACAAAGTGAAGACATTGATCAAGAACATTTCTGGGTTTTAATGAGAGTATCACAAAAGAAATGCACTTGAAAGCAAAGCAGTAGACTAATCAACAGAATTACCTTGTGTTCTCAAGTGTGAAGAAAAGAAATAAATGTCTTCTTTCAACATCACCATTTCAAAAAGTTAAGATAAGCATAAGAAAATCAAAAGAGCTATGAACATCAAGAAGAAACACGAAATTATAATTTCAGAACCACCATCTTTTACCATTCAAAGGACTTTGAATAAGAACTTCCTATACCAAACAACATTCTTTTAGCATCAATATGACACTTAGAAGGTCAATGTTAAGGCAGTAAAAGCTAGTATATCATATTATATAATAAAAGGCCAAGTAACTATATTTAAAGCTTAAATAAGTAATTACATCTTCAGGTATAAGGATGGTGTTAATAATTTTGAGAATTGCCAATGTTTCACAATCTGATGCTATTACATTCTTTAAAACCGCAAAATTCTTGGTCCTGGGTTTGTCCATAAACAAACAATTCCAAAACTTGATCTTTTAAATCCCTTGAGTCAGGTTGCTCAAATGTTTAAAAGATCCTTAAATTTAACTATGCAATTATTCAATCGCTAGATAATACAATCAACTATAAACAGAAGCAAAAGAAACTCACCGGCGCCACTCGCGTCGCTGGGAGGTTTCTTCCCGCATCTCAGAAGGATCAGGCAGAAGCGGTCCATCGGTAGCAAAAATGGCGCCATTATCCTCTTCATATCTCTTGGCATTTCCATCAGTCTCAGGCATTTCGAAAGGTGATGCGAACTCCTGGTTTTGCTCAGGCATCCCAAACCCGTATGCCTCGGAAGAATGCGGGTGGTTGTCATTGGTGAAGTCGGTGGGAGGTGCAACATTCACAGTAGGATCAGCGTTAAAGTAATCGGAGATGGGTGGTGGTGGTGGAGGCGGTGGCTGGTGGCCAGAGAAAACATCCTCCTGGGAGGTAGGAGCAGCGAATGAAGAATCATAACCCATATAGCCATCGTAGTCGAATGGACCGGAATTTGGTTGTGATTGATCATTTTGAAGGTTGCTGGTGGAGTCTTCACCACCGGGACTGAACGCGTCGTAGGCGGACGCCATCGTCGATGCTAAAGCACTAACCTTTCTCTCTCTAGAGGGTGGTGATAGTGGCAATGGCGGGTATTAGTTGAGGAATTCTCTCTTTCCAGATCGTTGCGTTCGGATCTCTTAAGGATAAAAAGTCTTTGTCTACTAATTATTTAAAAAATATTTTTTTGGGTAAACAACAACTTGGTTCCTAGATTTTGTTGTAATTGCAATTTCATCTCTTTTAATTGATAAATTCACTTATTAGTCCTTGAGATTGCTCCTTAATAAATATATTTACCAAATAAGTATATTTACAAAATATTTGTTATTTTCTAAAAAATGAAACTTATTTTTCTTTTTTTGGTGCCAATTTATAGAATAATTTTATTTTTTAAAATATAATTAAATTCTCAATTGTCTCATATAATCTTATTTAATATATTTTGTTATTAACAATGTCCTATTCAATTATTTATTGAAAGAAGCATTATTAATATAAGGATATACCAGTAAAATTTATTATTCCGATAATATTAATTATTTTTTATTTGTATGAAAATAAAAATAATTTTCTTGTAAAATAGGAGTAAAATGAAAAAACATTATAATTATTATCAAATTTAAGGGACTAAATAGTTATGTAACTTTTTTTTAAGTGTCTGTCTCTTGAATGGGAACACGCGATCAATCCAAAACGTGTTATTGATGGTGATATGAGATCCTTAATAAAACGACGTCATTTAAATGACTGCAGCATTGTTTAGAGTTGGTTTTTACAGAATCCTGCCACGTTGACAGGTTTCTTTTTAACTACGTGTAAGGAGTAGGACTCAGCTCAGCTCTGTTTTATGTTTCTCCATTGAGGGAAATTAAGGAGGTTTCTCAGGAGGAAGGAGGAGGAGGAGGAGGAGAAGGAGAAGGAGAAAAATGTCTGATCGATTCTTTCCCAATTTAATGCCAGATTTTGTATCGGAAGCAAGTCCATTTCTAGCTCCTCAATCAGAAAAAGAAGAGACTAGTGGAGATTCCCTTATGAAGCTTCTTTCTATGCCTTACCCTTCTCTCTCTCAGAGATTTCAACGCGCTGCTTTGGATCTCAAAGAAACCGTACTCTCTTTTTCTTTTTCCTCTTCCTCTTTTTTCTGATAATTGTAATCTCTGTTATGTTCTCTTTCGTTATTTTATGTTTTTATGTGATTTTTTTTTTTGGAAAATTCACCAGCTGTTTGCTGTTTTGTCTCAGATAGTGATGGAGACATGGGGGGTGAATGCGCAGAGCGTGCAAGACTTCACTCTCTATAGTGGCAGTCTTGGCACCGCTTTCTTCCTTTTAAAAACTTATCAAGTTTCCAATAATAAAAATGATCTCTCTCTCTGTCTACAGATTGTTAAGGCTTGTGACTCCGCTTCTCTTGCTTCAAGGTGCCCTCTTTCTCTCTCTATAAAATAAATGATTTTATCTCTGTGTTTTACGCTTTGGTGATTAGAAATGGGTGTTATTTAATTAGACTTGCAGCTGATAAAGAAGCTCAATTAAATGATACTTTTTTTTTTTTTAATAATAGGGACTTGACTTTTATATGCGGAAGAGCTGGTGTTTGTGCTATTGGGGCTGTAGCAGCAAAGCACGCGAATGATGAAGCATTGAAAAATTACTATCTCAACCAATTTGGAGAGGTTCTTTAGCCTTCTTGCTGCAATTTTTTTTGTCAACATTCTATTTTCTGTTGTTTGCTCTGATACTTGTGAATGATAAAACAGGTTAAGCTGTCAAGAGATCACCCTGATGAGTTATTATATGGAAGAAGTGGCTACTTGTGGGCGTGTTTGTTCTTAAACAAACATATAGGCGAGGGCACTATCCCTCCCACAACAATTGTGAGATTCCCATTATAACTTCCTTACTATTTGATTTTCTATTTTGTTAAAATTTCTGTAAAATTCGGTGTAAACTTAATGCAGCGTGCAGTTGCAAGTGAAATAATCAAGAACGGGAGGGAGTTGGCCAAGGATGGAGGACCCCCACTAATGTACGAATGGTATGGAGAGAGGTATTGGGGTGCTGCTCATGGATTGGCAGGCATTATGCATGTTTTGATGGATGTAGAGCTGAAACCAGATGAGGTTGAGGATGTTAAGGGTACCCTTAATTACATGATCAAGAATCGTTTTCCTAGTGGAAACTATCCCCCTAGTGAAGAAGATCGCAAGAGGGATGTTCTTGTGCACTGGTGTCATGGAGCTCCCGGTGTTGCCCTCACACTTGTCAAGGCAGCTAAGGTAATATCTTTTGGTTATAAATTCATTAACCTACAGATCGTGTATAATTTACATATACAAGTGATTCATTCTAGAAATTATTCTGTATACAGTCTAGTTTGGAGAATATTGAAAACTAACTAATCCAGGAAGTATATGTCAATATGAGTACATTTCTGTCCTTTTCTCTTCTTCAAAGCTTCTTTCCTTAAGGCTTCCAAAAGAACATGTACTTTTCAGGTTTTTGGAGTCGATGAATTTCTGCAAGCTGCTGTAGATGCAGCAGAGGTAGTGTGGAATCGTGGCCTGCTCAAGCGAGTTGGTATTTGTCATGGCATCAGTGGGAACGCATACGTATTCCTCTCATTGTACCGAATGACTGGCAATTTAGAGTTCTTATACAGGGCCAAAGCGTTTACAAGCTTTCTACTTGATAGAGCTCACAAACTTATATCTGCAGGAGAGATGAATGGAGGTGATAGCCCCTACTCACTGTTCGAAGGGATTGGAGGTATGGCCTATCTTTTTCTAGATACCACTGAACCCTCCGAATCTAGATTCCCTGCTTACGAACTCTGAAACTCTGTATGAATTTTTGATATACTTAAGTTTTTAGTTTGGTTGTATGTTAATATTACTGTTTCTTCTGTACGTTCTTTTGAATTGCATATGTGAATGTACCTTTCATGTTTTTTGTCTTAGTGTTTCATATTCTGCATGTATTGCTTACAGTTAGGCCCAACCATAGTGCAATACATAGGATCTGTGTGTATTAGACAGCAGAAAGCTAATCTCTTGCTACCTCTTTAAAGAAGCTTATTTTATTTGCAGATAAAATCAATATGCGTTCTAAGTTTTCTGTCTTTGCCACCACATTACACTGTTTGTTCAATAATAACTACAGTGAGTGATTTCCGCATACGTAGAAAAGCGATTGGAAGAATCATTTTTTGCCATCACAAAAGTAGACTATCACTGATACAGATTAATTTTTTAAAATTGAGTTAATACTAATCCTGATTGATGAAGATTAAAGGGTGATTATAAGAACAAAAGCAGCAATTTAAGCAAAGTAATTAAATATGAGATTGAGAGGTAAACAAGAAGAGAGAAGAATAAGAATCAACATGTGGAAATTGAGTATTCTTATTGCTTGACAGGATACAAATAAGAGAAGCCTCTTATTCATATGTACAATCTGTCAAAATTTTGTCACCAATTATACCTGGCTACTGCCAAAAATGATCCAAACGCGCCGACAACTTAAACTACTAGTTATTAACCAACATTTTTTGAACAGGCACTTGCCTCCTATCTCCTTTATTTTATTTTATTTTGGCAATTGTCAATATGCCATTTATCTGTATCACAGGTGAATAATTCCAAAGCCTAGAAATAAATGACCAGTGATAATGAAGAAGATGTTGATTAATAAGTTTGGATAGTATTGGATTTGGTTTGGTTGGCATTGCTCCAGCTTTTATCCCCGACTGAATTGAATGACCTGCATATTTTCTCCTAACCTACAATCCCAATATGTAAAATGCAGACATTGTATGTTTTGATGCTTGAAATAATTACAATTGAGTGAATTTAACTTTTCATTAGTTGTTCTCCACACAAATTCATACATTGATTTGCTACTTTGATATCCACAGTTCTGATGATTTGTTTCCATATTCTTTCTTTGACATATTCCATCCAATTTCACTACATATTCTTCAGTAGATCCACCACAGAAGTGATAAAATTTTGGGGGGACGATTATTATTTCCAATAACATTAAATTAAGCCCTACTTTCTAAGCATACATCGTAGGGCACACTTTATTTTCTCTTAGGATACCATTTGAAAAACTCAGGTGGTATGGTTATTGAGGAACTTCACTAGGAGCTGATTCACCTTCTCTGGGAGTTTCTCATGAACAAAATGGTTCCCATCTTCAATGAAGATGATCTCCAAATCAGGCACAAATTCCTTTACCTTTCCACTCTGTATGTAATCTTCCACACCTACAAACTTCATAACATAGTCCTTTTCACCCATGATCAACAGTGATGGAACTGTGATTTTTGGATCCTTAATTCCACATTCTACATTTAACGTCCTGCATGAATATACCAAACAGTGAAGTACATGAACATTTCTATGGAAACTAAAATATTTCTATGGAGATCTTAATGTGATTGTGGTTTTAGGGTATCTACATAAGCTCTGTAAGGTGTAGAGGGAAAGAAGGATATTGCTTTTCAAGGTTTAAAGTGAAAGCTTCAAGGTCCCTGCTTGATTAAGTTGGATACATTATTTTCTATATTTTAGGAATCAAGTTTGAAGAGTAACACTACCTGTATGGAACCTGTAATGCAAAACGGAATCCAGATTTCTCATACAGGGATGCATAGACTTCAAGATCATCTTCAGAGAACCATGGGGGTAGAGGAGTAGAAGGATCAACCAAATCCATGATTTCTTCATTATCATCCTTAGCCGTTGGTGGCTCAGTGCCAGAGAAGAGAATGTAAATGTTCTTTATCACTGTCTTAACATCTAGACGGGCAAAGTCTGCCTCAGCTCTTCCTGGTTCCTACAATTAGATTGGAATTACATTTAAGATTAGTTTTTTGAATTATAAATAAAATTTTGAAGGTTTACAGCTAATTGAGGCGAAACGGAGGAGAATGGTACCTGCCACCTTGCTATGTAGAAATCCTTGGGCATCAGATGAGTTGGGATACCATTAGGACCTGGTAGCATGAAAGGAATACCTAGAGTTGCAAGCGCAGCCACCCTGCTAGGGTGGAGGACGCCCATTAGGTATGCTGGAAAAACTCCGGCATCCTTCGCTACAAGATAAGCCTGCTACCAATTATTGTATCGTCAGATTGAAGTCGTCAAAATGACCAAAATATGTCAATTATATGCAAGGTGTGAATTGTTCTGTGGCTTGTCTTTTGCTATTCCAATGTCTATTTCTGTGCGAGGAGTCTCTTTCTGGAAGTTGAGTGTTTGACTGGGCATCAATATATATAATATATTGGAGACTAGTAGGGTTTGAACTTTGATTTCATGCATTCAACTGTTGCTCTAGCCAAATATTGGCAAAATGCAGATGCTCTGTCTAGGTTGGTGACAAATCTACCAAGTGAGAGAAGAATTTATTCCCATCTGTTTAGAACTTTAAGGAATATATATATAACATTTCTTTCATGTATTAAAAGATAACACCATTTTACCATTAGAATAGTGCAACATATAGGGTTAGTTTGAATAGAGAATTCTGGGCAATATTTACTTATTGACATGGCAGTGACCTTGCTGATGCCAAGAGTGTCGAGAAGGGCGATGATATCATCAACAAGATCCATGAAGGTGCCTTTCTCTGGTTCTGGTGGCTGATCAGAGAGTCCTTAGCCTCTGAAACCAAGAGCTATTGCCCTGTAGCCATTATTTGCAACAGCAATCAATTGGTGTCTTCATGTGTACCAGATTTCTGGGAATCCATGCAAGAATAACACCACTTGAGGACCTGCAAGCAAGGCTCTATCACTGCCAACCCAAATGTAAATGTAAATAACAAATGAGACTAGTTAAGTGAGAAAAAGAGGGGGGAAAAAAAAAGAAAGAAATATGTTGGTTACTAATAGCAACAGCGATCTCTGCGACTTGTAGTTTTAATCCATTTACTTGAACATGGGATTGCTTAATCTGATCCATAGCAGAGGGAGGGAGAGTGAATAAGCTTTAGGACGTTAGTAGTTTAGTACCGAGACTTGGACAGAGGGAGTCGTTAAATATGAAAGTAGGTCGTAGAAGAGCGTTTATGTCACATGTTCCTTAAGCTAAAAGCGCAAACAACCACCTAAAAATTATTGGATTGAAGCTATTATTAACTCCAGATCCAGAGATGGGATATGGGGATTTTCATTTTTCTCACTTCTACTTACCTTCTTATTTATTATAATCATTACTGTTGGTATTTTTAATGCTCAGCCTCAAAATAGCTTGTGGGTTTCATGGTGGTGCATTGGTCATTTTGTACACCTTTTTTTTTTTCATATGCTCAAATCATTTTAATTTCCTTCCTGAATAGTACCATTTCTTCCATCTTTTTGTGCACACATTCATCATTTAGTCCATTTAATTAGATTCTGACTAGGATTTGAATTTCAACCTCACAACTCCAGAAACAACTACAATATTATCGAGTCAAAGATTGTTGGTAGTACTTTTGTGTTCTTTAACCCAGCATTAAGAGAAAACACTAAAAGGGCGATTAAAATCGCTTAGCGTACATCTAATACACTAATTTTTTCTGAAGTGGAAGCCATAGCCATGCTTGAGATCCTCTTCAATTGCTATGCTTGTTGAGGAAGTTGATGAGGAGCTCATTCACTTTCTCTGGAAGCTGTTCATGAACAAAATGGCTTCCTTCTTCCAGGAACACGATGCTCAATTCTGGCACAAATTCCTTCACTTTTCCACTTCTTATGTAATCCTCCATGCCTGCAAAATTTATTACATAATCCTTCTCACCCATGATCAGCAATGCTGGACATGTGGCTTTCGGATCAGTTATTCCACAATCTAAGGCCAGAGTCCTGCATAAGAATATCAAGTATAATCTCTTATCTTTCCTTCACAAATCATTTGAACCGAAAAAGAAAAAGAAATTACTGACTCTGAAGCTTTAAGTCTTGTTCTGTATAAATGAATTTTAAGTTTATGTTTCATTTATAGATAGGGTATTTAGAGTTTTTTGCATTTTACCTGTATGGAACTCGTAATGGAAAACGAAATCCTGACTTCTCATATAAAGATGCATAAACTGCAAGATCTTCCTCAGAGAACCATGGAGGTAGAGGAGTAGAAGAATCAACCAAATCCATAATTTCTTCATTATCATCTTTAGCTGTTGGTGGTTCCGTGCCAGAGAAGAGAATATAAATGTTTCTTATCACTGTTTTAACATCTAACCGGCCAAAATCTGCTTCAGCTCTCCCTGGTTCCTGGATTGTTAGTTACAATTTCAGTTCTGTTAGTTAGGCCTCCAATAACGTTGGAACGCATACGGGAAAGAAAGAAAAGTGAGAAAATTACCTGCCACCTTGTTATGTAGAAACCTTTTGGCATGAGATGATTTTGAACAGCATTAGAGCTTGGTAGCAAGAAAGGAACACCCAGAGTTACAAAGCCAGACACCCTCTCGGGGTGGAGGACAGCCAGTAGGCTCACTGGTAGAGCTCCAAAATCCTTCCCAACTAGAAAAACCTGTCAATGGCATACAAAAATTAATGTATCAATTTTTTTCTTGTTGGGGTTCATTAGGCATCCACTTCGTTTACGTGAAGGTTTTTTTTGCGCTAAATTATAATTTGAATTTAAGACCTTGAAGTTCCAAAGATGAAAGACTATTCCAGTACCATTAAGTTCAAAGTCGACCCAAAAAAAAGGTATTATAACTGGTACGGGAACAACATTCACTGTTAACTTTGAACTAGTTTTAGCATTCTTTTGTTAACCCGCTATAATATTCAATTTTTAGCGTTTTATGAAAATTTACTATGACAGCCAGCTAATTAAACAGTTAAATAATGCTAAATCAATTAATAACTATTAAAACAGCTAATTTTGCCAAACAAATATTTCTGTTATGAATTTGCACTAGCAGTTGACAATCTAACTGCTAGAACTCTTAAATTAACAGAATCTGGACCCATACATAATCTTTGCAAGTGGAGATCTAATCAGAGGATCATTAATACCTGTAATAACTAATTTTGAATCAAAAAGTAACAAGGGATTCGGTTTAATGTTACTCCCTAACCTTACTGATGCTGAGAGTATCAAGAAGATCAACAATATCATCAACAAGGTCCATAAAGGTCCCTTTCTCTGGCTCAGGAGGCTGATCAGAGAGTCCATAGCCCCTGAAATCAATTGCAATTGCTCTATATCCAGCTTCCGCAACAGAAATCATTTGGTGCCTCCATGTGTACCAAATTTCTGGGAATCCATGCAAGAACAACACAACCTTACTACCTGGACACAACAGAAGGATCCATTATAATCAATCCAAAAGTATAGAAAAGTTAGCAATCAAGTGAAAAAATAAAAAAGAATTCCAAAGAAAAGAAAATGATACCAGTGCCAATCTCTGCCACGTGTAGATTCAATCCTCTAACTTGGACATAGGTGTGCTTGATCTGCTCCATGGCTGATTCTGATTGAAGTACTGAAGATGGGAAGAGTAGGGGAATCTGTGCAGAGAAGAGAACTTGTTAAGACAATTCTATATAAAGACAAAACTAGTGGGGGGCAAATATCCGTTACGATGTTTGATCTACGATATTTTTGTTCCACGTTGCTTTCAATTTTTCTTTATATAATTTTTTATATTAAAAGCTTTTTTTTATTAAAAATGTAAAATTTACATATAGGTTTTTTTTTTTATTTCATCATTTTTTTACTGTAAATCTATTGAAACCATAAAAAATGAACTAATTTTTGCGCTTGGGTTTCTCGAATTTTATATATTAAGTGATATAATTTTTAGTAAATTATAGAGTATTTTTCACAGTTTTCTCATGAACTTTTTAACTTTTCTTGGTTGAAAGGCTCTAAATGATAATTCACTGTACGTTAATATGTTCGTTGTTTAGTCCATTTAATTGTACTCCAATTAGAATTTCAACCTCACAACTTCCAAAACAACTACAATACAAAATGAAAGAAATTGAATTCCATGATCGAACACTTGTTACTATTTGTTTCCATATTTGGCCATAACACATTGGCTATAATAAATTTTGAAATTTTTGTTAAGATGTTTTAAGAAGGCAAGTAAGTAACTTGATGGCTCTACTGTTTCTGCTTTTTCTCCTAAAAGCACAGCCTAACATAGAACTGCACCACTTAGTCCTACTTGGCTGCTTGGCTAGCCAAAGCCACAATTAGGAAGGGAAATTAAGAAATTAAATTCTTTTTCAGTATCCTCAAACTTTGCAAGAAGGTAAACTGTTACACTAGGAAAGATCAAAATAGTCTATTAAACAAACAAATAAGGACAGGCACTACGGCTTAGATGCGACTAGGGTATTATTTTCAGCAGCATTCTCTTCCTTTCCTAGTGCAAGGACCACCTTCTTCAGGATAGCTTCAGTCTGTTGGTGGGCATTATCTACAGCCTTTGAAATGGCTTGCCATTTCTCGCCATGCTTTGGTTCTGCCGCGACACACCTCTTTAACACATCCTTCTGGTTTTCCTCAGTGCCATGCTGAAGTTCAAATTTGTAATATAATGCCCAGAAATCCCCAGTGTCCGGAGCAAGAGTAACTGCTCTGTTCAACCAGGTTCTGGCTTTATCTACCTTCCTATCGTGCCAGAACAACTTGGCCACAGCAGCAATAACATGAGGATCGTGATCACATTTCTTGAGGGCATCCATACTCTTGCTTTTGCGCTGTGGACGTGGAACCATCTCGATAGATGCTGCCCACAAAATGCCACTGTTTGGACACTCCTGCAAAGCCTTTGCCATCAAGATATCAGCTTCCTTCTTATTTCCATGCCTTGATTCAGCACGCACAGCAGCAAGCCATAGTTCAGGGTTTTGAGGATTCTTCTTCCTTGCCATGGTGAGTACCGCGCGAGCTTTGCTCAGCCCATTCATTTTCTCTTCAAGATTGGCAAGAGAAAGCCAAAGAGGTATACAACTTGGGCAGTGCTTCAAACCTGATTCATACACTTCCTTAGCCTTTTCAAACTGACCAAGCCGTTCTTCAAGCTGCCCAAGCATCAACCACAATTTGAAGAATGACGGGAATCGCTTCAAACCTTCATCCAGCAATCTCCTCTCCTCCTCAGTATTCCCAAGTTCCCTCTCAACAATGGCAGACTTCATCCACACTCTTTCAGTACCACCTCTTTCTCTTGCCTTAGCAAGCAGCATTCTAGCTCTTTCAGGCTCGTGATTTTCAAATTCAAGCTTAAATGCAGCAAGCCAAATCTCCTCAGAGTTTGGTATAGCTGCATAAGCTTCTTGAAGAATAGCCCTAGCAGCAGGCACATCACCAGCAAGCCACTTCTCTTTAGCACCCATAAGCCATAGAACCTCGGCTTGTGGCCTATAAGTAACTGCCTTGCGCAGCAAAGCATCAAGAGACTCCCTGGTCCCATGGCTCTTCTCAAGTTGTGCTGCCTTAAGCCAAATACTCTTCTTCGTCAAAAACACAGTTAGCGCATGAGCATATATAGCTCTAGCAGTCTCAATAGACCCCCTCTTCTTACACTCCTCTGCATCAGCCACCCACGTTCTCTTCCTATCCTCTTCCTCCACTCCAATCCCAATCGTGTTCTTAATAATTGCTTGACAAGTCACCACAGAACCTGCCCTTTCCGCTGCCTCAGCCTCCTTCATCCATGCCTCCCTATCAATCGCTAACCCTTCTCTCTGTAAAGCCCTAATACCTCTCTCAATAATCTTTCCAACCATTGATGTATTACCATTTGCCTCCTCCAACTTGGCAGCAGTTATCCATATAGCCGGCTCCTTTGGTAACTTCTCCCTGGCCCTGTTCAGTACCTTCTTAGAATTGTCATATGTCTCCAATCTTGCCAATGCTAACCACAATTCAACATGTAAAGGACAACACTCCACCGCTCTATGAAGTAAGGTTCTGGCATTCTCCTCATTAGACAACTCCACAACAGCTTTCCATAACCTAACTGAATCAGGAATATGCTCTAAACCCTTCCTCAACACCCTACTTTTATTCGCATCATCATGTTCCAGTTTTGCAGCCTGCAACCACAACTTAACAGAATTGGGTATACTCTTCACTCCCTTAGCTATAACTGCTTTAGCATCGTCAGGACTAGCCAACCTACATGCCTCTAACCAAACATCTTCATTTTTAGGACATTCGTCACAACCTCTTTGAATCAACTGCCTAGCTGCCTGAATCTTCCCAGCCACCTCTTCCAACCTAGCAGCAGCAATCCACCCAGGTGGATGTTTTGGGTTAGTCTGAATAACACTCTTTAACAACAACCTAGCCTTCTTAATATCAGAAATCTCAGCATCGCTAGTAATCTTCATACTCTTCAAATCAGTCAAATATCCTTTAGGATCCACCACAGTCAACCCCGAAACAGAATCTGATAACCTATCTAACTTCAATGACAAAACAGTACCTCTCCCTTCACCAACAGCAGTCAAGTCAGTAACAGGGGTCTGAGACCATGGCGTCTCAGTCCCACCAGCAGCTCTACTTTTTGGATCTAAAGCAGTAACATGCTCCTGTTCTTGCCTAGCTTTTTCAAGAAGGGTATCAGGTACAGGCACAAAGCTCTCAAATCTCTTCTTTTTATTTCTTAACGAGTAATCACCAATATCCGGTATGCTTTCCCACTCCGAAGCCGATAAAGTATACAACTTCCTCTTCAAATCAGCAAACTGCTCAGTTATCTTTGGATTTGAAGCACGATACTTTTCAATCTCTTCCTTCAGCCTCGCCTCTCTCCTATCCTTTCTTCGTGAGTCCATCCTCTTATCAATTGCTTCCCATACGGCATCAGCTTCCTTATCGTCTTCATCATACTCCGCGGAAGCAAACAATCCGACATCATTCCCTTCAAATTCATCAAATTTCTGGTTTTCATCATAACCCTTATCGTCTCCGTCGTCGTCATCTTCATCTTCACCTCCTTTTCCCCTTCCACGGCCCATCCCAGCTCCGGAGCCGGTTGCTCCTCCAATAGTGGTAGCAGATCGGTCAGGAAGATCGGGAGCAGCTCGAGCCGGACCAATATCAGACCGGGTAGTGAACCCAGTAGCACCACGACCAAGACCAGCGACATAGTTAGGTGGCGGTTTTGAGTTCAGGAAATCGAGTCGGGGTTTTGGTGGGGCAGGCGTTTGCATGCCGCCATGGAAGGGGATGTACAAAGTAAGGGTAGAATAGCAGGTGATTCCCAGTTGGGAAAGAAAGGTATTGTTAGGGTTACATTGGGGTAATAAAAAATGTTGATGAGAGACAGGAATTTGTGATTCAGATTGGATATGGTGTTTAAGGGCGGAGAGAGTGGTGGTGTTAGGGTTGAGGTGTAAAGATAGGGTTTTGTTGTTCGGCGATTTTACGAAAACCATCTCCGATCAAATCCAAAGAAAAAAGAACCAAAAAATCAAATGGAACACCTACCTATATATATATGTGATGAGAGGCGGTTACCCTACAAGAGAGGAGCTGAAAGACAGTAGAAAGAGAAAGGAACAGAATTTACCCAAGGAGAGACCTTTGATGTAGTGAAAGCCTCACAGCCGACGAGATTTATGAACGGTACAGACTCAAAAGAATAGTGACGGTGCCGATCGGAGCTGACCGTAACAAAACTGGCGGCAGCTTTTTACGGTACGGCTAAAAGTGAAGATTGTGGTGTCGGTGGACGAAATTGAAAAAATGTAGAATTTATTTACCTCCTAATTGCATAATATTATGCAAACCATTCTTTATTTTCCGGTGGTTAACTCTCTTTTTTACACCTAAAACTGCTAATTATTTCGAACATGTCCAGTTAAGGAATTCACTAAGCAACTAATCTTTCATATGCAATGTGTGGGTACAGTCTTTAACAAACTTAATATGATTAAAAAATTCATCTTGGAAATTAGATTTGACATAAAATGGAGAAAAATCCCGCTGAAAGCACTTCTCTCATATGACTCTTATGAATCTGATATTAAGTGAAAAAAAAAAAAACTCTTAGAGCATTGAAAATAGTAATAATAGAAAAAAATTTACTAACTATCACCGTGTTTGAATTTGCACTCCTATTGAGCTCGAATTTGAGCTCTTAAGAAATTAAAATACAAATCTGAATTCGAGTCAATATAAACAAGCTTTAAACAAGTTAATTCAAACTTAATATTTTTTAAACAAGCTGAGCTCAAACTTTAAAATGTGAGTTTGATCCGAACTCGAACTTTTATCGGCATTTCACAAATCAAATCTAAATAATTTAAAATTTTAATTCAACTCGTTTATGAAAATTAGGGATTGCATATGAAAAAGAAGAAAAAAAAGTCAATGAAGAGGTGGTGGTATTGTCATTGTGTGTGAATCACCAATGAGGCACATTTTGGCCAATTTGGTGGGTTTCATAGCTGTAATTGCACTTTCATTCAATTTGTTCATGCAATCCAATGGCTATAATTGCGGTGCATCATGCAAAATATTGCAAAGGAAATGTCTTCATTTTTTAGTTACCCCATCTCACTTTATATTTATATTTTCTTTTTTTATATTATTTTAATTACAGTTAAATTAAAATTTTGATTTCAGGCATAATTAAAAGTTTTTTATTATATTAATGTGTTGAAAAAAAAAAGAAATGAAAGTACTACTCTTCTAGTGATGGGTTAATATGAAATAAAATTAATAATTATTTTATAGTAAAATTAAATAAGGATTTTTTAATTTTCAAAATGATAATTTATACCTTCTATAATGTATTTTTAGAATGTCAATCTTAATTCTTGTGAAAATATGAAATATTACTATTCAATGAAGAGAATAAGGAATTTATATTACACATTTTCACAATTTAAGATAAAAATAAATATACCAAATTATATTTTTGCAGTGATTTAGTAATTAGTAATACCGAAAACATAATTTTATATTATTTACAAAATTTTGTTTTAAACAGATATTATTATACATACATAAATTGTTTTTAAACAGTAAAATCAAATTACCATTCAAATAAATCCTCTGTACTTGGCAACAAAACAAATAAAATAATTCTATATTTTAACTCAACCTACGCAACTGTGATTACCTCGAAAGCGCCAATTAGTCAAATTTTAAGGAAGAGGTCAATGCATAGTGAACAGCGAGCGATGCCCAGTTGCTTACCATTTCTAAATTTCCATGTAAAGCTTGTCTTAACAAATAGTTTGCTTGCAATACAAAAAGAAAAGAAAAGGTCCCACCTTTTCTGAAGACTTGTCTTCCTCCTCTCTTTCTCTCTGTAGTTTCAGATCTAAAACACCCAATCTCTGTTTGAGCTTCACATTTTTTACTCAAAGAACCCATCAAGCTGGTTTGTTTTGATTCAAGGGAGGCAGAATAGCAAGGAAAAACAGATATGGGCTTGTCGGGTATCCAAGAAAATGGGAAGGGGGAGGTGGATGTTTCTTTGGGAGGAAAAAATAAGTACAAGAGGATGAATTCTGAGTTTTTGGAGGATTCTGAGGATGCTTCGCTTCATCATCATCAACAATATATTAGTAGAAGCACTAGAAAATATGTTATTGCTTGTGCCATTTTTGCCTCTCTAAACAATGTTCTTCTCGGCTACGGTAAAAGTTCTTTTCTTTTGACTTCTCTTCTTTTGATCAAGTAATGTCTGCAGTAGCTGTTCTGTTCTTAATTTATTGTCTATATTTGATATATTCTTCACGCTTCCCTCCCTTTTTGTTGGCTGTTGTGCTTTGCATATTAATGCTCTTATTCTACTTTTCTTGGAAAAATCCATGGAGTTTCTGTCAATATTTTTGTGCCTTTGTTTTTGTTATATTAAATATCCAGAAAACTTTACTTGAATTCTTATTGAAGTTATTTGAATTATTATTTTTGTTCAGTTCAGAATAATTACAAGTATAAAAACCAAATTGTCTGAATTAACAACGTCCATTTGCACAGTGACAATATTGTTCCGGAGAGTCTTTCCTCATAATTGTGCAATAATGAACAAAATCATGTGTTTAATTGTTGAATCAAGTGGTAATTAGAATTTCTAATATGGTGGGAGCATATTTGGATAGAATTTTGTTTAAGATTCTGGGCCACTTGACCTTCCATCATGATAATGCAAAACTAATTTATTTGGATATGTTTTTGATGATAAAGGATCAGAATCTTATAGGTTTTTTCGGCATCTCATTATTGCTAACTTTATACTGGTTATATTTAATTGATGATTGTCTCTTTATGGCCATGGTAGTTGGAAAGTCTTATGACTCTCCTCACCTGCAAACTTGGAGATAGGGATTAGGGAGAGAAAGAGCTCATGGGGGTTGGTTTTGGGATGAAGCTTTTTATTAATTTTATACTTTTTAAGTTAAATTAAAGTTGCACAAGAATTCCTACAGCAGCAATTACATTATTCTTATTTTGGACTTTCTTTACCTTTTTTATTTTTTTCGGTGAAGCAATCATAGATGGTTGCTAAAAAATATTGTTATATTCAGATGTAGGTGTGATGAGCGGAGCAATTATATTTATACAAGAAGATCTAAAGATAACTGAGTTACAGGAAGAAGTTCTGGTTGGGTGTTTGAGCATCATATCACTATTTGGTAGTTTAGCTGGAGGAAGAACATCAGATGCTATTGGTAGAAAATGGACAATGGGATTAGCTGCTATTGTCTTTCAAACCGGTGCAGCTATAATGACGCTTGCTCCTTCATTCAAAATACTAATGGTTGGAAGACTTTTGGCTGGGATTGGTATTGGCTTTGGAGTTATGATTGCTCCTGTTTATATTGCTGAAATATCGCCAACTGTTGATCGAGGCTCTCTCACCTCCTTCCCAGAGATTTTCATAAATTTTGGAATTTTACTTGGTTATGTTTCAAATTATGCATTTTCAAGTCTTTCAGTTCACACAGGCTGGAGGGTAATGCTTGCTGTTGGAATTTTGCCATCAGTCTTCATTGGAATTGCACTTTTTGTAATCCCTGAGTCACCAAGGTGGTTGGTAATGCAAGACCGAATTGATGAAGCAAGATCAGTCCTCTTAAAAACAAATGATAATGAGAGAGAGGTAGAGGAGAGACTTGAAGAAATACAAAAAGCTGCTGGAAATGCTAATGCAGATAAGTATGAGGAGAAAGCTGTATGGCGTGAAATGTTAAGCCCTTCTCCTGCGCTTCGCCGGATGTTGGTTACTGGTTTTGGGATTCAGTGCTTCCAACAGATTACAGGAATAGATGCAACTGTCTATTACAGCCCTGAAATTTTAAGAGGAGCTGGGATTGAGGATAATTCAAAGCTTCTTGCTGCAACAGTTGCTGTTGGCGTTTCAAAGACTGCTTTTATATTGGTTGCTATATTGCTAATAGACAAACTTGGAAGAAAGCCACTGCTTTATTTGAGCACAATTGGAATGACTATCTGTCTGTTCAGCTTAGGTGTTACCCTCACATTCGTTGGGGAAGGACAGATTGGGATTGCCCTGTCAATTTTGTTCGTCTGTGCAAATGTAGCTTTCTTTTCAGTGGGAATTGGTCCGATTTGCTGGGTTCTGACATCTGAAATCTTCCCTCTAAGGCTGCGTGCTCAAGCATCTGCACTTGGTGCAGTGGGTAATAGGGTGAGCAGTGGCTTGGTTGCAATGTCTTTCCTATCTGTTTCCCGTGCAATATCCGTGGGTGGAACTTTCTTCATTTTTTCAGCAATTTCTGCACTCTCTGTTGTCTTTGTTTATACATTTGTCCCAGAGACAAAAGGAAAGTCATTAGAACAGATTGAGTTGTTGTTTCAGAATGAACACGAATGGCAAGGTAGCGAAGTGGAGTTGGGAGATGTTGAGCATCTTGTGCAGAAAGAGTGACTCAATTTTGATCGGAAAGGCCAATTAAACAAGCTATTTGCGAGTCACTAAACCTTTATGGTTGAAGATGCATTATCTGGATTGGGTACCTGTATGTGTTTGCAAACTGAAGCATCTATGAGCTGGCAGCAAATGGAGCATGCATATTATAAGCTTGAGTTGCAGATTTTCGAAATCCTGAAATTAGTTTGATCTGTATGTCTATTCATATAGGCTTGATTCATTTTGATACCCTAAGAAAATCATATTGATAGGGAGTAATAGAATTGAGATTTTTAGTAGGCAGACCTATTTATTATATTGTAACTATAGTTATTTCCAAATAAACCTAAATAAAGTTCATTACTGATACGTTTTTGCAACAGAATTGATTAAGTTACGAAGTTGCTTACAGAGTCTCCAGGATATTACTTATGTAAATTTAATTAACAAAAGTTCATTTTATTTTGTCGGATTGTTATTCCAATTCATGTATGCAACCTAATTTTGGGCCTCTTTCCAGGAAAAATGGCATATGCAAACTGTAGGGGTACAAAATCTTCCATTTGCAGACGATACCAGTCAGATAGGGATGTGTTTATTGTCTCATCTCATTCCAAATAATTTCTTGCATTTACAAAAGCAGAATTCATTCTTCGAGCTTTCCTGCCAAGACCATATTTGTTCATCGTTCCTGTGAGAACTATGGGTTCTGTAATCATCTTTTTGTGCACCTTTATGGTAACCCAACAAGCTTTTCACTAATCTCCCAAAGCTTTAATGCTTTCTCTGCATCACTGGCTTCTTGTGACAATTGGTTTTCAAATGTAGAAGAAAGCTTGTTCCAGCTCCAGTAAACACCTGATTTTGCAAGGTTTGGGTCACTTACAACCTGAAACACAGAAACCATTGTTTAGGTTGTAGTAACACCCAAAAAAAAAAAAAAAAAAATTTAGGTTGTAGTAACACCAAAAAAAAAAAAAAAAAAAAAAGGTTCCTTGCACTTCCAGTATGAGGGGATTATGTGCATGTTAGTTAAGAATACAGACCTGTGCAAGTCTTTTTCCAGCTTCTTCTTCTGAAAACATATTCCTTTAGTAATGTACTTTTGGTAATGGTGGGAATAGAAGCCTGGAAACAAAGGGAATGTGCTCCCTGAACAAGCAAAAAAAAAAAAAAAAAAGGGTTCCTGCACTTCAGTATGAGGGATTATGTGCATGTTAGTTAGAATACAGACCTGTGCAAGTCTTTTTCCAGCTTCTTCTTCTGAAACATATCCTTTAGTAATGTACTTTTGGAATGGTGGGAATAGAAGCCTGAACAAGGGAATGTGCTCCCTGAACAAGCCAGTTTCTGCAATGCAACCAGGGTAGAGAGAAGCAAAGGTGACTCCTGTCTCTTCATGGTAGCGCCTGTGGAATTCTTGCATTGTGAGCATGTTGCAGACTTTGCTATCTTTGTAGGCTTTGGCACCGTCAAATTCTCCCCCATCTATCATTGATGAGCTGTTTAGCCCGTTCAAGCCACCCACAAGTCCTCTCAGGTCTCCAAGGTTAGCTTTTGGAGGCACATTCCCAGCCAATGTGTTCGTGTTTCCTGCAATCATCAGTATTAGTCCTCGAGCATTCTAATGTGGTTTTATTTAGTTCAAAGTGATTTTTTATAGTAGCTATAGTCTGTTGTTTTTTGCTTCCTTTGAGCTTAAATTGACATCTTCTCTCCTTTTCTCAGAAATATTTTCCTACCCAGGAAATTATCTTTCAAGTGTTGGGTTGGGAAAAGCAAATCTACCTGTTATGGAGCCGACAATGATGAGTCGCTTGGATGAGTAGTCTGATTGCTTCACATCATCAAGCAGAAGCCGTGCGAGTAGGAAGTGACCAAGATGATTAGTTCCAACGCTGAGTTCAAACCCATCAGCTGTGAAAGATGGCTCCTTGGCAGTAGGTAAATAGACAGCAGCATTGCACACCAGCACATCAAGCGGCATACCTGACCGGCGAAAGTTATCTACAAACTGTCGGACGCTATCAAGGGAGGCAAGGTCAAGATGCATAACTTTGTAGTTCTCTTTTGGAATGCCAGCTGATTTAGCAGCCCTTTCGGCCTTAAGGAAGTTCCTACATGCCATAATTACGTTCCACTGCCCAGTTTCTGCTAAAGCCTTGGCTGTGGCCAGACCCAACCCGGATGAGGCTCCAGTGATTATCACATTACCCTTTCTCAATGTTTTCTTTGCTTCTGGTCCTGCCTCAGCAATTGCTGGAGTTGTAGTAGCCGTCTGGGCTTTTATTGTTCCAATGGGTAATTCTCTTCTCCTGAGTTCCTGCATATGCAAAGTAACACCCATTGTTTATATGAAAGAAAATAGGTCATTTGCTTGCTTCTAGATTGAATTTGCAAATATCATGATTTGCAAATAAGATATATATACTTATTCAACTAGTGACTTGGATGAGTTCAGGTAACCCGTATATTTCGTATCATCTTTAACATATTTTTCTTTTCAGGTCTTCTCCTTCTTGAACATCCTCTGTATCTAGAAGTAAAATTATTCATGGGAATTCAAAGAACAATTCAAACTTGCTTGCTGTTTCTATTACACCCTTTTACAGAATCAACGGCGTGTAGTTGGTTTGTCTCCTTCGCTAATGCAGTTCTTTATCTGTAATTTTTGAGAGATTGATTTGGAGGAAGAGGAACAGAAGACTGACCTTGCTTCTGATTAAAGAATAGTTGCAGTCAGCTTTGAGGTGGTTTGGAAGTGAGAATGAACATCCAAAGAAACCAGTCTCCTTGAAAGAAGCAATGGACTTGCCCTATCAACACAACACATGAACTGAATCAGAGGATAGAGGAGAACCAGAAGAAGCATTAATTCAATCAACAAAAGCATGTCAAAAGGGAAAATATAGAAACAAACTGTTGAGCACTGACCTCTTTGTAGACGGAGATAGAAGAGGGAAGTAGAGAGGCTGCTTTGAGAGCCATGAGACAGTTTAACTTTAATTAGCTGAGCTTTAGGAGAAGTCTTGTTTGTGCTAAGAAAAGGAGTCTGGGTTTTACCATTCAGAGGTTTTTGAGGAACAAGAAGCTCAGAGACTTCGGTTTGGTATCCTTCTTCGATAAGAGAAATTATGGGATGCTGACAAGATATGACACGTAGGTTTCTGTCATCCAATCAAATTTCGAGCTTTAGATTTTCAGTGATATAAATGTCCATCTTGAGATGCAGTAACGGTCGGATTGGATTGGATTGGATTATTCAACATGGGTTGGGCTCTATTGGGCCCTTGTAATTGGATTTTTTGCGTAGGGTATAAGAAGATTATTTTCTTTTTATTTTTAAAAAATTCAAATGATAGGAAGAACGAGATGCTCACATCAAATTGTCAAAGATGGATAAAAAATTTAAAACCAAAAAACCTTTGACTTATTTAACAGTATTATTTCTAAATATGTATCTTTGACCAGAATTTATTTTTTTTTTCTTTTTGAGATTGAAATTACAATAATGGCAAATAGTTATTTATTTATTAACTAGAAATTAAAAAAAATTAAGAAAACTATCTCCATGAATATTATTATGCAACATTTAATAAATTGAAAATTAAGTTTATTATATAGTGATAAAAAAAATTTCTGGGAAAAAACCAAGGGGAGGAAAATAATAAAAAATATATATAAAATACAAAAATTAAAAGAAATTAAGGGATTAACACAAAACTTAATGATGTGACAAGATTTTATTATATATATAAAAACTTGTTGATGAAAATAAAATATATTATACAGTAAGAGAGTGGCTTCCATGTCCAAACAAGAGAAGTCATTATTTATTGATTTAAAGAAAATGATAGCAGCAACACCATGACATAGAAAAATACTGGGTTTGGTTTAAAAAAAAGAAAGGAACAGCAACTAATTCTTGTTTATCCATGGCTGTCTCTCAGATATTTTCATTCTTTATTACTTGATTATTTTTAAAAATTGTCAATTTAGTCTCTGTGATTCCTATAAATTTTAAAAAATCATCACCATTTTCTTCGTTATCGTGCCGTCGCAAATAAGAAATGTAGATGATGAGCTCATGGGACGGTTGCTGCTGGCCCCTCACCACATTTCATTATCATTATTAGTCAATTAACATGTAGAGATATTCTAATTAAGAAAATTCGAAATCCTGAATTTTTCTGATGGGATATGAGATTCCCAGATGAGAATTGTGTCTGCAATGAAGATAAAAGGGTTTTTTTTTTTTTTTCTTTAATTCTCATTTTGAAGATTCTATTTCTCTAGAGTGAAATGGTGTTGTGTTATGCAAAATATGCTTATTGTCATTTTGCTTTGAATCCCACTAAGTTTGTAATCCAGGGATCCACTTATGATTTTTTCAGGTACATTCTTTTGCCTGTGGAAGGAATAATCTGCGTTATCGAGGAAAATTTTATAATATCATTAAAACTACTAGTTTAATAATAAGATTATCAGATTAGTAGAAATGAACTATCTTTCCAAGTAAAATTTGATTGTCCGAGCATGAAAATATGCAAGAAAATACGCAAGTAAGATGAAAAAATACTATGAAGCTCTCGTACTTTGAATATACCGCAACAAATTGACAAACATGAGATGTTGAATTGTAAACAAGCTAGAAATGAAATTTTTGGATTAAGACTTCAGCAAAACAATAAATTCTTTTAGAAAAATCAAGGTTTAATTATTACGCTTGGACATTTATAAGGGCGAGCGCAAAGAGATTGACATATTGGCAGGGTTGTTCGGAAAAGAAAGAATGGATGGAAAAGCCGGAAGTGCAAGGAGGGGAAAAGCGTAGCTAAGTAGCGAAGATAGCCTAGACAAGCACTTCTCCTCCATCGGGGCATTTATTTGGTAAGAAAAGCTTTTGAATGTGTACCCGAAATCGACATAGGCTTTTGAATGTAAACCTGAAATGGATACAGGTGGATAGGTGGAAAATACGGATGGACGCGAGACAACTCTCTATAAAGAGCTCGGTTAAATAGCCCTGTAACTTCAGGAGAAGGATCACTGAAACCTCCATTACAGCTTCTTGATTACAGGTGAAATAATCCAGACAAAAAGCATGATACCATCATGATCAGGCTCACAAAAATTGTTGCAAATAACTGAATATTAGAGAGCATGCATAATAGAGCAGTTAAAAAAAAGTTTTTTAAGTGTGGTGGAACATAATGATGATAGTGCTGCAAATTGCTTAATCTATGATTACTATTAATGCTGATGAAAAGGGAGACAAGATTACAAATTTATAAAGATCATAACAAACTTCTCCACCAATGTACAAAAATTACAAAAATATTTAATTCCACCATCAAAGCAGAAAAACAGCTTTCTGTGATGGATACAGATAGAAACAGACCAATTGAGAGGGAGATCACCAAACTGTCTCCTACTACTATGCTGGTCCTGCACTACTAAAGTTTGCTACTATGCTACAAATGAAACATAACATAAACAGCCAAGAAAATAACATCTGAAACATAAAATTCCCTGAAGGACTTGCTAGAAAATGAAAATGCATGAACAGTAAGGGCCTGGTAATATTCAGCCTTTTGAAGAAGATGCAGTGAAGAGAAATTAAAAAGAAAAAAGGTGGATACTTTGAAAGTTTGGATATGCTGATGATAAGGAATTTGAGGAGGAGTAATGCTCACAAGTTGTTTGTGAAAAATCTGCAACTAGTGAGTTTAGAGGTTAAAAAGAGTAGTCACAGGTTGGTTTTCTAAAAAAGCTGCAACCTTTGAAAGAATCTAAGTTTAATGTGGTATGGTCCAAAAACCAACTGTAAAGAACCAAATCATAGAAAAAGAACCAAACCAATGAAAGAATCTACAATTAGTCTTGATCCTTCCAGAAGAATGGTTTCATGGGAAAAGTAGAGGAAAAAGAAGAAGAAGAAGCAGAACCCATGTTGTCCTGTTGTTGTTGATTTGGATTGCCAAAAGGAAGATGTGATTGCAATAAAAGATCACTATTTGTGTCCAAATCATCCCAAACTGGACTTCCCGGTCCCCATCCTGCAGGAATTGCATTAAACCAAGCTTCTGCCATGTCTCCCCAAACCAATTCTTGAGACCCTCCTTCTCCCCCACTACAACCTGACATCTCTGCTGCTGCTTGTACCTCATCACTCATAGTTGCTCCACTAGAATCCATTCCTGAATCATTATCAGGGGTGTCTTGTGGGCGAGGAGGAGGTGGCGTTAGCATTTGTGGTGGCGGCGGCGGCGGCGGTGGAAGCATACTTTCTTGTTTTGGGGATGATGTCTGATGGGGAGTCTCTGGCGGAGACGAAATAGTAGAAGTTGATGGAGTTATAGAAGTTTCCTTATTTTTGTTAAGGAAAAGTTCAGGGAAATTTAGCCTTGCATTTTCTCCTCGCAATTTGAAAGCTTCGCGGTCATAGGCTAAGGCAGCATCTTCAGCTGTGTCAAATGTGCCAAGCCAAAGGCGAGTTCTATTGCGAGGGAGACGAATCTCAGCTACCCATTTTCCCCAATGCCTTTGTCTTACTCCCCTGTAAAGTTTTGTTGTGTTTATAGGCTGAATTGGGGGCCTAAACAATGGCCTCCCATCCGGGCCTGCTCTGTTCATCATCATCATTCTCCCTCTTGGACTTAAATTCAATGTATCACTCCAATATTGAAAAAGCTGTTGCTGTTGTTGGTGGTGGTGGGCTAATGCAGATTCTCCAGCGAAAAACAGAGGATTAGTGATGCTCTGTTGCTGGCTTTGATTAAAAGAAATCATTTGTTGTTGATTTTGTATTGTTGGACGGTAATAAGGAAAAGAAGGGTTTGTTTTAAATTGGTGAGGAAATTGGATAGGTTGATTATTACATCCTTCAAATGCAAAAGGAAACAAAAGTCTTGAAGATGCAGAAGATGAGAAAGACGAAACAGAGGAAGAAGCAGAGGCAGAACAAGTAGAAACAGTGAAAGGAGGGGTAGTGTTATAAGCAGAAGAAGAAGAAGATGATGATGATGTAGAGAATTGAATTGGGTCTTGACGTTCGGGGCTACGGATTTTTTTGAGAGGCCTATCTGCTATGGAAACTTCACCAAAAACTGGCTTCCATTGTTGCCTCTCATTAAAGCTAAAATTAGCTTTGCCCTTGTCAAGCTCCCAATCTTGTCTTTCATCAACAATACCCTTCTTGGATTTTCCTGTATTATTCTTAGCTGCAGCCATTATTATGGTAGTAAAGACAGCTTACCTGCTCGCTCTCTCTACAGATTTTATAACCAAATGACTTTTGAGATGGATTACCAAGAAAATAGAAGGAAAAGAAAGTAAATCAGAATCAAATGTATCAAAAATCCCAATAGACAATAAAAAAGAAGCATTAACCAGATCCAAATTTAGTCAAAAGATTCTAAAAATTAAACAAAGACACAGACTTGGGAATCTGGATTGGAATTTAATAGCTAATCCGATTGAATTAAAAACAGAATCGGATACTATTAAGTGTCAAATCTTGAGCAACCCATCTCAAGTTTCTTGCTAATCAGTAATCCAAAAAAAAAAAAAAAAAGAAAAAAATCGGATACTATTAAGTGTCAAATCTTTGAGCAACCCATCTCAAGTTTCTTGCTAATCAGTAATCCAAAAAAAAAAAAAAAGAAAAAGAAAAAAAACAGAGAGAGGAGGAAAAAAAAAAAAAAAAAGAAAAAGAAAAAAACAGAGAGAGAGCGAGCAGGCCAAGAATGATTAAAGATATCCAAATGGGGCTGTTGATGACGATGAAGCACTGGCTTTTAGCTTCTGCAGTGGTGAATTTGAGAGAATTTGGAACAGAGAGCCCAAGAGGAGAAAACAGGGGAGAGAGTTTTTTTTCTGTTTTTTCTGTTTTTTTTTTCCTTTTTCGGTGTTTATAAAAGCTATTCCTATGCAAGGAGAGGAAAGCAGGGGAGGTGAGTTTATAAGCAAGAAAAAGATTTGAAGGCAGATTTTTTTTTCATGGTCCAAATAGTAGAGAATTTGCATAAAGTCTGACGGTTGGTAGGCTTTGGTTGGACCCCACACGGCTTTGTTTTTCAATTTCGTTGCTTCCACTCCAATTTCCCGCTCCCCACTCTCTATGTTCTACAGTATAAAATTAAGATATTTTTTAAGTACAAAAAATTAAAATTTATGGTAATTTATTTATTCTTTTAAAACATTAGTTAAACATACACGTGCTAAAAGAAATTTTTCAAATACTTATTTATCAAAAATAAATAATTTTTTTTTACAAATGTTATATTAAAAACATATATTAACAATAAAATGTAAACATTATAACTATGTTATCAATCAAGTATAATTTGAATGACCTCCTCACTTTTATGAGAAATGAGAAATTTTAAATTCGAATTCTATCGACTGCGATCGTCGATAAAATTCGTGTTTATACTATTTGGCTCTGAATTTGATTGTCATAAAATATATTTGAATACACCAAAATCGAGCTAATTGGGTTTAGTTCCGTTCGAATAATCGAATACTCAACTGTAAATTTAAATATATATATAAGCATCAAATCGTTGGTGAAACCATTAACTCATTGAAACAAACTCGCAAAGACACTCTTTGTGATAAATTTGTATTGAGATAGTAAAGGAGGATAGTAGAGTTAGGGTTTCAATTAAGATTAGCAAGTAATAGTAAAAGCACGAGTGGTAAGAGAGGGATGTGTCTCACAAGTAATCCACGTTAGGGGCTAACTTTCGGTGGAAAGGATTTCATTTCAACCAAAACTCAAAACAATTTGCCTTTGCAAAAGTCAATCCATATACAACATAGTCGGTGATAATCGGCACGTGTCGGTGGTCCACCCGCATGACCCATTTACCTTCTCAATTATTATTATTATTATTATTATTATTATTTCTATTTCTCCAATCTCTACTACTTATATACTTACACTATAGTTAAAAAATAAAAAATCAAAATACCATCAATTTCCAAATTTTAAAATTAATCTTTCCCTTTCCAATAATAATGGTGATTGAAAACAAAAATATTATTTTATATAGGAGTATTTTCAAATTAATTTAAGTATATTGCGAATAAATATTATTTTATTTTTATAATAAAATGATTTTGTATTACTTGTTGAAGTTTAATGATAGATTTTCATATATATAGTTAAGAGTCTGATTGGTTTTTCCAGCAGTATGAGGAGTGAGAGATCTTGAATTTAAGTTCTTTCGACTATAAAATTTTTGACCAATTTAACGAATTGAGAGAAAAGTTACTCCTATTATATTATTTCAGCCCGTTAGACCTCATAATAAATTAAAAAGAGAGTCCCAAATATTATAAAAACTTCTATGTGTCCTTCGTTTTCCACTAGAAGCGCCCTTTGTATCTATCCAAGATAGATCTTGAATGTTAGCTTTTATAAACACAAATGGCTCATCAATCCATTCCATTTTCTTTTCAAAAAGGCATAAATATCTCATGAAGCCAACATAATTAGTGACCAAACCAAAGAGAACTTTCCTTTGAAGTTGGTGATAAGGTGACTAAGTGAAGGACACATGTCACCAATTCCACCATTGTGGCTACATCAACCTCTATCTAGATAATAGATGAACACACCCAAAAAAAAAAAAAAAAAAAACCAACCCAAAAAAAAAAAAAAAAAAAACCACACACTTAAAAATGTGACCCCCTTAAAGCCATTAATTAAAAAAAAAAAAAAAAAAAACCCACACTAAAAATGTGACCCCCTTAAAGCCATTAATTCAAGTGCATAAAGACAAGATTGAGTTCTCTTTCTTTGACCTTCCTTCCACCAACACATTTTGAAGTTAGTAGCTACACATGCAAGAAAATGTCAATTAGGGTTTCGAGCTCTTCTTTGACATTTTCAAAGTTTATAGATGTGTGTAAATGGCAACATGAACATGCATGAGTGAGGCATCAATAATTGGACTTCCCCCTTTGACATATATTTCCATGGAACCATCATTTTAGGCTTGACAAGGAAGCAATCACACTTATACATGCTTTCTTATAAATCATTTGATAAAATAGAGATATTGTTTTTAATTTATCCATTATGATTCAACTAATATAAGAAAATTGTATTTATCCATGACTATTTAGCCTTTCTATGAGCAAGCAATTGGTCATCAATTAGCCATAATATCATAACAAGAATCCAATAAATTGAGATAAATTTATCATTTCAATCTTATCATATCATAAAAAAGAAGATAAAAAGAGCATTACTTCTCTTAGAAAGACTAACAATAATATAATATCTTATCATTGGGTCACTTTGAAATTAATGGAAATGCAATGAAATTTAATTTTGAAAGAAGAGTTGGTAATTTGTAGTGAGAAATTAAGGAAGTGAATACTTATGGGGTTAATCCAAATTCTTCATATCATGTGATAGACACTCTGAATATTATTCGTATTTCCTTTTTTATTGAAATGATCAGAAAATCTCCTCGAATCCGTAGACTGTAAGGGTTTTTAGCCCTTTAAATAAAATGCGCTTCCCTACCACCTCGTCAACAACTTAAAATATAAAAATCTTATATAAATAAATTAAAGATACCAATATTCCCAAAGGAAATCAAACATACATGTTCCAAATTCATTGGGTTGAAAATTGAAACTAATGAAAGATGAGTTCATTGATTAGACTAGAGAGATGATATACATTTAAATAACAATTTTTTGGTCAAATAAGTAATTAATTAGCATGATATTATATAAATCACTACTACTAAAATCAATTTCACTCTATGGTATGGTAGAATTGTGATCTATATATAATTAATACAAATCATGTTTGACATAGAAATAAACAAGTATTTAATTTTTTTTTTTAAATTCCATAATATGCAATCATGCAAATACAATAATAGAAATTAATGAGTGGGATTCACAAGGAAAATGCTTCACATCACATCACTATGGGCATTGTGGAGGAAGAACATTTGCTACAAACCTATGAACCAAGACCCACATAACGATCTTAATTTAATTATTCACCAAATGGGAAGTGGTCACTTCCTATTAACTTTGGGATTGAAAGCATATAAATAAGGTCCAATCAAATTGGGGCTATGGCACTAAACTCAGTACTAATTGCATACCCTAATAGTCATAATTAGGTCTATATATAGTTAATGGGGAAGTGCTTAATTAAAAAATTGGCTGAGTCAGAAGAGGGAGAGACTGACCTTTGAAGATGCCATTGGTTGCTTTTAACATAGATTTCGTCGAAGTATTGGGAGAGTTAAGGTTAGAGGAGAACATTATTGGAGTCAACTTCCATTTTGGTTGAGAAAGTTTATGTTGTATGTAATGACAGGTGGCGATAAATTAAAATGGCCCATTTTGGTAATGGAAGCTATAAATTTATGAAATTAATATTCCATTCCACTTTCTTTGTCTCTACGTATTACCTATTCAACGTACTAAAATGGTGGTCCTCACTTGTGTTGTGTGTGCACCAAACGTTTTCATTGAATATTGTTGTCTATGTAACATCTGGGAAGTACTTTCTTACTTATATTTATATATTAAATCAATTACAAACGTTGTTTTAATTCAAATCAGGATATTTTTTACCACATACTAAAAAAAAGCACAAAACGGTAATATTACGTTGGCTTTATGTATGAAACCACAGGCTGGTTTCACGCTGAAATCGGACTAAAATTGACTAGAAAAAATTGGATTAAAACACACTATAACTGGCTGGTTTTGAAGTCAGCCTAACAAAAAAAAAAAATGACTATCTCAGTTGATGAAACAAAGAAAAAAGTTTGGAACCATATAAACTGTATTGAAACCAAAATCAAAACCAGATAGAACCTGATTTTGATTTGTGGCCGTGCATATCTCATCTAGGATGGCTTATGGCCAGTATGAATCGTGAATAGAGATTCGATAGATATTTTAACCTAGGCATAATTACGCTCTGATTCAAAATGATTCACCGGTAAATAACTTGTTATTATGTGTATCATATTTTAATTAAGGAATTTTTAGGATTAAAATGTTTTTCAAATATTTTGCCCCATGTTGACTAAAAAAATTAAATAAAATAATTTTTTGTATTTTTCCACAGAAATTTTAAAGAAAAGAAGTACATTTAGATCATACTCAGTATTAAAAAGGGGGGCAAAAAAATTATTGGAGATATTTAAATTGGGCTAATCTCTTAAAAAATTAAGGCAAAGCCCAATTTGCTCTTATTTTTGGGCTTGGGCTGTTACTTTAGCGCTATAACGACTAACGGTCGCTCAGAAATGGTCGGTAAAACCATACAATTTTATCTGCAACTACAAACCATATATAAACAATCCAAATCCTATTATTTTCAACACAAATTTAAACCATGAGTTCAATAAAAACAATATCAACAAAAAGTAATGTCACAGAGTGAGTTGAACTTAGTTTATGATAGTAAAAGAGCCGAAGATGCCTTTTCTAAGCTTGACTCAGAAACAGAAGTTGAAGAACCTCTACCTGCACCTGAAACATTAAATGATGAAGATGTAGTAGGAGCTGGTGCTGAGACTGTTGAAAAATTGCTTATATTGCTACTAAAATCTGTAGTAATTTCAGTAGTGAACTCTTCAGCCATTGCTAAATGGGAAGGAAGCCTATCAATATCTGCAATCCCTTCTAGCATTTGCACCACTTTACCCATTTTTGGTCGTTGCGAAGGTTGATCCTGTACGCACCAAAGGCTTACTTGAATTGCTCTCCTTACTTGCTCCATATCCACTTTCTGATCGAACAGTCTTTTGTCAATAATTCCCGATACATTCCCCTTTTCAAACTCCTGATAGGCCCAAATTGAAAACTTTTTCATGTTTGTTTCTGCTGACATTTCAAAATTCCTTCTTCCACTTACTATTTCCAACAAAACCATTCCATAACTAAAAATATCAGATTTTGATGTTATGGGAAGATTTGCAAGCCATTCTGGTGCTAAATATCCTCTAGTGCCTCTAATGCTTGTCAAAGTCCGGTATCTATGCTCTTTTGTATTGATTAGCTTTGCTAGACCAAAATCCGAGACTTTTGCAGCGTAATTCTCATCCAAGAGAATGTTTTCAGGTTTTATATCACAATGAACAATGCAGTCGCGACACTCCTCATGAAGGTATGTAATGGCCTTGGCAGTGCCGAGGGCAATGCTAAATCTTTGATCCCAATTTAAAAACTTTCCACTTTGATTATTCTCTGTGATGAAAAGGAATTTATCGAGTGACCCACTTTTCATAAACTCATATACTAATAGTCTATGGCGGCCCTCGGAGCAGAAACCAACTAGTCTTACTAAATTCAAATGATGAGTGCTACTTATAGTTGCAACTTCCATTCTGAACTGTTTCTCACCTTGTTCAATTCCTTCAAGTTGCTTAACTGCAACAACCATTCCATTGTCGACAACTCCTTTATATACACTTCCAAATCCTCCACTTCCAAGAATCTCCTTGAACCCTTTTGTTGCGCGTTGAAGATCCTTATACTGAAACTGGACTGGAGCACCAGAAGCATACTCAAGAAGAGTATATTGAGCAGAAAATGCACCAAATCTTGGTCTGTTTCTACAAAACCACAACCATAAACCAGTCTCCAAACTGAGCAAACCGAAGACAATAGCTATTCCTTCGATAACCAAAACCCAACCCTGCACTCTCCATCCATTACTTTTATCAGAAGCTAGAGAAGAAGGTAATGGGTTTCGAAGTACAGGCGAGCAAACCTTAATATGTGAAGTTGAAGGAAGTGAAGGACTTGAATAACCAGGAATGAATCCAGACCTCTTGAGGTAACATTGACCAGTGCCATCAGATAATACAGTAGAAGCCTCACAAGAACTAACAGAATCCATAAGACAATTTAACCTACAAGCAGAAACAGCAACAAAGAAAACTTCTGATTCTGCACCAGCAAATATGCTTTGTGGAGGATATGTAAGTAGCAACGTGTGATCTAAATCTAACATTGTTACATTTCCTGGACAATCATTAATCTCCACTTTCCTTTTACACCCTTTTCTAGTATCTTCTGGATCAACAAACTCAAAATTCTGAGATGGGCACATGCAAATTGGATCTGTATCATTATAACTGCAAATTCCCATATTTCCACAATATCCAAAAACCCTGCATTGATCTTCAACAGCTGCCCATCTCACTGTTTGGGTTCCACTACCTATTTGAGAGCTATAAATTCTTAAATTCCCATCATTATCTAATTTCAGAAACCTTAATATATTACCAGCTTCTGCATAGTCATTACTATAAGCTAAGATAGCTCCAACCGATGGCAATGTTTGATCAAACACAGATAAAGTTCCAATGGACTGCAATTCTAAACTAGGTGAAGTCAGACTAGTATTATCACTATTATATGAAGAATTTAAACCTTTACTCCAATATGTAATGCTATTATTCCATCTAAGAGTAATGTTCCCAAAGCTAAGGAGACTAAATGAGTAAACCCCAGATCGTAAAGTCTTACCAACAGTGAAATTTTGAGAAGGGACAATTGTATCAACTGGATTGTCAAAACTAGACCAGACAGTGGTGGTGCTGTTATTGAGAACCAAATTGCCCGTTTCATCAATAGAAGCAGAGGAGACCCCAAGATTATCTGTGTTAGAGTCCCAGACAATATTGCCTGAGCCATTGAGAAGACGGAGAGCTCCATTAGAGAGGAACTGGAGAGAAGCAGTTATGTCAACAGGATTTGTGCCTGCAGTCCAAATGGGTACGCCACCAGAGTAGTAAATGGCTGCAAGAAAGGAAGGAGGGGAAGTTTGAGAGTTAACTGGGATAAATCCAACTGAGAAAGTATTGTTTGGAGAAGACCAAACTTGGTTTGTGTTAGAAGCATAAAGAATTGATCCTGGTGTGATACTTGCTACTGCTGTGGCTGCAAGAAACAGGGTGTAAAGAAGAAAGAACAAGGACAAAGGATTTTGATTAATCATTTTCATTTTTGTTTTTGTTGGGTTGAAACTGGTATAGTATTTAAGGAAAATTTATTAGATATAATAAGTTCTTGTGGGGAATGTGCTGTGGTTATTGATTTGGATTCAAATATCAGGAATTGAATTTATTGGAAAACCCAGGACAGAACAGTTGGTGTGGGTCCAGTTGTTGGACTTCAATATCTCCATTCTCCACTCTGCTGCTTTTGTTTAATAATATTTCTTTGTTTATATTTCTAAGATATTGAATTTTTCATATTGGTCTACATAATCATTCTAAGAGGATGAAAAATTTCTAATTATTGACTTTTTTTTTTGTTAACTTCTCTTTTCAAAGATGTTAATTTTTTTGTGGTATTGGTAGAATAGACAAATTTTCCATTCAGAATTTGAACTTCCAGAAATTTTGAGTCTACATTCAATTTAAGAACAGATTGGAAGGGGAAGAAAGAATAGTGAGTCAGTCCTTTTTTTTTTTTTTTCTTTTCTTTTTTCTTCTTCTGTTTCTTGGAATAATCCCCTAATTTATTTTTGGTTCACACATGTGTTTTTACATTCGGACCAAGAGCTTACCTGGAGAAGTAATTTACTTTTGCTGATCCAACAATAAAAATCCCGTTTTTCCTTTTAATATAACTATCAGATAGTAGTAGTTGATAGTAATTAATTGGCTACTAATTGTTGCAAAACTGGTGCAACAAAGATAACAACTTTAAGCAAATTGAATGCATTAACTTGAGTCCAGCTCATTATTGCTCTACAAAACATCCTTGTCAACAACTTTTGAATTAAGGTTGTTAAATAATTAGTTTACTGTTAACAATCTTGATTGCTCTTATGCAAATAAAACCCTTTCAATGAGAGTGACAGAGAAGCTCACAGCCATTAAAATCTTCAGAAATTATTAATGAGGACGGTTCTTGATCTACTTTTTTACCAACAAGGGTTAATTTCTGGTAGGTGTCTATCTCAGCTACTTTCATTGTTTTGAGTGATTATTTTTATTGTAGCACGTGTTTCATTTTTTCTTTTACTACTAGCAATATTTTATAATTCTCAAATGGCAATTTTTGACTCTAATTTCTTGTGGATGTTCACCAAACACACATACATAAAATCTGCTAAGACCACCCATTCTTGGATCAACATAATAAATATTGTAAAATAGACACTCTATCATCAAGAATCTGCAATAGCAATGTTTATCTTCATTCTTCTAATGATTTTGCATATTGAAATTGATTTTCAAGAACTAAAATTACAAAAATAATAAAGAACAAAAGACAAATTTTGTTTCAAGATTTCTAAAAACTACTTGCAGAAAGAAAGAATCATTCTATTCCTATGCATGAATTGCTTCAGTGCTGTATATTCTGCAGATGCTCTTTCTTGAGAGCCATAAATTTTGCTGCAATATCATCATAATCTGGCAATTTAGGATGCACATGATAAGGAGATTGAATGGGAAATGACTTTGATCTTAAAACATTTTCTGTTCGATCCCCTTTATGCCTCTCTTGAGGCATTGTCATGGCTCTCAAATAAGGAGGCTTTGCTGCTTTTCTTGTAAGAGGACTAATAGGCCTATTAGAGAAGGCATACCATTCCATTTCTGTGTCTGGACTTTGAAAATGAGATCTTTTGTATGGCTTGTCATAATAAATAACACATTCAATGTCTTTTACAAAAGTATTTTCTGTAGAAACAGATCTTCTTCTTCTTCTTGATCTTTTCTTGACTGTCTTTACCCTCCTTTTAGAACTACTTGAGCTTGAACAATCACTCAATGATTCATATTTTTCCATACACTCTATATCACAACAATCTTCCTCTTTTCCCTTCTTACAAATGTTTAAAGATGATCTGAACTTGAAAATTCTTTGGTCTTGAAAGTTTCCTTCTTTTGCAACGGAACATTGAACCTCTTCTATATCATCAAGGTAAACTATTTCCTCATGAAACTGAGGGAGACTTTCTGAAGAAGATGCTGTCAGTTTTTGGCAATCAACTATGTATGACTTGTTAATAGTCTCACTATCTTTTGCACCTAAAGCAATATGTTCAAAAATATTTTCTGTGCTATTCATTGGAGACTCCATTATATTCGGCGAAGATTGATCAACCATAGAACAACTATGACAAGCACTAATTATGTCAGCCTGTTGAATATTGCATTCCTCGTTCGCCTATTATTACATAGAAAAAAAATGGAATTATACTAAATCTGATATAAGCAAATCTAATAAAACTAGTTAATGGAACTCCTGAACTACTAAGCTGTAATAAGATCTAATACTCTTAGTTTTGGCTTATTGACAGAAGCATCAGAAAATACCTGTCGTTGCAATTCAGAAGTGTATTCGAGTGCCAAAATCTCTGGCTTGAGGGAGTAATCTCTAGTTATTTCATCAACCAATTTTTGCTTCACATAATCAGGAACTAATTGAATAGACAATTTCTCTTTTATCTGCAAGTGATATTTTTTATCATTGAAACAGAAAAAGGAAAAAAAATGTTCATGAATATCTAAGGATATAAGTAAAAAGCATAAAAACCTGAAAGTTGACAAGATTGCCAGGCAATAATTCAAGAGCTGTCATTTCAAATCTCTGGCCATAACGCTCTCTAAAGAGCTTTCGAATTGCACGAAGCTCGGGTAGATCCCCACATCTTGCAGAGGCATATATAAGACTTGAAACTGCTTCATTGATATCATTGGGACATTCCCTAAAACCACAAAATTCCAAGATAAATGCTGCTGGTTTCAGTAAAGATAAAAACTGGGGATAAAGCAAGATTGATACTTGTGCTTGCGAATATACGAAATATGCACGATAATGAATTCGCAGAAACTTTCCAATAGTTCGTAAATTTCCATGACGGTTTCATCTTTGAAGAGCTGCTCAGCCTGAAAATGAGAACATGTTAATGATGAGAAAGCAGATGAGTAAACAGGGGAATTTTCAAGTTAACACAAAAGCTAGAAACTTTCGGCTATGGAGTTAATATTTAAATATACCCTATTAAAGGCAATATCTTCATAGCCAATCTTGACGAGCTGAGCTACGTCCTCCCTTAATTGCCTCACAATTGAATACCTTTTGCTCTTCAACAGTTTGAGCCGGCACTGAATTCTCTTGATCAGCTTCTTGCTAGAACCCAAAAAGCACAAAATCTATATAATAAAAAAAAACCGATAAAAAAGCTCAAAATTATGAACCCATAAATAATTACTCACCATTTAGAAGCTTTTCTCCACCCAAACAAAAAATCGAACATCTTCTAATATTTCACTCTGTTTTCCTATCAGCTTTCCTCAACAAGTAGCAGTGATCAATATTTATGAAACTAAAGCTGGTGCTGGTGTTTTGCATGCTGTAGTTTAAAGAAGATGAGAGATTAAAACTGAGTTTGTTTTCAGTTTTTAGTTGGGAGAAGTTTTTGGAGAAGGTGAAGGGGCTAACTGAACCAACATGGAACATGAAAGTACATGGCAGTTAAAGAGTCTTAAAGGTGGGAGTTGGTTTTAGGAGAAGTGGGTTTGAAAAATAATGGAAGACAGTAATACACACAAGACAGTTATGATCTCTCCTTCCAGTTGAGAAAAAAACTGCTCCACTCTTCCTCAGTTTTCGGGACACTTGGCACCTGCTGTTAAATAAATAGTGCAAAAACAGAGGAAACAGAGGCCTTTATCCATTAAAAATTTCTTTTATTTATATTTCGTTTTATTCTTGTGGTTCTGCGAGACTGTAATCATGTTTAGCAGTGGACAACTAGATAAATTTTATTTCAATGTACTAAAAATAATGGTTAATATAATAAGGTAACTTTTAGTTGTTAAAGTGAAGCTTTATAATGAAATTTGGAAAATAAATAATGAAACTTGGAAGAAAAAAAAAAATTTATACATCAAAAACTAAATAAAAATTAGAAGAAATTCCGAAATTCATATAAACTGTATAGCTAATTTGCAATCTCGTAATTAATTGATTGGTGGCATAAAAAATACTACTATTATTAAATTTTTATATTTTTTTTATATTTTGTTTTATCATAGCTTAAAATTATGTATAGATCTTCACTATGATAAAATTTTATTGCAATTTTTGAAAAATACTCATTAGTTAGCTGTAGTTCTGAAATTGTCCTTCGTACAAATAATTAAGCAGACACAGACAAGACAGACTGAACCTTAATTCACACACACCTGCATAGGATAAAGCTTAAAATATAAAACAAACAAAAATAAAAGCACTTCAGTCAAAGAAACAGGTAAGCAAACCAAGGTCTCTCTCTCTCTGGTACTACAAGTATAATGTTTGAGCTGGTGACCAACTGAATGGCATGACATATTGGCATGCAAGAAGAAAGGTGGAGTGGGGTCCTTGCTTAGGCATGGAGGAAAGCATGATGATGGAGTGACATAAAGGTGAGTCATTGACTCTGACAACAACTTCAAATTTTCATTTCTTTATAAAGAGAATGTTTTTGTAATGATTAGTTCACAATAATCCGACCATCATTCTATTTGTTTATAAGAGGATTGCTTGTCCTTGAATATGCTTGTATGCTCTTTTGGGTTTGAAGATTTATAGGTGTCTTATACGCGTTTGTTCTTATGCTTGAGTTGCGTTTCTTTTCTTGTTTAAACATTTGACATCTATAGAGTCACAGAGGATTAATTTATTGCCTGGAGTAAATGAAGCAATTGCTTAAATATTTTCACATAATTAGTCACAATTTTCCAAGATTTGGCTGGAAAGTTATGATGAAGCAAGTGTTAAGTTCGAACCTTTGTGGGAAATTTTTAAAGTCTGACATGATTGATTAATGGACCTTCAAGCGTGATGGAGAATAATGAGAATCTACCTGCAAAAACGATAAATGTCAATTCTCACCATAGTGGTTTTTAGATGTTGCTTTATTATGTATTTTGTGTGATTTTGGATATTGAGACCTATTAGAAATATAAGCATATTACTGGTGCTACATCTCTGAATGGATTAGACTGGAAACTCAACCCCAGCATACGGATAGGTTGTGCAAAGTTTTATTAGGTTTCTAACCATCCAAGCATGAAACCAACATGTGTAACTTCTTTTTTTTTTTTTTTCCCCATAGTTCTTATCAATTTTGCTACATATATAACGCTCTAAAATTTCAATGCTGCGATAGTTAACAGTTAATTCAAGTAGTTTTAATTTATAAAAAAGGATGCAGGGAGGGGGTGAATTTTTTTTTTTCCAAACCACCAAAAATCTTCAAACTTAACTCATCTCTATACCTAACTAGAAACAAGTTATATCAGTAAATTCTGCAGGATTGACTCCTGGAAAATATGCTCATGATCAATGTTTTTCATCTTTGTAATCTAGATGGTTGAAACATTATCTCGCCTTTGTCATATAATCATTCACTATTTATATGTAAAACCTCTATCTTCTGCTATGGTCTCCTTACCTTATCTGGTTCTCATTATCATCTCTAAGGAAGCCGTCTTTCAAAGCAAACAAAAAGCAATATACAATAAAAAACTGGAACTATGAAAGTAGAATCATGTATTTCTTTTCACTCCATTTATTTGCAACATGCTTATATAAATTAGAAGTCTATTTATTAATGCTATACTTAAATTTTATTACAATAGGCATATATAATGGTTCTGAGCTTTCAATATACATCACTCAACTTGGGGACGTTATAATTATACTCAATATATAGTATAGTTTTTAACATGTGCCTGCTTGGTTTGGAAATGGTATCCTATTGTTGCAAATAGGAGGCTGAAATAACATCACTCTGGTTGAGGACCAGTCTCTATTTCGTGAGCTATTTCTCTGGTCAACATATCAGCTCGATCATCCTGTCCACCAGCAAAGCTATAGACCTGAAATGCTAGCTGAAAAGCTCTCCAAAGAGTTTTTGCACTTGCCTTTAATTGGCTGTTAGTTTTTTGCCCACTTTCTGCACTCTCTGCTGCCTTTGCCTCTTTCCTTTCCTAGATCAAAACACCAAAAGGTTTAACACTGTTCAGGATTCATTCTAAAGTACTTGTTAATGGGATGCACTGTAAGTTTTTGTTTTTCTTCTGGTTTCCTCTTTTTCCCTTTTCTGAGAAGATAAACTATGATGTAAGGAAGATAAATAGTACCTTAATTGCAACCTCCATGCAGCTTGAAGAAAGATCTACCATTAATTCCTTAATACACAACAGAATGTTGAAGTCAAAATCAATTTTGTGGCTCTTGAACCGCTTAGAATCTTCATCTTTGCTTCTTTCCAATGTATCTATTTCTCCCTTGATCTGCTGGCAAGTATTTCTCAGAATCAACGACAAATAGGGCTGCCATGAAAATTCTGAATTTACTTGTCACAAGTGTAAAAAAGCTTACCTTGTTAAAGTAGGATTCAACCTTGTCAAGTTGCTGGTCCAAAGGAGGTGTTACCTTCCACTTCTCCAGTTTGGTAGCTATTTCTTCCAGCTTTAAATATAGTGCTGCTGCTATTCTCAATGATTCCAGCTTCTTTATGGGAAAACCTTCAAACTTTGCCAGCACCTGCATTTCAAGGAACTGAATGAGCATTTATTTTCATCGCTTCATGCCAATAATTCTGAATAAATGAGCCACCCTGCTTCTGCTTTCCTTTTTGTAGTTTAGCATACATGACTGAGCAACGAGCATCGTCAAAATTTAATAGGCTCAGCAATGGACATGCATTCACCAAACGGAGCATTATTCTTTCTCATTCACCTGTGTCTCATCAATCAATTTCTCCAAATGTTGCTCCACATACTTTTGGAATCTAATAAGATCAACCATGTCCTTGGTTTGGAAGGACTCAATGGCAGCTTTGATCTCCATGATTGATTTCCCATGATTCCTGACATCCTCTTCAATCTGTTGGAAATATGCTGATCTACAATGCCCATAGAAGAAAATCAAGTGCTAAGTAAGCAAAAACCATATTTGTTCTGTTTTTGTTTGGCACTCTGCAAGCAGCAGTAGCTGAAGCATACCTTTTTGTCATTTCTGCCAGCGCATCTGCCATTCCATGCTTCCCCCCTGCAGATCCTCCAACTTTTGGCCTTTTTCTATCATGAGGTTTGCCATTTAAATGACACCCTTCCACCTTGCCTCTGAGAAGCCTATACAAGTGTCCCATATGGCTTGATCTTTTTAATTTGGTTTGTTTCTTTGCGCGCAGGGCCTTTGCCATGCCAAGTGGAGGAGGAGGAGGTGGTGCAGCTCCATTTGGTTGTGGCATAGGAATTGGTGACACTGGTACAAACCCTTTAGATGTTGATACAGGCAGAGGAGAAGTTGCTGTTCCATTTGAAGGAAGATTGACAGGTGGTAACAAATTTTCTGATGGCATAGTTGGAGCTTGATCAGACACTATTGATGGAGGTGGTGGGTTTGGCACTGCTGCTGATTCTTTTGCTTCATACATCAAGTTTGAATTATAACTCAGAAGCATGGACAAATTGTCAGAAGTTTTGGAATCTTTTGGTCCTCTATTGTCCACCGTAGTTGATACATTTTGCATTTCTAAGTTTGTTTCATCAACCATTTGATCCATTACTTTCATGGAACTGTCACATTGAGCAGATTTTCTAGATGACAAGTTGAATGGGAGGTATTTTATTTCAATTGGCCGCAATTTCTCCACTGCATGAACTCTGAGAGACAATAGAAAAGGTGAGGCATATGTAGCATTTGCAAACTCCCCAATTTCCATAGAGAATGAAACTGCAGGAGCGAATGTTGCTGGAGTATCTGGAGAAGGACAGGTGATTTTCTTGTTTGAGAAGGACTCACTTAACGTGTCACCAATTGTCATACCCTGCATCCTTCCACCATTTTCCTTCTCTTCTTCCTCCATCACATCGAACATTTTCCTTGCAATGTCAATCATGTGGTTGAGCTTTTCAAGGACTTTTTGACCTTCAATATGAAATACTTATATCACTCTGAATTAAAATAAAATTTTTGTCATTTATGGAACAAGGGAAAGACATCTTACTAAGTTGCTCCAGAGTGATATCCTCTGTGCTCTCATTTGTATCATTGCCAAAGTTACTTATCCACTTGTGATTTTTGGCCCAGGAATCTCCAATGGATTCAAAAGCGTTATAGAGATGGTGCAATACCTGTATGAATGTATTTTTACATTATATTGCAGATTCAAGTAATTAGAACTATTTATCAAATTTGTTAATGTAATCCAGGTAACGAACCTGATCGAAGGATGTCTCTCCTGTTTCTGGAGTCACATTATAGTTTACAATATTGGGGTATAAGTTGTGGAGATCTTCAACAGTGCCCATCATCAACTGCCGGAAGATCCAAAATATGAAATTTTCAGGAATAAATAGATTTGAGAACTTCCTTGGCTTCAGTAAAAGTAAATAGATGAGGACCTCATTAATGGGAGCAGAACCATCACAGGGAGGAAGGTCAATGATGTCTCTAAAAGTTAGTATCTTCTTCCGGAGCTCCACCATTAAAAATATATCTCCTCTCCATCCACATGAGTTACTTCTTATTATGCTCATCTTTTCCTTTAGATTCTTGTTGCCTGCAAATGTCGATTATTTCTTAATGATGTTTTTTTCTCCGGAGATATTCTCATCAAGGAAATTTATCTATTGAAAATGTATACAACTCATATATTTCCACCTGAAATTTATGGCACTGCTTCATGGCAATTTTTCTATTTTCTTGAAATGTACTGATCACTGGATATTTCCTGTGTTCTAGAGTATAGTCCAGACAATGGATATTCCATCTTGCATTTACAGGATTATGGCTTTACTAGATAATTTTCCATTTGAAATTCTCTAATACATACATGAAATTTTGAATTGTTCTTGTATGCGAGTTGTCATATTAATTTTGTCATACCTGTGATCCACTTGAAAAACAGAGAGGTCCTGGCACAATAGCTGATGACTAGCTTCCAAATCTTGCTCACAAGACAATTTCCGAATTCCTAATTCCTACCGGTTGATACCTGCAGGAATTTTCAAAGTGCCAAAGCTGGAAACTGAGATTTGAATTGAAGAGAAAGAGAAGAATGAAGGGTAAATTTTTTTAAGTCTGAAAAACTCTCAACTGTTTACCATTGGATAGAGTTAATCCAAATCCAGAAATTACATTTCTGATGCGAATGTTCAAAGACAGCAGCAGCAGCGCCTGTCTCCTCTTCCCTGATGGATCAAGGGATGCCCGAGGTAGGGCATAAAGCAGACAGAGCTCTTTTCTGTGTGCCTATTTTTTAAGACTATAAATGGCTAATTAATTTTCCTCCAACAATTTAGGAACTGAAAGGTTTGACAAATTGCCACTTGTCTGAGTTCTCAGGTCTAAAATAACTAACATGATCTGTGCCCATCGCATGAATGCCAATCCCTTTTATATTAACGTAACTTGATCCTGATCAAAACTTTTTGAATTCATATTTGTAACTTTAGCTTAAAATTTTTATTTCATTACCAATTAGACAATTATTAGCTACAGAAATTTTTTACACTGCACAATATATATTTTATTGTTGACCTTCTATGTGCATAATATAAAGCGGAGGCTGCTAACTATAACCTTCGCTTCCCAGAATTATGGGAACAACCTTAACTTTCTTGATTCTGATTATGATAATATATAGATAGATAGATAGATAGATAGATTAAAAGAATACATAAAAATCTGCTATGTGTAGCATTAGAAGACTAATGGAGGATCAAGAAATAAATATTGAACATTTCTAATTCTGAATTGTGAAAACAATGGCAAGTGGGTGAGACATATTACAAGAAATTGACATTTCTCTCAAGAAACACCACATATACAAATTTCAATTCGGACAAGAGCCTATATTATACAATATCTACACCTGCAAAATGCTTATATATGTATATTTCATTTGTCGATATTCCCAATCTCTTCCATTCCACGCTCATGTGCTTTCCCTCCGTGCAGCAAAAGACGAATATATTAACAAGAAGAAGGAGAAAAGAGATGTTTATCAGATTGTTAAACCTCGAGAGCATACCAATACTGACTTGAAAGAATCTTTGCTTTCGTTTTTGGCGACAAGTTGTTGACAACCAAAGAACAATTGAGAAAAACTGTAACTTGTCTGAAAGGGAAATCTTGAACCACGACAGAAACAGGTGCTTTTACCTCTACAAGTAAAGGAATTTTTCCAGTATTTCTGTTTTGCATTAGAGCTTCTTGAAGCTTTGATCCGAATGCACTTTTTCCTTTCAGAACTATTCGAATCATAGTGGTGTTTGAAGTAGGCTGAAGAAAGGCAGGAACTTTTCCTTTACATAAAGTAGAATCTCTATACGTTACAATAACAGAACTGTCTTTTCCATATCGAAAGCCTATATGCTGATTCGGGTTTTCAGATTTAACAGTCACAACAAATTCTGCATACAGACTGAAATCTTGCTGGAGATCAAATGTATTGACATCGAAACGTTCAACTTTGTAATGGGGTATTTCAGGCTCGAAGACGGTGAAAAGAGCAACAATAGCACCAGCTAAAAGGATGATCAAAATAAGCCAGAAGAAAAAACAACAGCAGACACATTTTAGACAAAAACTTCCACTGGATTTACCAGAATGGTCTTGGTAGCGAGGAACATGTCGCCTCTGAGGAGGAGGTCTAAGGGTGGTGGGAGCTTGATTACTGTTCAACATGACATCCTTTGGCTGGTATGGAGGTGGCTTTCCCATTGAAGACTAAAGGTCCTAAAGGGTATACACCCTAAGTACGGTGGACGTATTTCCAAAGAGATTGGACAAGAAGAAAGAAAGGCTATTCTCCTTCTCAGCCAACAATCTTGGAAGTGGAAAGGAAATTCCCTCCATTCCTTAAGGACATTGTTACATATGTGTGGACATGGAAGATTTTTGAGTATTTACCCTGCCTTTTTGTATTAACTTAATTTGTTTTTCTATTTTAGACATGATTAACTCGTTTGGGATTTAACTTTTAACTAATGTGTTATTGTTGTAACCCATTTGCTAGATTATTTTTTGTCAGCTCATCCAAACACACTAATTTAGGAATATCTAACTATATAACAATTTTTTTATGTATTTTATTCTTTTAATCCACTGTGTTAAATCGGTTTCTTTTTTACGTGTGATAAACAATTAGTTCATTAATGTGTAAAATTTTTTCATCAAAGTATAATATGAAATTTCAATTGGACCGACACCAGCCGAGATATATATATTTAGGGTTGAGCATATCTCTCTTACTCTTGTTAAAGATCTTTCGACACGTTATTCATGGTCATCACCATTAGGAGGGTTTACCTGAATTTTATCTCGGACCGAGCATGGAAACAAGACGAAAAGAAGGAGATTTCATTACTAGATTACTAGCATAATCCACTAATTAACCTTCTAATAAAGGGTAATTCTTGATTATGATTAAGGAATTCACTTTGTATATATAAGAAGAGATGAAAATTAACAATACTTGGTAACTCTCGTAGGAGAAGAGGTGCAAATTGCTGATCTAGAAATACAAGATCTTGAAGCACCAACTCTAAGAAACGACATAAAAGAAACCAAAACAGTTTTCACTTTAACCACCACCTTCTTTAGCTTTCTTGATCTTGATGTTCTCAGTTCGCTTCTTGAAGTTAACTTGTAAGACTGTAGAAATATCTGCCTTTGCTTAGCTCTTGTAACTCTATAAGAAGTCATCATCATGGACTTGGAAGGAGTTCTCCGGCCAAGATTTGCTTTGCTCATTCCATCCAATGGCTCATAACCGTTTAATCTGCGACTAAGTTTTGTTCTGGTGTAGCTCCGAACAAGGGTGTCCATGGCTGCTGTTTCAGAAATATTAAAGGATTGCTGTAGATTCTAGTAATATATAGAGAAGAAAGAAAATTCTGATCTTGGTTTTATTTTATTTTATGTTTTATTTCCGTTTCTTTAAACTCTGTGTTTGACCGTTATTTCCTGTTTTCCATTCTTGGCGGGCGCGGATATACAGTAACCAGATGTAGCAAGTCAAGATTCAAGAATCAAGACTACCTAACAACTCCTCCAATTCCATAGATAAAAATATATTTCAATTGGGATTTTCTCAACATAATTGATCAATAAAAATGGATATTTGTGACTTTATTATATAAAAAAAATAAAAATTTACTCCCCAAAATTATAAAAATATAATATTGTGAAAACAATCAACAATTAATTTGAAATGAAACATGGATATTAGTGTTAAATTTAAATATGATATTGCAAAAAAACAATCAAAACGTGAAATGAATAATACAAATTGTTTTTTTTTATTTATTTCTTGACTTGGATTAAAATAATTTACATTTATAACAATCGCATAATTTATTTTGAAATAATTTTTAATGAATTTAATAATTCTAAGTATATATATAAGATAATATGTTCTTCAACTAATTTTTTTTTTAATGTTGAAAAACAGTTTAACAAACAAGATGTGCTGTGTGTATGAAGCTGTAATTAGGCTTCCATTATTGACCATTGACCAGAATATTCTTTTTATAGCCAAATTGAATGGGAGAAGCATTAAGAATGTAGGCAGTTAAGTGTGAATCTACTTTAGTAAAATGCCTGATTTATAACATGGAAATTAACAAGTTTGAATATCTAATATTTTATTTCCTTTCAAAAATTTTTTAAAATATAGAAATATATATATATATAGTTGTCAAGAACAAAGTCATTTTCGAAGAAATTTCCAAGTCCAGTCCAAAAATAGGAAAATCAAAATTAAGACCCCACAATTAATTATTACATATGTGGAAGACCTACAATAAGGATGTTGTGAGTTGATGAAGGTAGGGTCACTAGTACTTAGTACGTGCCCATTGCCCTATGTCAATTTTCATTTTTGTTTATGGGAAGAAAATACATTTTTGAAACCTTATTTTTAATATAAAATTAATCTCATTTGTCGCTGTTTCTTTTTCTTAAGTAATTTTTTCTTTAAAAATCGAATTTTTTAATTTTATAAAGGTCCTTTGTCAGAAAAATTATCTATCAGCGATTTGTTATTTCATATAAAATTTGCACATTAAAAATTCACTAGGTAACTTCAAATATATCGTATCACTTTGAATCACTCGCTATAAATTACTTTCTATCAATTTATCATGTTTGAGGTTTATTTTCTTGAAAACCAACTTTCCAAAGACTTGTTTTCTTGAGAATTTTATTTACACGAAAAGGCATAAGGTGAATTTATAAAAGAAAACAAACATTAGTGGTCCCAAGTTTAAGCTGGAAAGCACATATATAGTATTACATATACTCCAGAAACATTAATGGCAATCACATTGAATCCTCAGTACCCAATTTATTATTGTATAAATAGATATTAATAATCCTTCTATTGCATCGAAAATTCAAGAAAATTTGAAAATCCCTCCTTTGCATGCATTAATATATGCATTGTCTAAGTACTTTCCAAGTCAGAAAGATCACGTAAAATCAAGAAGCACTTTGAATGATCGGTAACTTCTTCTTCTAATACTGTGTTTGTATGCATCTTCCTCTACTCCTTTTTCATGTGACCTTCTTTGTCACACATGGACACCCCTCTCTATATAACTACACACTCTTGCCTGTGATTTGCTTCAATATACCTATACTACGTCTCTTCTTTATCCATTTATATATAATACCCTTTTCGTTATACTTCTATTCTACTTCTTCACCATATTTTTCCAATTCATATATAATACTCCAAAGCCATAACAAAGCCATGAAAGGTTCTGTTTTTGTTGCTCTATTAGTCATTGCTCTTCTTCTTCTTCTTCCTGCCGTCATATCTGGAAGGCACATTGGCAGACAGCGGACTCGTATGTCTCTCTCTTTTTTTTGTTAAACATTTAATGCTTATATATGTTCATAATCATGGATCACAAAATGTGTTTAAACCCTTTTTTTCTTTTCTGAAAACTAATTTTCTTTCCAAAAACTATGTTAAACAGGTCATGGGCATCACCGTTCTGCACAGGCTAGGACAAGAGACGGAGTAACTGTAGCGAATCCAAATTTTTACAGGGAAATAAGGGCGACAAAGAGAAGGGGACCAGATACAGTTGAAATAGCAGGATCGAGCTTGCCTGATTGTTCTCATGCATGTGGGTCATGCTCGCCATGTAGACTGGTTATGGTCAGCTTTGTTTGTGCATCACTTGAAGAGGCTGAGACTTGTCCTATGGCTTATAAATGCATGTGCAGAAACAAGTCTTATCCTGTACCATGAACTTCAATTTTTCTTTTTTTTTTTTATTAGGTTTAGCTTATTTTAACTAACTAGGACTAATTATCAGGAGAGTTCATGCTTTTCTTTTCTTTTTTCTTTGCCAACTTTACATTGTATTCTAGGCTTGCCTTTCCTTGTGTAATCAGAGAGTTTTCTTCATCATTTTGATCATCATCAACAGTTTAAGAAAAGTTAAAGTTCCGCTCGTGAGTAAGTAAGATCGCGAGTTCAAACCATATATAATTTCAGATCCAAATAACTTTAAATGAAAATAAATAATAAATTACCGACAATGTATCGGTGGAATGTTAAGCAACTTCAATTTCAGTAAAATTGAGATTCCAAAATAATTCTTTTATAATTAGTGAATTAATATGATTATATTTTTAAAATATTCTTTTTACATAAAATGCCAAAACAGAGTGTGAAAAAATTCTACATATTAATATGTAGAGAAGTATTAATTAATCACAAAGATAAGAAAACTCTTCTTTTCTTTTTCGACCCTTTTCTCAACTTAGGAGCTGAGCCAAAATTGAACTTGCCTAATCCTCTGAGGAGCTATGCGAGCAAATAGCCAAGATTATAGGAAATTGGCTGGTCATGACAGACAGACAGGGAAAAGAAAAAGAAAAAAACCATCCTTTGCTTGTATGGATGCCAAAAAAATCTCTGTGAAAAATGGCAATCCTTCTCCTTCTCCTTTACCTTCTCCTCCGTGTCTTTCTTCAATTCCACTCTCTTCATCTACTCCCATTTCTGCCCCCACCATTACTTTGTCCTATTGGCCATCCTAACATCAACCATCCATCACCACCGCCACCACTATCATCATCATGCCATTCTCAAAAATGGCATGAAAGGTGAATTCTTGATTCTTTTCTACAACTTTTTTGTTCGTGTAATTTTGTTTTTTGTTTGTTAATGTTGTTACACTGGAGAAATAGATGCCCCACTTTACCCTAAATTTTCAATTTTTCTTTTGTGAAACTAACCTTTTGAAGTGAAAAAGCATATGCATAAAGATCCCGTTAATTGTGGCTGTTAATTTCTATATCTCCAAAAGTTAGCTTCTGGGTATCTCTGTATTTAACCCATCATTGCATTCCTTGACTCTGTCTCTATCAAAAAATGAAGATGATGGGAGTTGTATAATAGGTGAGCATGGGTTGGTTGCAATTATGTCACCTCATTTTTTTCATTACCTTTTTGTCTTTTGGCCTTTTGCTTTCGGTTAAAAAGAGCAAAAAGAATCAAACTTTAATTTTTGGCTACCTCATGAGATTAAGGAAGAGTAGACAATGCTTTCCCTCTTGCTCTTTTCTTCACAGAGTAAAATCTTCACTTCTCTTAGAATTTCTTCCACTCCAGACTAATTGCTGATAATTTAGAGCCTCTTAGAAGTACCCATTTGAGAAAAAAAAATTCTGCTTATTTGTTAAATATCTTTGACTTCTTTATGCTCCCAGTTAGTTTTCGAATATGTCATGATTGATACACTCAACCCTGCCATTGATTATTGCCTGCACATAAGCTTCTTCCTTAAGCAGATTGCTCTTTTTAATTAATTAATTAATGTTTGAAGAGTTGGTTACTCCTCTTAATAATATGCATTGTCTTTCTTTATGCATTTCTAAGTGGATGACTCTTTAGAGTTTAGATTATAGTTTGTATTTGAAATTGCTTGTTTCTTTAGTGGTTAAATATGAATTTGTTTTGCATAAAGGCTTTTCATCTTTTGCAAGGGCTTATGTTTGATATACTTTCAATTGGACTAGAACATTTTTCTATCTCTCACATAGCCACTACTCTCCCAATAGCTCAGAATCCAAACTTCCAATTCATGCATTTTGAATTTCTACTTTCATGCCTATGTGGTCATCTGAGCATTTGATCTGTACAGCCCATTTGAGCGTAATGCCACTGCATAAGAATTGGTATTTGCCTCTCTTAGTTCAATAAAATAAATAGGATAGTCCATTATCAAATTTAAAGAAAGATAGCTTTATGATTTTGGCGGGGGGGAAGTATGTATAGAGCCATTTCTATGATGCAATTATTTTATACAAAGAATTTACTTTGAAATTCAAATGTAGGTTGATGAGGATGAAGTTTACTGGAGATCAGAAAAGGGAAGTGAAGAGTTGGAATGGTCTTACAGTTCCACTCACGTAATTTCTCAGCTAACTCAATGTTTTAGTGAGTAAAGTTTCATATTCTTTTGTCAAAATTCTCTGTCCTGATAATATCCTTAAGTGTTCATAGGTATTATAGCTTTTGATGCTCTTACTCGCCAAGTTATTCTAAATTTTTTGATTTCTCTCCCTTGTCTCAATATATAGAGATTGTAAAAAGAATAGATTTATGATATGAAATAATGAAACTATCCTGAATATGACACGTTCTAAGTTAAAGGCCACATCAATAAGTTTGTATAAGATGAAGATGGGATTCATATAATCTCAGTCATTCCCTTGAATCCTTTACTTATTGATCAGTCTTCTCGTTTTTGTGGTTGTAGCTAATGCTATGATCGGGCCACGAGCATGGTTCGGAGGGATCTTCAATCGCTTAGGCAATAAAAATGAGAAATTTCTTGACAACCCTTTGACTCCTTTTCAGGTGAATGAATATATTAGCAAGCATTTCCCACTTTACATTTAGTCATACTTCCTTTTTTTTTTTTTTTTGAAGCTATGTCACTTTTTAATGAGACTAGAAACAATTTTTGTCTAATCTCTCACAGCTATGCCAACTTACTCCTTCCAAGGAGCTCAAGAATCCCCATATATGCCATTCCAACATCAGCCTACTATGAGCATTTTTGAATTTCTCCTTCATGCAGCATATGTGAGTCCATCTGAGCATTTGATCTTGTACAGACCCAATTATCGCACGCACGTAACTAACTGCATAAGAGATTGGTATTGCTCGCTTCTCAATAGTTCAAGTAAAACTACGATTGGATAGTCCATTAATCAAATTTTAAAAGAGAATTATAGCTCTATATTAATGAGTTCTGACGTGGGGAAGTATGTTATACGAGCATTTCTAATGTATGCAATATTATTAATCAGAGAAGATAATGTATTTGATGTCAAAGGGTAACTAGTAGGGATATATAGATGAGGGTGAAAAGCTCTAAACTCCGGGAGATCACCATATAAAGAAAAGCTCGAATGTTGGTACATCAGCTCATACAATGGTCCATAACACTACGGAAGATAATTCTTCTCTCGTCAGCCAGTGTGGCTGAGTTATTCCATGCTTTTCGGCATATGTAACTGCTATATGTTATTAATGTGAGTAAAAGTTTCTATGTATTTTTGTCAGCACATACTAGTTGTCCTGAATAAGTATGAGTAGCAGGAATTGAGTGTTCATTGTAAAGGTAGTTTACATACAGTCGTTTTGATGAAGCTTTCAATCGCCAAGTTTATTTCTAAGACTATTTTGATTCTCGTCCCACTTGTTCTCAATATATCACGCAGTAACAAATAAAGAAAGATATATTTATGGGATAATGCATAATAATGAAACTATCCTGAATATGACACGTTTCTAAGTTAAAGGCCACATCAACATAAGTTTGTATATCAAGACGAGTGTCGGCGCTGTTGAACTAATTACCATGCTCTTCCCTTGACATCCTCTCACTTATTTGACTTAGTCCGCTCGTCTGTTCGAGGTTGTAGCTATGGCTATGATCGGGCCACGAGGCAATGGTTCGGCAGGGCATCTCCACCGTGCTGCTTTAGGCGGTCAAATATGAAATGAAGAAATTTTCTTGACAACCCTTTGAACTCCTTTTCAAGTGATGAATATATTAGCAAGCATTTTCCCACTTTACATTTAGTCATACTTTACTTTTTTTTTTTTTTTCAGATGAGCTGAACTTTTGTCAATCAATTTATGACTTGTCTGTCTGGCATTATTTGTTTTCACCAGTGAAAAATGTATTGATACACATAAACAAAGTTTTCTATATCCCTTATGAAATATTTCACATTTCACTAAATATATACCGGATATTTAAGATATGTCGAGTTAGATAAAATTATAGAGAAGCTAGAGTGACGCAGCGCACAGTGGGCTAACACCTATGCTCAGCACTGAATACAGGCATTGACAATGGAGTACACCGACAGCATAGATATCTGTGGTAGCTGCACGCAGAGCTGCAGTAACCGCAAAAGACTCTGAATTGCTAGCCTTATATCAGATAAGCATTGCGCAAAGACAAGCTGAAACGAGAGAAAGCAGTAGAGCAAGCTAAGTCTTTGCTGGTAACTAATCTTAACATTTTGAGTTCATAACGCCCAGTAAGATCACGCATGATATAGAATATGAAGTAATATATTGTATACGTGAGAGTTAGATGTGGACATACACTGACTTGAAGCACGATAGATAAATTGGCTGCCTACTAGTGTGTTGTTATGAATGAGAATGTGCTTAAATTGCTTTGATTTTTCATTCTCATCTTCACTATTTTTTTGATGTTCTTGTGATTCTTTATCAAGTAGAAAGACACATATAATAGAAAATTCGAAGAGCAGAGTATGTGTGAGAAAGTTCCTATTTGATTGAGACTCGTCTGATCATCAAGTACGTTTTCTTTGCATATGTACTTTGCTTTATTCATCCAACTGCTTGTATTGGGATTTAACTTCTGAGCAAAATCTATTGCTTAAAAAATTATCTAATCCAATCAGTAGTGAAAAAGAAAAAAATTAAGAATGAACTGATCATCGATGATCCATCCACTCTATAATATAGGCTTGCCAGAATCTTAGCTTGTTATTCAGGAGCAACATGTTTAATGAGCGGAACAAATCTCTTTTAATGTAATCTAATAACTCTACTTTTCTCATATTTCTTTTTGTCTAGACACACTCTTTCTATCATGTTGGAAATTGTGGCCTTTCCAGAATGCTTTCTACTGCGTGAAAAGGCATGATCTCTAACGCAAGGGGAAGGAGGATTGGGATGGCAAGGTGCTAACTTCGTCACTGAACTTTAGTAGAACTTCTGCAGTATCTCGCTCTTTAACAATAAGCTATTAATATCTAGATCATATGGATAAGCTGCATGCCCTTTTACACTATCACTTAGTTACTCAACTGATCAAAACAAGAGTTCAAGTGCGACACACAATCTCAATGAATATGAACTGATATAAATCTCGATTTGTCTATATTCAGCATTTAGTAATTCTAGATATGAAATTCATAAAAAATGAAATTGACTTTTTTGTATGCGAATAGGGCTGTGTATTCATTTCATCTTTATAGTAACTGCGATTTTTTTAGCACAGATATGGATCAATATCAACACGGTAAAGCATAACACTCACTCTCACACTTCACATTGAAGTAATTTAGTGGGCATATGTATTTCTTTTTGTGAGTTTATTTACCAAAATTTCTCTTGTACCATCACTAGTATTACACGCCACTGACTGATAGGCGCCAAATGGTATAAGAAAAGTTGAGGTTAATTAGATTAATTAATCTATTAGTATAATGTCAAATAAGAAAATGAAGGCTTAAATTATCGTAAGGTTTTGTACTAACAGGCGGCACACTTCCAGAGCACAGAGATTTATCACATTGCTGAGTTATGCTGGGCATTAATTGTCATTTATGTGTGAATTTTCATAGAGTACTATTTAAACGATTAACTCTAATCATAGAGCTATTATATACAATTCATTTTATCTCCGCAATAAAGGTCTCCTCAAGAGTTTTCAGCGGGATTCCAGTATATAAAGATTTACTTCTGTATTGAGTTTGGGCTAACTGCGATTTTGAGAGATAGGTTATATTCACAACTATATTACTAGCTACTTTTACGAAAACATCCAAAAAATATATATTCTCTCTCAGATCAATTTCTTAAAGAGAGCTTAACAACAGATATTAATATATGATTTTTTTAGGTTTTTTTTATAGAGAAATAACTAAAAAAATATAATCAGTAACCCAATTAATAATTTTGAAAGAATTTTTTTTCGATTGTTATTTGTGTTAATAATTAAATAAAGATTGTCAATTTTCCTTTCAAAAATTGAATTTTGGAAAAAAAAAAGTAATAATGTCATGCAATATTAATCTAAAGACCACGAATTAAAATTAATTATGCCATCTATCCTCTGCTATAATAAATAATATAATTCTAAAGCCTAAATGCTTACGTGGCAACATGTTACGAATAACTGAAAGTGATGACAATACATTTTAATTTTTTCAATTATAATTAATATAAATCTTTTATATTTAAAATAAAATTAAAATGTTTCTTTATTTAAATAAAATGAAGTTTCTTTTTTTTTTTTTTTTCAAGATGAAGCTGAACTTGCATTCTTATGCTTGTCTGTCTGCATTATTTGTTTTAACCAGTTTGAAAATTTTTTGTCAACAAGTATTTCTTTTTCAATCCCTTAGAAATTAATTTCACATTTCACAAATATAACCGGATTTTAAGATATCATAGAATATTAATAGAAAGTGAGCCAGGCCCAGTGGGATAAACCATGCAGCACTGAGAATCAGGCTTGCAATGCTGCAAAGCTATCTGTGGTAGCTGCAGCCAGGCCTGCAGTAACCGCAAGACTTGCTAGCCTACAGTAGCTGCAAGGCAAGCTGCAGTAACCGCAGCTAAGCTTGCGGTAAATAATATGCTTACAATTTATTTCATCAACGAAGTCATATATAGAAATGAAGAATATAGTTACTGTTTGTTTTGGGAACACACTGCACCATAATTGCTGCCTACAATGGAAGGTTGAATGAGAATGTGCTAAATATGCTTTGATTTTTCATTCTCATCTTCACTATTTTTTGATGTTCTTGTGATTCTTATCAGGAACAAAGACTTAAAAAGCTTCAAGAGCGATTGCAAGTTCCATTTGATGAGACTCGTCCTGATCATCAAGTACGTTTTTCTTTGCAATGTACTTTTGCTTTATTCATCCAATGCTTGTATTGGATTTACTTCTGCAAAATCTATTGGCTAAAAAATTATCTATCCAATCGTGTGAAAAGAAAAATTAAGAATGAACTTTATCATTCTCTCCATTTAATGCTGAATCTTAGCTGTTATTAGGAGATGCCCAGTAACAATGTTAATTCAATTAACTCATTTTCCTTTCTTTTTGTCAGGAAGCTCTTTTATCATTGTGGAATTGTGCCTTTCCAGATGTTACTCTGAAAGGCATGATCTCTAACCAATGGAAGGAGATGGGATGGCAAGGTGCTAATCCGTCAACTGACTTTAGGTAAAGTTCTGAAAATGTCTTTATGTTCTTTTAGTAATTATGGTAAGCTTTCTTTCCTTTCTTCCTGTCTCTAACTGATAAAGAGATTCCAGTGCTCTAGTGTCATGAATGGAACTGTACTGATTTTATTCTGCATTTGTAATTCTGATATGATCATAATGAATTGACTTTTTGTCCTCAGGGGCTGTGGCTTCATTTCTCTTGAAAACTTGCTGTTTTTTGCCAGGACTTATCCGGTATGCCTTCTTGAGACTCTTAAGGATTTATGCAAGTATTTCTTTGTGTTTTTTCCCCTTTCTTCAGAATCTACTTTAATGAATTTCTGATACCAAATTTGCGAAGAAAGTGAGGTAATTAAGATTATTACTAATTGTATGCAAATACAAAATGAAGGTATCTTTTCGTAGGTTATTGTTCAAGCAGGGTGGCAAGCGAGCAACTTGGGAATATCCATTTGCTGTTGCTGGCATTAATGTTTCATTTATGTTGATCCAGATGTTAGATTTACAATCAGGTTTATATACATCTTTATTGCATAAAAGGTCTCCTTCAAGAGATTTTCTTTGTTTAGATTGTAATTGTTGTATACTACTGTCTTTACAGAAAAACCAAAAAATCTTCCAGGAATCAATTTTCTTAAATTACTGGGAGGTAATTGGATAACAATCTAACCCATTGTATCTTGATGTTTCCTTGAACTACTTCAATTAGCTATTATTTTTCTGATAGCTGCACATTTGAAATTTGCAGAAGATGAATCTGCATTTGATGTATTATACTGTTTAGCTTTTGAACTGATGGATGCACAATGGCTTGCCATGCATGCATCTTATATGGAGTTTAACGTATAACCTCTCTCTTTTTCTTGGAAAATTTAACAATCAACAAGGTTGAATCTTTACTCATTTTATGACCTGTAAACTGCTCTTCACATTCTTGCAGGAGGTCTTAAAAGTAACAAGGACACAATTGGAGAGGGAGCTGTCTTTAGACGATGTTCATAGAATAAAAGATTTGCCAGCATATAATCTGTTGTATCAGTAGGGATATTATAGTTGAATTGTCATAAACTCCTTGAATTCCACATCATATCTGCTCCAACTGAGACAATTTTCTACTGCTGGAGAGATCTATTCTGAAGTTTCTGATGTCAAATGCTAATATATGCAAACAATTTTTGGTGATTTATAGTAGAGATTTATACACTTGAACGCTACAATTAATGGGCTTTAAACTTGATAATTTGAAGGAACCTGCTGTCTTCCCTAGTGGCTGTTGCAGCCAAATAATTTGACGGAAGAGACAAGAAACATCTTGTTCTTATTCTTTCTTTCTTTCTTTCACAATTTAATGGACCTCTCGGTAGGATTCCAACTATAAAAAGTTCAAACGGTTTATCAGAATAAAAACAAAGAAGAAACAAATGGATCTTGTAGGATTCCTATGAAATTCTTCGATTTCTTCTGGAAGCAGGTGGTCATTCATCTCCTTCATACTTTCCATGAAGTGGGGACTAAACTAAATTGGAATAGCCTTAATTTAAAAGTTTAGAAAGATAATTATGATTCTTGTAAAAAAATAAAAATTTTGATACGAACAGTAAGTTTTTTTTCTAGAAACCAAATTGTAAAGGTGAAATATATTTTTCTTTTCTTTATATGACAATAAATGACTACAAATTATTAACCATATATGAATGATTTGATACGGAGCGAGAGATTTCGAGTGAGTCGTTTTGACCGTGAAAGTATCCAACTTTCTCCCTTACGAATTAAATATGTTGTGGTGAATGATTACTTGATTATTTACATTGCAAGTAAGTCCACTATGCCAGCTTCTAGAACTCCAAAATTTCACCTGTGCTTACCTACCATTTTGAATTAAAAATTTTCTATTCTATATATATATATATATATGTATATATATATATATAACCACACCATTGATTATTTGACACACAACCCTCTTATCTAATACCCATTTCTCCCATCTCCTCCACTTACAGTAACATCCATTAGTTCAGAAACCTGAAAAAGAAAATGGAAACTCTGCCGGAAGCTCAGGCACTGCTGAAAGGCCAAGCACAGTTATGGCAGCACATGTTTGCTTTTGCAGACTCGATGGCTCTAAAATCTGCTGTGGAGCTACGAATAGCTGACATCATACACTCTCATGGTGGACCTGTCACCTTATCCCAATTATCCTCTTCCATTAACTCACCTTCAAACAATCCTGACATCTCCTACCTCAAACGCATCATGAGATTGCTCGTTCGTCGGAACATCTTCACCGTTGACCTTTCACCGGACGGTAAAGAAACCCTCTACGGGTTGACCAATGTGTCTAGATGGTTAGTTCATGACTCTGACTTGACACTAGCTCCTATGTTAATAATGGAGAACCATCCATCTGCGATGAATCCCTGGCATTTTCTCAGTGAATGTGTGAAAGAAGGTGGGATTGCGTTTCAGAAGGCTAATGGGTATGAGATTTGGGAATTTGCTTCCAGATATCCTGAGTTTAATGTTATGTTCAATAGTGGAATGGCTTGTACTGCTAGAGTAGTGATACGTGCAATTTTAGTAGGGTATAAAGATGGATTTGGTTGCATGGGATCACTGGTTGATGTTGGTGGTGGAACTGGAAATTTAGTAGCTGAGATTGTTAAATCACATCCACACATCAAAGGTATCAACTTTGATTTGCCTCATGTTGTTGATACAGCACCGGTTTATGAAGGTGTGTCTCATGTTGGAGGTGACATGTTTAAGGCCATACCAAATGCTGATGCAGTTATCATGAAGGTAAAAATAGATCACTTATCATTACGGGTATAAACTACGCAAGCGGAGCTCAAATCAACTTGGCTTGATAGAATTTAGTTCAGTTCGAGCTAGGTTTGAAACTCAACTCGAGTTCAGCTTGACGAAGAGATCAAGCTCAACTTGATCTAAATTTTCTCGAAGTTAGGGTGCTTGACTTATTAATTTGTTTATTAATTGTACGCATTTAATTACAACTCTCACCCTTTCATTTTCAAATCATTTTGCAATAAATGACACGATTTTAACATTACTATTTATCGAGTAAGATAAGACCAAAATAAATTACATATTCTACTTAGAAAATTTCAAATCACCCTCTTTAATGCTATAATATGTTAGTTTTTTATTCAAAAATAATAATCTTACACGCAATTCTATACCAAGACTAGTCTTCTTGTTCGTTTATAATATTATCTTGTTGCAGTGGATAATGCATGATTGGGGAGATGACGATTGCGTAAAGATATTGAAGAATTGCCGGAAAGCCATACCGGAGAAGAAAGGGAAGGTTATTATCGTTGATATAGTTTTGAAACCAGAGGGTAATGACCTGTTTGATGATACTGGTTTGGTTTTTGATCTGTTAATGATTGCACATTCTTCTGGTGGAAAGGAAAGAACTGAGGCTGAATGGAAAATATTGTTGGAAGAAGGAGGCTTCCCTCGTTACAATATTATCAAGATTCCAGCTTTAACTTCCATTATTGAGGCCTTTCCTCAGTAAAATTTGTAATTATTAGGTATATCGTCAGTTAATATGTATAACTACGAGAGAGTCGAAAACTTTTATGATGTGAGGTTTAAAGAGGGATTACACATCATGATTTTATAAAAAAGAAAAACTCTGTGAAAAATAAAAGATTTTTTTTTCCTCTATGAATAATTTAACATCGTCATGATGATATACTGACAGCATCAGCATTATACATATACATTCCATTAAAAGCACAAGTTGCAAATTAATAATTAATTATGTTGCTGTCCCAGCACAAGATGAAGTCATGGAGCACATTATTTCAACGACTTTAATTAGTAATTATGGACTTAATTATACATTTATTTGAAAAATTCCATAACCCAAAAGTTACAAACACAAGATTGAAACCTGATGCCACTAAATCCAGAATCAATAGCCAGGGCCAAGAATTCCTGACGAGTCCTTTCTTTCCCTCCAGGGTTTTGAGTCATCATAAACACATCCATTAGATAAGTGTCTCTTGTTGCAGCTGCACTTTTCTCTGCCATTGTTGGAAGAACTGCATCCAAAACTATAACCTTTCCATCTTCTGGAATTGCTTTATAGCAATTCTTCAACAGCATCAAGCAGTGCTCATCACTCCAGTCATGAAGTATCCACTGCATATATATATATATATATATATATATATGCCAAATTTTCAATTTATATATGTAATTTGAAGCACCAACTAATTAATTAAAATCAATTTAGTAGGTAGAGATTTGTTGGCTTGTCCTTTTCAATTGTCACATATCTAAAACCTTTTTAATACTTAATTTATAAAAATATATATATTTTTTCATAATTAATTAACATATACCTTCATAAAAATGGCATCTCCTTCTGGAACGCTTTCAAACATGTCGCCTTCAACGTGATCCACACCTGCAACATATTTTAACTCAAATTCAAATTCAAACTTATTTTATAACAAGGGCAGGTTTAATTCTCTTAAATCGTAGAGCTTAAACCTTTTTTATCATCCTAGTAAAATGTGTTTCCGGATATCGTTAGCCTAAAATTATCAAGAATTGAATCTGACTTTTCAAAAGGAAGAAAAAGATGAATGTTGAACATAAGTAGTATGAACTATTAATACCAGGATAAGGCAAAGCGTGCTGGATGACACGAGGCAAATCAAAATTGATACCCTTAATCTGAGTGTATTTTGAAGTGATCATATGAAGGGTAACTCCAAGCCCACCACCAACATCAACCAACTGATTCAGATTATCAAAACCCTTATAGGATTCCAACATTTTGTTTATGACAATCGTCGTGTGATTAATCATTCCTGTGTTGAAAACCTTATTGAACCTGGGATCAGTCGCAGGATAATCAAAAGCATGCATTCCATGGACCTTGTTGAATGGAATTCCTCCTTCAAGAATTGCATCCTTCACTGAAGGCCTATGAATTTTGAACAAGAAATACTAGTAAAAACTAGATAACCTTCAAAAGAATTAACAAGGCAAATAAATTACCAGCTCTCCATATAGACTTTGTCCTGATTTAAGATCATGAAAGGTCCTAGTGAGACTCCATCTTTATTCTTGACAAAGTACTTAGAAGCAGAAATCAAATGGTAGAGTCTTTGTTGGGTATTTGAGGCCAAAGAGCAGCCAAGAACAGAATTGCTAGCCAAAAGCCTGAGGATTCTATCGAGCATGGAAGGTGCACTGGGGTTCGAGGCAGACAATTGGGCTGCAATATCAGAAGCTGAGAGTTTAGCATCAGGACCAGCTTTGGCTATAATGTCAAAAATGCCAAGCTCTATTGCTGTTTGCATGACCATAGGCAGAACTATCCCCATGGAAATTTGTACAGCATATGAAAAGCTTTCTTCCTCATCTAAATCATCATCATTTGCACTAGGTTTTTGGTAAGCCATTTCTGCAGGAGAAGACATGTTCTTTAATTTTTAACCAAGATAAATCAGGAAAAAAATCAAGAGATATCTCTTTTATTTATTTACTTTTCCATTTAAAATAGCTAACAATTAAGGGGGTTTTGTTTGTTTTATATGTCTTGTCACTTAGATGTTGATCAGTGGAGCCTAAGATGCTAGCTAAAGATAAAAATGCCGGCGAGAAGAAGATGCCTAGCCAATTATTGTGATTAAAAAATTTACAATTATTGTGAAATTGAAAGAATCGAGATGACCTTTCATCACTACTTTTTATCATACTACTGTTAATAGATTCTTATATTGAGTGAGCAGGTTTCTTGTCCCTTATTATAAATATTTAACTAGAAGTGTAAATTAATTAAGGGAAAATTATTATTTAGTCCCTCGATTTTACATAATTATCCAACTAATCTCAAGTTTTGCGCAAATATCTAACTAGTCCCTCAGATTTAACTCCGTCTAATTAAAAGGTCCTTCCGTCCTAGAATGTAAATTAATAAGGGAAGAATATTATTTAGTCCTCGATTTTACATAATATACAACCTAATCTCAAGTTTTGCGCAAATATTAACTAGTCCCTCAGATTAACTCAGTCTAATTAAAAAGGTCCTTCACGTACGAAAAATTGATTTTTTGCCGTTAATGGAGACTAAAGATAAAACCACCTCCTAGCACGTGGACCAGTATGACCTTCCAAGCGAGGGAAACGAAAGGTCAGACTGCTATTCTCCCAACTCTCTCACGCAAAAACGTCTTCATCTCCAGTGGAAGTATTGAAAAATTTTTGTAGAAAATGATGTTTATTGACGAAACGAAATGAGTGGTCGTAGCATGTAGTGCTTCGTTTGCGTGGAATCACAGTCTTAAAGTTTCGTTTTGAGGTAAATACCACATACTCAGACCCACTTTATTTTTTGCTTAAAAAAAATTGAAAATCAATATTATTGAGGATGTTTATGATGATGATTTTTGGTATATTGAAATGCTTAAGCATCGTAAGTACAGATCCACCAGATTTTTTTTTTGACTCAGTTGGGTTTCCGTATCTGTGAGGCAAGAAAACACCAGTCCCTGCACATTCTTTTTTAACACCAGTCCCTGCACATTCTTTTTTAACACCAGATCCACCAAGAAAAACTGCTCTCATGCCGGAATTAGTACCGGATTGTTGCTGTTGTTGTTGATGGTGGTTCTGCTTTTGAAGAGAAGGCCAAGCAGACTGAGGTAGAGCTAGATGGTGGTTCTGCTTTTGAAGAGAAGGCCAAGCAGACTGAGGTAGAGCTAGTGGATGCGCGCATCTTCCATGTTCGCAGCAAACTCCTCTGTTTCTGTTCTGCATCTGCTGTTGCTGGTGGTGGTGCTGAGGTTGAAGGAGGGGTGTTTTAGTCTTTTAGTCTTCAATTAACGAAAAAAAACCAATTTTTCGGACGGAATGACCTTTTAATTAGACTGAGTTAAACCTGAGGGACAAGTTAGATATTTGTGCAAAACTTGATATTAGTTGGATAATTATGTAAAATCTGAGGGACTAAATAATAATTTTCCCATTTTACATTATGTATTATGTTGAGGCTGAGCACATTTCTTTTTCTTTTTTCAATTTCTATTGGTCAAAGTTTTTGATCTCTTGCCAACAATGATCAACCGAATAACAGGAAATCTATCACATTTAAATGGACTATGTATATGTAAGAACTCTCGCGCCAGAGCTCGGGGCTTAAAGTAGCCGGCTTGAGTTTGCTTTGAGCTAAATCTTTTTGAACTTTCTTTTGAATTGATTCAGTTCATTTACACCCTTAAATATAATTACAAAGTGATTTTTAATTTTGTAACCCTAAACTCTCATATATATTATAAAGAAATATTATATTTGAAGGCTTAACGGTATATATTTTCAATTTTTGTAGGGATACGTTTTAATATTTCAAAATAAACTTTAATAATATTGCTAATATACATATATAGTACAAAAGTGGTTTATCATGAAAATACAATAATCGTCAGTTACATAATTAATTTATTGGCTATAAGTAACCATTGCACCTATAATTATCTCTCATCTCACAAAGATTAGTGCGACTGTGTGTGAGAGAGAGAGTTAATTATGATGGGATCAGTAGATTTAGAGTCTGAAACATTGCTAAGAGGCCAAAAGGAAATATGGCAGCTCTTGTTTGGGTTTGCGGACTCTATGGTATTGAAAGCTGCTGTTGAGCTTGGCATTCCTGACATTATACACTCTCATGCCCGTCCAATCTCATTGTCCCAAATAGCTTCAGGTACATATATCTAATGTTGCCTATGAACACAAGAACTATATTTATGAACGTTGTTCTTTGTTTGGCTTTTATTTACTTTCAGGTATTGACTCATCTAGTCCTGACATAGCCTGTCTTGAACGTATCATGAGATATCTAGTACGTAAAGACATCTTCACAGCCCATCATGATCTTCCATCAGAAGAATCAGACGGTGGTGGAGAGATTCTGTATGGACTGACCCGCAAATCAAGATGGCTGTTACGTGACACCGAGTTAACCCTTAATCCAATGGTGATAATGGAAAACCATCCATGGCAGCAAAAACCTTGGCATTACTTAAGCCAATGCGTAAAAGAAGGTGGGATTGCTTTTAAAAAAGCTCATGGCTGTGAAATGTGGGATTTTGCATCTAAAAATCCTGAATTCAATAGGGTTTTCAACGAGGGGTTGGCTTGCACAGCAAAAATAGTGATGAGAGCGGTCTTATCAGGATATAAAGATGGGTTTGAAGGTATTAGAACATTGGTGGATGTAGGAGGAGGCACTGGAGGTAATTTGGCTGAGATTGTTAAAGTCTATCCACATATTAAAGGTATAAACTTTGATTTACCACATGTAGTGGCTACTGCTACTGCTTTTGATGGTGTCTCTCATGTTGGTGGCAACATGTTTGAACAAATTCCTGTTGCTGATGTTGTTTTCATGAAGGTACGCATATAAAGTTAAGAATATTTCATGCAATTCCGTTAAACAAGCAATAATAATGTTTGGACTAATTGGAAAGGATTCGAGTCCTTAAATACGAGTTTCCAGTGTTAAATCTTTATGGATTGAGAAAATCTTGGCTGGAGTCCTTCGAGTTTAAAGACCTGACACGACACGAATAAGATTAGATTCAGTCCAGTGGATTGAGTATACATATGGTTTAACACCAAATAGCGATCATAACATTGTATTGACTTTTTTTTTTTTTTTTTTTTTTTTTTTTTTTTTTTTTTTTTTTTTTTTTTGGTGGTTTGTGTTCTTTCAGTGGATATTGCATGACTGGGGTGATGAATATTGTGCGAAGATTTTGAGGAACTGCAGAAAAGCAATAAGTGAGAAAAATGGAAAGCTGGTGTTAGTGGAAATAATTGTAAAAGAAGATGGAAACAAGAATGAATTTGGAGATATGGGAATGGTATTTGATCTCCTTATGCTGGCACACACCACAGGAGGCAAAGAGAGAACTGAAATTCAATGGAAGAAATTATTGGAGGAAGGAGGTTTCCCTCGCTATAACATCATCAATATTCCAGCTTTACCCTCTATAATTGAAGCCTTTCCACTCTAATTTTCTTTCTTTTTTTATTATTAATTGTATGCCTAATATTGATGGTTTGGTTTGTTTCCTCCTTTTTTTTTTGCTTTTATTTGAATTTCCGATACTATTTTTTCGGGTTTTTTCACTTAGCATTTCGAGTTCCAAGCATTATGCTAAGTTTTTACTGGCTTTCTTTCTATAATATATTTCTATTTTCTAAATAAAAAATAAAAATAAAAGTATGTTATTTTTGTATTATTTTTTACTTTTTACCCCTGAATTTTAGATTAAAAATTAATTTATACACGGTTGCTATGCTTTATATTTAATGGCCCATTTATGGATTTTGCTGTTGAGCCCAAATCCAAAACTCAAAACCCAATAACAAATGGGCAAAAGAACTAGCCCAAGTTAAAGCTTTTCCCTTTTTTTTTTTTTTTTTTATTTTTTTAACAAAAGGAGAGAGAGGAATAAGCCTTCAAAAACAAATTTTGAGTAAGCTACTCCACTAATATCATGAATTTTAAAAATTTGGAGAAATTACACGGAGGACATGATTGATTCTTTACTAAAAGATCCAACGGCCTTAAATGACCTAAAGAGTTTATTTCTTTAAAAGGTAAATTCTTTAAAAGATTGTTACAAAATATTTACCATATGAAGCATTAAGTGGTAATGTAAAAGTATAGCCTTACCTTATTCTTATCATAAACCTATAATTGGCAGCTAAACCTTATAAGGGGTTAAATGAATGGAGAATGCCAAAATGAAGTTTTTACCTAAAAATGATTTTGCTTAACAACTTCACATACATGCTCTTCAAGGCTATAAGAATATAATATTCGTATTCCTCGATAAATATTAAATAGATTGTATTATTTAAATTTATTAAAACTAAAAAATACCATTAAACTGGACAGAAATAAAGAATAATTTTAGAAATTTTTAGATCACAGGATTCAGTATTAACCATTAGATTAAGATGTTTTTTATAAAACTTATTCTAATTAGAAAATAAAAATAATATCTTCAACCTTTTTTAGATATGTTCCATTTATATAAACATTGGATCTAACTTTTTACACTATTGCTATGCCTAATCAAGCACACAAACTATATATATATATATATATAAGATAGATAGGCATTGGCCCATTGGTATGATAAGTGGCAAGTTGTTGTCAAACCAAAGTGGGAGTTGTGAAATTTATGAAATGTGACCCATTTGCTCTCAATTGTCAAGTGTAGTTTGAAGTGGCATACAACTCACACCCTCTTCAAATTAAATAAAGAGGGGGGCAATTTAGTAATTTAATAATAGTAGTTTTCTCATTTTATTTATAAATATGGTTGGAGGTTGCACTTTGGGGGTCAAATGATATTTGCTTGTGATGTAATAAAATACGTGTATCTGTCTCAAAATATGAGTCGTTTTAAATATTTTAATAAATAATACACGATGGTTTTCAATATTATTTTTATATATTAAATATAAGTTTTTTTTTTTTGAATTACGGATAATTTGATTAAATTATTTTTAATTTTTTATAATTTAAAAAAATTAATTATTTTTTTAACACTCTATAAAAATTTTACATAATTTATATTGTGAGACAAGTAAGCATAAAGTATAAGTCTTGTGGGGACCAATGTGAAAGTGGATAACATTGTTGATTGCACCTACGAAAATTTCATAAGAGGACTCATAGTCAATGAAACTGAAAAATAAAACACTTGTTTTCAAAACCACAAGCAGTGACATGTGCTATGCCACGTGTTTGATTTTCCTGACATCTGTGTGTATCCTTGTACATTAGTTTAGGATTGATGTACCTACTACTAAATTCCACCTCAAGTCTTTCTTGTTGTGTTTTTTAGTCCAAGTTAATAAAAGCAAAGTTAGATTCTTATAAAAGATCTAACTCCAATCCAATTCTTGGAATTGAAAAATACAACTTACTAATTAATTGATTATCAATAATTTAATCTAATAGCATATGTTGTCTAACCCTAATGCTAAGAGTGATATCCTAATAAATATAGAATGATTGAATTTTAGATATGTTCGGTAAAATTAGCATTTCATTATAATATTATTAGAAACGTTACGCTGTTGAATACAGTAAATGATAAAAATAATTAAAATGTTAAACGCCATATGAAAAATTGTTGCCAGATTAACTTATATAAATTTTGAGGTAAATCAAATGAAGAATTCTTTTAATGATAATAAGTAAAAAGATGGGTTTAGTTTAAGTAGAAGATTAGAGAACAACTAAAATTAGAATGAAGTGATCTAGAAATATCCTTAAAGTAAATATATTAGCCCTAATTTGGCAAATTGAGTTGTTGTATTTAAAAGAAAAGTTTGAAATGTGAGTAAAGATGTTGATTCATCCTACATTAATGCATGGATATCAGGGAAAAAGTATAGAAAGGGGTGAAAATTAGGAAGCGTGAATGGTGTTAATTCTTGGTCATTAGACGCCTAATAAGGTGCCTTGATGGAATGGAAAATGTTATATTTAAAATTTTCTTGCCTTTTAAAAGATAGTTTAAATCTGTCACCCTCGAAGTTCGATAAGATAGAATTTTATTCGGCTCGAAACCCAATGAGTCTATAAAATCTCACAAAGATAGTTCAAATTTGACACGGTCGAAGCTCGACCGGATAGAATTTAGGATGACTGGAAACCCAATGAGTCTGAAATTGGTTCTTGCACAAGTGAAAAACAGAATTATAGTGGGATTTTACTTGCATAGTGCATACCTAACTCAAAAAACAGGAGGCAGCATCCACTAGTTAATGCAAGCAAAAAACAATGGCCAACCTGTGAAACAACACTGAGAAAAGTTTAATTTCCCAAATACTTTTGTTTAGCTTTATCAGTTTCTATAGGCTATAAGCCTGCAATTTAAGGAAGGGAATCAAATCAAGTAGGTCTAATCTAATAGAAAGTTATTTTTTGAAGTCAAGAGTTTAGAAATTGCAAAAACTTCAACAGTTTCCTCATTTTCCAGTGTTTCCTCATTATAGTCAAGAGAAAAATTTACATAATCAAGAAAAGTTGCAAAGTTGGAAAAGGAGCATATTTCTTTCTCTCAGACTTCATCCATCACTTTACATATAAAGGAAGGCCCCATTAAAAAAAAAAAAAAAAAAAAAAAAAAAAAAAAAAAAAACACTTTACATATAAAGGAAAGGCCCCATTAAAAAAAAAAAAAAAAAAAAAAAAAAAAAAAAAAAAAAAAAAAGGGAAAAAGAGGGATCAACCATCTCACATACATGCCCCTCTTTGATGATCAAACCTCATAAATACAAAGGATTAGCACTAAATTAAGCTTGCAAACGAAGCGAAGCTTGATAACGACCAAGAACTGACTGTAATCCTGACACGCAAGACCTCCCTTTCCATTCTTACTCAGGCAGAGAACCAAAATTCCAACAAAAAGGAGGATTTCAGTGATGAATTCTATTCATGGGTTCTCAAAAGTGCAATTTTTAAAAGTATCGGTTTTAGCCATGCCGAATACCCATGAAGTAGTTGAAGTCATGGTGCTGGACCCTCAGTTGCTTTAGCCACGAATCTGCCACACTAAAGAGTGACACTAGCCTTTCTTGGTCCCTGCCACAGTGGCCTGAGATCCATACATTTCCTTGCATTTTGTAAGTGGCCAAACCGAATGGGGGAAGGGATATGCTTTCCCCTTCCTTTCGCTTCCTTTCTGGACTCTCAATATCATCATCTAGGTCCATATCTGGATATGTAGAAAAAAATTAACCCAGCAACCAAAAATTTACAGTATATCAGCAAATCTTGTTTGCAGATATACCTGTCTAAGCATATATACTGATAAAGGCGAAAAAGGAAGAGAATATAAGTAAAGTTCATCAAATTGCACCTTGGAAAGATGATGACAGGGTGTGGTATGTAAGAAAGCATGTGGACAAGTCCTTAATGGTTCTTCCCATGGGAATGTGATAAATTGGATACCTGAATATAATTCACAACAAATCATTTCTTGTTACTACACATACAATTTTCTTCTGAGTTACTATGAAGATGCATGTGTTCGTGAAAATAGATAAAATCATTTATTAGCCTATGTTCAAGGTTATAAAGTATCTGTTCTAATCCGAATTAAATAGCAGAATCGAAATGCAACGCATCAAACGCGGAATGTCTGCTTTTCTATATAGTATATAGTGATTTTTGTTTGATTATTTGTCGTGTAGTGTAGTGCGAGAACGTGTAAGCCAATAAGAGGAAGAAAGAAAGAGAGAGAGACCATGCAACAGCCATCCAACTAGCCGGAGAAAGATCCACGCTTCGCAACGACATCAAGCCCTGGAATCTTTGAGCCAATCCATTAATCTGAAAGCAGAATGCCCAAAAGGTGTCAATGGAATCACATTACTTTAATATTATGAAAGGGACAGGAGGAATTTGTTATATAAATGGTCATAATCGATCTGGACTTTAAAATTCATAATGTTGAATGTTATCAAGGATTCTTTCTTCCAAGCAACAGTAAAAGTTAAAAAAGACAATATCAGATCAAAGGCAAGAACATATGCTCATGAAAACATTATAGTGAACTACCTAATGGGACAAAAGATGAATCTAATATTATTATTTTATATGAAATGCAAACAAATTAAATGCATAAATTTTTGAAGTAATGGAGAGAAAAAGCATGTAGTTTCCTTGTTCATAAGTCAAAAGTTTCATTCATCTTTATCAGTTATCAGATGCCTATTAGGAAAAGGATTTCAAATGATTCTTAACACATCAATAAAAGTTTTATTCAATCTCATCGCTCCATCATTTTTATGACCTGTCACTGTCTTAGGAGAACAGGGCAGACAAATATCTATTGCAAGTGAAGAACATCAAATTAACAAACAACAAGAAATTAACAGTAAAAGGAAAAATTACTTGAATGAACAAGCAAAAGTACCTTATCCATCAATGGAACTCTTCCATACGGAGTTGATCTCTCAAAATACTGAAAATATAAGTTACCCAATCTATCATTGAGACGCCAAAGATTGTCTTGTTCGAATCCGCCTTCCTCTGAAGAGCATCCATCCCACCTCCACAATTTGTCACTCTCACTCTCATCACTGCATGAATCGCTAAACGAATCCCTCGTCTCACCATCACCAGACTCAATCTCTTCCCTAATCAAAACCAATCCAAATCATTTCAAAAGGTTACATTTTTACAGAAAAAGATATGTCAACTTTAGGTGAACCCTCAAATCGAACGTGTATATTGCAAAATTTCAACAATTCAATCATAAATTAAGTCTAAACTACAAATGAACATCAATGGAACACAATCTATAGAAAAAGACAAAAAAATTGATAACTTATTCATCTGGGTTTCAAAACCATCAACAAAATTATGAGAATCAAGGTAAAAAGAGGAATTACAAGTGCAAAAACTGGGAAGGCTATACCTGAAACCGTTAACAGAGGAATTGCTAGTGAAAATCTGAATAGCAGAGAGATAAGGCACATAATACTGGACCAAGGTTTCTCCATTGTTCAAGACAATAGGAACTCCAGCCCCATAAGCACTCCATTCATCGTAACAATTCCATAGATCACCCAATGTAAAATACTCAACCGTGTCTCTCTCCCATGGGTGCCACAGACGGTTTAAGTTTCTAATCTCAGTCTGCAATCAAAAACATAACAGAACATAATACAAGAAATGAAGTCAAATTTTGAGAATTTCATTAGGAATGAAGAGGGGGAAAAAAAGAGAGAAACGAACCTTGGGGAGGAATTGGGATGGGACTAATGGAGTTGTGCAATGAAGGAAGCAGTCGAGGTTTGATTGCGTTGACCCCTTGTCAAAAATCATGGTTTCGAGGAGAAAGAGATAGAGAGCTGGAAAAGAGAGGAGAGAAATTTAGTTTCTCCCCCAACCCAGAAAAGAAAAAACAGAGGAAGGTCAAGAAAATAGAGGAGAAAACAAAAGGAGAAGGGTTAGACACACACAGAGAGAGAATGAGAGAGAGAGAGAGAGAGAGAAATTGTCGGGATTTGATTTCCTTTTTAGAGATAGATAGAAAGAGTGACGAGGAGAAACAGAAATGCAAGAGAATTCTATTTTTTGACGTTTGGACAGCTAAATATAAAAATAACTCAAAAATATCTCTCTTTTCTCTCTCTTTCTTTTCTTCTGTTTCAAGAGAAAGTCCTGAGTGGTAAATGGCAATGTTGTCAAAATCCACAGCCACCGGAGACTCCAGTTTCCGGCTTCATTTTCGTTTCGGAAAGTCTAAAGAAACATTCAAAGATAAAGCAATTGCTTTAATTGGGATGTTCTGTTTCTTGTACTCTGTTTCTGCATTTGCTTTAAACTTAAAGAAAACTCAATATCCTCAACACTATTTTTCAATATTCAAGAAAAAAACTACTCCTGAGACACCGCAAAATTCAACGTTAATTCTTCAAGTTAAATCAAAAACCCACCTTAAAACAAGGGAGACAAAAAAAATACAAGAAAGGAGGGGCTAAGAAAATCCAGGAAAATAAGGACAACGATGGAAAAAGTTTCTGTTTTTAACACATTCAAGATAATCACATACTTTCTTTTCAACAGAAACCCATTTTTCATGTGCTTAAGATCAGATTGTTAGCAGAATTACAACTAGCGTGAGAATAGAGATTATAATTTTTCTTTCTTACGGAAAATAATAAAAAGGAATCAACTTTCCCGGAAAAAGAAAAGCAGAGCTAATTTCAAGAAACATACAAACCTCCAAAGAAGCAAATAGGGTGCGAGTTTATCCGATTACAACTTAAACAAAGGTTTTGGTTTGCAGAAAGAACTATATTTTAGAGAGAGAGAGAAAAATATTGATACCCACGCAAATTATTAACGCATCCAAGCGCTTGATTTATCATTTAATGGGACTCGTCTCTCTCTATCCATGTCTATGAAAGTTACGATTTTTTTTTTTTTTCTTTTTTATATTATTTTTAATCCATGAGGTGGATTTAAATCTATACTGGGTCCATATGACTTTTGTGGCAACTAGTATAAGATCTTTGAATCTTTCAATTTCTTAAAAATATAGATATATATTTATTGCAACATCAATCTTTGAAAATTTAAAATAACTATTAAAACGAATTTCCACATACATATTTGAGATTTATTTCTTTAATTTCTTTTTTTCACTAATAATCTCGTTTTGATATTTATCAACATGTTTGATTTAGTTATTTATATCCGTTGATAGCGACTAATTAATATTTAAGATTTTAAAAAATATCACTGTTGAAAACTCACCTGTATCTTCTAATTTATCTAACTGTAGTCCAAATTTATATAAATTTGCATTTATCCTAAATTTATTAAAAATTGACTGTGATTAAAGTCTTTATTAATGGAACCTTTATTTAAAACTTGAAATAGTAATAAATAATAGTAGGTAGGATAATATTTAATTTTCAAAAACCTCAATTTTGTGAAAAAAAATTAAATTTTATTTTTGAACTTTAAGTCAACTCATTAGAAGAAATTAGTTTTTATACCTGAAAAATAAGGAATTAGTTTGAATTTCTTGGCAAAATTAGTTGTTAGCTTTAAATAAACCAACAAAACGACAGCGTAGAATTAAGGATATAGTTGTAAAACTATTATTTTGTTTATTCGTTTTATTTTAATAATAATAATAATAGTGTGGTATTCTACTATTCTGTCGGTAGTTGAGAGAGATGAAACCGCGTGAACGTAACAGTCTAATATACTTAAAAACGACAGCGTAGAATGAAGGATGTCATGTCTGCAAAATCTGACTCCTCTTTTTTATTTATTCCTGAGCTCCAACCTCAAACTTGTTTGTTCCTAAAAAATTAATTTATAATTAATAAACATAATACATATAAAAAATATATATTATTTTAACTATAAATTTATTATAATAAATATAAATATAATCCAGTATTTTAGGTCTTAAAATTGACAATGGGTAACTGTGTGCACTGTAGGCTGTAGAAACCGAATCAAAACAAACAGAGATGACAGACAAGAAATGATAGAGGAGAAAGTAACACGTGGATTATCAGAATGGCATGGCAATGGGATAGAGAAAGAAAGAACAAGGTTGTGGGGCCCCGCTGTTTGACTATTTCTTTGTTTGCCTACGTGTACTCTCCTTCATTAATCAACACTTATTATCCAAAATTAATGGTTAGATTAGGGCATAGATCCATCCATAGATTAGGTACAATCTGATTGACGGCGGTTTACAAAAAATATAAAAAATAAATTTAAGTAGTATCGAACACAATATTATTATTTCGATTCATAATATCTTATCTAAAAAATTTAAAATCGAAATTTTTCACTTTTTAAACTAGTAAGTTGATCAACTAAACTACATTTGACAGTAAATCTCGTATAATATTTTAGAAAATGACTATTATTATAGATTAGTGATACAAAATTATTAATTCTTGGACCACCCTTTAGACTTTAGTGGGTAATCTAAAACTGTAAAGTGCAAAAATTATCAAAATCTCTCAAAGTCATTTTCATTTAAATTTTTTATTTTGAAAATTTATCCCTATAAAAATTATAATTTTCTCATCTCAATTAATTATTAATTCTTGGACCACCCTTTTATGCGGATACAAACCATAAAAGGGAAAATAAAAAACTTATATAGAAAATACGTGTATAAATCAAAAAATAAAAAGAAAATAAAATTGGAACTCTTATCTTTTTTTAGTTGCATACGTGTAATTTGATATATGTTAGTTTTGTAATTATGGAATGTGATTCAACTTGTTTAGATAAAGGTTTGATTTTTAGTATGTGTTACATTTTGGTATGCTGTGGATAAGCATGCTCAAAGGGTAATAAATTCAAATTAAATGTTTGAAAATTAAAATCGACTTAACTAAAATAGACGTCAAAATCGAATTATTGATAATCAGCTTAATTGGTTTTTTTGTATACTTTTTCCGTTTCAATTTTGTCTTGAACTAACTTTTTGATCCTTTTGAAATCGACAATTAAATGAAGAAAACTCCAATTATCTATTTAAATTAAAAACCAAACATTATTGTGAGAAAAATCGATCAAACTAAATTAATTTAATTTAGTGAGTTCAAATCGAAGTCTACTCAACCTTATTTGTGGGGTATTTGGTAACATTTTGGTTCTAAAAGGAAAAGAAAAAAATCCTAATTACAAACTATGTTTAACACTAATTAATAAGAAGATGACATAATTAAACTTGTAAATTATTAACAAAAAGAGATTTTTTTTTATTAAAGAAATATAATTTAAGGCCATAAGAAAATTTTGCGGTGAGAAAAAAAGAAAGTGACAGCAGCAACCTAAATGGAAACGCATAACACATTTTCATACCGTGAAATTTTCTTTTCTGAGCCCTACAAATAAAACAATTGTAGGGCAGCAGTACATGATATTATATCTCTGCCTGTGGTCGTATTATTTTTGTCCCATACTAAAATCCAAATTTATGAATACTGTTCAAATATAAATATATTTAATAATATTATAATAATAATTTTTTTTTTAAAAATTTGACCCCACCACTTAAAGAGATTTATGTAAGTTGTTGCTTGTTATAGATACAGAGTACTGTTGGTGGGTTCTTTGTTTGACAATTATAAGGTCACAACACTTGAAAAGGATTATCAATTGTGCACGTGCCACTTATTGCTATTACACCTTTTATCTTTTGTGTTCTTACGTGCCCAATCCACTTATGCTCTATTGAATTCGAATTTAATTTAGTTTTAATTTAAAATTAGTTGTTTAGCATCGGTTAATTAACTGTTTACCGTTTCTTTAAATAGTATTCCGCCCATTTTTTTTTTACAGGCACAATTAATTTTTCATCGAAATTAAAAAAGTAATTTAACTATTTTTTTTTTCTAATTTACTCGTAATATATCAATCAACAAATGGAATGTTGGAGAGATACAATAGTGGCATTTGTACGGCCTCTTTGGTGGCTCCCTAAAAATGGTTGTAGCAGCTAGAATAATAAGATAAAGAGCATTTATATAATTATAATTATGTCATATCAAGAGCTAATCGGGCCCCCAAAAAAAAAAAAAAGTGGAATTCAATTCCTCACTCAGCAAATCTAATTAAAATAATTAAATAAATATATATACCGAAATATCATATCATATCTAATAATTCACGGTGCTTTTATGCAACAGGTACCAAATTATAAATATAATAATATAAGTTAAGTATTAAAAACAAAAATATTAGGCACATCGAGGGTAAGATGAGTTAGGATGGCAAAGATCCATTCTCTCTGAAGCAGAGATTTTGAGTTTGAACATTAAATATAGACTCTCTTTAAACACTTGGGAGAGAGCGCTTTCATCCCTTTGTGGGCTTACCCTTTGAGCTAGCGGTGTTTCGGCCTTTAATAAGTCGACTTCGTGCAAATAAGAGTATAAGCGAGTCAAGCTGAGCTCAAATCTACCAGGCTCAAAACTCAGCTCGAATTTCAATGAATCTGAAAGTTTTAGGCTCGAGCCCGATTTCAGGCTCAAGTTCAATTTAAGAAAATTTGAGCTCGGGCTCGACTCAAGGCTTGAGACTCAAATAAATATAAAATATATGTGTATATAAAAACTCAACGAGTTTTAAAATTGACCATTACTAGACTTGAGTATAGCTCTTTTATTAAACGAGTCAACTCAATTTTAATTTGAGCTGAATTTTTTTAAACTTTTTTCGAATAAAGTTCGAACAGTTTGCAAGAAGACTCAATTCATTTACACCCCTAAACGTGAACTAATTTAGTTATAAGTTCTATCGTGGTGGAGCTGGAGATACACGTATGGTTAATAAAAGAAAAAACAAATATTAGGTAAATGCTAATGATACTAGTGGCCATTTTTGATTTGTTCATAGCATCAAATCTTTGTAATTTAAACCTTATAACAAATGATAATAGAAAATTTATTTCAAAAAAGTATAAATTTAAACCAAGATTAGGGCATTACAAGTGGGGAAGTCTCTTCATTATTGCATTAATTAAGTAGTTGGGTATATTTAGCAATCGCATGAAAAGAAGCATATGCCCAACTGTTTTTCGGTTGGGAGCCAACTCCCATCTGTCCCTTATGCATCCATCCACTCAAATTTATCCACGTCATATATTCATAAAATGTTTAATAAGCACCGTCAAGTCTTTTCTTCCTTCTTTTATTTCAATAATAAAAATATTTAAAGAAGATTAAAACAGTTAAAAAATAACATTTCATAAATTAATTTTATTATTCCAAAATTGATACATTAAGAGGATATTAAGTGGGCAAATATTTAATTATAATTTATTATATTTATATATAAAGGCACAGTCTAGTAATAAGTATATATATTGTCTGACAATAAATTCAGATTCAAATTCTCTCTCTTTCAATAATAAAAAGAAAAATTATAATAAACCTTATTTTTTTCTAAAATAATAATAATAATAATAATAATCTTTGATCAAGCCCCAAAACTTAACGGGACCATTATCATCGATAGAAAATTCCAAAATGATTGGCCTGGTTCAGATTTCGCCATTGATGGTCCGAACAAGCTAAATCAAACCTTATCCAAATTTCTATTTACCTCGTTTTAAATTTCTTTACTAAGTGGTCCAAAAATGGAAAACACCAGAATTAAAGTAAGAATACATGTTTATCTTTAATTTTTAATTTTCATTAATCGAAACCCTAATTAGGCATGTGGGTTTAGCAACTGAGGCACATTAATTGAATCCCTAATTTTGGCTGGGGTCCTCAATAAATAAATTGCTTATTCCAATACTAGTAGTAGTAGATACCTTTCACATTTCCCTAACCTAATTTTATGAGCTACCTACCTTTTTTTTATAGAAAAATGCAATTTATCAAAACTCATTGGCCAACTTATAAAATATTTTTTTAGCAAAGATCTTGTGGCCATATTAATTCTTAATTTGATGATTATAATTAATTGATTAATTAAACCATTTTTAATGTAATCATCATAATTATCCTTATCCATGTATTTATCCACGTGATATTTCAAACATAATTAATATATATCTTGGTATTAAGAGTCAGTGAATCTAATTTCAAGTCAACGAGCTCATCCACATATAGTGTATAGACTTACTCGCACGTTATACAGGATTATTCAGTATAAATAAAATATTATTATCTAAAAATATAAAACATTTTGAGCAATTTAACGAGTAATAAATATTTTTTTTTTTTGAGAGGGAGCAAATGACTATAAAGTTGATGTATAAATGTCTGCTACGCCACGTGTAAGCAAGTATTTTCCACTCTTGTTGATCCCATTGTTTTGTGCCATAGTTATCGCTAAGACAAATCCTTGAAGCACGGGAGCGTGTCGAAGATGGTAAGATGACGAGTCTTCACTTCTAGGAGTTTCTACCCATGCTTATCCTATCCATCATCATTTGTACTTGCTCTCGTGGCTTAGGCAAAATCAAATCATGATTGAGATGGCTCATGGACCTATTTATGGGCTTTAAATTTGGATCAAGCCCTCAATTCGTTTGTTGAAAAATCCACATGGATTTCCAATTTGGTCCATGTCAAGTCCAATGGACACTTTTTTAGGTCCAAACAACTCATTTAGAAGAAATTGTAAACCTTTCTATTGGCTCAAATCCAATATAAAAATTGGAAATTTGCTATTCATGTCCTTCCTTTTCCCATATTTTATCTTAATCACTCATTTACTCATATCTAGGGGGTCTGAACAAGTTAAACCGAGCTAGAACTTGCCAGACTAGAAGCTTAAAACTTGAGCTCGGCTTGAAACTCAATGAGTTTGAAAATTTTAGAGTTCATCTCAACTCAAATTTGACAAGCTAGGTTATATATACAAGTTGGACGAGTTTTCGAACTGAACATCATTTGGTTCGAACTCAAATTGTTTGTTAATGAGCTAATTCAAGCTCGAATTGAGCAAACTTTTTTAAATTTATTTTCAAGCCAGCTCAAACAGCCAGCGAGCTTGCTCGGCTCATTTCCATCCCAAATCATATATGTATGTATGTGATTGTTTTTGTGGGATATCCAGGAAAGCCAAATTAACTTTAATACAAAAATTAAAAACATTTAAAAGGGTTAATTTGAATTTGCTTCTATAGCTCATCCTATGCAGCAAGTGTGACCAAACTTAAACTTTGTGGCAAATTTAAAATTGGTGTTGAAATGAGGATTCCTTTGTAAAGAAGACAAGTTAAAAGTTTTTTTACCACCCTCCTTAATCATGTTATTTTGTACGGATTCATTAGCAAATGCCAATCACACTATCTTTTTGACTATAAAACAAGAGTAAAACTTAAAAAAGATCATTTAAACATTATTATCAAGAGAGTTATGACTTTACAAAGATTTTTTTTTTCTCTCCAATTAATTAAAGATATCATGAGACCACATATGCATTCAATACTTGTATGCTGACATTTTCAAGATTTTTTTTAAAAAAGAAAAGTTATAATTCAAGATTATATATATATCAACAACTTGAATTAGAAAAAAGCAGAAAAGGGGAAAAAAAAAGAAAAAGAAAAAGAAAAAGAAAAAGGGCCTGCAATTTAGAGTCTATCAGCTGTAAAAGTTAAAGAGAATTAGTGAAGCAATGGCAAAAGTTTCTGGAAAAGATGTTAATTCTTGAAATGAAGCAACCCACAAACAAGATAAAGAATAATAGTAAAAAAGACATATATATATATATATATGCATTATTATTTTTCTTTATTTGATTGGGCTAGCTCATCTTTTATTTTAAATAACAATATTATTTATATATAATTAAAAGCTAAAAAAGGCAGTATGGAAATTAAAAAGTTTGGTTGGCATCCGTGATGGTTTCTCCACTAACCACTCCACTTTCTTTAAATGTGGAAAACAACCATTCTTTGAAAATTCAAATGCATTTTTTGAATACTTCCAAACATTTTCTTTATTCATATTCATTTATTTAGGTCGTAATTAATCATAATAATAATTATTAGTTATTATTAGTCTATCGTTATGTAATAGTTTAGAATAAAAGTGTTGATATAAATAACTATTTGATTGTCTATTTAATATGAAACAATAGAAAAAGTATGAAAGCGATAAACAAAGTAAAGACGGTAAAAGTGTCATAAAAAAATTAAAAAACATTAAACATTAATGAAAATAACGTTTCATGAAAGAACGTCTTAAGCTCTAAAGGCTATAATAGATATTGTATTAACGAACATTATAATCAGGGGGAAGCCAGATTCTAAAACTAGAGGTGGCAAAAGAAAATTTTTAAAAATTAAGGGAGCCAAATCAAAGAAAATAATTGTTTTGCACTGTTTTGAGTTAAAAAGTTTAAAGTTTTTTTTGAGTTCGGGGCCTGGGCTCCCAGTCTCCCTCCCTTCGCTCTTGATTATAATTAATTAAAATAATATTTTAATCCACTCAAAATACTAAATACTATTCTAAATACTGCTGTCGAAAAGGATTTAACCTCGGTGTATAGTTAAAAAAAGTAATTTTTACCGTGCAGTAAAAGAGAAGGATAAATCTACCTAATAATGAGAGGACTCAAGCTGGCTACATATCTTCTACAAAGTGTAAGAAAATCAATTGGATGAAACCCCATTGACACACCTATTTTGCTAATCAGACTATATAAATATAAGAAATAATATATACACCGTGTATATCATTGCAAAACACATAAAGTGCATTTGCATGGGCATCAATGATTACATGCCCTAGCTACGGAAGGCCCAACTAAGGCCCATCAACTTTTTCTCTCCAACCTACCTAACTCATTATTTTTAATATATTTGATTAAAAAATTATATATTTATAATAAATTAAGGGGAGGGGAAAAAGGAATAGGAAAGCTGAAAAGAAAGGAGAAAACAGCAAAGCTAACACGGAGGATAAGTGACCCTGGGCATTGCTATGCTGCCACTTGCAGTGCCTTTTTCTTGTTGGAGATCATTTAATTAATTATTTTATTATTTTTACTCTTGTAATGCCACGTCAGCTGACAAAAAATATGTGTCAGCTAGGCTTGCTTTTTTTTTTTTTTCTTTCAAATAACCTCATTTCACACCTTCCATCTTTGCGCGTAAACGCCAATCTGTTTCTCGGTATTAACTATGCCAATTATAATATTATTACAATGCTAATTTTGAATTCATTTTCCCATTTCGTAAAAATAAAAATCCATCATTGTAAATTATTTTTTGAAATAAAGGTAATGTTCTCAAAGATATTCCTTCAACTAGGAACGAGTTAATAGCCATTTCGTGTTTAATCAATGGAGAAAACGAGCTTTCTATATAAAGAATTCTTAATATGGTTTAGAATACGTAAATTCATTCTCATGTAAATTTTTTATTGTATACTTGTTAGATGATTGAATATTGAATTAATTGTAGAAAAAATAAATGAATTGTTGAATTAATATTTAATAAGTGAGATATAAAGATCAAAACTTTAAAATGAGAAATAGCAGTCAACAATAATTTGTTGAAAGGAGTTAGGTGGTGATGAACACAGGAACAAGAACAAGGAGAAGCAGATAAAATGTCTCTCACTCGCAACTAAACTACATCTATCTATCATTAACGCGCTTAGTATTTGCGCGTTCAACTTTTCTCTCTGCCATCATTTGGGCAGGGAGTAACTGCCGGCCACGGGCCATTCTCTTTCTTTCTCTCTGCCTGCTTCGCTTTTGTAATTAATGCACACTTCACCTCTCTCTCCACTAATATAATCACTAATCACAGTATCTCTTAACTTCTTTTCTCTCTTTCTCTCTGTGGGTTTTGCCATTTTGATCCTTGAAGTTTGAAATCGCTCCTGAACAAAGGTAGCCCTTTTGTTTTAGCGGTCAAGAAGGCTTCTTTGTTTTGGTTTTCAGTTCTGTTGCTTTAATTTTAGTTGTTCTTTTTGGCTCATCTTTTGAATAGTTATGTGATTTTTCTTGTTTTTTTGCGCCTTATTTGTTCAAAGCTCAAGTGAATCATACACTTAATGCATGGCTTTTAGGTTGATGTAGTGGTTGCTACTCTCTGATTAGTTACTGAGAAACCAAGGAAAGGTAAAGAAATTTATCAATTGTGGTGTTTTTGTTCTAAAAATGGAAACTTTCACCTGGTTTAACTGCTTTACCAAATGGTTCTGTTACACTGATCCGATGGGTTTCCATTGTGTTCTCAGTTCATTCTCCATTTGAAAATTGATAAATTTCTTTCTTTTTTCCTACATTTTTTGGGTTGATAAAAATTTTGGTTTAGTTTTTACTTTTTCTTTAAAAAAATAAAAATCTGTCTTAATGATAATTACGTAATGGTTACTTGTTATTTTGTTTTCTCTTTTGGTCATCTTTGATTCTGTTTTGACAAAATCATGCTTCACTTTCGTCCTTTTCTACTTTTCTGTTTCTGCTTTATCTCTTCTCGTTTTTCTCTCTACTAGTGGGAATTCAAAGTTTCGTCAATTTCTCTCTCTTCCCCCTTTTGTAGATTTCACTTTTAAAATTATGGAATTTATTTATCTATTTTAAATGGGGCGTTCTCTAGTTAATTTCAAATTTCTTTACATGGTTTTCTTTTCTTATGTGGCTTCTGCAAATTTTGAAAAGTGAAAATCTTAGACAGATGTGTAGTTTGCTTAGTTATCCAGCATTTTCTGGGTAGCCAAACAGCGATTTAAGGCTTTTTATGGGGGTGATATGAAACAGTCTGTTGGGATACATATGTAGTTGTTCTTTACTCTTTGTTTTGAGCTCTTCTATGGTTCTTCTTGTGGAACTCCATATAAAGGTAAGAATTTGAGAATCATCTGTCGCATATTCCTTTTGTTATTTCGTTTTAAATGTTAATCCGAACATTACTAAGTATAAGGATGTCGTTTTTGCTCTTTTTGAGGAAAACAAATCAATTTTAGTTTGTAGATCTATTGGAATCTTTCTGCTTCATATGTAGATGGTAACATTTTATGAACTGTGGAAGTCAAAAGTCTGTTTCTAATGCTTTTATTGTTTGTTTACAAAACAAGACACTTGTTTCCTGATTTTCCTCGGTTTATGTGTTCCTGATTTTCCTGTATTTGTTGTCTTCAATTTTTAATTGTTAGTTTTGGATTAAATTACATAATAATATTTCTCCAACTGATGTGTCAATTTGATTCATATCAAGGACAAAAGATTAGGACAGCCTTTTAAGCATATTCTATTTCAAGGTCACATGGAAGATTTTTAAATTTGTTTTGTTTGATTTGTTTAAAAGTTTTCTATGCTTGCAGTTCTAGCAAATTATGTAATACAAAATTCAATTAACTAATATCTTGTTCTTTATGTTCAGCTCTAAAGATTAAAAAGATCCTAGTTTTCTGTATTGAGGTGAAAAGGAACCTGTGGCTTCATGGGTCAGAATCTACGGTATTTGGAAAGTCTCTTTCTTGGTTGACTATTCTAGCAAATATTGTAGTTTCATGAGAGATCTTTCTACCAAAAGGAGGAAGCTTGTCCATTAATTACAGTGCGGATGCCTTCTTCATTTCCCAGCTAAGGAAATGGGAGCTTGTGTCTCAACTAGTAGTCGCAGTACTTGTAGTAGCAAGAGCAATGGAGATACAGTTCCCCCTCCTTGCTTGGGAATTGGATTCTGTGGGCAAAAGAAGACTAAAAGAACATTCTCTGATCATGTAGTTTCACTTCAGCATTTACCCTCCATACCTAACAGGATTTTCACCAATGGAAAGAGCCGAACTTCTTGCATATTCACACAGCAGGGGCGCAAGGGCATAAACCAGGACGCAATGATTGTATGGGAAGTGAGTTTCTTTCTTTCTATTAAAATTAGTATTCAATAATATTTGGAGGTGAATTGCTCAGCCATACTTTGAATTTCTGTAGGATTTCTTATCAGAAGATGTGATTTTTTGTGGTGTGTTTGATGGCCATGGTCCACATGGCCATCTTGTTGCCCGCAAGGTGAGGGATGCCCTGCCAGTTAAGTTACTATCATTCTTGCACTCTAATCAGGCAAGACAAAATGGCTCAGGTCAAACCTGTTTTAAGGGAAATTCAAAGAAGTCAGATGTTGGAGATTCTGAGAAAGATGGGTCCGCTGAGGACAAATTGAATTCTGTATGGAGAGAAGCGTTCCTAAAGTCCTATAAGGTCATGGACAAAGAGCTGAGATCTCATCCTAATTTAGACTGCTTCTGTAGTGGTAGCACTGCTATCACTATAGTAAAACAGGTATTATAGGAAGCATGGCCGATACTCTACATATTCCATTTCCATTCATTTAACTTTTGTCTTACTTTAGATTTTATTTTTGATTTTCAAGGGCTCCAACCTTTTCATGGGATATATTGGGGATTCTCGTGCAATTATGGGATCTAAGGATAGCAATGATTCTATGGTGGCAGTCCAATTGACTGTTGATCTGAAACCTGATTTGCCAAGTAGGTCATATGCTCTTACAGTTATTTCTTTTGGGAGGTTAGCTAGCATGAGTAAACTAACAGTTGATGTATATCTAATTTGTTACAGGGGAAGCAGAAAGAATTAAGCGGTGTAAAGGTAGGGTCTTTGCATTGCAAGATGAACCTGAAGTACCAAGAGTTTGGTTGCCATTTGATGATGCACCCGGACTAGCAATGGCACGGGCATTTGGGGACTTCTGCTTGAAGGAATATGGGGTGATCTCTATACCTGAATTCTCTCACCGCCTGCTCACAGATAAAGATCAGTTCATTGTTCTTGCCTCGGATGGGGTATGATTTTCATATCTGATTGCCTCGCTATTATTTCTGTTTCCATAGTTAATAGAGGATCTACATTTCTTTTATTTTATGAAAATCATAGCTTAGAAAAACTTCTGAACAGGAAATTTATGAGGTTCAAAGTGTTGCAATTAAGGCTTGTTGCTAACAAATGAATCTCTTTGAGTTAGATTCTGTAATCTTGCAAATAAGAATATATAATGTGCTAACATATTTTAAGTAAAGAAAGCTCTTCTTGTCAAATTTAGATGACGCTATAATGCACAGTATTAATGTGGTTGCTGGAGTTTTATGGTGGTTTGTTGTGTTGAAGCCTTAGGTTTCTTCAGTAGATACATGCAGTGGGTGTTCCATGATGTGTCAGGAAAAAAATTTCTACGATGCAGATCTATGTTTTGGTTGTAAATATCCCTTTTTTTTTTTTTTTTTTTTTTTTTCCCTTTTTTTTTTTTTTTTTTTTGTTTCATGTCGCACATGAATATTGGAGTTGATATGAATGGGCAATCTTTTGATTCAATCCATGTCTACATAATGGTCATGCTAGTTTCTAGCTTCTTGTTTTTTTGTGTTTTGGGGCACAGGCAATTAGGGGGTCCATCATTTCTTGATATGTGCCACTCTTGTTCTCATCCACGTACAAAACTTCAGAATCAATTCAATTGCATGGAACACCCCAAATCATCCTTGTCCTGAGAAAGAAGATTGTTAAGAGAAAGATCTTGGCTGTGGTGGAACATAGAACTGTTGCCTAGACAGCTAGAATACCAAATCTAATAAAAAATACAAATAAATGTTGGATAGTTATGCATTGTTGGAGATAAGAATCACCAGAACAACAAATTATTGGCAACCAAAGGTAAAAAGAACAATTGTTGTATGACCTCAGAGTCTCAGACTACTAGCATATCTTTATAATGGCTATAATGGCTGTTTCACTTTATGGTTTCCAGCTATGCATGTTTGAGAAGACTTGAAATTTTCAGAAAATGTTCATCAGAAATATAGCTTAGATGGGTAATAGTGAACTTTATGATGCATGATCAGATTTTTGCTAAGATAAATATGGTCTTGAAAGCCCTCAAGAAACTCCTCATGTGCATACTAGCAAAGATTTGCCATTTCCTCTTGTTAATGTTACTAAATGGATAAAACCAGGAAGTTGATACAACCAAAATTGCTTATGCCATTTTATGTTAAAGGTATGCCGAACTTATTATTGAATTTGATTAATTACTCCTAGGGCCCAGATTAAACATAACGCGTATGTGAAGATCTCATTTACATGGTCCACATCTGCATATAGGCCAAGAGTCAGCCGGTGATTGCAAAATGGTTCCTATCACATCCATTTTTATACTGGCTAGTCATCATCTTCATTTATTAAATCTGGTTGCTGAATGTGATTTACAAGATTAGGACACAAATCTATGAACAAGTAAATCCTGTGACTGGACTATCAAAAATATCAAGGTGTTTTGCTATGACAGAGATGATTTTTGAAGCTTAATGATACTTTCGTGATTTTTATTCTTGTCATTTTTGAGGATGTGATCCTGTTATGAGTTCTATGGTGTGCCTTACTAAATTTTTTTACTATTTTATTTTATTAATTATCGAGTACTAAGCTGGTATTGCTACAGGTTTGGGATGTTTTGAGCAATGAGGAGGTGGTTGAAATTGTTTCATCAGCTCCAACACGATCATCAGCTGCGAGAATCCTGGTGGACTCGGCTGCCCGTGAATGGAAGCTCAAATATCCTACTTCAAAGATGGATGATTGTGCAGTGGTATGTTTATTTTTGGATGGGAAAATGGACTCAGAATCTGATTACGAGGAACAGGGATTTTCGTCTGCAACCCTCCAGAGTAATCATTCTGGTAATGCAATTGAATCAGATGATGGCCAGAAGTCTGAGCCATGTTTGCAGAGGAATTTTACTGTCAGATCATCGGAAGAAAATGATAATTATGGAAAATTAGCAGTTGAAGTTGATGGGGAAATAGCGACCGGTGAAGATCAGGGTTGGTCAGGTTTGGAAGGGGTCACGCGAGTGAACTCGCTCGTTCAACTTCCAAGATTTTCTGAGGAAAGACCAAACACATAATTTCTTTTTTGGTAACTATAGAGCTGGAATGAGGCTGATATAATTGTATTATTTTGGCTTTTGAGCCTCATTAAATTTATGAAAAATCCAGGGTTAGTGGCATTTTGTTAGATGTTTGTGCAGGTTAAATTATTGCCACAGCCTTATGTATTGCTGTGCCTCACAGAAATGTTGTATAACAGCTTTCATCAAGGAAAATGAACTGAATCTATATAGTTGTGGTATTAGGATTTCTTTTGTGTCAAGATTCTGAATTTCCCTGCGTCCAGTGTAAACTGGTATAGTGAACTAGATTCCCGATGAGACCAGGTTTCAGTCCCAGAGGATGCTCTCTAGCTAGTCTATAAGTTGCAGATTCTGCTATGAAAACATAAAACTTGTAGTTAGTCAGGCAAAAAGATAAATCCTTTGGATTGTCCAATTAATTTAGATAAAGAAAAAGAACATAGACATTACAAGGACTAGGGGTTTTGTAATGCAGGTGATTGAACTGTTTTTCATACAGTATGATGATTCAGTTCTATGCATTTAACAAATATGGGACTAGATGTAATTTATGAGGTTGTAAATGTTAAGAATATTGTACTAGATGTTGTATTAAATAACAGGGTAGGCCATTATAGGAAAACTGATTTAAAATGAACAATTACTTGGGGTTGGACATCATTTTAATGTTTCTAGGATTTCTCATTTAAAAGACAAAACGAACTCAATTTCATTCCAAATGGACCCTCGTAAGAAATGGAAGTCTCTTCATTTATCCTCTCATCCAACCACAGTGGCAGCTATGTTTGTGTATACCCAGTTGTGTGGGTGTGCACCTAACGCGGAGGCACAATAAATTAAACCAAACATGGGACCAATTATTGGCCGCCAGAGTTGGACGGTAGGAAATCAAGTGTAAAAAAGCAGGCAAGTAAGTTAAAGCTCAAGAACTTTTAAGTTTAAAGCACTCTGAATATCAAACTAACACGTGTAGTTATCAACTAACTAAGAAAGGTACGTTCTCTGAGAACGATATGCTAGTACACTTGCAGAGGCAAATTTACTTGGCTAAGTCTACAATTTATGGCTTTTCTTTAGAGAAAATTAGCTCCATGAGCTATCTAACACACTAAAAACTTCCATAATTAGTATATATTTCCTTATATATCATCCCTCTATCTCTCTCTCTCTCTCTCTCTCTCTCTCTCTCTCTCTCTTGAAGCTTCTATATTGTGCATTAATTTCTGTAGCATATACGGTAGCAAAGTGAAGATGCATGATACTAAATCACCGCCAAAAGCTCACCAAACTCACTCGATTCTGAACTATATAAAAGGAGCAACTTCTTCCTAGTTCAACATCAAATAGCCTATCAATTTCTGCTTTTCAGCTTTCCTGCTCTTAAAAATGGTTTGCGGGAGTAACTTGTCTCTTATTGCTCTCTTTATCTTGCTTGCAATATCTGGGCAAGCACTTGGAGGACGTCACACCCCAAAGAAATCAAAGGATGTGGACGTGAAGCAACCTGAGTGGTTGACATCTGACCGCAGTTTTCTCATTCCAGGCATTGGACGGGAGATGCTGCCACCATCAATCCAGATTCCACCATATCTCAATGTTCCTGCCTACGATCCATATGTTGGTATTGGAGCTGGTACTGGCAACGACCTTCCAGGTGGTGATGACACAACCATCCCAAATCCTGGGGTTGAAGTGCCAAGTCCTAGCAGTGGCAGCGGCAATGTCCCAGCTCATCCATGAGCACGCAGTGCTGCTCCTTAATAAACAGTTACCCGGATGGATGTTAGATGCATGCATTGGGGTTTAGTATGGCATTTGTTTGTAGTTAAAATTTGTTATGGTAAGGAATTCAAGTCTATTAAGCTTCCTCTGCTTGAGATGCAAATAAGTTTGGACACATTAGGTCTGAGTCAGGTTCTAAGCCGATCCTAGTATCTTTCTAAGATGTATTATTCTAATTCTGCACTTGTAATGGATCACTTATGCTTATTTCATTTCTGCAGTTATGCATGTGTTCTAGGAATGATATGGATCAATAGTTCAATCACTCCATACTCAATATTAGAGTAGAGACGAAGAGAGAAACGAGAGAATTGAAAGAACAAATGTATTTATGTTTACATGCAAAAGCACTACCCTAAATAACAAATGAAGATGTAGCTAATTGATGAACATCACCCAGGGAACGAAATAAAAGAGAAAAGGAAGGTACCGTAGGCTGCACTATATTGTGTGACAAAAACTTGTATGCCTTTCATGCAATGATGCAAAGAATCCATGAATTCCTACAATTAAACACAATGGACCCATTCAATGCCTTCCACAAGACTGAATGTCCTATTAGCGTATGATATGCTAAGTGAGTAACTGAAAGTCAATTATCCATATGCCTTAAACTCAAATCATAACAACTTAAAAGTAGTGGCAGGTAAGCAATGAAAGCTAATAAGCATACATCAGCATACCAAAATAAAAATAGAGATCTGCAAAGCATCACAAATGGATTTGTGTAACTAAAGGCATTGGTATGCATCAATCAGTATAATGAAAAAGGATGTGGTTGATTGAGTTACAGGCGACATACTTGACACGCAAATATTATCAATGGGTGATAAAGACCTATAGTAGGAGACAAAGTCCTTTTAGTCCACTACTGCCAACTATATGATCACTTTTATTTATTTATTTTTCAATCAATCATGTTTCAATCAAGCTAATAAATAACACCAAATTTATGATCAGTTAAGCATTCATTTCCCTAATTAAAGAGATGTTTTCAATTAAGTTAATAAATGTTTCTTCCCACTACATGCTTTTTATTCCCCAATTTTGCATGATGAAATTGATTCAGTGCACGTGCTTAAATTTGCAGAGTGTTACTTACTTGTGCACATTAATTATAATATCTTAGATAATATAATTTACTCAATCTCTCCTCTAATGAAATCAAGGCTAGACCTCCTAGTAGCCTGAAAATCACCTAGTAATACAGAGAGTAATGGTCCAAAACCCCGAATTCCCCAATCCTTCCATTATACAGCCCCATTCTTCCTCCTATCACATCCAAAAAGAAAAACATCTCCTGGAAACCAGGCTAAAATATTTTCACTCCTTGCTGGAAACGGTCATCTCTATTTTGTAAACATCAAAAAGCATATTAAATCACAAGAACAAAATTTTCAAGAAATTGCTAGCTAATATATATGTATATATACAACCAACAAATAAGAATCTCATTTAATGCTGCAAGCTGGCCGTAGTTTATTAAGTTTTTAGGAGAAAGTTCTAAGCAGCTAGTATTGAGAGGTCGCGATTTTACTTATTTACATCAAGGTGAGTGAAGGACGGATAGAAAATCAACTAGAACACAAGATCCCAAATATTTTCATTCACAAATTGTAGGCAAGGTTCTACCTGTAATAACTTACATGCGACATGTCAATGTCTAATAACAGGAAGAGCACAGAAATGCTTTTGACTGCAAAAATATACATCTTTTCAAACCATCAAGAAAGATATTGTCAATCTAGAATCAATGTCTGAATCTAATAAAGCCAACGCCTGCAAATGCTAAAGAGTTGCAATTTCAAACTTCAGGTCTGGATGCTTCAAAAAAAGTACCCTGCAAAGTCATTAAGATATTTCCAGGTAAGTAATGTAAAACTAGGTGATACATGAACTATCACAGTGATAAAAGTCCAAAAAGTTAGTCACCATGGACAACTTGGGCAACCTCAAAAAATCTTTAAATTTCGATGCATATGCCAACATAAGTAGATGACAGGAGCTTAATTTTTCAACACACTGAATTAGGAACCAAATTTTTTCCTTAATCTTGCCCAAAAGTCTTGAAAAAAAAAAGGAAGAAGAATAGGTCAATAGAGTCACTAAGAATCCTTAGTTCCTCAAAAATCCAACAAATTTATACTCATAGTTAGCTCCACCTAGGGAGAAGTCTGTAAATTTTCCATAAGAACTTATGGTAAATGGTTGCATCTCTAGGCACTGGCACAATCTTATACATAAAAAAAAAAAAAAAAAAAAAGGAGGGAAAAATGATGGGTAAATGAGTGAAACGCACATAAAAAGAAGATCTATTGACTTACATCCTGGTTCATCATAAATGACCATAACAATAAAATCAACCCCACACCTTGCTATTAAACAACCGTAACAAGAGAAGTAATTCATATCATTTCCTGTAAAAGTCAAATATTTCCAATCCATGAAGCACCACATGTTCATAACGATTCAAGAATCCATTGGCATAATTATTTGAACTACCCTAGGACACTTGTAGCTTGTAGCTCATTTATGACTTCCCCTAACTACTACAACGAATCAACAGCATACGATTAAACGAATCTTGGAAGTTATGTTCACCCAACTACCACTCTGATAAATCAGTAGAGAAAAGCAAATCTTCAAACTGATATTTATCAAATGGTTAATCACAATGCGACCTGTGGATTAGGAAAAATGTATATCATCGTAATATGAGAATTCAAGTTTTCTAGCTCACGTAATTACTTGCATCTCCAAATTAATACACAAACATGAAGAAAGTTATAAGCTTTAAACTTTCATCACCTAAACCGGTTTCGGATTGTTATCAAAGTAAAATCTGGACGCATTTTCATAAATTGCAGTAAAAGAGCAAAAACAAGGAACTGGGTTTAGATAATTACCTGATTAAAAATAACATGCAAATCTAACAAAAATCAAATGCCAACCATCTTGAAGAGAATGAAGCAGAGAAATCCAAGGAAGATAAAGAGGAATAAGTAGTCAACAAAAACGAAGAACTTGGTTGATCCATGATTTCTCTTCTTCTTGCTGTAATTGTTCAGCTTTGGTTCATCGTCTAGTGATACAAGTTTGGCCATTGCATCAAAATTGCAGCTTTGATAGGAATCTCTAGAATCTAGGGTTGCAAAGGTAAGCAGAGATTTGGGGATCTAAATTTGGATTTTGATTCCTTTCCGTTTTCTGTTCTTTAAAAGGGTTGGTTGTCTATCCCGCGCGCTTTCTCACTTGCCCCAGTAACAGGTTTTCAGTTCAGGCCCACATCTAAGTTACTATGCTTTAATAATTCTAATTTTTTTTATTCCCCATTATCTAAAATCTGATTACTAAATTGTTTTGCTTGTATATAATACATTCTTTCAATAGAAAATTAAATTAAGCTATAATATGCAATTTTATGTTAATTCAAATATAATGAAATAATTCTTAACCCCTTAGTTTATATAATGTAAAAAAAAAAAAAAAAATCATTTCTTTATCATTTGCAAAGTTGAAACAGAGTGTAATTTGTCTATTCAACTTTGTTATTTAGGAAAAAAAGAAGCGTCAAAATCTACCTTTTAGTTTAAATTATACCATGAAATGTCGACCTTATAGCCTTTTTTTCCCCCTAAATGACAAGTTCAAGTGACAAATATTGGACTTTATTTCAATTGAATCAACAGAGAAACTTCAAGTAAAAGTGGACAAAAGATTTTAAGGCTGAAATCGAGAAGGGATGAACTGAATTTTGTACTTCTTTCAAGTAATTAGTAAACTAGTGCTTCATATACATTCTCCCTTTTCATCATTTCAATATATCGATTAGCATAACCTTAATACAACAATGGGGCAATATTTGCCACTCCGTTCTCTGATTCTCAATGTGGATTTGACAGTGAGACTGTAAACATATGTAAAAGAAAATAATAAATACAGCTCCATGATCTTATTAGCCTTTCCTCATGTCCATTCTATTGAAATATGTTTGGCTTCTAGAAGCAGAGAGGTGGACATGGTCAGTCAATCTATAGACCAACAATTACAAATTCCTTCCCATAAAGTTATATGGCCTTCCAGTTACTCCTGCAAAATGACACCAAAATATGAGCAAAAGCATGCATATGCATTCAGCAGAAGGAATCATTTTTCTCTGTTGGATCTCTATTCCCATAGAACTGCATGGAGATATTATTTGGTAGAAATGAACATGCACTGAAAATCAAGCTCTGCAATTTTCTTTTTGTGAATACAACAGAGGCCATAGCATATAGATTCAACTAGTAGGTCCAAAACAAGCAGGAACAGTAGTTTCGGTTTCTAGATGTCCAGATTAAGTGGGCTTTTAAATAGTGTGTTTGTGACTGCAAGAAAACAGTTCTGGAAGGGAAGCATAGTTGTAATGTACCTCAGATGGATTGGTTGAAGAATTGGGATCTGATTCTGATGTTGCCTCTGATATTCGAGACTCTGATTTCTCATTTGAATAACTACAAAAACAACCATAAAGAAAACATTGATTGATAAGAACTAGTGAAGCCTTTTGAGAAGTCAGAAAATATAACAAGCATTTGCACTTTTTTTTGTTCATGGTCGAACCACATAGTGGGAAATTGTCGCAAAAGATCTTCATTATGAACAAAGCAGAATAGAGACCGAGGATACATATAGTCGGTCCCAACTAATTTGCGACTAAAGCTTAGTTGTTGTTTTCGTTGTGTCATGGTTCTTCAATTTCAGAAGTTTATTTCAAACCTTACCCTTTGGTTGCCAGAAATGCATAGGACAAGACAAATGAACAGCATAAAACAGAAAGATGACAATAATATTATTGTTGACAGTAAAGTATGCTAAAACAAACAGCAAACCCAGAAATTAACCATACTGAAGATTTAATTGTTCGCACAGGAGATTTAATATCACTACTTTTTTTCTTTATTTATTTTCTTTTATTGGATATGATACACGTGTGTACATGAGGTTAATAACATGAGATGCTTACGTAGAGAGTATGGTGACCCAGATGAGTTCCACGCAATCCACCCAAAGAAGTCTTTGCTCAACAGGGATAACACCATATGTAATCAAGTGAGCAAAAGGCCAAAGTTTCCATCCCGCCTGCCAAAAATAGTTTGCAACCAGATACCAATAAATTGAAGGAAGAAATAGAAATAAATAGCAAAGAAATCTTAGTTTGTGTTGATAAGTATAATCATAGATTGGCAAATGGCCTTTTCATTTGTGTATTCTCTCTCCTTTATTACTCAGACATGGTAAAAACAGACTTCAAAAAAAAAAAAAGTTTTAAGTCTCATTCTATGTCGGCAAACCCATGAACAGATTCTTTCAGAAAACTAACTTCAACACCATAAATTGAATTATCATCATGGGAAACACTATAATTCATAAGTAGTGTATATATGTGAAACCAGTTCTTACAGTCAACATAGGCCAAAATGTTGCTGTCAGTTCACTGAAAATATTGGCCGGTGACTCGAAACGAAGGAAACCCAACACTGTGAAATAGATGCTGTTCCAAATTGCTGACCACACTGTTTGGTCAAAGGCAACTTTGGCAGGGACCACCCACCAATCTTCAAAAGGAAAAAGAGCCTATAAATCCAAATAAACTATTTCAGCCACCCATAAAAAAACTACAAAAAAAAAAAAAAAAAAAAAAACTACAAAAAAAAATAAAAAAAAAAGTGAACCATTAATTAGCACCTCACAAATTGGTTAATAATGATACAAGTGATCCATGAATGAGTAAAACCAACAAGCCAATTCAAAACATGCGTGCGTCTCAAACTCAATAATTCGGATTTGCCTTCATCAGCACTGCATATTTAGAAAAATATAACCCTAAAGAACATCTGTGTAAAGCATTAGATAACCTTGCTAACCATTGATGGCAAAAGAAACAACCCCCCCCCCCCCCCCCCCCCCCCCCAACAAAAAAAAAAAGCAAACTTACTTGTGCAATCCAATCTCCTATAGAGTACACAATCCCACTAATAGCCATTTTGGCTAAAACGGGGTTTGTTTTGAGAGCTTGTTCATATGCAATCCAATTGTGTTCAGGCACGTACCGTAGTACCTCATAAAGGGTCCATCCCTGAAAATTGAATAACCTTATCAGAGAATTCCTGAGCACAAAAATAAATTCTACAACTAGGAATGGCAAATTGTTCCTTGCTGATTGAAATATCAAACAAAACGTTTTAATCCTAAATTTCAGTCCTTTTTTTCCACTATTGATTGTTTACCCTATAGTCACAGAAGGAAATTTCACGTGGTGCTTGATAATTTGTCTGGAAACCAATAATCAGCTCAAGAAGAGATTATAAAACCTCAACATTATGAAAGTCTTAAGGAAAAATTAGCAAAATTTAATAACAAATAGTATTAGAACTTATAAGATTAATCAAAAGGGAAGTAACCATAAAAGAGAAAATAAGCTCTAAAAATTACAAACAACTAAAATCCTCAAACCTATCTGCTAAACTTAAGCAACATAATATCAGAAATTTAAAAACATCACTTACATGCCAATAATCATGATCAATAGTGAGCAACTTACTGACAGCAAGAGTCCCAAAACCCAAAACAATACTAGCGTTAATTGCTCTACTAATGAACTTCTCTTTATCACCATTTCCATTTCCATCGCCTTCTCCTTTCTCTTTGATAGAAGAAGATGAAAGATCCTCAAAATCATTAGACCCTGTAAAGAATGAAGGATTTTCTTGGTCCTTGAGACGACTATCCTTTACTGGAACTTCCCTGTCCTCTGTTAGCGACCCACTTGCCCATCTTTTTCTGTTATTTGTTAAAGGGAGCGAACTTTTTGATGGTTTGGGTTTTCTAAAGAGTCCGGTAGAGAGGAGAAGAGGAGAGGTGTTGGGTTTATGGGATAGTTCGATGGGTTTGGACAGTGGAGAGATTTTGCGAGGAGTGATAAAGTTAAGAGTAGCCATTGATATTAAATTGGTAAGGTTTTGATGAAAGAACAATAGGATCACGTTCACAAAGAACTACAACACAAGGGAATTTGGATAAAGGTAAGAGTTCCTGTACCATTTTCCTTTCCTTAAACACCTTACAGCTACAGCAAGAAACCGGCATGAGATTTTTCTTTTCTTTTTGGCTTTTATGAGTTAGAGGTTTTCAAGGTTTTTTTACTTTTTTTAAAAAAATAATTATCACATATCCATCTTCATAATTTCTTCCACGTAATGAAATAAAAAGATCCCAAATTTGAATAAAGATCCTAAATTTTAGAATAATTAGTTAAAAATGTTTGATATATTAAATAGTTTAAAGATTTAATTTTTCGAAATAAATTTAAATATTTAATTGATAGATACTTAAAAAGTAATTTAATCTATTTATTTTTTAGCTTCTTTTAGCAATATTAGTCTTGTAATTGTATTTCTATATGAACTATTGAATAAATTAAATTGAAGAACAAAAAAAAAGTTTATTAGAAAATTAATTAAAAATAATTTTTTTTGAGAAAAAAAATAATTTTCTAAATTAACCATATGAGACATAAAAGAAGTTGTATATAGAACATCTATAATAATTGGATACAAATCTATTCAACACTAATTTAGATTTTTTATATAATTAATAGGAGTATAATTATATAAACTAATAATTTTTCATAAATTATTAATTGCATTGCAAAATATGAGGCTAGATAAATAAAAAGAAGAAGTCAAGGGGGGAAAAGGATAACCCTTGTAAAAGCTAAAGGGTACACAAGCAGGAGACTTTGACGGGTAAACTTTAAAGCTCCCTCCTTTTCCACTGCCTTGTACCAAAGGATTACTGAATTGGACATTTGGAACCAAAAAGCCCTGATGAGGAGACTCTTACTGAGAACTCCCTCTACTCTTTCTGCAGTCCTTCACTCTTCTAAACCTCCCCTTCCTTGCAACAATGGTGGGTCTCTTCCAAGGTTGGGTCCAACTGCCAGCTTCAACTCAAATCCCAGATGGATCTTCATGTCTAACAATTCTCTTCCGCCTCCAGAATGGATAGACCCTTTCCTTGATCTATCTGATGTAGTCTCAAGTACCCCTCGAAACCTTGAGCCCTCTCCTTGGGTTCACCAAATTAGTAATCTTTTAGATGGGTCTTCGAACATGGAATCCAACCTAGATTCTTTTTGTCACAAGTTCTTGATCAAGTTGTCACCCAGTTTTGTCTCGTTTGTTTTGAGGTCCATTGAGTTACAGAAAAATATTGATGTTGCTTTGAGGTTCTTCACTTGGGCAGGTAAGCAAAAGAAGTACACTCATAGCCTTGAATGTTATGTTTCTTTGATTGATGCTTTGGCTATACATGGTGAGGTGGACAGAGTTAAGTTTGTGTTTAGTCAGTTTAGAGAAATGGGGTTTTTAATGACTGTTCATTCGTCGAATTCTTTGATTAAGAGCTTTGGGAGTTTGGGAATGGTAGAGGAGCTATTATGGGTGTGGCGTAGAATGAAGGAAAATGGGATTGAACCAAGTTTGTTTACGTATAACTTTCTGCTTAATGGTTTGGTTAATTCTAAGTTTGTTGAATCCGCTGAACGGGTATTTGAGGTTATGGAGAGTGGAAAAATTGGGCCAGATGTTGTTTCATATAATACAATGATTAAAGGGTATTGTGAAGTGGGGAAAGCCCAGAAAGCATTTGAGAAATTAAGATCTATGGAGTCAAGAAGCGTGGCACCCGATAAGATTACTTATATGACTCTGATTCAAGCTTGTTATGCAGAGGGAGATTTTGATTCTTGTTTAAGTCTTTATCACGAAATAAATGAGAAAGGTATGGAAATTCCACCACATGTGTATAATTTGGTGATTGGGGGGCTTTGTAAAGAAGGGAAACGCATGGAAGGATATACTGTTTTTGAGAATATGATTGGGAAGGGATGCAAAGCAAATGTGGCAATATATACAGCTTTAATCGACTCAAATGCAAAATGTGGTAATATGGGAGAAGCCATGTTACTTTTTGAGAGGATGAAGAAAGAAGGGCTTGAACCGGATGAAGTTACTTATGGGGTCATTGTTAATGGTTTGAGTAAGAATGGGAGAGTGAATGAGGCTATGGAATGTATGGAGTTTTGCAGAAGCAATGGAGTGGCGGTCAATGCCATGTTTTATTCTAGTCTCATTGATGGTTTAGGAAAGTTGGGGAGAGTAGATGAAGCTGAGAAACTTTTTGAAGAGATGGTCAAGAATCAATGCCCACCAGATTCGTATTGTTACAATGCTCTTATTGATGCCCTTGCAAAGTATGGCAAGATTGATGAGGCATTAGCAATCTTTAATAGAATGGAGGTTGAAGGCTGCAATCAGACAATTTATACATACACAATAGTCATAAATGGATTGTTCAGACAACACAGAAATGAAGAGGCATTGAAGCTGTGGGATGTAATGATTGATAAGGGTATCACGCCAACTGCAGCTGCTTTCAGGGCTTTATCAACTGGGCTCTGTCTATCTGGCAAGGTGGCCAGAGCTTGCAAGATTTTGGATGAGCTGGCACCAATGGGTGTTATTCCCGAAACAGCTTTTGAAGATATGCTTAATGTGCTTTGTAAAGCCGGCCGTGTCAAGGAGGCTTGCAAATTGGCTGATGGGATTGTTGATAGGGGCAGAGAAATACCAGGAAGAATTCGCACAGTTCTAATCAATGCCTTGAGGAAAGCAGGCAATGCAGACTTGGCCTTGAAGTTGATGCATAGCAAGATAGGCATTGGGTATGATAGAATTGGTAGTGTTAAGAGGCGAGTAAAGTTTCAGATGCTGGTTGAAAGTTGATTCTGGATCTAGATCTTAGATTCTGTAACACGTTCGGCTATTAATTTGAACAGTGCTGACTATCTTGCTCATTCTTGTCATATCATATTGAATTCAAGAAGAAGTTTGACATAACTGGACAGAAAACTGTGTCAGCTGTAGCAATTGTATGGACAAAATTTTTGCAGACAAGTCTGATAAATTGTCTTCAGTTGCTAGGAGCATTCCCCATTCATGTATTTAAGTCTCATGTTTCAGTTTCACAAAAGCGGTTCACACCTTAATGCTCCTCTGGAACAAGTAATGATGTCAGCATAACCATTGGATTGGTTACTATATTGTGAAATGGATAGTTATGCAGCATCAGGTGATGAAAAATCTACCACTTACTCAATTTACTGCATATTTTATGTACACTGTGGTAGAGTTGTAGGGTGGTATTTTCACGGGGCACTACATGTCCTGTGTACTTCAGCTGCAGCACTGTCACTTTCACTCCCACATAAAAGAAAACTGAATGTGTATGTGATACATTATCTGATATCTCTACACTTTAATCTGGAGGACAAAATTAACACAAATCTCTATGAGTGGCTTAAGCACCATGTTGAATTTTTTATAGAGCATATTAAGACGAGTCTTTCTTCATTCGGTTTCTTTATTCATATTCCTTTAACATGGTTTAAAAGCTGGAAGTAAATTTTCTTAAGCCATGTTGGCAATCTTACTTTTTGAGAAACTGCTCTATGAATTGCATCAAAGAAACAATAATAAATTCAAGAGATTCTGATGCTGGGATGAGATTATAGGGCATAGAGCTAACCTTTCAATTGAATAATGGGAAAGACCTTAAACTTTTGGTCAGAGTTATTTCATATATTGCATATTATGGTTTTCTTCATGAGCAAATTAAAAAAAATTGAAGAGATTCTCACTTTTTAACTGTGTAGGAAGATGAGTTCCTTTCAGTCGCAAATTGTATTCAAATTTCAAGTATTTCTACTTGAAGTGTTGCTTTTTTTAGGCTTGCTGTTAGCTTATGTGCATTTTTTTCTCAGATGACATGTTGTTGGTGCTAGTCTTGACTTGGTGTTAGAGTTGTGCTTTGCTTTAGGCTTAACTTTTGGGCCTTGTATTAATCTTTGAACCTGTATAATTGTGTAAACCTAGAAAGAAGATTAAGCACTTTTTCTGATGATTTATCAACAATATTTTGCAACTAAATGCTATATGCAAATGAAATATCTAAGGATTTTAATCCTCAGATTGATGTGCATTAATATTGCTTACACATTATTCTCTGGTGAAGCAGGCAGTGACATTTGTTTATTTTGGAGGCATTCCAGCATTATTAAATCATCTTTGGAACTTGATAAAATGAGCAACAGATTAGCATGCCTATATGGCGCGCTATTAGATATATTTTTTTTCAACCATAAAACTTTGTTGAAATGTCCTGGTGAAGATGGCATCTCACATTTATGGCATGGTTCTGACAAGTCTGCATCTTTTATCTGATATTTCTTGTTTTGAGATAGGATAGCCTTGCACACCAAGTGGCCTGCCCCACCCTTCACCCTCTCTCTCTCCCCTTCTTTTTCCTTTTATCTGTTTTCCAGTTTCATATATTCTCCCTTAGTTTCCCTTTTTCAGGTGCCCTGGGATATGGTATTAATGATCAACACTATTTTTTATCTGCAGTTATGGACTCGTTACTGATAATTATCACATAGCTTTTTGCCAATCTTGCTGAAAATTACATTACCATTTACAAGAAAAAGGCTTGTAGAAAGCCATTTGATTGGATAATAGGAATCTATAGACACTGCAATTCGTCAAGTCAATAGCAGTGTCCTGGGGCATTAAACTACCAAAGTTGGCTCCAATTAAATGGCGGATTGTGCATGATTGATTTCGGGCCAATCAATAATCACCTTCTTGCTGTATTTCTAAATTATATCCTTATTTTGCTAAATGTTTGATATCTGATTTGTTTAATGGTCTCCTTAATATATAATTAGCTAATTCTTTGAGTGGTCCCGATCAATAAGTATTGTTATCTGTTTTGAGTAGTCCCTGTTGTGATGTGTCCTTATTTGTCAACATAGCCAATCGACCCCGATGCCAATTTGCATTAGTACTTTCTCTTTCAGTGGCAATTGGCAGGGGTCTACAGGTGATTCAAGAGGTTGTGGGGGCAATATCTTTTGTTTCGCTCAATAAAATTTCCTTGTCTGGAATCTGAAAGTTAATGGCAGGTTCATAGCAACTTCAGCAAAGAAAATGACTAATTCTGATGCCACTATCTAGGTCGATGAAGAGGTGTGAGTGGATAAAAATTCTTGGAGCAATGACCGGACTGAGTTAATACATCCAATAATGTGCGGTAAGCATGCTATTGAAAGAAATCAGAATATCTTTTTTTTTATTATTATTGTTACAAAAGGGATTCTTATTGGCGACTCTGTGCGCAGGACAATGTACAAACAATAATCGCAAACTTAAAATCATCCCTAGTATATCAATTGCATCTTGCAATAGTGAAAGAAGTTGCAGATACTTCATTTCTTCAAGTAACTTATCTTTACAACTTGTAGCTGGACCTTTTGGACCTGTTGTCAACAAGAAGGAAATGACTGTGATTGGGTTATTCTTGTTGGAATTTATTTCCACCCACTTTTATCGCTGAAATGAAAGCCTGGAGCTATGTGGAGAACCAGAAGAGAAATCCTGGAATATGTTTGAAATGCTGCATTAAATCATCATTTAAGTTGGAACACTTCAATTATATTCATCCAATCAAGCAGAATATTATGTGCGCCATGAAGAGAATCTATTATGCATTGTAAGTTTCTGTATATGATGCACAATCAATTCAAGACAGGATAGTTGTTTGATTTCTCAGATGATTGGATATTTAGACACTTGCAATATTTGGATGGCTTATGATTATTGGGAACTAGGTATCTCAAAAATTGAATTTTGATGCTAATTGCAAGGTTAGTCAATTCTGCAGGGCAAGATTGCATAAGAGCTAATAATTTCTGAAAATAGTAGCTGTTTTGAGGGCCTGTATTTTTGTGATTAGCAAATAAGGATTGTGTGAAAAAAAAAAAAAAAAAAAGATTTGTGGCTTGAGAACTGAAAATGTTAAACATGTGGAAGATTGTGTTTTTAGGATCTGGCTGAAGCTGGTGACTTGTTGTAAGAATGGAAATCTCTTTTGGAACATGTGGAAAATAAATGGTAAGGCAGAAAAGGGCAAAACAGGGTTAAAGCTTTATAGATAATCACTGTTGTAGCAAGAGATTGTGGTGGTGTGTGAAGAAAATGACCTTTGAAGATCTAAATGATTACATTTGAAATTGGATGGTTTTGAGGCATGACAAAAATGAATCTGAATAATTTTGCTACTTTTAAGGGAAAATTCTGTCGTGGCACAATCTTCTCCTTCTAATATAGCTTGTGTTTGTGTTTCTTTTTCTGTTTTTTTGAATGATCAGAGTATATATTCACATCAATCATCACGACCAATCAAGATTATATCCATTTGCCAACAATTTTTTTTTATTCGTTGGCAGGCCGACGAAGATAAACTACACGACAAGGATAGTTCTTATATGACTTATGAAAATTCTCATATTTGAAAGGATTCAAATTTGAAATTTTTCGATTTTTACATTAGTGAAAATATCAAAAGAGATCACGCAAGTTACAAATAAATTGAAAGATGTATTCTTTATTATTATTATTATTTATAACTTGTGAGCAATTTATTTTTAATAAGTAACAAAAAGGTTTGGTTTCTTTTTTAATATTAATGAAATTAATAATACTATTAATAATTTTTCAGAGTAATAAATAATATAACAATCTTATTACTATTTTTTTTCATTTTAAGGGAAATTACTTTTTTATCTATATATTTATTTTGTTATTTTATATGCTTTATAATTTAATGGGATGTAATTAATATCATTAATGATGTATTATCTTTTCTAATAATTAATAACATTAATTATATTTTGATATATAAAACGTTTGAGTTGCTTTTTTAATAATTCACTAGTTTTACCACCCACGCGATTTTCAGAGCAGCGTTAAAAAAAAAATACTATTTGAACCTGTCCCAAATCTGTTTATTCACTATCCAAATCCAACAAAATAAGATTAGATTTGATCAGGTACCCGCCGGATCGGATAAAATTATCATTCATAATTACGATATGCGTTTTTAAGTATCATGCGAAGTATTTCATTAACAATAGCAAAAGTCGTGTATGGTATGACATATATAAAAAAATCCATACACATTATTAATGTATGTTTCAACAGTGATAATAATTTTAAAAATTTAACTAATTATATTGAAATAGGAAATTAAGTATTTTTTATTTTTGTGTTTATAATTTATTATAAATGATTGCTTATTTATTTAAAATATTAATGTATTACTTATTTAGTGTAATGTGTCCTAAGTATGTGGATGCTCTATTTGATTAAAAATTATTGTATCGTGTATATTTCCGTATTTCGTATCCCGTGACCATGCAACCTAGCTCTTGGTATATGAGATTACTTCATATACCAAACTAATCAACCATAGTTTTTTTAATTACTAATGAAAAATAAAATATATTTTTTTAAAATTTGTTTTTATGCCATTAAAATAAGAAATTAAAATTTTTTAATTTTACGTTTATAATTTATTTTAAATAATTATTTATTTATTTGAAATATTAATGTATTACTTATTTAGTGTATTGTATTCTAAGCGTGCGAATATCTTACTTTTTAAAAATTATCGTATCCGTAAGTTTCAATTTATATTTTTTAAATTATTTATATATTGTTTACTCATACTTTTAAGCGTGTAGTTTATTTATTAATCGTTTGTAATAAAAAAATAAAATTATTTTAATATATAAATGCTAGAGATAATTTTTTTTAGATAGTATTTTGATAAACACGTTATTTAAAAATATATAACAATTTATCTTCTTACAATTGTGTTTTATTTTCTTACAATTGTCCTAACTCTCATTACACGTGTCAATTTTAGATATCTATACTTGATTGTCATCTAGGGTAGACTTTCTTGCTTTTATCATTAATAAAATAATTAGCAAAATAACAATATCATTAATATTTCAATTTCTTTTTTTCTAATACCATATTATTGTTATTATTTTTTAATATTAAATATGAATAAAGAGTAAGTTATGAATTTAGCCGATCTTTCTTTACTATTACTTGATTTTTTCTTTTAAGAATTTTTGTAGGTTTTTTTTATATATTTTTTTTGGACCACTTGAAGTATTTTTAAGTTTAAAAAATTAATATTAATTATAATATTAAAGTTGATTATAATTTTTTTTTCTCCGTTTAGTTTTTATATTTAAAATTTTAATTATTGCACTATTTCGAGATATTTAATTTTAATTTAAAAAAAAAAAGAAAAATAATAGAAAGATGCCAAGCTGTCAAGAGTGGTTCTTGTTCCTGGACCCCTGGCACATTCTTCTCCATATCTTTTTAAATCAAGAACCTCTGTCTCTTGGAAAAAGAAAAGAAATTAAAAAGAAAATGATAATATTATTGTCATGTCTTGTGGTGTAGAAGCTATCGTACAGTTCCAAGATGGATCTTCAGCAATATTACGAGTAGTCTCATTGAGCTTTTCAAAAATACAGGGACAAATGAAATCCTCAAGATAATATAAAACACAACCGAGAGAAGGATAGTTCAATGAAATGTGGGGCTCCTTTTGTACATATCAAGCATGTATAATTAATTTTGAGAGATACATAGACCTGATGCCACACTAAACAGCAATATATTGGCGCCCACTTCAACTGTTCTGATACAGCAAAAATGGAACCATCCTTTGATATTATTGCCTGGTTTGATAATGTATCGGAGAAAGCTGGCCTTGTCCAGACGGAGACTCTTCGCCGGATTCTTGAACTCAACTGGGGTGTGGAGTATCTCAAGAGATGGTTCGGAGATATCAAAATTCAAGATTTGGATGCATGTGCATTGGAATCTCTATATACTTCTTTGGTGCCTCTTGCTTCCCATGCAGATTTAGAGCCTTATATTCATAGAATTGCAGATGGATACACTTCTCCTCTACTTACTAAACAGCCTATAACTACTCTCTCCTTAAGGTAGGTACCCTCTCTTTTCACACCCTCTTTTGTATCTTTTTAGAATATATAATAACATAACATGTGGATTGGAGTATATACAAGTCAAAGAAAGCCAACTTGAATAGATTACGAACCATTTGATTTGATTTCTTTTTTACACTTTATACCATTATCACTTTTTCTTTTCTTCTTTTCATTCTCTTTCTTGATTTTTCTGATTTAAGATTATTCTGATAATTGATTTTACTGGTTTCTGTTATTCTTTAGCTCTGGAACTACAGAGGGTAGACAAAAGTTTGTTCCTTTCACTCCCCATAGCTCCCAAACTACTCTTCAAATTTTTAGCTTGGCAGCTGCTTACAGATCAAGGTTTTAAACCAGAACTCTCTCTCTCTCTCTCTCTCTCTCTCTCTTTTTCTTATTTTTTATCATTTCTTGGCTTATGGTGTAAACTAATTATCCCGTTCCTTCTTGCTTATGTCATATATAGGGTTTATCCAATAAAAGAAGGAGGGAAGATCTTAGAATTCATATATGGAAGCAAACAGTTCAAAACAAAAGGAGGGTTAACTGTAGGAACAGCTACAACCCATTATTATGCAAGTGAAGAATTTAAGATCAAGCAAGAAAAAACTAAGTCCTTCACATGTAGCCCGCCAGAAGTGATTTCTGGTGGAGATTATAAGCAATCCACTTATTGTCATCTTCTACTTGGCCTCTTCTTTTCTGATCAAGTAGAATTCATAACCTCCACTTTTGCTTACAGCATAGTACAAGCCTTCACAGCGTTTGAAGAGCTATGGAAAGAAATATGTAATGACATTAAAGAAGGCACTTTAAGTTCAAGAATCACTGTACCTAAAATGAGAAAAGCTGTTTTGGATATAGTTTCAACTCCAAATCCATTTTTAGCTTCAAGAATTGAAGAAAGCTGCAAGAACCTAGAAATTCTCGATTGGTTTGGATTGATTCCTAAACTTTGGCCTAAAGCAAAGTATGTTTATTCTATAATGACAGGGTCAATGCAACCTTATTTGAAAAAACTAAGGCATTATGCAGGTGGGTTACCATTAGTGAGTGCTGATTATGGATCTACAGAGAGCTGGATTGGAGTTAATATAGATCCTTCTTTGCCTCCAGAAAATGTTACTTTTGCAGTTATACCTACTTTTTCTTATTTTGAGTTCATGCCACTTTATAGACAGAATCAAGATTGTAGTTCTGCTAATGATGACTTCATAGAAGATGAACCTGTTCCACTCTCTAAAGTCAAAGTTGGACAAGAATATGAGATTGTTCTCACTACTTTTACTGGTAAGTTTGTATGTTCTTGTTAATCTTTTTTTCAACTTTTCTTTTTCATGTTAACATAAGGAAAGGGTAACTTGAGATTATTATTATTATTATTTTCAAGAAATAAATTCTGAGGTTTCACTACACAAATTTTAACTAATACAAGTAGCTAATAGAGAATATTACCCATATTGTAAAGATCAGAAATGAAACAAAATGTCAAACAGACAGACCCAACTGAGCATCTGGGACATATGCTAATAGGAATGGACATATTGTCCTTTCCCATTTAATCCACTATAAATAACTGCAATTTATCTATTTGTTCTTTATTCCTCATCGTTGCTATGTTAATCCTAGGCCATGCCAAGCATTGATTTGAGACTGTCTACAGATGAGCAAGTCGATAATCTAATCCTTTTCAATGATACCCTAATCCAGTTTAGGAAAGTTACTGTTTAATAGTTAGTTATGAAACTGACATATATAGATATTTTGATGCAAGCTTATTGTAGTAAGGTCTAATTTTGTGGTGCATATGCACTCACTGATAGGTGCAGATCATACCTTTTTTTTTTTTTATACCAGGAATAAGGATTTGACTCTAAATCTATTGCTATGTCACGTGGAGATGATATTTTCCAATTTGTTTCAAATATATATATTATAATAAAATATCTCAGTTGATGACAACCCATTCTTTTGGCTTGTTTTTCCAGGGCTTTATAGATATAGACTAGGGGATGTAGTAGAAGTTGCTGGTTTCTACAAAGGGACCCCTAAACTGAACTTCATATGCAGAAGAAAGCTAATACTAACAGTAAACATAGACAAGAACACAGAAAAAGACCTTCAACTAGTGGTGGAGAGAGGGTCTCAGCTACTGAGCAAGGCTAGAGCAGAGCTTGTAGACTTTACAAGCCATGCTGATGTGGTGAACCAACCTGGGCATTACATAATTTACTGGGAAATAAAAGGAGAGGTAGAAGAAGGTGTTCTTGGAGAGTGTTGCAGAGAAATGGATGAGTCTTTTGTTGATCATGGTTATGTGGTTTCAAGAAAAGCTCATTCTATTGGACCTCTTGAGCTTTGCATTGTAGAGAAAGGAACTTTCAAGAAAATCTTGGATTATTTCATAGGAAATGGAGCTGCTTTGAGCCAGTTCAAGACACCTAGGTGCACAAGCAACCAAGTACTCTTGAGAATTCTTAATGTTTGTACCATTAAAAGGTTTCTTAGCACTGCATATGGCTAATATGTTCATTATTGAAAGTGGGTTTCTCCTCAAATAACACTCTATAACCTAGCTACTAGCTAGATTTCTTCTTTGTAATTCTAGATCAAGAGATGGAAACAAATTTTGCCATTTTCCCCCTCTTTCTTTTAACTTTATGACTCTGAAATTTTATGTTATATAACTTATAAAGGGACTTTCTTTTTCCTTTTTTTTTTTTTTCTATACTCAAATATAGATATTTTTTTATTATTTTGTTTCAAAATATAAGTCGTTTTGAGTATTTTAAAAAAAATAAATGACATTTTTTTTCAATTTCAAAAATAACTATTGATTTTGAGATAAATAATAATTTGGTTAAATCACACTTGATTTTGCATAATCTAAGAGAGTTAATTGATTCGTAAAAAACCTTAAACGACTTATATTTTAGAATTATAGGAAAATTTTTGTAATAACGGACTTATTTTTTATGTTAAGGATTTATGTTGTTTCAGTTTTAATTTATTTGTTTAAATCTGTGGAAAAGCATAAGATTATCCAGTCCTACCTTGTAATTTCTCCTTTAAGAAAAAATATCTTTTATTACTGATATTTACATAAAATTAAAGTCACGTTTTTTTTTTTTTTTTTCCCCTAAAAATCATAACGGAAAGTCATAGAAACTCACTTTCATAGAAAGCGAAAGCTAACAGCTAAAGATTCAATTCTCCACCATTTTATAGGAAATCAATTTTGGACTTATTGATAAAAAAAAGAAAATTAAGAAATTAAATCAATTTTGGTGTATTCAAGATTATTTTTAAATAATTTTTGAAACACTCTCCAATAAAATCAAACCATTTTTCAGAAAGAATTGCTTGAATTTAAAGATATAAAATTAAATGAATTAGGAAAGTTTGAAGATTTACTAAAGTATATTATTTTAAAAAGATTTACTAAATTATTTTTAAATAATTATCTTAGTTTAGAAATTATAGGTATTTTAATTATCATGACTGATATAATAATTGGTAGAAATTTTGACCAATCATTGATTTAAAAATCCTCCAATTTAATAATAAATATACATATATGATAAATGATAATGTATAAAAATAATTATACTATTATATTTCACTAGCAAACCATTATTAAAATATTACTATGGGATTAAAATTTATCAATCAAGTGCGGTCACTAAATCGTTACAAGTTCGATCATCGAAAAACGCATATTGACAGGGGCACACCTGTAAGTAGTTAACCTTAAAGGTACAGTTTTTGACATATAACATCCCATACCATGGTTCAATGTACTAAAATGTGGCAGACTCCAGCTGGATAGTGTTTCATTTCCATTTCTTCTTCTTTCGTTTTCCTCTCTGCATATATAGGACCAGTGGTTCAGTTTGACTTAGAAATAAATGACAAATTATATATATGTATACGTGTGTGTACATATACCCATACCCATCCTTTAATTAGGAAAGGAAAGATAATATTATTGAGAAGAATCTTGCAATGTGAGGTTGACGTTCAAAAACTGAACAAAGGCAATCAAAATCCTGCACAACCACAACAGATGATAATAAAATATAAATGGATGAGAGTTGGAATCCATTTAATGCATATGCATGTACATGTACATGTACATGTCAACTTGCAATAGTGGTTTTATGGGTTACATAATAATTTTAGCTAACTAGCTCATCATCACTCATCAGTTCCTTTTTCTTTCTTTTTTCTTTTTTCTTATTGTTTTTCAATATGTTGCATTGATAAGATTTCAAGATTGGACAGAACACAAACTTCGTACAAACTAAAAACTTGGTAAACAAAAGTTAAATTCATGCATATGCATTCCTAAACTGAAGACTCAAGAACTGAATTGACTACATGCATATAATTAAAAAAAAAAGTAGTTCCATGGTACAAAAGAAATGGCAGTGTATTTGATGCCTTTGCAGATTTCTGATACATGGCCCCATATTTCACTCCTAAATTATGTTATTTGTACTGGTATAAAATCATTTAAGACAGAAGCAAGTTAATAATTAAATGAATGATTGTATTTGTAGAGGCAGATGCAAATGCATGACAGCAGTACAGGACATAGGACTTGTCAGATTTACCTGTTCAAAAGATCAAATTAAGACTGTGATGTAAATGAGATAAGTTATTCGTGAACTGCTTGAAACGAAGCTCGGTAAAAGCTCTAATCAGCTCGTTCGATAAGTTTATCAGGCTGTTGAAAAAGCATGACAGAATAGGACAGAGGCATAGTCAGATTTAACCTACCCGTTGAAAAGATCAAATCAGGACAGTATGTTTGAAGTTGATGAATCTGCCTGGACTCTAAAAGCACATGTGCCTGTTGAAGTTCGTTTTTAGTGTTAGAGTGGCAAACAGAACAGAGTCGATAAAACTATAAGGACGGTACTTTAGCACACATAATTGTTCATCGAACAGACTCCTATTCTTTGATAACATATATATATATATATATATATAGATATAATATATATATATCTTTATCAAGAATCTTATATTTTCACAAGTATTCCCATAATCTGTTTTTTTTTTTCAAATTCCTCTTCATAAGCTAATAACCATCCTATGCGGACTAAATTCCTGACTTGTAGAGGTTGTGGTTATGACTTACAGAAATAACATTAACAAGGATAGAGTATATGATAATTGGGAAAGACTTGCACACCTGCATGGACCCATCTATACAGAAAACCAATTATAAATAGTGTTTTTATTCAAATAAGTGTACTTCCAACCATACAATAGGAAAAAAATGACAAAACACTAATATAATCAAAAATACTCTCATCTAAACCAAAACCATGTTTGTAATTAGTTTGATATACAAGTAAATCCACACAAGTGTAGGTGAGTCTTTTCCATTTATAATCTAAGTCGATGGCACACAGTATAATTGAATATAATCAACAAAAAAGGCCACACAGTTGCTGGTTAGTAACCACTCTTTATCAAGAATCAAAGTCCAAATGCATCGTTATTTGTTAGTTTATAGTCTTTTCCATTTATAATCTGAGATGATGGCACACAGTGTAATTGAATATAATCAACAAAAAAGTCCACACATTTGCTGGTTAGGAACCAATCTTTATCAAGAATCAAAGTCCAAATGCATCGTTATTTGTTAGTTTATAGTCTTTTCCATTTATAATCTGAGATGATGGCACACAGTGTAATTGAATATAATCAACAAAAAAGTCCACACATTTGCTGGTTAGGAACCAATCTTTATCAAGAATCAAAGTCCAAATGCATGCCAGGTAAAACGCAATTTCTGTTTGCTGGCATGGCAATAGGTGCTCAAATGTCAACACTCAACGCCTTCCTTTGAAGTGGACGGACTTAAATGGCACAGCTACCCATCTAATATTTGCTTTCTATCCTAGTCAGTTTATCATCGCAGATTCAAAGTTGCTTTCCAATATTAGCATTAGCTTTTGTATCTCTCTAGACTTTACAACTTGGAAGAAATATAAGCAAGACAAAAACAAAATACATGGACCCACTTGCATAGTAGTTTAATAGTAATCATGAGATATTATTTAGTCTTAATCTTGATTAAAAAAAATATCTAAATCTAACATCTTGTTCCTACATGGTTAATCAGTAATTACTCTATGCAGTATATCTTTGACTACTATTATTAGGGCTACACAATGTTGCTGTTTTATTTTGTCCAATAAATCCCCCAGGCCCAACCTTGAAGCAAGCATGGGCTAACCATAAATTACAAGGGGTTCAGCTTCCCGTTTTGGATCTTTCAAGAAATGAACCCATAAAGCATCCAACTTTATGGAAAATAAAATTGACAGGGAAGCAAATAAACAACAACCAAACAAAGAAAAGAAACATTTTTGACATAGAAGGTTACAAATGAAGCAAATCTGGATACTAATGAATCTAGAAGAGTGGTTTCAATTGACCACCTTTCTCTGTGTACTTCCCAAGGCTAATTTCTTTGTCTCTATCCAAATACAAAAAAAAAAAAAATCCAATATCTTATCTTGAAACAAGAAACTTAGATTTCTCCTCCTAGAGCCAGGAATGCTTACCTCACTTCCTTCACCTCCTTTCATATTCGATACTAACAACTTACACTCCCTAGTTTTTCACACATGCCACTCTGCTATATCTTCCCTCAACGTCACTCAAGCAAATTCTCCCACATTCTACACCCACACACAGGCCAAGCAACAAACACATGGGTTCTCTTTCCCCTCAATCACCTTCCCAATCATCACAACAAAATCCTCCCTCAAATTGTGGCATATTTGCATCATTTTGCTCTAGAGATGCATCACCTAATAGTAAAACCAACATTTCCAACTGGATAGAGTGTTACAATCCATCAATCAATGCCTGGCACCATGTTACAAGAATTCCAGGACTTATTGAGAATCATGCGCTAAAGGATTTCTCTATGGTCTCCATTGGTAACTCGATTTATATAATTGGTGGTCGGCTTTGTAATAAGTTACCTGGCCATGTCCAAGATGAAGTAGACCTTGAAGTGCGATCATCAGTATTACGTTATAGTATACGCGACAAGGAATGGTATAAGTGTGCCTCACTAAAAACTCCAAGGTTTGATTTTGCATGTACTGTAAGTGACAATAAAATCTATGTTGCTGGGGGTAAGTGCATGCTGACATGTCCACGTGGAATTTCATCGGCTGAGGTGTATGATCCAGCATTGGATGAGTGGAAAACACTGCCTAAAATGAGTTCATTGAGGCACAAATGTGTAGGAGTAACATGGCAAGGGAAAATCTATGTGATGGGAGGTTTTGCTGAGAGAGGGGACTCGAATAATACAGAAGGGCCTTGGCACACATTGGAACGGAGTTCTGCTGAAGTGTATGATTCAGAGAGTGACAAGTGGGACCTTATGTTGGGGATGTGGCAACTAGACGTTCCACCTAATCAAATAGTAGCTGTGAATGGCAATTTATTTAGCTCCGGGGATTGCTTAAATGCTTGGAAGGGTCATATTGAGGCTTATGATGGGAAACTCAATATTTGGAATGAGGTTGATGGATCACATTTGGAAACTCTATCCTCTCCTGTTTCCACATCAGATGCCACAGAGGCAAACTGGCCACCCATCCAACGGCTTTACCTCAGCATGGCACCCATTGGGACCCATTTATACTTCTTAGCAGGTTATAGGATGCCAGGTGAGAAATCAAGATCAATGTCAGTTGTCCATGTGTTTGACACATCAGCAAACAAATATGGGTGGAGGAGCTTTGAACCTATGGAGGAAGAAGGAGAAAAAGAACTCTGTAGTCATTGCTGTGTAGCTATACAGACCTTATAGAGTGACCTATATCTGGAACTCTTATCCTACATATTTTACTACTCCCATTATGATACTGTTGTAAAACAGAGGGCCATAAGGAGCTAGTCCAGAGGATGAAACAAAAATAAAAAAACACCAGAACTTAAAGAAACTTAGAATAGAAATTCCTCTGTATAAATAGATCTGCTACTTTTTCATTATGTTTGAAAAATCAGCTCATTGAATAGGACAAATTTACAATGGTACAATTCCTTGCTTACATTCATAATCCGATAAGCGAAGCAATGATTCTGTTCCTATCACTGGACCAACAAATCTAAAACTACAAAAAGAAAGGAGTTAGGCCATACATAATTCTTGAACCACAAACTCATCAATTATAAACTGACCATATCAAAATAATTTAAACCTAAACAAATTAAAGAGAAATTCATTTGGAGACTACACTACTGAAAAAAAATTCAAGAGGTGAACAACAATAGGAATATATAAAGGATGCTCAATTTGAACACTGCAGCTTGTTTCTAACAACTGCTGCTTACACACAGAGGCCAAATTAATCAGAGCAAGAAAAATCAACAAAGTCTTGTTTTTTTAGCATGCCAACAACCTGAGCAGAGTCCAATCCTATATTTCCATGATATTTTCTTGCTTTCTAGAATAACTTTTAATTGTAATATACACTACTACAGTTGAAAGACATGTAATTTAACACATCTAAACGACAATATCGACTGAAAGACCACTCTTTTAAGCGAAAACCAACTTTAGTTTAAGAAAGACTTTAACTTTGGATAAAAGATCGTTTCTATAGAAACCAAGGAAACTGTTCTTTTAAGAGAAACAAAAATTTCCTTTGTCAATCAATGATCGTCTTCGTTTTCTTACTGGAACAAAAGAAACAACAAAACATCTGTCGTTTAATTGGAACGACAAATTTTCCAACAACAGATCATTACACGTAAAGTCCCTAACAGCGTTTTTGACAGAAACGACATTTCAAAGAAAAAGACAAATTGTTCCATTAAAAGAGTCTCGTAAAAGCTTAACTACATACCGTTTGACACTGAATATCCATCCACGGCACAGTAAAAGGAAAGTGGTGGAAACAAACAAACAAGAAATTTATAATTATGTATGGAGAAAGCGAAATAAGACCTGGCCAAGGAATGATATCAGCTTCTTCCTTCTGGAAACGTCGCCTCCATCACCGGTATCGGAAGCTCAAGTTCCGGCGAAGTGGAGATGGAGGTTTCCAAGAGCGGCTAGGCATGGCAATACGTGGCCCCACCGATGTGGGCCCATCATCTCATGACAGGGTGGGCCCAAGGCGTTGAGGATGAAGCCACACCCACGACTCACGACTTGAGCTTCCCATGAAAAGAAGAGAAAGATGATGAAATGGTCAGTCGTAAAAAGAAAAAGAAAATAAAACAAAAAGTACTTTCACGTGAGAGAACCCAAACTCGCACGGGTGACCTGTGACTCTAATAACCGCTTGTCAAGTTGACTCTCCAAGACATTTTGCGGTCGAGATTTGCATTTCCATTGCATTTGGAGGTCCAGCGTAGCACCTGATCAAGAGCTTCTTGTATTGCCGCGTGTCAATTAAATAGTGGTGGTGGTGGTGGTGGGAGCCACAGCTCCGAGATCCGGGACACGGGATCCACGTGAAGACTTGGCTTCGGGTCATACATTATCTTCTGCGGTCGCTGCCATTACTGCACATCGTAGCTTTATCAGTGTTCGTACACGTGGATCTCTTTGTTGATGTGATTGGTGAGCAAATTTTTGATTTATTTGTAGTTTTAAATATCCATGTCCTCCTATTATTTATATATATATGCCATAATTTAAAACAAAATTTTTAAGTACACTAAAAACATTTAAAGATTTACGTATCATGTTATTATTAAATATTTTTCAAATAATATTTTTTAATAAAAAAAAGTTAAGAAAGAACATAAATATGTTTGTATGAGACAAATTTTTATTTATTTATTGGATGTCCAATAATCGGGAAGAATATGATTGACTAAAAATCAATAAAAACTTATGATCGATAAAATTTAAAATTTATTTTTTTTCGCATTAACAGGAAATCAATTATATCATATTTAATTGGCAAGATAAACCTTTTGTACTGTTATTTTAAAGAGCTAATTCACTAATTTTAAATATAATCAATTAAATTTTATTGATTAGATCATAAAAATAAACGGAAGTTATATTTTTAGATGACTCTTAATGAAATTAAACTAAATTGTTGTTCCACTCATTGTTAACTTTTGTAGGAGTGTAAAATATCAGGAAAAAAATAAAATATATTTAGACTCTATTTATTTTCATAAAATAACTTGCTAAAAATATTTTTTAAATAACTTACTCTCAGTTGTTTAGTTGTAATATTAAAAATTAGTTAAAAATATTAAAGTATTTATCTTATAAGACCATAAAAAATATTAAAATGAAAAAATTAAATATGAAAAGAATGAAAAAAATATATATATATATAAATTATGTAAGTGATGGTGGTGATCGTAGTAAATAGTGATTGGTATTAATAATTATGATGATTAATAAATTAAAAAAATAGATTTATAAGATTTGCTAATATTCGAAAAATGTTTTACTTTTTCGAAGATCAGAAGTTATTTTTTAATAAAATAACTTAATTTTTCTTCGATCAGAAAAATATGTTATGTTGACTTATTTTTCTGAGCGCCCAAATAGCTGAAAATTGTAGAAAATATTTTTTATAAATTATTTTACAAAATAAATGTAGTCTTAATTATTAAATATAAAAATATGATTATCCTATAATCATGGCCTCACCGAAAACTTTTTGCATGTAGGAAAAAAAAAGGTATTTTTACATTAAGCAATTAATCAATCAAAATCTTTCATAATAAAAACCTCTCTTTTCAACCTTAGAAATTCACTCTCCTCCTTTTCCACATACAGTCCTCTCTGTGTTTCTCTCTCTACAGTATTCCCAGCTTCTCTTGACTGTTATAGGACAGCCATGACCAACTTTTAACAAAGAAGGAAAGTCCTAAAACTGTGAGATTGTGAAGAGAAGGACAGTTTGTCCTTTTAATGAATGAAAGAAACAGATTTCTGCTGAATAGTAAGATATAGTTATTGTGGAGAAATATATTACATTATGGGTAGGGAAGATAGCAGCTGGGGTACAGTGGCAGTACCAATGGTGGCTCCTTTGAATTTAGAAAGAGAAGAGCATTGGAGACATTTTGATAACTCAGTTAATGCTGTCTCATTTGGGTTTGTGGCTACTGCTATTTTAATTTCAATGTTCCTTGTTATGGCCATTTTTGAAAGATTTCTCAGACCAAGATCATTGTCTTCCTCCTCCTCCTCTGCTGCTGCTACCAGAACTACAACAGATGTTGAGGCACCTGTTATTTTCCATTCCAAGCTCGATTACCCATCCCCAAAAGTATTTTCTCTCTCTCCTTGTCTCTGTTTCGTTTGTATGCTCTGTTTTGTGTGTGCGTGTGATTAGCATTTCATTGACAAAGCGCAACTGAGCCAAGAATATATTCTTTTAGCTGCATTCTTTTTCCGGTTCTTTTTTTTGCTTGGTTTGAGTTTCTGTGTAGAAATGGAGAGACATTAATGGCGAAATGAATTATTATTTTTTTTTCTTGTTTAGAAGAAAGGTATCTCTTTTATTGGTTCTTCCTCTTTCTCTGTGCATGTCTTGATACTTGTTGGATACCTGCAAATGTAATTGAGTATATCTTCCTGCATGATTGTGACTCTTCCTTTCTGCTTTCTTTTTGTTTATAATATTAGCCAATTTCTGGCACTTTTGGCCGGTCATTCTTGCAAATTCAATATTTTTGTGGATGAGTGCACGAAACAATGTATAACAACTAGTCTAACAGAAAGGGAAAAAATCTCTCTTTGTTTCTTTTACAAATTTGTTAAGATTTCAAACAATATATCTGCTTTACAGTTACTGGAAGATATAGAAGATAAGAAGAATAAGCTTCCATGCACAGCTGACTTAAATTTGAAACTTTTGTTGTTTAATTTAGCTCAAGAAAATGTTAATTCCTTTTTCATGTGTTAATTTGGCATGTTCTTTGCAAAGCTTCTATATTTCTTCTTAAAATAAATTTATTCCGCAGAAGTGCAAGTCTAATTCCCTTTTGTTTCTACTGCTTTCTACTTGTTTATGAGAAGTCAATAGTGGTCCATTAAACAGTCTCTTGCCTAACTTATGATTAAGTTCATAATAGGACACATATATGTAAGAAAAGAAACGGATTACTTGATGAAAGTTCCTGTCTGTATATTGTAGTAGCTTACTAGAGGCAAAAGCGTCCACTATATCTCACCAAGCATGTGACTTTTGTCTCTACTCTCTAGTATTCTAATAAGCTAAATTGATTATAATTAAACTTGTTGGGATGATAATCGTAGTGCTTAAACCATTTAAAAAAATTATCATTAGCAATTTTCAAGGTTTGTCCTATACCATTAAATGCAACCAAAAATGTGTAGACAAAGTGGTCAAGTTTTTCAAGCTGGAATTTTGTTGGGTATGGATACAAAAGTTCCTAACTATAGGCCAACATGATCACCTGATATGATGTTGAATGTGAGAAAAAAATGTCCTTTTAAGTGCATATATAAGATACCTTTATATATTGTGCGCCCCATTAGCTTGCCATTTTGCATTGTTCCCTATCTTCTATAGCTGAGGCATGGCTACCAACTCTTCTCCTCTCTGGCTGATTTTCATTTTCTACCATACTTTGTTGGCTTGTGAAATGATATCAAGAACCTGTATATTTGATGTTGATAAGACTAGGTTAATTATGGTATCCCTTGATTTATGCAAGGAGACTTGAAATTTGGAGACAGAAGAATGTGAATGTATAGTGGGTATTAATATATGCCTGTTAAGGAATTATTTTTGCATCTACTTGACTAATTTATGTCTTATACTTGCATCTTCAGAGTAGTATGCAAAGGAAATCCCTTTCGTTTCTTCTGGAATGGCATCTGTATTCTGAACTGCTCTGTTTTGAGGGGGAAAAAATTGCAGCTAGTAGAATAACTTAGTCAATTTTTGTCATTTTGATATAATCCTTCTCAATTTAGTTAATCTTGTCTGAATTGTTTAATCAGGTTTTTTAATGTTGCTATTTGATTCTTCAGATGACAGTGTATGCAAAAGGAGTATCAGTGTTGATGCCTGGGGATAATGTTCCTACCTTTCTTGCACATCCAGCTCCTGTACCCTGTCCTCCTGAACCTACCATAAAGCCCTTTCATCAACACTGCCCTTGCCTTAATTTTACCTTGCCCTCCACTTCTAGCTGAAAAACTAATTTAAAAGAATAACAATAATAATAAGAGAAACTAACTCTAGAACAATATTTCTTTCTTTTACCAATCAAAACTTGAGAAATTTGTACTATCAGCACCATTGGATTCAGCCCAAGTAAGGCATTTGCTTTCCTCAAGTGCAGGCATTCATATTAATGAAGTTCGCCGTCTCATCAATTTCCTGTTGTAATTGATTCTGATGAAATTGATTTGGAAATTGGAATACAATTTCAATTGTTATGAAATGCATACTTTTATTGTCTTCAAAGTGCAAAGAATTGAAATTTGAGAAATTTATGGAGGATGTGATAGAAAAAAGTATTGCATTTGAATTTGCATACTTTGACTTAAGCTTTGAACAGAAAGTGAAATAGCATTTTGTGGAATGCAAGTTGCAGAACCAAACAAAGAGTAATTAGTATATATGAGTTGAAATAGCACCTAAAACAACAGTTAAAAGAGAAATTTGCTGACAAAAATAGTACCGTTATTGTTGTGAAAAAGCACAAGGAGACAAAGAGAAGAGAGAGGCGTGTGCACAATCCACAAGGAAAGGGAAAGGACGAAGGAGTCATCTTCCCCATAACAAAAATACATAAGAAAAGAAGATGCTCCATTTCGAGGTCGAATTGCATTTTCAGCTGCATATCCCTAGACTAGACAAATTAACTCATAATCTCCATGTTTTATCCAGGATTTATAATCTAATTAACTATACACTACAACATAAAAAATCTTTGTAAAGAATAAGTTTCTAGAGGAAATTCAATTTAAAAGCTTGTTTGAATGGTATTTTAGAAAGATTCTATAAAGTTTATTGATTTCATTTGTAAGCTTATATTCTATAAAACATTTTCTGTTGATCTTCACCTGAGCCCTGGCAGCAAGAACAACAAAGAGAGAATCTTGGGACATTTGAACAATGTTTGGTTGCACTTGCATTAACAAGAGAAAGGGAAAAATTACATAAAAATGTCAACCAGCTTCAACCTTCAAAACCCATGTCCAAACCAATACAAGTAATATTTACAGAAAAATGAAACATTCCAAGGACACAAGAGGGTTGTCAAGAGATTCATTTCCTTGCTGTTGCATTGAAACGTTGTCGTTTTCACTTTTCTCCACTTTCTTTCCTTCACTGCCCTCTCCTTCTTCAACTGGCTTGTCACCGGATTTTGCAGTTAAAGATTTTCCGTTCAGTTTCCACGGACTCCCTCCGGCACGACCCTTTAACGCTCCACTGGCACTCGTCCGTGTGGCCGGTGACCTTGACCTTCGGCCTGACCTCTCTCCTAGATCTCTTCCGACTCTGCTAGACCCCACATTATTACGCTGCCCACTCCTCGCTTGACCGGACAACTCCCTCTTAACCGGTGGTCTTTCCATTCTTGCTGGAAGTTTTGGCCCTCTTTCTCTCTCGCCATTGTACGGACGCTTTCTCGGGACTTTGGCTGGAGATCTGTTGACTCTCTTCTTGCTCGTCACCTCATCTTCTCTAATCTCTGTCACAGTAGTAGTAGTAGTGGTTGCTGTTGTTGCCGTTGAGTAAGTATCAAGGCTACATAGCTCCGATGCCTGAGAGACTTCAGGGGTTCTCTCTACTTCCTCTTCGTCTTTCTCCTCTTTGATGCGTTTGTTGTTGGTAAAAGTTTGTGGTTGACTCTTAGGTTCTTGAACAGTGGGTGTCTCTGCAATTTTCTGCTGCGTCAAGGGAGTAGTTTGTGTTTGTGGTGGTTTAGGAATGGGAGTTTCAGAGAGGACTTCTTTGACCGTTTCTTCTTCAAGTGAAGGTGGTGGTGGAGTTACAGCGACATGAGATCTCTTGGGTTCTGGTGTAAGAGGTTTTGGTGGAGAACGGTGGTTTAAGGTTCTTGGATGATGTGGGTCTGTTTTGGCTTTAGAGCTTATACAACAACCCATTTTAGTGTTTAGGACTTTTAGCAGAAAGAAGTAGGGTAGTAATAAAAGTGAGAGTGACGCAGAATTTGCATTGGGGATTTCAAATCTTTAACGATAATAAAAATGGAGTCTTGCATTACTATTAGTGGGTTAGGAGGGTGGTACTCGTAGCTACCTGAGCTTGCTGTATGAGAAGGAGCCTGCTGCTTGATTACCTCGAGCTTTACAGGGTAGATCCTTTAACTAAGGCCCCCTACCCTAAACAATTTAGATCCTTAGGAATTGGAGGGCATAAATCTTTGATTAGACTTTGCAATTTCTATAACAGACCAAAAAGGAAGGTTTGTTTTAAGACCTTTGACATCAAACTTGAAAATTGAAAATCAAACTTCAAATCACTGTAAAAAGCCAAACGATTTAAAACGGTTCAATCACCAATGGACCACTAGCAGTTGGGACCAGCTGATATTTTTAGGGTTTCATCCAAGAGCCCATGGCATGCTTCCTTCAACCAGTCTATGGGCACCACCAACAGCCTGATTTGGTACAACCTATATTCTATATAAGGTTTCAAGTACATTTTGCCAGCAGAAACATTGCAATCACAACCCAAAAGTATAAATTTAGGACAACATTAGTAGAGTTGGGGCCAACGGAGATGGTACGAGTTATTGTAAAGAGTAATGACTAATGCATTTTATAGTTCAGCTGCATGAAATGTTGGGTCAATCTCATTGAAAATGATCCAGTACTATGTATCAACCCAACAGGATGAAATATTTATGAAAGAATTGGAGAAGGGGAAAATTTTTGAATTACAACAGATCGAATTTACAACCAAAACATATTAAATGAGCTTGAGCTTATTTAACCTTGACAAGCCACAGAAGGGTTGGCCTCTTTGAACTTGAGCTTCTAAAATATCACTTTTGACAAGTGGTAAAGCAATTAAATTTGTACTGAAGTAATCATTGGTCAAGCAACACACAATGTGATGAACATGGGATGTTATGTGGAGGGAGAGAGGGAGGGGGAGCACTCATCAAGAGATAGAAAGTTGTGATGATGCCGCCCGATCTGATTCTATCATGGATTTGATATAGAATTCTCCAGCTTTGTATGATGATCTGACCATGGGACCAGAGGCCACATAACGGAATCCCTGTACCATCCAAAGAAATAATAAGATACATGCAAGTAATTTTACCTTCTTGATTTATAAGATATAAAAGTGAAAACAAATCATTGATTATGACTGCAAAGCATGCTTCAAAAGCAAAGTAAACCAACCAAACAGATCACATGATCAAATGCTCATTAAAATAGATATAATCATGTTATCAGTGCATAAGCATGGCATGCTCGGTGATCAATGTTACATGACGGGGCAGTGGAACTAGATGGAGCTTTGGGGGGCCACTATATATATAATATATATATATAATATCATTGGAAAAATATATATATCATGGAAAAAGATTTCACTTTGCCCTCTCCAAAATTCAAAATATCAGTCGGAAAAATCTTATAGATTATCACAAGTCACAATTACAAGAGTAATTGATTGTGGCATGCAAGGTAGCACAATACTAATAACAACCAACAAAAGACCAAAAGGATATTGACAAGATATTTTGTTGGCAGTGAACAATAAGGCCAACTCTGTTGAACTCTACTTATTTAAAAGTATAATCAACTAAATTATAATAAGAGCACCACTAAAACTAGTTTGAGATAGTGACACGAAAAACCTCTAACAAATTGCCTTCAATTCCATATACGCTGAAAATTCTAAACTAGAGGAAATTCTCTACTCAACATGACAAGCATTTCTAGGAACAAAGACAATTACAAATGCTTGCTTCAATACTCAGAATAGAGAAGCCTTTCCATTTCAGAATGTTTTTAGATCAATTTTGATAGAAGCTGTTAGGAATAATCCTGTGACATGCAGGAAGTGTCTTTGACCACAACCATACCTTATTCAATCTCTCTAACATGCATAAGAAATAGATTGTGGATGGTCAAGAAGATTCATCCAGTATATATGTTCCTTCCTTTTTACTAAGACAAGACAAATTAGATTCGTTGCAATCCTTTCAGCAAAGTTGCAAAAAACCAAAACAAAATGTGTACCATGTCATCGTGACCTGATAATAATATATGTAACACTAAGAAAAGACACAGAAATCTGAGTTTCAAAGCATCAAAGAAATCACCAATTTATGAATGAAGTTAGGAAGGGAAAACCAAGGAAGATGAGCCAAGGAAGAGTAGGAGGTAAAGCTAATGGTGTTCCACTTCCTAAACAGAGTTAGTACATTTTCATTGAACATTGTCACTCATTAGAAAGGAAATGGCATGTTCAAACAATATAAAACAGTAATTATAATACAATTTATACTACCAAAATAAGTCATGCACAGAACAAAGGAATAAAACAAAAGGCAATGCAATAACTAAGACTTCTAAAATAAAAGGCAGAAGTGTACCATTTCCATGCCAAGTGTTCTATACTTCTCAAAAGCCTCAGGGGTAATGTATTCAGATACAGGCATATGGCGCTTTGTCGGTCTCATATATTGACCAAAAGTCATCACGTCAACACCAGCTGCTCTCACCTTCTCCATTGTTTTCACAACTTGTTCAGGTGTTTCCCCGCAGCCTAACATTATGGAAGTCTTGGTAAGTGTTCCAGAGGGAGCATGATCTTTTGCCATCATTAGAACATCTAAAGATTGCCTAAAATTAGCTCGATGATCTCGTACAACTCTTTGAAGTTCTTCAACTGTCTCAATATTGTGGGCAAAGACATCCAATCCTGATTTTGCAACTTTCTCTACACAGCCAGAGTCTCCTCGAAAATCAGGAACTAGACAAAGAATGAGATCAAGCAGCTTTAATTAATCAAGCATTAAATTCAAAGATTCAAAAGATAGAAACAAACATAGAGACAGTAACTGTTCTTAAAAACATTAGCTAAGCAGCAACTTCCATATTCGCATTCAGAGACATTTGAACGGATTTATATCCGACAGAAAGACATGATACATAGCTTCATACCCAATGCTTCTATAAGCATGTTTGGCTTCAAAGCCTTGAGCTTCTGCACAGTCTGAGCAAAATGATCACTCCCTTGATCAGGCAAATCATCACGATCAACACTAGTAATCACCACATAGTCCAAACCCCATGAAGCAATTGCCTCAGCCACATTGGTAGGCTCATCAGGATCAGGTGGAGGAGGAGTTCTCGATGTCTTCACGTTGCAAAATCTGAAAAAAAAAAAAAAGCGAAAACATAAGGAAAAAAAGAACTACTGAACGGAAAATTTTTCAAACTTGAACGACAAAAAATATAAACTTACCTGCAACCACGAGTACAGGTATCCCCCAGAATCATAATGGTGGCAGTAGCAGTGCCAGTCTCGCCGCCAGACCAGCACTCCCCCAAATTCGGACACTTGGCCTCCTCGCAAACGGTATGCAACTTCAATTCTCTCAGCTTCTTCTTGATTTGGACATACTTTTCGCCGCCTGGGATAGCTTCCTTCATCCATTTCGGTTTTGGAAGGGGTTTTTTCTTCGTACCCACTTCAACGGAATACCAGTCGTGGGATTGGAGGTCGTTGAATTCAGAGAGGTCAGGAGATTCGGCGGCTAAACGGGCGCGGAGGCCAGCTAGGGTTTGTGGAAACTGAGGTTTTGTAGGTTCAATGGTGGAGGAGAAAAGGCGGGATTTTGTAGACTTGACAGTCCGAGCTACGTAGGTGAAACGAGATTGAAACATGGTTTCTCTCAATCCAGCTCTCTATTTGACGTAGTGAGCGACAGAGAGAGAAGCAGAGACTGAAAATCTGGAATGAGGAGATAGCGTAGGGCCATAAAATGGTCGTTTATTTGGTTGGTGGAGGGTGGCGCCGTTGGGTGCTGACATGGATAGCCCCAAGATGAAATGCCCGAGTTTCCGTGGGCTTTTACAGGTTTTCGATTCCATGTCCATAAATATATGGGCTTGTTGGGAGATTTTTGGGCCTTAAGCTCAAAAATTCTAATTAATGATTGATTTAGATTAGCTATTAAAATGAATTTTAAACTTTTAATTTATTTTTTTTAAAAAAAAACCAAAGAAATGATAGCATGATGATTTTATGCACTAAGCCAATCATTATCCCACTCATATACACAAAATATAAAAAGTTAGAGGTGTAAGAGATTATACATCATATGAATGTGATTGGGAGTTTTTTTTTTATAAAAAAAATAAAAATAAATAGAACATTTTTAAGTTTATTGAGACTAAATTTGTTTTTGAATGATTTTAATTTATATTTGGTTTATATATTCTAGAATTACTAGTAAAAATATGAGATCCTGCCTCAAATTCATTTCATATTTTAAATTTATACAAACATTTCCAAGAATATAAGAAATTTATAGTGAAAAATAAAACGTTATTTATACATCATTAAACTCAAGCTTTAACTCATTTATTAAAAGAACTAATTTAAGTTTGATTCGGAATAAATTCAAACAGCTTGTGAGCCAGTTTTGTTCATATACTCCATTAAATATTATTTCAAATTAAACACCTTTAAACTCGATTTTAACTCATTTATTAAAAAAATTGGATTGAGCTCGATTCACAATGAACTTTTTTTTCAAATTAAGCTTAAACATCTCTTGAGCCGACTCAGGTATGTAACGAAAGGATTGGTAAGACGCAACACAATGCAAATAAAGGAAAAGAAAAAGAAAAATAAGAAAAGGTGATTCTTTATTATAATATCTTTTAGTTTGATTGATGAAGGTCCATTTGTCCTTTTCTAGGACACCAAACAAGGAGCATGAAAATGGTGGTGCTCCACCACAAGCCTAAATCCGTTACAGAAAATGATGAAAAATGGAGAAAATGATTTTTTTATTATATTACATGTCATGACACATATCCTATGATCATCGAATGTGTAGATAAATTGTCTAAATGAGAGTGACTTAACCGCCTCATTTATTTATTATTAATTGCTAAGTTCTGTTATCACTTATCAAGTTCCTATCTTTGTCTCTTCAAATGATTTTCTGCCCTTTTCTTTCAATTTCTTCAAATCTAATTCTTTTATTCCCATCAATTATTTTCATGTCTATTTTTCTTTTTTTAATGGATTAAGATTATACGACAATTACAATAGCAACCCTTTGAATGGATTTGGATTAGGATTCGCTGATATTTCGACCAATCAAAATTTATAGATACCTAACTCATCAAATTGATCAAAATTCTTATAATTGAAAATACTTAAACTCGAGATTTCTTATAGACCAATCAGAAGGCTAACTCCAGCATTCGGTTTCCCAATTAAGTGAAGATCTAATGTTTATTAACTCTTACGCCAAATAATTTTGATTGAAAAAAAATTCAAACTCGAGACTTTTGATTTTTTTATATAAATGAAAAGAGTAATTAGAAGACCGATTCTATAGTATAAATTAACCGTTGCGCCAAAGAGTCTTGGTGGGTGTAAAGGGATTTTCAAACAATTAGTGATAAAAAAAAAAAAGAGAGTGTTGAGAATTTAGGAGATAAAATTATTAAATTAGTAAATTTGGTCGGTTAGTGTAGAATAGAAAATGGAGATTCTTTGACAGCTACCACAAAATGGGATTGGATAATAAAAAAGATGAAGACTTGTTCAACTTTGGATACACAAATTTCACTATTTTTCTAATGACTTTTTCTTTTGTCCATTGAATTGAATTGAAAGAGATAAAATTTTTTTAAAAAAACAAATTCTCTTTCCAAAAGTGGCTTTTTCTGACCTGGAATTTTTATGCCTTCCACGGAAAAACAAACACAGTGTCTCTCCAGTCCCAACGGTAATTAATCTTTTTATTTTAATTAATTAATTGGAAAATAAAAGTAATTGCTCACTTGCACGTTATCATGGCCATAAACAACTTCTCTGCACGCAACAAATATTGTTGATAAACTCAAACAAAATACATGCAAAACTCTTATAATTCAAACGAATCGAATGCAATCTTGAAATCTTCGATTTTTGGTATTTATAAGATTAATTTAGTAAAATAATAATATGATAAATTACATAATAGGAATATCTCTCGTCTTAACTTATTAAATTGATTGATCATTTTTTATAATTAAGAGACTTGAACTCAAAAATTTTTTATTTATCGCAATCAGTGACAACATCAACCAGTTGTTAATTGTTAATGTTGGTTTAATATTATTATTATTACTGAGTAAAAAATGGTAAAATGGGCTTGGAGGAAGGGAAGACAGCCCAGAGCAGCAAGGATTCGACCACGCACGTGAATGGTATAGAAAAACTGGCGGCTATTTTTGACAACTACTGCGGAGTACGTGATTACAAATTTGAATGTCTTCCCATTATTTCCATTTTCACACGCACCTCCCCCGAACCAGTTGTCCCACACTCCCCATTACATTGCATAATTTTTTTTTTTTTTTTTTTTTTTGCCACGTGAATGGTTATAGAAAAACTTGGCGGCTATTTTTGAACAACTACTGCGGAGTACGTTGATTTACAAATTTGAATGTCTTCCCATTTATTTCCTCCATTTTCACACGGCACCTCCCCCGGAAACCAGTTTGTCCCACACTCCCATTACATTGCATTAATTTTTTTTTTTTTTTTTTTAAGGATATACATTGTATTTGAAAGCATTTTTTTTTTTTTTTTTTTTTTTAAGGATATTACATTGTATTTGAAAGCAAAATTTCAAGTTAACGGATACCTACGGGGCAGTTGAGTGGTAAAAAGTACTTACGAGATTAATCACCGTAATTTAAATAATAGATTCAATTTTCTGTAAAGTGAACTTTTCCAAATTAACCCCTTTAGCTCGAAGGTAAAAAACACTTAAAAAAAGAATTTCAAGTTAATGCATCTCGTAATTGTTCTTCCCTTAAAAAAAAAAAACGCAATAGTATAATATATAGAAAGAAAAAAATCAAAATCATTTTTGGTCTTTGGATTCAATTATGGGTTAGAAAAACACATGTATATGAATCAATGTTAGAGTCAATATTAACTTATTTTATCAAACACGTGGTCTAACTGATAAAGAGAGGAAAAAAATAAAACGACGAAAATTCATGTATTTTATTAATATTTTTCATTAGAAGACTTATGTTTATTTTTATGATTGAGAAAATTAGAACAAGAACCTTACATTATTTTTATTAGTTAAAAAAATCGATTAGACTATAACTTATTGATATATTAATAATTTTTTTAAAAGAAATATGTAGATATTAATTTTCATATTTTAATATTGAACGTTGAACTATTATATCAAAACTCATCATAAATAACATATTAGTGCATAGTCTAGTGATATTAATAGATGCGCGAGACTGAGAATAGATCTACGTTAGAATTTTTTTTTAATATTTAAAAAAAAAACTTCATAACAAATAAATAAAAAAAAGGAACAAAGCAATCCTACATTTAATTAGGATTAGCCTATATTTAAGCCTACTACATCTCCTCTACCAGTAGCATGAATTTTACCTAATTTTTCGGGATTAACATTTTCATATTTTACAATATGATGAGCAGTTTCCTACCCATTTCCGAACTCCCAAAATAGAAACTCGCTTCACATAACACGCGCCGCCGTAGAGAGTGGGTAAACCGCATCTCAAATTTACTTGAAAAACTACAACAAGAAGAGCTCTCTCGCTCCCACACCATTTTTGCTTAGTTCATAGTTAAGTTCCTAATACTTGTTACAGAGAAGGAAAGTAATAATAGAGAGAGAAACGGTGGAGGCTTTCCTCTTTTTCTCCGTCTGTCCGTATCTTTTCTTTCACATTTTTCTAGCTTTTCTTTTTTCTTCTGCTACTTCTTTTTTCCAGGTCTTTCCGCAGGTTAGTGCTTTTATTACTTAATTATGATGCAATATTAGCTGACGTCCCGCTCTCTCTTTCTGTTTATTTGATAAAAATTCATTGAATCTTAGCTCCTAAGCTTCTCTACTTCTACTTTTGAAAAGTTCTTGAAGCACTTTGTCATTGCTACTGGTCAGCTAATTTTGCAGCCAATTCTGCTTCTACCATTAGCCGGCTTCTCTTTTAAGGCCCTTGCTTTTCTCTGTAAGTCCTTTTTTGTTTCTTTTTTAATGTTTTGGACTTTTTTTTAATGAACTTGTATTTTTTTTTTTTTTTTTTATATATTTGCTAGCCATAACTTGCTGCAATCATACCATTAGAACGGGTTTCTTTAGTCCCTTGCTTCTCTGTAAGTCTTTTTTTCTCTTCTTTTTAATGTTTTTGAACTTTTTTTTTTAAATGAACTTTGTATATTTTTTTTTTTTTTTTTGGGTGTAGAGTGTTTTGAATTATTTTAGGTGGTGATAAGAGCACTCGTAGGGGACTGTCATGCTATCATGCGTAGACGAATTCTCCTTTTTTTTTATTATATATATTTTTTTTGTGGTTGATTTTTTCAGAATTGCACACAGTGAAGTGTATTTAATTGATGGTTGTGGTGAGGAAGAAGACATTGAGAATACATGATCTAATGAGATCAGCGATCTGGTATTGAGCGTCGCTATGTTTCGACATCTAATGTCGAAGGTCATTCTGTCGGGTTGATATACTTGAGCGCACCATTTCGCTGGATGATACTAATGGCCCCGCTGATTTTTTTTTTTTTTTTTGTGGTTTGATTTTTCAGATTGGAAAGTGAGTTTATTATTGATGTTGTGGTGGAAGAGACAATTGAGATAAAGATCAATGGGAATGAAGAGATCTGGTGACGAGTACTTGAATTTGGAGATCTATGCGAAGGTCTTTGTCGGGTTTGTTTTGATCTGCGCAGCAACAATTTCGCTTGGAGATACTAATCCCGCTGATGGTAATTGAGTCTCTCAGTATTTCTCGTCCTGCTGCTTTTTATTATTATTATTATTATTATTATTATTATTATTATTTCTTTCCTTTAGCGTTTGGAAAATGTAGGATTTGTGAGGAGATTAAATTTTCTTAAGTCAAGTCTTAAATGGCATCGTTAACGGACAGAGGTGCAAAACAGTTAAAATAGTGCCAAAAAAAGAAGGATAAAATTAATTGTATAATTTTGAGCTGGAAATGTAGCATCTAAGTACGTTTCTGCAGTAATTAATATGTAGATAGAGAAATTGTCTCTCTGATATGCATTAGTGTTTCTAGTTGATTTTGTTATTGTTACTTGGAGCTTTGAATCTTATCTCCTGCATTGTTTTGATTGAATTAGTTGCTGCAATTAATAGCTTATACGCTTCACTGGGATCTCCTTTACTGCCCGGGTGGGTTGCTTCTGGGGGAGACCCATGTGGTGAAGGTTGGCAAGGTGTTGGCTGTCAGGCTTCAGATATAATGTCCATGTATGGGACTGTTCTTTTCACTCTTTTATATTAGTTAACTTTCTTGACTTATATAATATAAACACCTGTTTTGATTTTTGTTTTATTTAAACGTTGATTTTATAGAGTTCTTAATGGTGCTAATTTGGGAGGAGAGCTTGGCAATGACTTGAGCAAGTTCGCTTCTATCAGATCAATGTAAGTGGTACTCTGCCTTCCTGTTCTCTTTATCTTGTGTTTATAAGGTGGTGGCTATTTGAACAGCTTCCCATCCATCCCAGAAAAAAAAAAAAAAAATCTTCATTTTATATCTGCTATTTAAGTCACTTACAGAGTTCTCATTTTTGACGGCATTGAACAATGGGGGAGCATCCTATGCATGATTGCATATCTTTGGCAGTAATCCTTCAATGGAGGCATTGTAGCATGACATAAAGGGGTTTACTTTAGATATAGGAAGTCGGAGTCAAAGGATGTTGCCGTTAACTAGGCATTGACACAAACCACCCAACGCTAAATTGATTGAGTAAATTTGCCAAGATAACTAGCATTGACCCAAACCACCTTACACTAGATGCACATGTTATAGTGCAACATTCCCTACACATATGTTTCCTGTTGTTAAATGAATGGTATAAATATAATGATCTCCTGAGTTTCGATCCTTAACCTTGTGCCACCAACCAGCTGACCAAAGAACGCGGTTTTGTGTGTGCCTGCTAACCAGAAAGGAGGAATTACTAATCCTTTTCCTATATCTTTTTTTTAAAAAAAAAAGGAATTTATTGATATTCTTTCTTCTAAACTTATTGGTTATTATCATTAATATTTGTGCTGTTTTTATGTTCTAGAGACTTGAGCAACAACCGTATTGGGGGTAGTATTCCGTCCAATCTGCCAGTTACAATACAAAACCTGTATGTACCCTTGACATGAAATAAAATTGTCATTATTATCTATCTAAGCATCTTTTGAGATTTAGTTCCTGTGACTGTTCTCTGCACTTTCTTAGCAATAGTTTTGATAGTCTTTTCCTTTTGACAGTTTTCTTTCAGCAAATAATTTCACTGGAAGCATTCCGGATTCACTGTCCTCTTTGACTTTGTTGACAGCCATGTAAATTTAGTCGCTTACTGTTACTTGTTCTGATGCCTGGTGGTTCTTGTTCCCAGTTTTTATATATTTCATGTTCATACCTTTGCATTTTATGCTTTGCAGGTCTTTGAACAACAATTTCTTAAGTGGAGAGATACCAGATTCCTTTCAGTCCCTGACCGGGTTGATCAATCTGTAGGTTCTTGTATTAAACTTATCATGCTATTCATCTCCAGGTTCACTTTTTAAGAGAGTTATCGATAACCAAACCGTTGATGTGTCTGCAGAGACTTATCCAGTAACAATTTGAGCGGGCAACTGCCTCCTTCTTTTAAAAGTTTGATTCGTCTTACAACTTTGTAAGTTTTCATCTTAAGCCATTCCATTTACACTCATTTTATCCCTGTGACGAGAGCTAACAACTCAGTTGGCAGACGTTTGCAGCAAAATCAACTGTCTGGGACCCTTGATGTTCTGCAAGATCTTCCCCTGAAAGATTTGTACTATTTCCAAACATCTCCCTTTTAATTTAAACTTCAGCTATCAATTTATACAGTTCTTTTTTTCTATTTGGGGAATTCCATTGTCAACTTTTTGGAATTTTGAAGGATAATTCTTTGCCCTTATGTTAAACAGGAATATAGAGAATAACCAGTTCAACGGACCCATACCTGATAAGATGCTGGCCATCCCAAATTTCAGGTGAGACTCACAAAATATTCCTTTACATTCATGTGGGGTTACCATCAGATATATCTCTCATGTAAGAAAAATTAAGAATAATTCTTGTTCCCCAACTAAGAAGATTGTTGGTATTAGATACTTCTTTATAATTATCATACGGACACTTTCTGATGCATAAATCAGCGTCTAAAATTAGTTGATGATGCTGACAATGGAATATTTGTATATTACACAACTGGGACTGGACCATGAGCATCCATAATTAGTGTCCCTTGAAACAAGCAGGGCTTGCAACTCATATCAGGTTGATATGAAGAAAGACTTCAGATTATTTTTTCTTAGCGGGAATTTTGTAGGGAGATAATATTCGCAGGTCAATCTATGATGGTATAGTGAAATTTTTACTGAAGGGTGCATCTGAGTCATGAAGATAGTGATTATGTTGCAAGCATGTACTTGTGAGAAGCCTTACATGATGTGCTGGTTAGAAGCTTTATCATGCTTCCTTTTTATAGTTTATCACAATGCGTACAACCAAATTATTTGATGGAAAATCATTTTATATAGTTCTCTGTTTTGAATAGCACTTGGATTTATGATATATCAAGTTCAAGACTTGACATGCCTATAATGTGGATAGTCATGATTGAAGCATTTGCATTTGGTTGCAATCCATTGTACTTGACATCCAAGTTGTTACAGTAAACAGGAAGCACATATCTATGTAATTTTACAAAATTTGACACATTGGTCATATTATACTCATTCGGTTGCTAATCCTGTTAGTACTTTTGCAGAAAAGATGGTAACCCATTCAATGCTACCAATGCACCACTACCTGCGCCAACATCTCCATTGACACCGCCACCAGTTTCAGTGCTTCCTGGCTCGCCATCTACACCTTCATCTGGTGGCTCGCCCTCTACAACTTCATCTGGGAAAACACCTGGCAAACAGGTTGACGGGCCGACTTCATCTCAGGAATCAAGTTCTGGAGGAAAAAAATTTCTAACTAGTAAAAGAGTAGTTTGGATATCAATTGCTGGTGTATTGTTGTTTGTAATTTTGGCATTAGGCCTAGTGCTTTTCATGCCAAGGTGTAGCAGAAGAAGGAAGGAGGCTGGCAGAATTTTCAAGCAGCATCAGGTTGGTGTATGGAAAGGCAACAGAGAGAATCCAAGGGACAACCGCTCCTTGGTCCCGTCAACTAATGAAACAGAAAACGGTATACAACTTTTCAATTTAAATAATCTGTCTGTTCTATAAGGTGTAAATTATTTTGATAAATGACATGGAAAATTTTGCTAACAGTTCCAAAGGAGGCTATGGTACAGCCAAAGGAGGATCATCCAAAGCCAACCATTGTGCATGAGAGAGTTGTGCCTCGACTACCAAAGCGGGATGATTATGCGATAGATATAAGCAGAACTATAAGCAGAGAAGATTCATTTTTCATGGACCCTCCTCCCCCCCCTCCACCACCACCACCGCCACCACCTCCTCCTCCTCCTCCTCCTCCTCCTCCGTTCAACACTGAACAGAAAACGGTAATACAAGTCACACTTTCATTACAATAATCTGTCTGTTCTATAAGGTGTAAATTATTTTGATAAATGACAATGGAAAATTTTGCTAACAGTTCCAAGGAGGCCTATGGTACAAGCAAAAGGAGGATCGATCCAAGCCACTCAGTTTGTGCATCTTGAAGAGATGTTGAGCTCGACTACCAAAGCGGGAATGATTAATGCGATAGATATAAGTAGCAGAACTAATATAGCAGAGAAGATTCATCTTTTTCCAATGGAACCTAGCTCCTACCCACCCCTCACACCACCAGCACCTGCATCCTTATATGCCACCACCAGACTTCCTCTCCTCCTCTCTTCTCTCCCCTAACTCCTCCTCCACCACGCTGCCTCCACTCTACCACTCTAACCAACTCCTGCTCTACATCCCATCTCCTCCACCACCTCCTCCACCACCACCACCACCTCCTCCTCAACCGCCTTTGGGAGAGGTTACTGTTACTCCGATTCTGCCTGTAGAAGTAAATGCAGTGAAGCCTCCCACTAAAGCTCAGAACCCTCTCATTTCTGCCAGGTCTTTCACCATTGCATCCCTTCAGCAATACACAAACAGCTTTTCTCAAGAAAATCTTATAGGAGGAGGCATGCTGGGCAATGTTTATAGGGCAGAACTTCCTGATGGGAAGGTATGTTTATTGATTATGATTGATGCGATGCATTTTGAGACCTCTCTGGGGATGGATGAGCCTGAATCTTCTAATTGGACTGTTTTTTTTATTATTTTAAGTACTTTGCTGCTTTCATCAATTTTCTTGGATGCTTCTTTTTCCAAGAGCACTAAATATTGAATTTAATTTAGTTATATACTGTCACTGCCTCATTTAAATGAAATGTAAGAGGAACTTGTCCTAAAGGAGTTTTAGATTAGATGCCTTGAGTACATGCATTAACAAATCTTCTCTTCTCTCTCTCTCTCTCTCTCTCTCTCTTTCTCTCTCTCTGTCCCCTTTGATATCATCTGTGTGGTTAAGAAATTTTTATTGTGCATTATAAAATGGCTTCAATTTTCTATGTTGACTTTTTTTTTTTTTTTTTTTCCTTTTTTTTTTTCTATGTTGACTTTTTTTTTTTTTTTTTTTCGCTTTTTTTTCTGGGGTGGCTGTTTTAGCTGTCTCGCAGGTTCAAAAGAAACTGTTTTTTTTTTTTTTTTTTTCCTTTTTTTTCTGGGGTGCTGTTTTAGCTTCTCGCAGTCAAGAAACTGGACAAGAGGGCTTCAACCCAAAAGGATGATGAGTTTATTGAACTGGTAAACAATGTTGATCGGATCCGACATGCTAATGTTGTTGAGCTTATGGGTTACTGCGCAGAGCATGGTCAAAGGCTTCTAATCTATGAGTATTGCAGTAACGGTACACTGCAAGATTTGCTACATTCAGATGATGAGTTGAAGAGAAATCTATCATGGAACACCCGTATCCGGATGGCACTTGGAGCTGCCAGAGCCTTAGAGTAAGTCAAGTAGCCATATAAAAGCCATCATATACCTCACTCTTGCTGACTTCCCAATCGTATTTTGCTGGCTAGGTAGATATACAACCCTTAGTTTGCGTAAGAAAATCTTATTTTTCCCAACTCCAGGATAGCACCACCAACCTGGCTGTCAATAGTTTAATCAACCATAAGATGTAATGTAGCCAATTGGAAAATAATACTAGGTCATTTTTGCATTGTTTACATACTTATGGGTGAAACTAAAACTGGTATTTTCTTATGCACTTGGATTAGCTACAAAGCCTTTTCTGTGTCTAGTGTCCAAACTAGTGATACAAAAGTGATATTCTGAAGTCAATTTAACTTATAACTCATTTTCAATTGGGAAAAACGTACCTTATCCATTTCTACAACTAAATCTCCCTATTGACTCAAATGCACAGAGTTTCATGAAGACTTGTTGTTTGTTTGTGGATACAGTTGCTTATATGCCAATCACCAGAAATACTAATGAAGTTATTACTTGTCAGACCGAACATTGATCTATAAAACAATTTATAAATTTTATTTTAGGAGTGAGTTTTGGTCAGTGGTATGCTTCTTGTCAGACACGCTTATTATTGTCTTGATGTGCGTGAAGGTATTTGCATGAGATTTGTCGGCCACCTGTTGTACACAGAAATTTCAAGTCTGCCAACATTCTCCTTGATGATGATCTTTCTGTCCATGTATCAGATTGTGGTTTGGCTCCACTAATATCATCAGGTGCTGTTAGTCAGGTAAGTTATGATTCTAATGTCTTGTAGTTCTTTGTATATCTGATGCTGGCAAAGGTTTAAGATATCAACTCTGTTGCTTGATGGAAATCCTTTCAATTCTCAGAAGTGCTAATGGAAAGGATAATTAAAAGAGAATTTTTGCCCTAATGGTGTATGAACTGATAAAAATGTGTAAATGATTGGTTGATGTAACTCAATGAATATTCAGGAGAAGCAATATGTCTGAAAGAAAATTTTGCTTTGGGTCCTTAAGAGTGGTAGGACGAAAACCATTCTCCCCACATAGTTTTCTACTTGTGGGCTCATTCATTCTGATAGGCTTGTTGACAATATCTTATATCTTTTTGGTCATATTGGAAGTATGGCCTTTGACATCTTTTCCTCTAGAATTAGTAATTTTCTCTTCTGCTCCAGTGTAAGTACTGAAATATAGGGGTTGCTTGTACTTGGTGAGGAAAACGAATTTACTGTACTTGGCTAAGCTGCCCATGTTAAGAGACAATAAAATGTTTCATTTGTAGATTGCAACACAAGAATACAGCCTTTTTTTTTTTTTTTTTTTTTTTAAGCTGGCCGCATGTTAAGAGACAGATAATGTTTCATTTGTAGATTGCAACAATCAAGTAATACGGCCTTTTTTTTTTTTTTTTTTTTGTCGCCTATCTGGGATGTTGCTGCTTTGTTCCTTAAAATGGTTGCACACCGTGCTTTAATGCTTCCATTGCAATAAGAAGGTAGTTCTTATGTTCCCAAGACAATGATAGGCAGTCTCCTCAGCTCTTATTCCATTGGCAGGTTGGAGCGTGCTTTAGATTGTCATGTTTTTTTTTTTTTTTTTTTTTTTGTCGCCCTATCTCGGGATGTTGCTGCCTTTGTTCCTTAAATGGTTGGGCACACCTGCTTAATGCTCCATTGCAATAAGAAGGTAGTTCTATGTTCCCAAGACAATGATAAGCAGTCTCTCAGCTCTTATTCCATTGGCATGGTTGGAGCTCTTTAGATTGTCATGTTTTGTACAGCCTTGATTAATGAATTTGTTTCAATATGTGGCAGAGTGCTTTGGGTGGGATACGTGGGACATGCAATGATGTATGAAACTTCTGCTGTCATTTTCTTACAAGCTAATTGTGAAGTTTTTTACTTATTTTCAGTTGTCAGGGCATCTGCTAACGGCTTATGGCTATGGGGCTCCAGAATTTGAGAATGGAATTTATACTGCCCAGAGTGACGTTTACAGCTTTGGAGTAGTTATGTTAGAGCTCTTAACAGGTCGAAAGTCCCATGACAGGTAAAAGCATGAAGCATGTTATGTTTGTTACTTTATATATTCTTATGTTTCTATTAAGCAACACATATTTCTGTCAAATTATTGTAGGACACGAAATCGAGGAGAGCAATTTTTGGTGAGATGGGCAGTGCCCCAGCTTCATGACATTGATGCATTGTCCAGGATGGTTGATCCTTCTCTCCATGGACAATATCCAGCCAAATCATTATCACACTTTGCCGATATTATTTCTCGGTGTCTTCAGGTGAGAATCTCATTCTCTCCTTTTCTTTTTTGTTTTTTCTTTTTATCCACTTTTCCATCCATGCCAGTATTTTATTGTGAATATGCTAATATTGCAATCAGCAGAAAAACAGCAAGCAACTGAAATTGGGGGCAATTATCTGTGCAACTATTTGTATTTTTTGCTGGAATTCCAGCTTTAAGGGCTATATTGTACATTAGTTAGTAGATAGCATAAAAACAAAATAATTTATGGTTCTTAATCAGCCGAACATCAAAGTGTGATCTAACTTCTCAGAGATGGCTATAATAGAGGAAAGCATGAAATGTAATTGTTTCTTCATTCATCATGATACTTGGAAAAGGTGTGTTCTTCCCAAGAAGGGTGGTTCTACATGACATTTCACGTCCTATTTTCTGGGTTTAAAAGTAGTATAAGATGAATAAAGGTAGAGTATAGAGATACTTATGCACATGCAAATGCAGGTTGAGAAAACTGCTACGAAACATTGAAATCCACTTAAATTTCCTTTAGATAAAATTTCTTTGCTCATCGTGCCATCATTTTTTATACTTATAACTCCATGTTTTTTGTTTGCCTTGGTAAATTACTTGTTATTGTAGAACTTTGTTATCCATATAGAAATTCTTCCCTAACCTCAAATTATGTGTTGCAGACTGAGCCAGAGTTCAGGCCTCTCATGTCTGAGGTTGTTCAGGATCTGACAGACATGATAAGGAGAGAGCGTCCCAGCAACGAATCAATTGGGGACTGACATAAATTATGAACATAGGGCTCGTAATCTAAGTTTGTGAATGCAAAGGTGCGGATATTGATATACGCCACAACTCAACACAAAATGATGCCTTTGCCCCTACTGTAAACAAAGACCTCATACTAACACATTCAATTGCTCAAATCCTTCAAGGAAATCAGCTACTATCATATGCTGACAAGCAAAATGGGCTACCAAAATGATGTGCTGAGGACTCCAATCCGAACAATTCGATACTTGTGGTCAATTTATTTGGTGATTCTATCGTTGATTAAATTATGCAAAGTCTTTGTAACTGCACAAAATTAACTAACCCGATTGTTTTGCATTGTTATTTGTTGCTAATTCTTGATAATGAAATTTTGTCTGTAATTTACTGTATACATTAGTGACACTTCTGTTAATCTGTTTGACAAGGACATGCGGAGTAAGGCGAAATTGAAAATTTTGAAAAGAGGGGAGGGAGGGAGGGAGGGAGGGAGGCTTCTCTTTGACTTTGGGTTGATAATAATAATGCTGTGTGCATGCATATTTTACTCGCTGAGACAACCAAATACAGCTAAAATGAGTTGGAAAAATCTGAAGAGGAAGGCCTGAAACTGAAACACGCATTCTCAAGTTTTTTTTTTTTTTTTAACAATAATAATGTAAGTTGACGTGCGACTTATTTATTTTTTTATTATTATGACATTAAAATGCAATCTTACGTGTATTTGCTACTGCTTTCTCCTGCCTTTTGGCTTAAGGAATGAGAAAAAGCCTTCAATAAAGGGGATTAATTATATTATATAAAAAAAACAATTTAAACATCATTTGATTTTTCCTCATTCTGGAATGCTTGAAGAATTTTCATCAACCTCAAATTTTTTTTTTTTTTTTGGTAAAATAAGAAACAACATAAAAAAATAGCTAACAATATCCTGAAAGTGACTAAAGAAGTCAGTTTCTGAACTACTAGTAATATGGTGTTTGAACTTAACTTTTTTTTATGAAAAAACTACACAAATAATTAAATACTACTAAAAATAATTAATTTTATCGAATATATTGTAAAAGTAAAATATATTTCATTTAAACGGAAACGCGTGTTATCCAGTATAATAAAATTTCCTGAGAAAATAAGTAGGATTGATATTATTTTTAAATGCTAATAAAATATTTTTTAATCGCATAAAATGAAAAATTTTAAAAGATAAGGTGGGATTATTTTTTTTTTTATTATTATTTTTATGTTTCTACTTATGAAAGAATGTAAGCTGTAAAATTGGTCACCATCCACTAAATTCTGAGTCTGTTACACTGCAGCAATATATAAACTAACCTTTTTTATCTCTCCCTCCCCTTTTCTATCTCTCACTCACCCGCGAATTTTTCTGTTGTTTCTTTTCTGAATTTTCCTGCGAAACAAACAACCCCAACCCGAAATCCTCATATTTCAAACCATTTTCTACGGTTACCTTCCTCATTTAACGTTTCATCTCCTTCATCCGATCCACCCCCATAGAATCTCCACCGATATCTGATACTTTATCTCTTTATTGGATTTTTTTTTTTTTTACTTTACCTTTTTCTTTTTTGGACTTGAAGTTAGATCTTCTTATTTGGTCTAATGAGTCGCTACGATTCTAACCCATTCGACGAAGAAGAGGTTAATCCTTTCGCGGTATGTTCCTTACATTATTATAAGACAATGTATATCTCGAATTGCCTGGTGGCTGTTTTGCTTAGTTTGATTTTAATTTTTTTGATTGAATTTGTTAGATCTGTTCATGAATGCTTGATTTACATCATAGTTTATCATTTGAGATCTTAAACGTGAGTTATAAATCTATTTTTGGATGGTTTCATTTTGTGTTATTACGAACCGGTATTGATTTAATGCTACTGCTCTTCTACGTAAATGCTCCATTTGGTTACTGATAAAAGGAATGGAAATGCGAAAGAAATTGAACAATTTGGATCTTATCTTCATCTTTTGAATTTTATCTGTTCCAGTGTTGTCTAATTCAGCAATTTCTGGTTTCATTTTTGTCTTTTCATTTTGTGATTAAATTTCATACATGCGTATGAACTAGTGCCGTACAAGCTCCTTATGACCATGGCTGTTAATCAAGGTAGAGTTAACTTATAGAACGCGTTCATGTGATGCATCTAGTTATTATGTTTTACAAGTTCATATTATCTACAATAGAGAATCTTTTACTGATTTATTTTAGTTTTTTTGTATTATTTTTTTAAATTTTGTTTGTTGGTTTTAGGATCAACCAGCAAAAGGAAAAGGGTCAGGGCAATCAAGTTATGGCGGAGGTGCCTTTTACATGCCAGTAAGCTTGCCTTTCCCTTCAATATCTTGTCTGCGTTTATTTTTGTTTGGTGGAAATCACTTTCCAAGATGCTGTTACTATGTTAGACCATCTAATAGTATAATGCACTTTATTTTTAGTACATTAGAAGTTTTTCATGTATGCTTGGGTTGCTTTTAGCTTGTATTTGGTTTTATTGGTTTGAAATTGGCCCCATCACAATAGTAAGAAACTCAAACAGTTGGATTAGTAATATATGCAATTTCACCCCTTTATTATTTTTTGACTCCTCATGTACCTTTGAAGTGAGTATTAGAAGTGAAATGGTGGTTGGATGCTTCCTGTTACAGTGAAGAAGAATAAAAGATTTGTCATGTGGATGCTTCTGTGTACAATCTGCATCTTGCCATACCCACTGCTTCTCCCTTATCTTATCTTTTCTTACTATTTGCCAATGGCGGTGCCCTACAAGTGTTATTTCTTACATCTTCTTAGAACAAATCTTTTGTCCTCTGCTTTTTTATTTTGCCCATCAGCCTCGTTCTTCTAGAGGAGCTGTTCATGAATCATGATTGTATCTATTGTGGCAGGTTTACTTGTTTTCTTTTATATGCACTATTGTCCAGTCTGTGTAGTTTTGGGTTTCTTGCTTTGGAGCTGCTGTTATTGGCTTATTTCTTTTGTTTTCTCTTGTTACATTCTTGCAACTTTCTAGAATAATGTTACTCCTGCAACTTTCTAGAATAATGTTCCTCCTGCAAATTCAAGACTTTCTCCCCTTCCTCCTGAACCCTATGACCGAGGTGCAACAATAGATATTCCCCTTGATGCCGCAAAGGTATTTAGAAGACCCTATATATTTAATCATGCAGTATATTTCTGCAAAACTCAATTTTCCTCTCTGAAAGTCTTTTTTTTTCCACTTCTGTTTATCTCCAGGATCTGAGAGCAAAGGAGAAGGAACTCCAAGCTAAAGAGGCTGAGTTGAAGAAGAGGGAACAGGTGATTGCTCATTAACAATTCTAAAATTGGATGATATATGCACGCACGCACTGCTTTCAGAAACAATTTTTATTTTAGTGGTGTTTGATATTAATGTTTGCAAGTCACTTTTCAATTTTGTGGTTGGTGTTAGAGATGTCTTTGCTGGTTTTGAAATACATATTAAGCGTAAATATTAGTGGGTAGCTGATAATTGGAATCTTGCTTTTGAAGGCAATATAATATGTGGGATATTCAGAAAAAATATTATATTTTCCAATTATTATTAGTGATCCTTATGATAATTGTTTTACTCTGTATGTCAAACTTCTGGAATTTACGAGCTTTGCAACCATATATGATGAACTTCACATATTCTTGCTGTATAGAAAATAAATTTTCCTTGGAGTTATTTGAAGTCTGCTATTTTGGTGTTCTTCAGGAACTAAAGCGGAGAGAAGATGCAATAGCACGGGGTAACCTATTATTTTATATATTTGATGAGACCAGTATATTATAGATAGTGACAATTTTACACCATAACATTATCTGTTTGGTTTTTGCAGCTGGAATTGTTATAGAAGAGAAGAATTGGCCACCTTTTTTCCCTATTATCCATCATGACATTGGAAATGAGATACCAGTTCACCTACAGAGGTTGCAATATGTTGCATTTACGACATTGTTGGGTGAGTTTTAATGCTATATCTAATGATTTTTTCTTTTTTTTTTTTTTTTTTTTTTTCTGGGAATTTAGCGAGAGCTTTGGGCGACGGCGATAGTATGGATGAAGACTTCGCATATTCTTGCTGTATATGAAAATAAATTTCCTTGGAGTTAATTTGAAGTCTGCGTTATTTTTGGTGTTTTCGTTGCAGGGAACTAGAAGCGGAGAGAAGGATTGCAATAGGCACGGGGTAACCTATTATTTATATGATTTGATGAGACGCAGTGATAATTATAGACTAGTGACAATTGTTACACCATAACATTATCTGGTTTTGGTTGTTTTTGCAGCTGGATGTGTTATAAGAGAGAAGAATTGGCGCACCTTTTTTCCGCTATTTAATGCCATCAGAATGACAATTGGAAATGAGATACCAGTTCAACCTACCAGAGGTTGCATATGTTGCATTTTTGACGACATTGGTTGGGTGAAGTTTTTAATTGCTAATAGTCGCTAATGATTTTTGTCTTTTTTTGTTTTTTTTTTTTTTGGTTTAATATTTTGGGGATGCTGCTTTGCTTTGGGATTCAACATTTTTTTCATCAGGTTATTTTTCTCATTTTTGCTGTGATTGATGATAGGTTGATTGTTTTAAAGACAATTCAGAACCTAGAAGTCTTTTTTTTTTTTTTTTTTTTTTTTGGTTTAATATCTTTGGGATGCTACTTGCTTTGGGATTCACATTTTTTTCTCAGTTATTTTTCATTTTCTGTGATTGATATAGGTTGATGTTTTTAACAATTAGAACCTAGAATCAAAATGTGTGGTAGTTTAGCCTCATCTGTATAATAGGTTTTTGCAGATTAAATTGAGATCTTTTGTTCTTTTTTTTTTTTCTGTTGAAGACTTTGGATTATGTTATCATTCTGCTGCAAATTTTTTTTTTTGATAAGAAATATTTCTGTAAATTAGCCCAGCTGTATAATTACTCATTTGTGGGAAACTGCAGGCTTAGTTATATGTCTTCTGTGGAATATTATTGCGGTTACCACTGCCTGGATCAAAGGAGAAGGTTGGTTTTGCGTCCACTAAGCATATTTATTGCAACCTTGTCTTGAACCATTATGGTCTGAACTTCAGTTTTAGATCTAACAATCTGGTTTCACATTCTTTTGGTCTAAATGTGTTTTCTTCCTGTCAGGTCCAACAATTTGGTTTCTTGCTGTCATCTACTTCATCTCGGGGGTTCCTGGAGCCTATGTTATGTGGTATCGCCCTCTATATCGTGCAATGAGGTATTAATAATCAGTCATTTTCTGACTTGACTTCATTTTCGTTTACCAATGACATTTCTGGTCTATTAAATGCCCATGGGAATTTCACCTATGAATGTTATTTGTATGAAATGGATTTTGACCGTTCAGATTCTTGTGTTCTATGAAACCTCATTCTGGAATTTATATCAAATGATCATTTTGACATGCTTGCTTTACATTTCTTTGGTCTATAAGTTCACAGACAACTTTGTAGATAATGCAAGTACTTGATTTTCATATTTATTTGTGTTTGATTCTAGACGTGCTTACTCTCAATTGTATTTCTGAAATGTAGAATCTTTTTTGATGCTGCATGATCTGATACATCATGCTGTAAAAGAAGAAAGCATAAATCTATATTTAGTGAAAATGGAGGAAGAATGTGAAATACTCTAGGAAGGGGTGAAAGTGGAAGGCATAAGCAATTCCTTTTTGTGCATGGAGAAGTCTCATTTAATTGTATCTGAGGTTGTGATACAGATTAGATAATTGATGGAGGGGTTTGCTATTGATGAATTCAATTGATATTCTAATTCACTAGCTGGCAAATTTGCATATTTCTGATGGTTAAAGTGGAAGGCACAAGCAATTCCTTTTTGTGCATGAAGAAGTCTTGTTTTATTGTATCTGAGATTGTGATACAGATTAGATAATTCATGGAAGAGTGTGCTATTGATGAATTCAATTGATATTCTGATTCACTAGCTAACAATCCTGCACATTTCTGTTGCCATATCCCACCGACATACGGATGCCAGAGTTTATTAATGACTGTTGATATTAATTGTCTTTTTCAGATGATAGCTTGGTATGCATTTTGTTCTATGATCATTTATTTGTGATGCCTGAATAGATTCAGTAAACTTGGTTCTATTTTTTATAGTAAACACCATTGAACCACTAGGATATTTCTTTTGAATGAAAATTTGGAAGTAGGCTAACAATAAATTTAGAGGTAGCTTTTGAAGTACTTTAACTTTGATCATTAATTCATAAAATAATATAATGGTTTTAGTTATCAATCTGTCTTTTATGCATTTTTTAATCTACTGGGTTTCTCTAACAAAATGTTATGCCTACTTTTTATGCAGGACTGATAGTGCTCTGAAATTTGGGTGGTTTTTCTTGTGTTACATGGTAAGCTTGTTGATGTTCTTATTATGCATCTTTCTTTTTGTTCCCTTGAAAGTTTTCTTCAAATCCCTCGTTTCCCCCTTCGTGCTTTCTCTTGCAGGTCCATATTGGCTTTTGTATTTTTGCTGCTGTTGCTCCTCCAATTATTTTCAAGGGGAAATCTCTTGCGTAAGTTTTCGTTTAGACTGTATTGTGTAAGGTTTTGTTCGCTAAATAACAGCATTTTTTGCTTTTGGGTAAGGGAATGGCTAGTTTTAGATATCATTTTTCATTTGATTGTCTTTTCCTGATTGTACTGAAGATTTTAATTGTTATGGTTATAGTAAATGTAACTACGTTCTCTCCATCCCTGTTTACATGGAAGAAAAAAAAAAGAAAATATTGAATAATGTTACACATATTCTCTTGCAAAGCAGTCTTATTATGTTGCCTTTAATGTAGGTATTGATAATTTCTTTACTGTTCTAATGTTTTGGTGCGATCTTGTGTGCAGAGGTATTTTGCCTGCAATAGATCTTCTTGGCAGTCACGCTTTAGTTGGGGTAAGTCTTTAGCTTTTAGAATTCTATGTTAGGTATGTATTGATAGTCTTCTAATATTATCTTTGTCCACACTTTTGTAATACCTATTGGAACTATGATCTTCAACAAGTTTTGTAGAAACGTCTTAGGCGACCTGGAGTTGATAGTTGTCATGGATTGATGAATTATTTATTTCGAATGCCCAACCTGGTTTAATGCAAGCAACTCTGAAATTTTACATGCAGATATTCTACTTCATTGGATTTGGACTTTTCTGTGTTGAATCCCTACTCAGTATCTGGGTTATTCAGGTTCAGTAATTTCTGCGACTTTGCACTATACTTTAACTGATATACTTTGTCGACTGCGGTTGTGTGTAAATTACTTTGTTCTGTTGCTTCAATTTTGCAGCAAGTTTATATGTATTTCCGGGGCAGTGGAAAAGCTGCAGAGATTAAGCGGGAAGCTGCAACGAGGACTATGATGGCTGCACTATGACATCCACACCTGAAGAACTGAGATATTATTTGCGCACGGAATTAAAAGATACTCAGAAGTCGATTCACTTTTTTTTTCTACACCTTGCTTTAGGATTAAAACTTGCTGATGTTCATATTCTGGAGTTAAGAATCTTTGATAAATTAGAAAAAGTTGATTAGATTCATTTTAGAGGTTTTGTAGTGAGCGAGGCTGTGAGTAAACTTCCAGGTTCCCTTTTGACATGTTTCCGAATATACGATTTTATGTTTATTCTTTTACGTCTTTCTCAGCAGCGGCAGTTACTATATGCATAGAATGCCAGAAATGTACCATTAACTAAATTACAAATTCATAATTTACTTATATTCCATGGAATTTCATTAAGCTAAAAAATCGTTAAACTAAAATATTTATTTCATACATATACATATATATATATAATGAGATCGTCACTAATTTCATAAATTTTAAATTTTATATTAGACAAATAAACTTACACCTTTTTTTTTTGAGAATTAGAGAAAAAGATTTGAACTTAACAAGGGTGTATTGGATTAGAATTGTGTTAGATTTTAAAAGAATTATTAAGTTTGATGGAATTGAAAGATTTCTTAAGATTTTCACAGATTTCACTAGAATTCTACGCAGAGTTTCATTGAATTGACGAGACTTTTGTTTATAGATTTTGATTGACTTTGATAAAATTATAATGATTTTTATATATTTAATCAAAATTAATTTCAAAACCTAATTGAACAAATTAAAAGATTTAGAGTCAAATGAAAAATGAAAAACAATGAAAGACTAAAAAGAAAAATACGTCATATGCTCCAAAATCATTATTTTCTTAGTTAAAAACTTATAGCCATCGACAGTTAAAGGCCTGCAATGGCTAGTATCGACGGCGGCCATCCCGCTCCCATTGGCCGCTATATCAAACAGCTTTGATAGTGAGTACCGTATTTATAATTGAATACCATCAAATTTTTATAAATTTTATAAGAGTTTGAATTGAATAGCATAAAATTTTGATAAACTCTAAAAGAATCTAGATCGAATACCATTGAAATTTTAAAATGCTTTAAAATCTAACACGCTCTTAATTCAATACATTCTCCTAAATCTACCATCGAGTAATTGTAATGCACAATTTGAATCACTCATAAATTAATGAATTATTTATTTCATGCCTTTGATTTTTTTAATTTGTTTATCTATTGAATTTTTTTTTTATAATTCTTACTTTTTTTTTTATTTTTTAATTAATTTTATTGATGCTCAAATTTGTTTTCTTAAATTTTTATAATTATTAACGGTTTACAAACCATTCTTAGAAAAAGCCATAAAGTTCTCCACATAAACGAAATTAAAATATCTTTCATAAATTGGAGGGTATAATTAAAAATCCGAAGTTAGTTTTTCTACTTCATTTGCAATTGCAGGTGCGATTTCAACAGTAACAGAAGCAAGCATTTCTTGCAAGGGCACCAGATTTTGACCTAAAGATGCTTCACGGATGTAGTTACAGTTACAGTTACAGTTGCAATCACAGCCACAGTTCAAGAGAGCATCACTGCTCTTTTCCAAGTAAGTTCCTTTCTCTTCCTTCTCCTTCTGAAGGAAGGGTTTTGCTAGGGTTTAATCACTTCCATAAAAAAGACGGCAATTTTGCAAAAAGACGGCTTTTCTCTTTACCCAACACCTTTCCAGGTGACCCTACTCTTCCTAGGAGTTCCCTGAAGCAAAATCCTCAAGGAAATAGGGTTTCTCTAGGGTTTAAGCTTCAGTGTCGCTCGAAGAACCTATCTTTACCCACAAAGAGCTCTTCTGTTAATGGTAAAAAGAAGAGGTATGGAGGTGTACTGCCTTCTATTTTAAGGTCTTTGGAATCTGATATTGATATTGAGAAAACCCTTAATTCTTTTGGTCAGAATTTGAGTCCAAAAGAACAGACTGTGATTCTCAAGGAACAGAGGAACTGGAAGAGAGTAGTTAGAGTTTTTGAGTTTTTCAAATCGAGGAAAGATTATGTACCTAATGTTATTCACTATAACATTGTGCTTCGAGCATTGGGCAGAGCTCAAAAATGGGATGACCTAAGGCTTTATTGGATTCAAATGGCAAAAAATGGCGTTCTGCCAACAAATAACACATATGGAATGCTTGTTGATGTTTATGGAAAGGCTGGTCTTGTTACTGAAGCACTACTGTGGATTAAGCATATGAGACTTAGAGGGCTTTTCCCTGATGAAATTTCCATGAATACAGTTATTAAGGCGTTGAAAGACGCAGGGGAGTTTGATAGGGCACATAAGTTTTATAAGGACTGGTGCATTGGGCGGATTGAGTTGGATGACCTTGAATTGGATGCTACAAGTAATTTCAGAAATGGGTCTGATTCTGCACCAGTTAGCTTCAAGCATTTTTTATCAACCGAACTTTTCAAGATTGGTGGGAGAATTCCTATTCCGAGAACTGTTGGATCATTGGATGCAGAAAGTACTGTTAGGAAGCCATGTCTAACATCTACATATAATACCTTAATTGATTTGTATGGGAAGGCAGGGCGTCTCAGTGATGCAGCTGACATCTTTTCAGATATGGTTAAATCTGGGGTGCCAATGGATACTATAACCTTTAACACTATGATTTATACTTGTGGAAGTAGTGGCCATCTGTCAGAAGCAGAGACTTTACTTAATAAGATGGAGGAAAGGGGAATATCTCCTGATACAAGAACTTATAACATCTTTCTATCCCTGTATGCTGACGCAGGCAACATCGATGCAGCCATCAAGTGTTATCAGAAGATTAGAGATGTGGGTCTTTTTCCTGATACTGTAACCCACCGAACTATTCTTCATGAATTATGTGAGAGGAATATGGTGAAAGAAGTGGAAACTATAATTGAAGAAATGGACAAATCATCACAGCGTATTGATGAGCATTCTTTGCCAGGTATTATGAAGATGTACATTAATCAAGGATTGCTTGATAGGGCAAAGAAGCTCTTAGATAAGTGCCAGCTTGATGGTGGATTTTCACCAAAGACATTTGCGGCAATTATAGATGCTTATGCTGAAATGGGGCTTTGGGCTGAAGCTGAGTCTGTATTTTATGGGAAGAGGGCTTTAGTGGGACAGAAGAGGGACATTTTGGAATATAATGTGATGATCAAAGCTTATGGTAAGGGGAAGCTTTATGATAAAGCCTTTTCTCTCTTTAAGAGCATGAGGAATAATGGGACTTGGCCTGATGAATGCACATATAATTCTCTCATCCAAATGTTCTCTGGTGCTGATTTGGTGGATCAAGCAAGGGACCTATTGGCTGAAATGCAAGGAGCAGGATTTAAACCTCAATGCCTAACATTCTCTTCTGTTATTGCATGCTATGCCCGTCTAGGCCATCTCTCTGACGCAGCTGATGTCTACCAAGAAATGGTGAAGGCAGGTGTAAAACCTAATGAAGTTGTTTACGGTGCTTTAATAAATGGATATGCAGAGGCTGGAAAAGTTGAAGGAGCTCTTGAATATTTCCACATGATGGAGGAGTCTGGAATTTCAGCAAATCAAATAGTTCTGACTTCACTGATTAAGGTTTATAGCAAGCTTGGATGCTTTGACAGTGCGAAACAATTGTATCAGAAGATGATGAGTTTGGAGGGTGGTCCAGATATTATTGCATCAAATAGCATGATCAGTCTCTATGCTGACCTTGGCATGATATCTGAAGCGGAATTGGTTTTCAATGAATTGAGAAGGAAGGGTTCAGCAGATGGGGTTTCCTATGCAACCATGATGTATCTGTACAAGAGTATGGGCATGCTTGATGAAGCCATTGATGTTGCAGAGGAGATGAAACAATCAGGTTTACTAAGGGACTCTGTATCATATAATAAGGTAATGGCAATTTATGCCACTACTGGCCAGCTAATCGAGTGTGCTAAATTGTTGCATGAGATGATTGGCCGGAAATTATTGCCGGATGGTGGGACATTTAAAATATTATTTACGGTGCTGAAGAAAGGGGGCATTCCAACTGAAGCCGTAATGCAGTTGGAGTCATCCTATCAAGAGGGAAAACCTTATGCTAGACAAGCTGTCTTTACCTCTGTGTTCTCTGTAGTGGGTTTACATGCTTTAGCACTTGAATCCTGTGATACATTTGCAAAAGCAGATTTAGCTCTTGATTCCTTTGCCTACAATGTTGCAATATATGCTTATGGATCATCAGGGGAAATCCACAGAGCTCTTAACACATTCATGAAGATGCAGGATGAGGGCCTTGAACCAGATCTTGTGACTTACATTAATCTTGTCCGTTGTTATGGAAAGGCTGGCATGGTAGAAGGTGTCAAAAGAATTCATGGCCAATTAAAATATGGAGAGATCAATCCTAATGATTCCTTATTCAAGGCTGTTGTAGATGCCTACGAAGATGCTAACAGGCATGACCTGGCGGAATTGTTTAACCAAGAGCTGAAATTTGGTTTTGATCCTCAACAATTTTCTGATTCCAATTCTGGTTTGCAGCAATATTCTGACTTTGAAGATGAAGATGAAGATGAATCTGATGGAGTTCTTTAGGTATTTAGAATCCGTAATTTTGCATGTTAATGTTCAGAACTCCTAACCCAAAGCTCAAAAGTTGAGGAAAAGAAAGAAAGACACCATTGTGTAATCTGTACAGGAACATATTTTTTTCAAGGAAAGAAGAATTGGTATGTGATGCATAGGCATGACGCTATGGTCAAATTGTTAGGCCTTTGGTAGAGTTTGGGTTTCAGTGGAGAACTATAAAAATGTAACATGGAGATTCCCTGTGTGCATATATATATATATATAGTGGATATCAGAAGCCGTTTTGGCTCTCTCTCTATAGTTTGTCTTGTCCTTTAAATTTAACTCTGCCGCTGCATAATCTTCTCTCCCCTTCTGCCAATTTTTTCTTATTTAAGTTCATATAATGTTAATCTCTTTTTTCTTGAAATACTTAATTTTTTTTTAAGGAAAAAAAAAAAAAAACGTTTTCAGCAAAAAAGTGTACTTTCATTATGGTCTCCAGGTTAAATTAGTTGCGGTGCAAATAATTCTTGCGAATCTTATTTGTTGCTGGGAGTGCTTCCCCAAAGACAATAAAAGATGAGGAAAAAAAAAAAAAAAAAAAGGTCAAATTGTTAGGCCTTTGGTAGAGTTTGGGTTTCCAGTGGAGAACTATAAAAATGTTAACATGGAGATTCCTCTGTGTGGCATATCATATTATATATATAGTGGATATCAGAAGCCGTTTTGGCTCTCTCTCTATAGTTTGGTCTTGTCCTTTTAAATTTAACTCTGCCGGCTGCAATAATCTTCTCTCCCCTTCTGGCCAATTTTTTCTTATTTAAGTTCATATAATGTTTATCTCTTTTTTCTTGGAAATACTTAATTTTTTTTTAAAGGAAAAAAAAAAAAACGTTTTCAAGCAAAAAGTGGTTACTTTCATTATGGTCCCAGGTTAAATTAGTTTGCGGTGCAAAATAATTTCTTGCGAAATCTTATTGTTGCTGGGAGTGCTTCCCAAAGACAATAAAAAGATGAGGGAAAAAAAAAAAAAAAAGAGGTAAAAAAAAAAAAAAAAAAAAGAGGTAGAAGAAGAAGCCGAACATCTTCTCTTCTAGATGCAGGGGAGTCTACGGAAATCTGTCCTTGATAGCATAATTAATCAGTAAACAGAGAGGAGAGAGCATTGAGCTCTCTCAGAAAGGAAAATTCTTTGGTCGGCTGGTCGTAATTCACCAGCAGGAAAATCTTGTGTTCTGCTTTCATAGCTGAGTTGAAAATTGTATTTCTTTGGTCATTCTGGATGTCTGAAATGACTTAAGAGAGACTAATAGAAGCTACATTAAAGAGGCATTTAAGATTGTCTCCATACTTGAAGTTGGTTCCCAACTTCCCATAATGTATGTAAACCCATCTCCCCTGAAAAATCATCCAGAGATGCCAAATCTCTCACGTTTAGACAAGAATGCAAGTTACCATTAGTCTAAATCCAACTTTTTCCGGGCATCTTCTTAACCCCTCTTTTTTTCATTAATCTCCTAATCTTTGCCGCATCATCCCATCGGCCCACTGCTCTATAGATGTTAGCAAGATAAACATAACTCAAGTGGTAGTCAGGATCCAATTTCATAAGTTTCTTTGCAATGTGTTCTGCAGCACCAGAGTTTGTGGACGGTGTGCAAGCACCAAGAAGAACTGCCCAAAGAGATGAATCCTCTCTACAATCTGAATTCTCAATCAAGTTTTCAGCTTCTTCTAGTAAACCAGCACGACCCAAAAGATCAACCATGCAATTGTAATGCTCAATTCCAGGTTTGATTTCATATTCCTTGGTCATTGACATAAAAAATTTCCGCCCTTGATCAACCAAACCTGTATGACTACAAGCAAAAAGAACTCCAATATATGAAATATAATCAGGTTTAATACCTTCACCAAGCATCTCATTAAATATTCGAAGAGCTTCTTCTCCTCTTCCATTTTGGGCAAATCCATAAATCATAGAGTTCCAAGTTATCAAATTTCTAACTGACATCTTTGAAAAAATTCTATGTGCAAAATCAATACAACCACATTTTGCGTAAAGATCAACTAAAGCTGATTCTACAATAACATCTCTCCAACCACCCCTTCTCACATACTGGCCGTGTACTTCTTTCCCTTGCCTTATCGCTGCTAAGCCAGAACATGCACGAAGAACAGTTCCAAAACTATAGAGATCATGCGATTCTACTTCCCTAAAAATCCTAATCACAGATTCAAAGTCCCCATTTTGACAATAACCCCCAAGCAATGCAGACCAAGAAACTGAATTCTTTATACTCATTCTATCAAAAACATGTTGAGATTCCATAACCAACCCACATTTGCCATACATATCAACAAGACTACTCTCAACAACCACGTTTCCACTAAATCCAGATGTAATGACCCTAGCATGTACTTCCTTTCCTCGCTTCAACCGACGTAAATTCCCACAAGCAGTCAACACTGTCCCAAATGTGAACTCATCTGGTGCCAATCCAAGTTTCCTTTGCATCAAATAAAAGAATCCCAAAGCTTTATCATACATATCGTTCCTCGTAAAAGCGGAAATAACAGATGTCCAACTAATAGCATCTGGTTCAAGCAAATCATCGAACAAGCGGCATGCATCCTCTAACCCATAATTTCTTCCATACATATCAATCAAAGCACTACTAATAACATAATTCGAGTCAAACCCTTGACTTATAACCACTCCATGAATGCATTTACCAAGTCTCAAGTTACCGAGATCAGAACTTGCCTTAATGGCAGCAGATAAAGTGAACCCATTTGGGTCAATCCCAAAATCCAACATTTCCAAGAACAATTCAATCGCATTCTTCGGTTTTCCTACTTTAATATAACCTGTTACCATTGAAGTCCAAGAAATCACATCCCTAAAATAAAGTCCATCAAAAAGTCTTCTTGTTTCAAAAAAATTCGAACCCAACTTGAAATAAAGTGCAAGTAAGCTATTGCCAATAAATCTATCGGTTTCAAGACCCGATTTAATTAAATGGGCGTGGATTTGGAGGCCGTGGTTAAAAGAGACAACTTTAGTACAAGTTTGCAAGAGAGAAGCATAGAGAAATGGCTTGTTACAGAGTTTGGCAGAGTCTAAAGAGTTGAGAATGTGAAGCGCATCAAAGAGAGCGCCTGATTTACAGTATTGGATTATTCTGAATTCTTTAGTTTGGGGATTTTGAGAGGTGTTATGATTAAGGGAGGCAAGAGAGCTGCAATGGCGTTTAATTGACAAGAAGAGCTTCATGAAAATGGCTCGAACACAAATCTTTTTAAAAATTGGCCGTTCGGAGACTTCTAGTGGTTAAAGTACGCGCCTTTATATGTATTGTTCTGTTTCTGTTGCAGACCTGTTTACGTTTAACGCATCTTTCCTGCTCCACTCACCCTGGCCCCTCAAAACTCGAAAGTCAAAACAAGACCAAACATGAAAGTCAAAACACGACCAAGTGAAAGTAAAGAATTAAAGTTTCAACCAAATGCATGCTATAGTTGCCAAATCATTAAATTTGACGAAAAAATAAAAATTTACAAATAATATACGGCTATATCATTGAAAAAACTCCAAATTTTATGGGTAATTTTAATATATAAAAGGTAGATGCCTCTAGTTATTACAGTTCATCTCAATTGATTAGGCGGTTTTGATCATTAAAGTTATGCCCTTTATTCCAAGCCCATGAGATCCCAATTGTAGGATGGCCAAATGGACCAAAGAACATTAACAACTGCCACCCATTCATTCATTCCCTTCAACTTCGACCATGGTGCCCCTAATCTTACCCACCTATCACCCTCTCCATAATTGCTGCTCACAACTGTATTTGGACAAGTGGCAAAGATCTACTGGACCCTTAAATGAAAATTTATTATTATGCTTTATAAAAAGAAGTCAAAAAATCATTAGACACCGGCCAGCTCTCCCATTACTCCACTCCATCTATAGCTTTTAAAGCCAACGGTCTAAAGGATCGATCTTCCAAGTTGTGCCCATACGCAATCTCTGAAGAGTAATTTACTAGCTTCACTTCAAGACCTTCAAGCAGCAGAGTTCGTTGAAGTTCAAAAATTCAAACAGAGAAGCAATAAACACATCATCATGGTATGCTTCTGCTTTCTCGTTGATCAGACTCGGAAAGTACGAAGAAGCAAGCCTGCGGCGGGGACTTGCTCAAGGTGCGGTGGTGGTGCCAGCGTGGCTGACATGAAAACTTCTATAAGATTTTGTTATGTTCCATTTTATTGGAAGTCATGGAGAGCAATTGTCTGTACTTTCTGTGGAGCCGTTCTTCGATCTTACCGATGATTATGTACAGTCTTTTTTTTCTTTTTTCTTTTCATTGTATGATTATGTAGGAGCTAGCTAGCTAGTTAACAATGCTTTGACATCTAATTTATGATATTTGTTTTCAATTTGAGGTAGAAGAAATAGATATATTATGCAATGTGTTTTCTTGTTACATGCATGATGAAAATTTTAATTAAATTATAATGGGTGAAGAAGAGAGAGGGTGCAGGAGGAAGGACAGAAATGATGTTGGCAATGGCAGGCTTTAAAGGAGAGAGTTGACTTGTTTGTTTTTTATTTTAGTTTTTTAGATAAGAGAGTTAAAAAATCTCAACTGGAAATTCTTAAAAGAAAATTATGAATGAAGAATATTAGTAAGTAAAGTACAGTTTAAATCTCTTAATAAGTTGATCACTAGGTGGATGGAAAACCCAAAGCCATTAAAGAATTCACTTTCTTTCAGTTTCAAGTTTCAACCAATGCTAGAAAGAAGAAGAGATGGGTTAACTTTTTTAGAAGAAATCAAAACTCAAAATTTTGTTAAGAGGGAATGTATGCTATATACATATATTAAGTTTCTATATTTTGTATAGGAAGTCTTAATAATAAAATATTTATATAAAGAATAAAAATATATAATCTTGATTTAGTGGACTCATTGTTAGGTCATTGAAACGAAAATATGCTATTAGTGTTTAAGATGAACGAGAGGAAGTTGCCTTTTGCGGTGAAATGAATTGCATGGACTTTGCTTCGGTTTGGGCCAAGTTGGCCCATGAAATAAAACGATGCGTTTAACAAAATTCTTGTATTTTAAGTTCATTTTCTCTTATATCGCCGAATGCACTCTGCTAAACCCTAAAGTTGCTACTAGCTGTCCCGCTAGGGTTTAAGAACCAAAACCATTCCTTCACAAGACAAGTTAACAACCCGCCCACCCATTTAGGGAACTCATATAAATTTGATTACTGTCGCTCCCTCTTCTGTAACTATGAGATTTGATTTCCCCTTACTCAACATAAATTTTACCCTAGAAAGCTCTGATTTTTATTTTCCCAGGCATGGTGGGGTTTCTACCTAAACCCACCATTGTTGACGAAGAAGAATATAATCAAGCTTCCAAATCCAAAAACTTTCAAGACCCAATTGAAGATGTCAAGCTCTCTGATTTATCATTCGCCGATTCTTTTCTTGATTTTGACTCCATAAAGGATTTTTTTGAAGATAGCACAGGAAAAAGGAAGATGGCTGATGAAGGCTCTTGTTTTGAGTCAAGACCAATGATGGATTGTTCTAATCCAAGTTTTGAGGAGCCAATTGATAGTGGGTCTGGCTGTGTCGTGATGGTGAAAGATGAAAAGGTGGGGCTTGAAGAAGAGGGGAGTTTGGGTTCCTCTATTGAAGAGGCTATGGGAAAAGTTAGTTTGGTTCGTTCAAGTCCTGTTTGTGGTGATGGGATTGTTGTGAAAGAGGTAAGTTTGATTTCTGGGCCATGTTCGGTTGTTACTGATGGGAGTGTTGCTGAAGGTGGAGTGGCAAGTAGTAAGATGGATACTGGCAATATAAATTTGGCGACGGAATCATGTTCTGTTATTGGTGTAGGGGTAAGTGATATTATAACAGCTAATGAGAATGGAAGTGGAAGTGATTCTGGATCTGCCAGTGCAAGTAGTTCCTCTTCAACATCATCTTCTGACAATAGTGATAGTAGTAGTTGCAACAGCAGTGATGATGATGATGATGATGGGGAGGAGGAGGAGGAAGTCAGACTGCAATTGAATAGAGAAGTAGAAGAGGGTGAGATTGAAGAAGGTGAGATAAGGGATATTAATGGAGGGGAGACGGTTGGTAAGACTGCTGATGATGAGGAGGAAGAGGAGGATGAAGATGATGGATACAAGATGCTTGATTGGAGCGATGTTGAATTTGATAATGTTGAGGAGGCAGAGGCGGAGGAGGATGCTTATGTTGCAAAGGGACCCATTATGTCAAAGAATGAGCTTAAGGTAATTGATTGCAGCTGTGATCTTACTTTTGTAAGAATTAAATTTCTGTTTGTTTTACTTCTTTTCATGTGTTGAATTTGAATTAGCATCAAAGCTCATTCCTCAGGTTTGTCCATATTTCATTTCATATAAAATATATATTGGAGTTAGATTTGAGATTGTTATGTATCTATATGTTCTTTTTAATCAAACAAAAGAAGCCTTATTTGTTAATCTATATCCTTGACTCTCTCAGGCTGTCTGGCACTTCTGAGGTTGAATTTATTAAGTTTATGAACCAGTTTAAGCTAATGCATGTAATGTATGTGATTTACTTCGTCGAACATATGCAAACTTAGCAATCAGTTTAAATTCATCACTAGTAGCAGGTATCTTAGACTTGACATGCTTGGATTGGATATTCTCTTCTGCTCATATGTGCTTCAGTTAGTAGTTACAATTTATAAAGTGTTGGGTCTAGGAATTACGGTCTAGATGGAGTTACTTTGATCTGATATGTTTAATTTTCTGTTATTATATTATCAAAAATCTTGGAACAAGGTGTTGATGTCTCGGACTGAGAGAATACCTGAGATAATAAGAAAAGAATATTTGTGGTTCACATGCCATTTCTCTTCTCCCTCTTGATTGGGGTAACTAATCAAGAATGTTCCGACATTAGTACTTGGTTAGCTGCATATGGACCTCTATTATTTTCCTTTTTGTTTATCTTTTTTCTGGGTTTCTCTTTGTTTGGAACTTGTTTATGTTGATTATTTCCTCCACTTGCTGTTTAGGACTAGTTTTTTGGAGAGGAATTGTTAAAATAAATCTGCTGTTAAAAGTATTTGTTGTTGTGACATATTGCTGAATTAATAGACTGCACCAAAATTTGCAGGTTCTTCCTCCAGTTCCTCCTGTAGATGTTACATTGCAACCTCATCATCAAATGCTGCCTGTTGGAACTGTTTTGTCAGTAAGCCTATATACCCGCTAGGTTTTTATTTTTCAAATTGATTTTAATACTGTATGTTGTTGGATCTTTCGATCCATTCGCATACACCAGGTAACTTTAATTCGCCTAAAAGTAAAAATTAAATAATGTTGTTATTCACAAACTTTCAGATTTTAGGTGCCCAAGTCATTGTGGAGGGGGTGGAGAAGCATAATCCTCTTAATGAGGGTTCCATCCTTTGGATAACTGAAAAAAGATCTCCTTTGGGGCTTGTTGATGAGATATTTGGACCTGTTCAAAACCCCTATTATGTGGTGAGATACAATTCTGAAAGTGAAGTCCCTGCTGGGATCCATCAAGGCACTTCAATTTCTTTTACTCCTGAGTTTGCCAATCATGTGCTCAAGGACAAGGATCTTTACAAGAAAGGGTATGATGCATCTGGTGATAATGATGAAGAGTTGTCGGATGATGCAGAGTTCTCAGATGATGAGAAAGAGGCCGAGTACAGGAGAATGCAAAAAATGTCTAAAAGGGGCATGAATTGTCAGACAGTTGGAAACAAGAAAAATAACAGAAAGAAGGTTAATAATAGAAATGTGAATTGGAAGAATGATATACCCTCAGGACAGCAAAACTTGATGGGTGTCAGCCAGCCACCACCTGATCAGAACCAGCAAAATCGATCTTCTGTAGGAGTATCCATGAATAATTGTTCTACTTCAACCACAGGACAGGATTTTCATGGTGGAACTAGCTTTTTTCCATCATTTCCACCAATAGTTCCAACTGCGGGTGTTTTCCAACCTTCTAATGGAATCTGGGTAAATGGGTTGCCTCCTCAGCATCCACAGAATGGAGTTGTTCCTGGTGGATTTCCAACTAATAATATACCATGGCCTGCTCAGAATCAACTTCCACATCAGATGCCATTTCAGCAACAGTTCAATCCTAATCAAAGTCCAATTCCTACTGGCATGCTATCAGGCGCACAGATGAATCTTTTTGCTGGACCTTCGCCTTGGCCTCCAGTTTTAGGCCAAAATTGCTTTAACCAAGCTACGTTTGGGATGGGCTTCCAGGGTCAACCTGCTCCAAACTTGAATACCATCAATATGGGAGACAAAGTAATGCTGTCCAGTGGACCACTGATGGGACAGAATGGTAATCAATCACCTCTGCCTGTCGTTCCTGACAACTCTCAAGCTCCTCGGCAATATAATCCCGGTGCCTCTACAAGTAACAGAAGGAAACCATTTCATCATCGCAGGGGTGGCCGTTTTGCAGGTGGGAGAGGTAGAGGCAGGCAGCCATCAAATGAAGGTCATTAGCTGTAGGCATTTTGGGATTGGCCTAGCTTGTGCTTTTTTTTTTGCTTTATCGTTTATCCGTTGTGTATATTTGAACTATGTCTACTTATCTACATCAGATGAACTATTCGAAATGATAAAGATAGTGAAATTTTCCCCCCTTTTCCAATGAAATCCTTTTGCCTGATTGAGAGTCAAATTTCAGGCCATACCTCAGAAAGTAAGCTATAATCTACCCCCACAAGCCACTTCTGTTTGCCAGCTTTACGAAATGGAGATGAAAAAAAGAAGTGGCGTCATTGTGGAAGTTTATAGCTAAAAGTAGATGGAACTATTATAATTCCCATTATTCCTCTGGTTTTGCCTGTTTTTATATCAACTCTACCTTGTAAAAGCAAGCTGTTCAAGTAAAATATAGAACTTGCACTCTTCTCAAATAATAAAGAAACATGAAATAACAGAGCAAGGAATAAAAAAATATTAGAGGAATAGAATATATACATGCAAAACAAATGAAGGGATAAATAACTGATTTCAAATGTTATAACAGCCAATGAGAAACAATGCTGAGCCCAGAGACTGGAATTTTCAAAGTTCAACATGAGAGAATGTCACTGAATTTGGGGCTGGGGATTAAATGGATGGAAGTAATGATGGCCATAAAAGGACCACAAAATGATGGTAATATTTAGGAGTAAAAGCATAGTTGGACTTAAGCTTTTGCATTCCTTGTAAAGTCAATGCAAGTCTGGCAGCTGCAATCCGAGAAACGACAGATTTCACACCCAAAGCAAACACAGGAAGTGCAGCCCTTGCATGTAGGGGAGCGGGTGCAGCCTCGGTATACTCTTCGACTTGCCCGTTCTTCATCATCATCACATGTTATTCTGATATTTGAAAGCAGTGAATTGAATCATTCATATTTGAACTTAAAAAAAAAGAGAGAGGATCTTGCCAATATATTGTGCATACATGCAATTAGCATGTCTTCCTCCAGACCAAGTATTCACAATTCAACTGATTTAAATGTTATTTCAACCAAACAAAAACAGAAAGGGAAGCATAAACTTTACAAAGAAACAGGTGGATCAGCTTTTAAAGGACATATGCAAGGAAATTTCAAAAGTCAAGAAAGCATTTAAGAAATAAAACATTGAAGAAATTATCATTTTTCAGTAGTACAAAATTTAATGGAAAATACAAGTAAGAAACAATGCAGCATTTCACATAATGGATAAGTATGCTTCCAGTCTATGACTACCATTGACGGAGGAAAAATAGTTTAAACTCTTATCATATTGGTTAGTGCAAACTAGCTGACCTTAACTTAATAATCTGCCATGCTAGTTCCCAACTGCAATCACAGAGTAGATTTGGTAGGCGAAGCAAAATATATTCATTGTAACAGAAATACACAAGATGGATAAGAAACTAGCAGGATAAGAACACCCTCTTTAGATCTAGGATAATAGACATACTGAAACCATACGTCTCAATTTCTGGCATGAGAAGTTTGACTGTATCAGAAATCATCTTAACATTGGAAGACAATCATATTGAGTCATTTCGACTTAGATATGTATCATCATATCAAATACCCCAACAACGCTAGAACTTAGTTTTATTCTAGATAAACTATGTCATTCTTAAACAATTAAGAACTTCACGTTTAGTCAAAAAAATTAAGTGATTTTCCTTACTGAACAACAAAAGTTGAAAGATCAAGGATGCATTTACTTTACCTCTATCCTACTCAGCTAATGAACATCCATTCTTGAAGAATCATCCATCAGGCTTATATTTCACCAAAAGATTCTTTTTTCTTAACCTCCTCAATTTTATTCATTGACTAACGTAATAAATGATCATTACCCGATAATGAACTAAAGGAAAGAACAAAAGGTAATTGCAAACAGGGGGTTCTCTAGGAATAAATTAAGCCTATGAGAAGAACACCCACAACTAGGATCCATTCCATGTGTTTGCAAACTCTTTTATCAAAAATGTTTTCCCTCGTCAATTTTTCCAGGTGTCTATGAATATATTAACGTCAAAATTCCTTCCTTTTCCATCTACAGCAACTAAGAAAAGAGCAAATGGGACAGTAAGAGGCATTACAACAACAACTTGATTGATGAATACTCGACTGTTCACCAAAATTTTCACATGCCAACAATGCTCCCCATTAAAACTGAAAATATATATAATTTCTATAGCAGCCTCTACTGTTCAATTGCCTACAGTCAAGCTCTAATGTGCATCATATAAGCTTTTATTTCTGGTGCATCTTTACTTCTTATTCATAGTTTTCACTTCAATGAAGTTATTTTTCTAGAATCAATACTTGTACCTGCTATAATTCAATGATAAAGCAATTACAAAAACATTTACTGAGCAAAGTCTTGCTCATTACTCAATTCCAAGTCCTTCTCCACAGGAACATGGAAATGAAGATAAGCTGAAAAAAAAAATCTTATTAGTTGGTAGCACTAAAATATGTCCGCAGGTAAACAAATCATTTTTAAGGTCCTAGGAGATGAAGTTTTACTACAAGGTTAATTCTCATTGGTACAAGTTATCTGCTCTAGCGAACAAATTAATGTGGATAAGAATAAAAATGAAAAAGGTTAACAAATGATGCAATTGAATATAGGTCAATTGTAGATAAAGGAATATAGGTCAGCTCTGAATCCATGGTGCCAAAAGAAAGATAGCTTCTTCTACAATAACTATATTTTCTTATTTTCGAATAAATATGGTAATCATAATCTGATAATCCTCATTAGATGCTCAAGGCAGCCGATTCTTAACTTTCAATTTTGTAATTTTCTTATGGAAGTAACAATAAACTAAAAATTCAGAAGCATGCAATCTAACCTTTGTTAAGATGAAAATCTGATACAAATCATCCAGAATCATTTAGTAGAAATTATTCCAATGTAAGAAGGAAACGTACTTGTCAAATGGCAGATCAGCACATTTCCAGTTTGGATCAGCCAAAGCATCATGGTGAATGCGACACTCTTCTTTGGTCCGCAGTCGGAACCTCCGTTCCTTATTACACTTGTTACAGCGAACAAACTCATCACGATGAGAAACTCGTCCATTCTGAGATCTGTGGGAACCATTGGCACTTTTTGACACTTGGTTGTAGTACTTGAGTAATACAGTCTTTGTCAAAGGTACCTTCTCCCCATTAACTATGACCCATACATTGTTCTTCCATTTTCTTGCTGTCTCTCTTCCAGAATGCTTCTCAAATGCAGCTGGAGTGAGCTTGTCTGTTCATCAAAATTACCATTCCCATGATTAATTATGGAGAGAAAGAAAGTACCGAAATTCTTCAGTAAATAAAGCAATTATCTGATCTAAGCCAGCTGCATAAAATGCAATAATAAAAAAATCCAACAGCATATTAATGCGTATTATTGACATGAACAGAACACAAAACTTCTAAGTATTTGAGGCAGAGTACGAAAATATTATATCCCAAGAGAACCCAATAAGAGTTAAAAGGCACCAAACACCCTTTACTAAGAGCTGATATAAACTTAGCAGCGGCCAAGATGCATGCCTTAACTTGGTTATCCTGCCAGCAGATATAACATATGATCTTGCAAAAGGCATATAATGGCATGTTAACCAAGAACATTCATACAAACTTGAGCCTGAACAAAGTGTTATGATCCTAGTAGCAAGACAAAGCATTGACCTTGACTAGGACCCGTAATGACAGTATATGGGAGTTCATTGTGAGATTTATATTAGCATGCTTTTGAAATATGGCTCCTAGCCTCAGCTGCTAGCTTTGAGTTATGGATCCCCTAAGGTCATATCAAAAAGCCCCAGGTCGGTCATGGAAGCTTCAGGTTGAGAAATGAGAGTGAAACTAATGTTTTATATAACATCAATCATTGAAGCAATCCTCAGAACTTTAAGCGCTAGTGAGTCAGGCTTTGTAGTTGCACTGTGACACTATGTTGAGGAGGATGCAACCTGAGTCGTGAGAAGATACATCCTATTGAACTTCAGGCTGAAACTCAGCAAAACGTAGCCAGAAATATATGCACAAAGAAAGAGCACAAATAACATATCTTGACTTTATGCGTGCATGCTAGTCCATTCCATTTGAATACTATAGTTTGATCCCAGCCAGTTAACGTCCTTAACATAAACTAATAGCTCTTTCATAAAGTAAAGCGTGAATTTTTACACGATGTAATGTAAGTACAAAGAAAGACGGCTATAATAAAGTACTAGAGAGGTTGCTCGACGGTTTTGTGGATAGGGAGCTAAATGATGCTGGACAAGGGCTTACTCTGCCTAACAAGAAGATTGGCTCTGGTGTCAAAAATCAAATCTTGAAAAACCAAACACAAAAGCATTGCAATCATAAAACAGTAATGCAGTTTAAAGAGGTGCGCTCAAAAGATAGTTTCTTTGATGAACCCAGAAGCCTCTCAATATCTGAACCAGAAGATATCCAGTTAGAGAAGCCCACAGATTAAAGTGCATTATCTTCTGGTGGGAAGGCAAGCAGAACTGAGTCTCTGAGACAAAACAACATACACTTAGAATATATAGGAAACGAATTCAACGAAACAACTGGTGAAGCACCCCTATCACTTGATTAAACAACAGAAAGCGACACCCATCAACGTCAAGATACATAAGACACATTCAACATGCATAAAAATCAAAACCCATTCATTAAAAAGGGAAAAAGGAAAGAGAAACTAAGAGAAAGGCGGAAAGAGAAAGAGAGAGAGAGAGAGAGAGAGAGAGAGAGCGCGATAAGGAGAGCGACCTTCATTGCAACCAGGAGTGCATTCACAGGTAATTTCAAGGTCACCATTGATAAAAACCCTAAGCCTACCAACAGCATCACCATATCTATGGCTGGTACACCCACACGTCACCTCTATGTAATCCCCACCTCTCTTGACGCCACTCATCTCTCTCAACTCTTCATCGCTAAACAATATCTCTCTCTCTATACCATTCGCCATCTCCCTCTCCGTTATCGGAAAACGCGAAAAAAGAGTAAAACCCAACAGAGAGATCTTTCAGCCAAAGAAAATCTAAAAGAACAGAAAAGATACGATTTTGGTTTATGGGTATCGTATCAGAAGAAAAACCCAGAAAACCACAAAGGTTTTAAAATAAGAGAAAAAGGGAGTCTTTGATGAAAACCCGCATCGCCTCTTAGAGATCTGGTGGAGAAAACGTTGAAAGTGTCACTGGATAGACATCTGGAGAAGGTATTTGTTTTAGAGAGAGAAAATGAGCTGGCCAAGAGAAACAAATGTCGCGAGGTGTGAGTGTGAGAGAGGGGTTGGGTTAAAAGCCTTTTTATGTTGGGGTGCTATACTATGCTTTGCTAGTTGCTGCATGACATGACACGAGATAGAAATTAGATGAGAGAGAGAAAGCGAAAGAGGAAGGAGAGAGAGAGAGAGAGAGAGAGGGAGAGCCGTAGAGGAAGAGCTTTGGGGTCAGGGCTATTGGCTTATGGGAAAAATCCCTCTCATAGGAAGGAAACGAGGTTTATATATATATATATATATATATAGAGAGAGACACACATATATATAATAACTCGTATCCGCTTCATATAGAAAAGTGTTCACTCTTCTTTGTTTCTTTATTTATTAGTGTTTTGCTTGTTTTGGTGGCTTTGCACTGTTTCCACAGAGTATAGAGACAGATTTTAATACATTTATTACTACTATTTTTTCAGTTTTTTTTAACTGCAAGCTGTGAAATTGTAATCTGTGTCAAACTCTGTGAAAAAAAAAAAAAAAGACCAATCTTGTGTGCTCTCAAAACTCTGTGAAAAAAAAAACAACGAAAACGGTCGAATAGTTAATAAACTTAGGAAGTTAAACACCTAAAAACATGAGTCAACAGGGTATATAATCTGTGTCATTGCGTAAACATTCATGTGTTTGGGTGGTGGTGGCGCGCAATGGGAGAGACGCGGGGTGGTCGTGGGTGAGGAGGCATCAGACTAGTATTGTAAAACAGCTGTGTTCTGTCATCTGCTCAAGTTTAAAATACATTACACTTACTCTGTGTTTTTCATTTCATAGGTAAATTATGGACGTCACTTATCCACTCTAGCCAAAACATGTTTAGTGTGTTGTGAGTGAAAAAAAAAAAAAAAGAGAATAGTAATAACTAGGAGTTAAACCCTAAAAATGGTCACGGTAATAATTGTGAATGGTAACATTCATGGTGGTGGTGGTGGCGGCAATTTGGGAGAGACGGGGGTGGGTGGGTGAGAGGCTCAGACTAGTTATTGTAAACAGCTGTGTCTGTCATGTGCTCAAGTTAAAATACATTACACTACTCTGTGTTTTTCTTCATAGGTAAATTATGCTCCTTTTCCACAGCCAAAATGTTAGGTGTGTGAGTTACTCAAGAAAAGATCAAAACTTTCATTTGCTACTTTAGAAATTGCTATTCTTTTATATTCGTATCTATGTTTTATATATTGTAATTGTAAAGTTGCGTATGGTGGCAAAAAAGCTACTTTAGCGCGAGATAATTTACATTATGAAGGATTGAACTCGTAATTTAAAATACAATAATCAACTTCGCAAGTGTTTTTGTTAACGAGCTATTCCTATTCGGGTTAAAGTCATTTATGATTGTAGTTGGCAAATTGAAAGCATACATACCATATTTCTCTCCTACCCCTTCTATTATCTACAATGAAGAAGAAAAAGGAAGATGACAAGTCACACCACGGAGACAAAAATGGTGTGCCGTAGCCATTTTGGCAATGAATTTGTACAAAACCGATAGTTCTGCAATAATGGCAAGTAGTTTAATTTTGTGGTTTTGAAAATGGAGCCGTAATTGCAATAGTCATGCTTTTTGTTGACCCTTTTTAATTTACATTGTGAAAAAGAAAATCTCATATGACAAAAACAATTTTTGTGTTTATATATAAGTAATAATAAAGCCAAAATTGAAAACCCATTTGACATTAGATCAGCATAAAAAAAATTACAGTAAATAAGAATCAATAACCTACCACATTTCTTTATTTTTTTAAAGGGGTTTCTCAGTAATTTTTCTTAATTAAGACACTAATTTGAATTAATTAATAAAGGATCTCTCGAGATCAAAAAAATTAGGGTATCTTACTCCCACAGCACACATGACACACGGGCTTAAAAAAGCTGTGTTGAGGCAGAAGTAGCAGTGGCCTGCAAAGATATTGATTAGCTAATTAAATATATTAAGGAATAATGGATACCTTTAGTCTATAGGGAGTAATATTATTGAGCAGAAGCATAGTTTCTTTAGTCCTTATGGTCTTTATTAGGACAAAAAACAATAATTTTTGCATATATGCCTGAAAAAAGACAATATATCAAATGATTAATTATAACATATGCTCATACAGCCTTGACATGCATAGAGTGAATTTTCTTTGGTAGCTGATGGCCTTATGGTTCATATAATTGCTATAGCAAGCAATTATAATGTTAACAAATATTGTTATGACCCACTTTAGAGAGGAAAGAAATAAAAGCATCATTCCTTAATTACAATTTTTTTTTTCTTTGATTATTTATTAGCTAAATTCATTGGATTAAAGAAAAATATGAATAAAGACTCTCTTTTTATATTTGGAATAGTGATTAGTGAGTGATATATAATTAATCTTTAACTGGAGTGGCATCTTTTTCTGTGGCCAACTCTTCTTTTGTTAGGTGGGTATCAAAAAATAACTTTTCTTTTCTTTTCTTTTCTTTTCTTTTCTTTTTTTCTTTCTTGGGTTATTGATTGATGTTCTTCTTATGCATGGTATTTTCTTTATTATTGCATTATGAAATGAATGATTGTAATTTCAAGCACGCATGAAAGTTGCCCCCACGCTATCTTCTTGTCTTTGTATATATATGTGCTTCCAAAAGCAGCTTCCAGTTGTAGACAGGCAACTGCCTAATTCCCATTATTTTACTTCAATCTTTACCTTCCACAAAAGGGTTATCACCTATGAACTCATCCTTACCGTTTCATCTATCAATGAATATTGTGGTTAAAAAAAAAAAAACATTCATTTTCTTTATTTTTCGTTCTATGTGCAATGATTTTGAAACTTTCTTTCTTTTAACCCATTTCACGTTGTATATTTAAATTTTGAAATTGAACTTAAATATCATTTCGAGAAGAATACCATATAATTGAGAGAAGATTTAATTACGGGCAAAATGTTGTCATGGATACAAAATCTTCATTTTCTATGTTATGGATCAAAATGAAATTGCTTGGAACCAACCAAGTTTAGGAGAGCTTGATATGGTATATTCTGCATATGGATGATCCTTTTCTTACCCAACAACTACAAGTACATAGAATGCATGCAGATTCCATGTCACCCAATTGTATGGTCTTAACAGGACAGATCAGAACATTAATATACCTGTTCTGCTTTTCTTGGTCAAACGGCAGTTATATATATATATATATACATACACACACAGTTAAAGAAGGTATGAAACATGAAACAGCCTTCTTCATAAATGCGGGATTAAGAGTTCCAACTCCGGTAGAAGCTCAATTAACAAAAGAAAAAGAAGAAGAAGAAGAAGAAAAAAAAAAAAAGCTAAGAAGCAAGAATGTTCAGTGTCTGATATTTCTGTCCGAAAGAATGGCATATAATTAAAATTTGTCTCAGCGGACTACTCATTAGTAACTTTTGATAAAATTCTGTCTTGTAAAGAGTCAATCCACTTTGGACTTCCATAGTATAATGCTGTTCATAGTCATATAAATAATATTCGAATAATAATAAAAATAAACAAAACAATATTATCTTCCTATTACAAGAACATATGGCGCCCAATTGGCATGCCAAGAAACGCTGTATTCCCTCCCTGCCGAGCTAGGCTGATCGTTTTCCATTTTGGAGTGAGCATCTCCTCCTCCTATTTTACTCTGCTTCTTTTTTTATTATTATTCATTAAGAGTTTGATAGACGAATGACACTACAGGCTACATAACAGGAGCATCCAACTCATCAAATTGATGAAAATACTTATGGTCGAGAAAATTTGAATCCAAGATCTTTCACTTCTCATGTGAGTGAAAAAACTAATCACGTATTAACAGTACTTTCTAGCTAATACCAACATAAAGAAAAGCCTTTTACTCTTTGCCCAATTAAAGGGATTGCATTATATGATGTTATAAATTTCCTTGTCTTTTTACTGTACAATAAAGAAGCAAAAGCCTTATTCTGATCAATGATTTGCTATCTATCCAGGGTTACAAGGAGACCTCTTGCGTTCAAAACGACATTATGGGTATTTTTGAAACTACTCGAAATATATATATATATATATATAAAATTTGCAATGATTGCTACTTCAATTGCTTAATAATCAAACCCCTTGAAAATTGAGATCCATATTCCACTTTTTTGGTCCTAACTTTCGGCATATGAGTGAGGATTATTGGTGAACGCCCTTAACCAAATAGCTAAAAATTGCCTATTCATTGGATTCTCCATGGAAGGAAGGAAAGGACCACACCACTTTCAAACCTTGACACTTGGGCTACCAATTTCTATTCTAAATTGCATAACATATGCATATATTTATATATGTACTTCTGTCTACATATAGCTTTAATGTGATGTTAGAGTGTACATTTCACATCCCATTTAGGCTTTTTTTGCTAGAATCCAATGAGAAAAAAGCTAGACTAGAAATTTTATGCCATAGTTTGTTAGAATTAGGTGTTGATTGCGACATGGGCAAAATGCATAAACAGTAACAAATAGGAAAGTAACAAAGGAGGTAGAAGGTAATACGTTAGTTGAAGTTCAACGACAAACCTAACCACCAACCGAAAGTTTTGAACAAAATACTGTCTCTCTTTACCAACAAACTGAGATGAAGTCCAGAGCTTTATCACCTTCTAATCCTAAGATAAAGTTCAGAGCTTTATCAACTAAAGTGGAGAGCTCTAATGGAGTTGGTTTAGTTAAGAGGTGGGTTTAGGGGGTTATTGAGAGAGGGTAATGGAAAATGTAGGAGTTGCATGATGGACATATGTCAAGTCATGAAAATGGAGGCAGTGATAAAAGGAAAAAGAAAGAAAGAAACAGTTAGTTTATATGCTGCAAAATGGAGCGTAAGTGTCAAGTCTGCAGAGAGAGGACAGAGGGGTTGGTCTTTGAGGGTGTGGTTGCAGAACCCCTGAGGCCTGAGCTGCCCTGCACGATTGCCAATGTATTGTGTATGTGAATTGCTGAATCTGATCCACCTTGAGGTACTGCATTTCACTGCATCTATCGGCTTTTGGCAGCTTTTTTTTTATATTTTGTTTGGGATTTATCATTGCTTCAAAACAGAAAAAAAAAAAAGGTTATCGAACAATTATTGGATTAAATTCAGTATAAATGTATAGTTTAAACACAGCCGAGTTCTTATCTTTTGGATTATTAGCATTTTCGTTAGCATGTAGATATTAGTTGTGCTTTCTTCTTCCTTTCGTACCAAAGAAAGAAAAATCAAGAATTAATGTACCTTGATTAAACCAACTCCAAGAACCCCTTTGGTTTTCTGAGCTTAGAACAGTTATCAGTAATATTTTATTCATTAAAATTAGTTGTTCGGTAATTATTAACATTTTGTCGCATGTTAAGGAGAGTAACTTTTTTATAATTCAACCACTTTAAACCCTTAAAAAATAATATTTTTACCTTATCAAAAACACTAAAAGCTATCGACAAAAATGATATTTTGACGTAATTAATGAAATTAGCAACTGCCGATTGAAAAGCTTGCCCAAGAGTTACGTTGTGAAATGTAGCTCCAAAGACATATAAGCTGCATGAACCAGTCGAATCAAACCACTAAATCACATTTAACCCAAAAAGGGCAAAAGTCAAAGAACTGACAATGGGCTACGAGCTGGTTAGCTAAAAATTTGAGCTACAATGAGCTTGCAATAGGCAAAAGCCCACCCAAACAAAACCAACTCCATAGCAAATAGCTTATTGGTGCTGCGTGGGCTGTGATTTTGATTGATGATTATGATTTGTGAGTTTAGGGGTCGAAGGAGTTGATTTGTTACTTTGATACATGTATAAATTAAAGCTTGTGGGGTAGTTTATGAAGCTCGAAAAATTCATTGGCAGAAATTAAATCTCCTGCCCCAAAATGATGAAAAGGATGCTTTACTTGTTGTGTGATTGCCTTTTAGGTTATTTGCCTACTAGGTCAACATTTATATATTCAAATTATTTTAAATTAAACCATTTCATTCAAATGATCAAAAAAAAAAATAATTACATTTTGTAAATTGCAATAAAAAAATGACAATCATGGAGTTTGGTGGTTCAATGGGCCCTACAAAATTTCTTTACTTAATGGGGCTCATTTCCACCAATGGAGGCCTAACCGAAGTCGGACTTTGTAGGCCCAACCAATAAAAAAAGCATAATTATCAAAATCCGACCCGAACAAAAATGCACTGCTATGCCGACAGCAGCCAAGGCCAAGCCATCTTCATTTTAATTAATAAAAACTAAATAAACTAACTTTAAAAAAAAAAAAAAAAGATTTAATTTGTAGTAGCATGTAAAAGAAAATTTGAGATTTAATAAAAAAAATTAATAAATGAGTTATTTAATTGAATGGTAATAAATAAATATATTACATAATTAATTTTTAAAAAAAGAAATTATGATTTATCTCTAATTAATTCCATATCAAAATGGTAATAAATTGATTTGAAGCAGTAGTACTATTTTGGCATATGGTACGGCTTTCTATTCTAGGCTTTGCTTCTGGTAAGGTTTGGCTTTCACGCGCGAAGGAAATGAACGAAACTGTTAATTCTTAGTATTATTTGTCTTAGCTCCGGCAATTAACAGGAGAACCAATAAAAATGAACCGTTCTGTTGTACGGTCTGGTGTCCATTTCCTGAATCTTCCCTCTCTCTGTCTCTCTCTCAGCTGTAGTTTCTCTCCCCAGAAGGAATCAAATCAGCTGATTCAGCTCCAACATTTGAATCTCTCTCTGGTTCGTTGTAAAAGAGCCCCCTTTTCCTCTCCTTTTGTCCTTTATTAAATTGCGTATGCATTTCTAATCCATTTCCTTCGTGTTTATTATTGTTTTTCCTTCCTATAGCTCTCTTCTTTTTCAAGTAGCTGAAACTTACACTCTAAGCATATATTTTTCTCTTCTTTGCCCTTTTTCTATCTCTCTATCTATCTTCCTTTCAATTAGCTTTAGATCTGGGGTAGTTTAGAGCAAAACCTACTTTCTAATTATTGTTTGCTAATTCTAGCTGCTTATAGATTTTTCTAAAGTTTAAAGTCGAAAGTCACATTTATACGCTTTTGTCGCCTGTAAATATCTTTCCTTTTCTGAACTAAGCTATTTTCAGCTTCTTTGGAACTCCTCTCTATTGACAAATTAAAAAGGAAAGTTTTTTTAATTTGTTACTGGGTTCATTTCGACTCTCAATAGTCTGGTAATTTGTGGGTTTTGGTTATTGGCATGTATTTTATTTCGAATTTATGCATCCTTGCTTCTAAGTATTAGCTTGGATGTTATTCATATACCTAAAAAGAAGACTTTGGTTCTGTTACAGAACCTCCTTGCTTCTCTTCAGCTCTTCTCTTTATAGTAGATTACTCTATTCCCCTTTGCTTGTTAACGTTTCCGGATTTCTGAGCTAGTTCAGATTCAGAAAGCTTTCAGTTTTCAGTACAAGGATTGTTTGTCCATGAGATGAAAAACCCGTTAATGAGTATGAGAAAAAATGCCAATTCCCACTCTGGAAGGGTGTTTAGTGATAGAAAATGGCTCATTCCATTCTTTGCTAGCCTCCTTGTATCTTTAACTTTGTTTTTGTCAGCTACTTTTGGGCTATTTACTTCTCCTTATAGTGGAGATCAGTTATCGTTTGACATTATTTCATTTTCAAGGTCAGACGAGTCAAATGACTATTTTGTAGAATCTGATTTAAAGAAATCTTTTAACCTGAGTGAGTATTCGAAATTGGAGGCACCTAGATTTGCTTATCTAATTTCGGGGACAAAGGGCGACAGTCGTAGAATGATGAGGACTTTGCAAGCTGTGTATCATCCAAGAAATCAGTATATTTTACATTTGGATCTTGAGGCACCGCCTCGTGAAAGGTTGGAGTTGGGGATATCTGTGAAGAGTGATCCAACATTTTCAGAAGTTGGGAATGTACGTGTAATGGCACAATCAAATTTGGTGACCTACAAGGGGCCAACTATGATTGCCTCTACACTTCAAGCAATTGCAATAATGTTGAGGGAGAGCTTGGAGTGGGACTGGTTTATTAACCTCAGTGCTTCAGATTATCCTCTAGTGACACAAGATGGTTAGTACTGGATAATGCATTGTTGTTCCTTCTCTTCTGTTATTGTTCTTTCATCGTGCAAGATTTTCTTGATGTGTCGATCTTATGAGCAAATCCCAACATGCTCATTTCATTAAGAAAACTTTATCCAGTTGTTCACTCAGTAAGCAGAGGCGAACTATTACTCTATGACAGCAGTAAAAATAACAAGTCTTGACTGTGCGGCGTGCTTAGCCATAATACATTGCAAGTTTTTGTTGCTCCGGAAGTTTGTAAATTGTGCAGATAGACGTTGAGTTGGTCATTGTAAGTATGTGATGAGTAATACTTGTGTCCTAATTAGTGTAGTTACCTAGATGGGGAACAATGATGAGCATTTGCTCATTGGCAAACGCTTGCTAATGTGATAATCAGGTTAGAGGCAATATATTGAGGGGTGGAGGGGTGGAGAGGTGGAGCCTTGTCATTGGATTCTGAAGTTTGCAACACAATTATTATTCTGATTCTCTGACTCTCTCATATGTGTTCTTGCAACCAACCGAAAAAATGTGATGGATTCAAGACGGCAAATTAGAACCTGAGTTCTGAGACCGTCTCAGTTTGACTAAGCAATCTCTTGTCTTGAAATGCTTTCTGACTTTTAGTTGCCTTGCTGTATGCTGAAGCAATGATCAAAATTTAGCTTATTAATTACCATTGAATTTGATAAATAGTTGTAGGATTTTTGAATTGCTCATGCTTGTCTACTGTTGGAGCTCTATATGAGAGATGTGCTACTGTACAAATGTTTCTTCTGCATTATTTTGTTCTAAGCTTGTCTCTGGATTCTGTTGACCTAGCCTTTCTTCAGTATATGAATTGATTTGTGATTAGCATGTATTAAAGAATTAACCTTTCTTGAATTTGTCTTTTTTATGCTGTTTAGCTATGACATATATTGTACATTATACCTTGCAAAATGGCGATTGATGTCCTTAGGATGATATAAACCTCTTTTCTCCTTATGTTCTATTTCCCTATTTCCTTGCACAGGCATTTTGCAGGGTTCAGATCTGATACATGTTCTGATTGTGCAGATTTACTTCATGTATTCTCGAATTTATCTAGAAATCTTAATTTCATTGAACATATGCGGATCACTGGATGGAAACTGTAAGTGAAAGATGGAAAACTCTGCATCACTTCCCTAGAAGATTTTGCTCCCCTTATATTTTTTCGAGAAAAAATTGAATATATGCACATGCATTTACAACTTTCTGCAGGAACCAAAGGGCAAAACCAATTATTATTGACCCAGGTCTTTACTTATCTAAGAAATCTGATCTCGCTTTGACTTCTCAACGTCGATCGCTTCCTACTTCTTTCAAGTTGTTTACCGGTATGCTATCAATCTAAACTAATTGGATTATTCAGCACATAGTAATCCTGTAGTTTGTTATACAGTAATGCAAATACTGGCTAATATTTGGTTCTTGTAGAATTGCATACTTTTTCTTTACATAAGCTACGAAAACTGTCCATTGCATAAAATGCAAATTTAACTCACATGCTGCTCTCTGCTGTGAAATGAACACTAACAGCTGTGGAATGTAATGGTGACACTTTGCAAAGATATAATTCATGAGGGCAGTGCTTTCCCAAATGCCCCTTCTGCCACTATTCCATGCTCATGGTTTGGCATCTCTGGGACTCATTTGTTGATATCTTGCCATTTTAGTATGATGACACGAAAGGAAGAATCTTGATATGCCATTGTGTTGCGGTTAAATGTTCATAGAGAACCATGTTTGACAATTTATTCGTGGAGTCCTTAGGTGAAAGTGTCTTTCTTTACCTTTTAGCTGAAAAAGTGTCTTTAGGACCTCTCCTTTTAGGTTGGCTGCCCTGGATATAGAGATCTCGGTATGGGTAATTTCTGCATGCTTAGGGATGCTTGTGGACCGGTGGATGCTTGCCTATGGATACTTTCCTGATTGTGGCCCTTGGCAAATCTTTTTTTTTTTTTTTTTTTTGTGCAACTTTTTTGTGTTCTTTTCTTCTTCTTCTTCTTCTTTTTTCTTTTCTTTACCTTTAGCTGAAAAATGTCTTAAAAGAAACCTCTCCTTTGTAGGTTGGCTGCCCTGGATATAGGAAGATCGTGGTATGGGTAATTGTCTGCATGCTTAGGGATGCCTTGGTTTGGACCGTGGGATGCCTTTTGGCCTATGGATACTTTCCTGATTGTGGGCCCTTGCATCTTTTTTTTTTGTTTTTTTTTTTGGCTGCAGACTTTTTTTGTGTTCTTTTCTTCTTCTTCTTCTTCTCCTTTTTTTTTTTTTTTTTTTTTTTTTGTTTTTTTTTTTTTTTTTCATACTTTCAGTGTTGAAGAAATAGGAATTTTGAGCCCTTATGCTTGCCTTCCGATGTACAGGTTCAAGCGCTGGGTAATTGGTCGCCGGCGGGATCTTCGTAGAATTACAGGAATAGATGGGATGGGATAACCTCTCCACGCTCTCTTTTTTTTTTTTTTTTTTTTTTTTTTTTTTTTTTTTTTTTTTTTCATACTTTCAGTTTGAAGATAGGAATTTTGAGCCCTTATGCTTGCTTCCGATGTACAGGTTCAGCCTGGGTAATTGTCGCCCGATCCTTCGTAGAATACAGTATAATGGGATGGGATAACCTCCCACGAACTCTCCTAATGTACTATACAAATTTCATCTCTTCTCCAGAAGGATACTTCCATACTCTTATTTGCAACACTGAAGAATTCCGAAGCACAGCAATAAACCATGATCTTCATTATATTGCTTGGGACACTCCACCAAAGCAGCATCCAATCTCTTTGACCATGAAAGACTTTGATAAAATGGTCAAAAGTAAAGCTCCATTTGCACGCAAATTTGCTAAGGATGATCCTGTTTTAGACAAGATTGACAGAGAGCTTTTAGGTCGCACAAGCAGGTTTGCACCTGGAGCATGGTGTATTGGCAGTTCAGATGGTGATAGTGATCCATGCTCTGTGCTTGGAAATTATTCAGTGTTTAGGCCAGGTCCTGGTGCTGAGAGGTTGCAACAATTATTTCAGACATTGTTATCGGAAGATTTTCAAAAGAAACAGTGTACATGATGGAGGAAAATTTTGATAAACGCCCAAGTGTACATTGGTGTATTCATAGATTATACAGTTGATGTAGATTGCCGGAATTTTTTTTTTTCCCATCATATATGAATGACATTGAACTTGAAGAAGCAAAAATGTTTAGTGCCATAGTTTGCAATCTATCTAATTCATTTATTTTATTGGTTTTTACATTAGTTTTTATTTATTTTCCAATGATATGGATATGGAATGATATAAGGCTTGTCTTCCATGTGCATGAAAGCGTAGGCTCTGTCTGCTATTGTTATAGCAAGAAACTTAAAATTTTGGTCAATATGTAAGCAAGGGCTTTCAGGAAATCTAGGAAGCAGCCACTCTGCTTGTTGCTAATAAGACACATCTCATCCTCAGGTAATGAGACGTTACCTATGGCTAAATGTCAGCACAAGCTTGACAGAGATTTATTGAAATGTCTAAACTTTACAAGTGTTTAATCAGCTTCTGGTAGCAGAGATTAGATTCATGTACTTCTCAACAATCATTTCCGGTGAAAAGTGAGTGAAATATCCTTGCTCAACATCTAACCCTTCTTCAGCAGCTAGCATCTCAATCCGGGCCTGAACCTTCTCTGCTCCAATCCTACTAGGCTCCAAAAGCATACAAGCTACCTCAACTGAATACTCACCGTGAACCAGAGCCAATGCTTGCACTGTTGGAAGGCCACCGCCACGAGCACTCACCATCCTTGCAATCCGGCGAACAATAGAGACATCATTGCACATGACAGGAACATTGTATAATGCAACCCACGAGCAAGCCCCAATCATTGTAACTCCTTTGGTGGGAGACACGTGTTGGGGGCCTTCATCGGGCTTTTCCGAGAGAATTTCAGACATGGTCCATCCAGCCCATTGAGTTCCCATGGAATTTGGCCTGTAGTAACCGAGCTCTCGCCTGATGGTGTCCAAGGCTTTTCCTGTTGGGTGTGCTGCAGCATAAAGAAATACTGGCACTGCAAATGGGATTTAACATTTTAGAGTTTTTGGGAGTTGATTTGGAATCTTTATGGGTTCAAAACCAAGTGTTAATGAACAACAAATCAAACAAGGGAAAGTCATTCCGAAACTTAACCTTGACATCTGCTGCCAATGTCAGCTGCTACGGCTTTAGCAAGCCAAGCAGCTTCATCCAGTGAGGCCCGAGCCAAGGGATGGAAGGCAATTTCATCGACAACGCCAAGCCGAGGGTGTGCACCGATGTGTGATTCAAGATTTATGGCTTCATAAGCTGCCTCAACCATGGCCAACACAGTTTGCTGCAATGGGCTGTAAATGGCACTTCCTGTACTATCAAGAACAACATAGGAAACAAGATCGTACCTTATCCTATTATAATCGCTGTCCTCAAATTTGTTCACCATCACAGTTTCTGGGTGGAGTCTTGCAGCTCTTTCAATCTGCTCAAGAGCTGTGCGGTTTCGGGATTCTGATATGAAAAGCTTGCAACATACCAGCATAGACTCACATATAGTTTTCTTGTCATTCTGTTGCAATCAATTGACAAATGGCGATAAAATTTAGACTTCCCTTTTACAGGATTTTGCCTTCTTCTTTGGTTGGTTACAGTCTCTCAACATTTTTCTAACAAAAAGACTGACTTTTTAGATATAAAATAAAAATTAAATTAATTATCAGATGATTCACGATTTCATTGATAGATCCAATTGAATTATTAAAATGAAATTAAAAATAGTTAATTAATAGAATAAAGAAAAAAAAAATCTTGTATGACGGGCCAAGAAAAAATAAAACATCTGTTGCTGTGCCTTTTTCAAAGGGTCACGAGTAAAATGCGGAGGCAACAGATCCACATGATGAGATGATCTTATCCTTTCAATATTCAGGTTTTATTTATAAAAACAAGTTGACGAAGGTACATTATTATTTTTGTACTGATCGAAGGTTTTTCTTTTCCATCACTCTACTTGATGTTGATGCATGCTTTCTTGGTTTCAGGTAAAACAAACACATAAGGAAAAAAAAATGGAGAAAAGTGCAAACAAGATTTTCCAATCTTAATGTTCTTGCCAAGATCAGATATTTTTGGCAGTTCATCAAAATATTTCCCATTGATGATCAAATCTCTTAAGCAAATTCTATAAACCTGAAAAGGGTAATCATGAAAATTACTAAAGATTGTATAAAAACCAGAAACAGAGTGAAATCGCAATAAATTAAAGTATGCCACTTGCGCTAAAATCAAAAGAAAACAGCAAAAAGCAAAGAAAAAGAACCACCAGAGAGAGAAATTAATTTGATGTTGATCCTAAGTGGAGTTGGCAGTGATTACCTTGCAACTTGAGTTAAAATCCATTGCTTCTTCTCTGCTCTTTCTTGTTTCACCGGTGGCTATGGCTTCTGTTTCAGTCTTGAGGAAGAACTGCCTCCTGCCTGCATATATAGTAAGGCATTAATGGCCAACTATCAAAGCTCATAATAGTATGAGTCAGCATTTACAACCACCATCTAAGCCAATGTCCCCCCACCTGGACCCCTTAAAATCTGCACATGAAGATAAGGGATGAGAGAGAGAGAGAGAGAGAGTTTTTTGTCCAGAAGCTCGATTCACATGCTACTTCAATGGCATCATTCATAGTTTTTTTTATTGAACCCGACGCAAGCTTTATACGTCATATACAATATAGACAATTGGACATTAACTTCATATTTACATTTTTTGTTTTTAATGAGAGCCAGAGCAGGTTCCCCATGCAGAGAAAACTTTGTCTGCAGGGAGAAAGAGGGGAAATGTATTATGAGAAAACTTGAAAGGACAAAATTGAAAATCAATTTTTTATTTTAATAAGTAGCAAAATTATTATTAGTTTCTTTGACGTGATGGCGCAACAAAAAGCTACTGCAAGTTAACGGTTGAGAGAAACATAAATTAGAGACAGAACAGAGTACATGCCTTTCAAATAATTAATTAACAAAAACTACTCCATTGAAAAGATTTTCTTTTTAATTTCAGGATAGAATCAAATTAAATTATTAGCACTTAAATTATCTTCAATCAATAATTCCTGAAGTAGCATATCTAATTTGGATTTTGCAGTGTCAATATTGATGTAGGCATGAAAGCGACTTGTCCAGAAAGATCAACCGAAAAAAAATTTAAGGAATCTCTTCAACCAATCTTATCTCCTTACAACTTCATAAATTTTCTTATGAATCCTCTCTTCTCACAGAACAAGCTGGAAGGAACTAAACAAGCTATGTACATAGTCAAGAAATGAACGGGGTAGGTTCTTTATCCTGCACTAAGTAAAAAGAGATTTCTTTCAACTTCTGCATAGGAGGTTCTGAATTATGTCTCGTCATGATAGCAATAGCAGATGATAATCTCTCAAATTACTGTGCAAGTTCACATACTTCTGCAACAAGAACATCTAAGGCTTCCCCTGTAGTTAAATCAGACCTAGCAAACCTCAGGAGAGCAGAGCGAGGGTTGCTGCTTTACCAATCACCATCATTATTTCTCGAAAACTGTCTATCAAGAAGAATTCTAAATAATTCTTTGTTAGCCTATGATAGAGATGCAAGAAAGAAGCTTCTTCTTCTGCAGCAACATTTTTACTAGAAGGAACTCTCCGTTAGACACTTCTAGGTGCACTGGAATAGCATCCCTTGCTTGTTTCACTAGGCTTTGCTTCAACACTCACAAATGGTTGAAAACCTGATCTCCATGTAGCCATTAGAGAACTAATCTCCAGCTTCAGGCCATCTACTGACTATTTGTATAACAATGAAGGATGAAAACATTGAAGGAAAGATATTTCAATAAACAATCATGATATTTGCTTGAACAAAAATTCCAGGGATAAAGCATCTTTTATTATTTCATTCCTTGAATAAATTTTCACAGAAAGCAAATTGCCTTCTCAAGTACAATATTTCATCTCGTAGTTACAACAGGGGATCCGACTTCAAGTAGCTTTGAATGATTTTTTCTTGTGAAAAGTCAGTAAAATATCCTTTCCCTACAGCTACACCCTCTTCCTCTGCAAGCCTCTCAACTTCTTGCTGAACTCTTTCTCCTCCCACTTTACTTGGTTCCAACAAGTTACAAGCTACCTCAATTACGTCATCACCATGTGTGAGAGCCATGGTTTGTACTGAAGTAAGTCCACCACCTCTCCCACTAACTCGTTTTGCAATTCTGCGAACAGCAGCAATGTCAGTAGAGAAGACAGGGACATTGTAGTTGTCAACCCACTGGGTTGCTCCAATTACAACAACGCCTTTTTCTCGAGTCACTTGAGCAGGACCTTCATCTGGCTTCACTGACAAGTACTCTGATTTTGGTCCTCCTATCCATTGGTTTCCAGAATTTGGCTTGAAATAACCCAGTTCTCTTCTGATTAAATCGAGTGTCCTTCCTTGTTCATTGGCAGCTCCATATAAGAAGGTAGGGACTGCAAACTACATTTAAGATCATTAGCAATGCAGAAATAAAGTATATTCTTATACACTAAGTTCCAATAAGGAAGTCAAAACCCATTAATTGTAGACAATATTGCCCCCAAGATTGATACCATATAATGAAAACTATTTTAATCACCAAATCACATGAAAATTAACATATTTACATGCTTTCTTCTCTCTTGTCTAATAACATGTAGAACAAAAATAATTTCTTTCAAAAAGCTCAAACCTTGAAGACTAGAGCTAACATCTACTGCCAAGGACTTTGCTATATCTGCTGCATGGTCCAAAGATGAATGTGTTAAAGGATGAAAGCAAATGTGGTCGACAACACCAAGCCGAGGATGACTTCCACAATGTAACTCAAGATCAATGGCTTCAAAAGCAGCTTTAACCATGGTAAGCACAGCACTCTTCAAAGGACATGAATCTAGAGACTGTTTTGGATCCAAATGTGAGACAAGAGTATATCCAACTCTATTATAGGTTGCATCCTCAAACTTGTTAACAATTGGCGCTTGAGGAAATAGCTTTGCAGCTCTTTCAATTGACTCCAATGCAGCCTTGTTTCGGCTTTCAGATATGTACAACTTGCAGCAAGCAAGAGCCCACTTCAACATGTTGCTAGTCCTTGTCCTCTTTCTAGTTGCAAAAAGAAGATAGATAAGATCATAAAATTGACACCAATAAGAAATTCTGTGGTTACAATTTCAGAGGACCACAGTTAACCATATTGTAGAAGCGAAATATTGAAGTTGTGTTTACTAGAGTTCATAAGTAATTTCAAACACAGAGTAAAAAGAGTGTGAAATCTTAAACGTAGAGAACTGAAAATTAAGAACAAATGAGCGGAACAGAGAGCAGATTTACAATGACTAAAGCCAACTTAAACTGAAATTGGTTTGGTGTATCTACCAAATTACTCACAAGAAAACCAATACTAAAAAGCACTTCCTTTTTGAACAGAACACCAAAATTTTGCAATAATTTTTCAAATTACATCATAGCAAAAGAAGCTTAAAAAAAAAAAAAAAAAAAAAAAAGCAATAAGAACTCTAGAGAACAAGTCACCACATAGTAGAAACAAGAAATACCAATTCCTAAACCCTAGAAATACCCAACAAATCCTCAAAATTCAACCTCCGTGGGTTTGGGGTAACCATCATACTCCAATTTCACACCCAGACCCGCTCTTATAAGCCGAAACTTCAATCTCAAACTATCCATAATTTCCTGCACCCTTTCATCTTCCGGATTAAACATTGGGAATTTCTCAATCAACTCTTCCATTTGCTTAATATACTTCTGCACTCGAGCAGAGAATCCACTCGGGTTGATTTGAATGGCCGAATACCAGATGTCTACGCAGCCCCGGTAGAAACCGAGTTCCTCGCCAAACTCGAAGCCCGTCTTGAGACCAACTTGCCTAGCCTCTTCTTTTCCAGCGACTAGTCCGTAATTGTAGCCTTCGTCGTAGCCTTCTTTGAAGTGGGTCTGCTCTAGATTTAGCGTGGATTCGAACATATCCTCAATGGAATCAGACTGAGTGCGAGACTCCATGAAAGGATTTTACTTTTTTCGTTTTTAAGAAGGAATAAAAATAACCCAGAATCTATATAGCAGTAATTATATAGCTAAAGAGAAGAGATTAGTCACTACCTGCTTAGCAGTGTAGGAGCAGCAGCTCCACCATGCGAGACTGGCTTCCACTGGCTGATGTTGATTCGAGGATGATAAAGACTACAGTGGTCTTTGTTTCAATGGATTAGCCCAAATTTGGAATTTTGTTCAATTGGGCTTTGAGCTCTAAAGAAAAACTCAGTTCGAATTAGGAATGGGCTTTATCCTTTCTCTGAAGTAAAAAATGGGATGCAAATGCAATTCATTCATTGTACTTAAAATAAAGATTTTTATTTTAAAAAAATTAATTTTTTATTTTAAATACAATAATTATTCTGTAATAATAACTATTAAAAAATGAGAGTAATTTTTTGTTCATGTGGATATATATTTGACTAACAGCTGCCCTGTAGCTTAAAAAAATTTTAAGGCCATTAATTAGGGAGTTGACTAATTATATTTATATAAATTCTAGAATTTGGATTCCTTATCTTAAAAATTACTCCTCAATACAAAATGCTTTATTCAAAATTGCAAGCGAATTCATGTGTTTTCCATTAATCACCGAAAAAAATTAAAGAAGGTATTAATTGTGATCATAAACGATCTTCAATTTTCATAAGAGTAAGAATATAAATTCAATTTTCAGTAACTTGAAAGATACAAAATTTTTACATTATATGATACGAAAGGAATTAAACCATCTAGTTATAAATAAAGAATTAAAAAAAAAAAAAAACATTTACCGACAAAAAATCATAACGGTAGTATGGTAAATGAGGGTGAGTAGAGAGCATGGGAACTCTAAAACAGTGTCAGTGTCCAGGAAACAATTGTAGAGTTTCCATGCATATTTAACTCCGCTAGCAGTAGTAGATGCATGGTGCTTTTTACATGTCAAGCAACCGATAAAATAGAAAAGAAGCAACAAGAACAAGTTGGCCTTCTGCATGAGATCAAGAAATTAAAAAACACCCATTTTTCCCTTTTCTTCTTCCTTTCCAGATTCCAGAGAGAGAGAGAGAGAGAGAGAGAGAGAGAGATCAGAAAATGGCTATGGGAACAGCAGGAGGATCCCACAAAGGAAACAACAACAAAGGCAAATCATATGGAGTGATTATACTTTTGGCTTTTGGGGCTGCATTGTTTGGGGTTATAGTCATCCACAAGCTAAGAGAGAGACGCATCTTCAACCTCCTTGTCAAAGAGAAAGACACAGAGCTCATTTCCCTTCACCTTCTCCTACAGGTCTCTCTTTCTCTCAAACATCACTCTTTCTTTCTGTGTCTTTGTCCTTTGCTTTACAATTCATCAAGTATCATGCACTTTCTTAATCATGCATATGTATATTTCAATTTTTATGAAATTGATTATCCCTGTCTCCTTGCAAAGTCTTCTGCAAAAAACAGATTTATATGGTACCAGCAAAATGTTTTGAATGTAAACATATATATGATATATGATAATTAATAGATAATATTATATCTTATATTTTCTTGTGTTTTTCTGGTTCATTATGTTTTTTTCCTGTTTTATTTATTAGATCATACATAACATAGGCCATTAACTTGGCTGTTTGCGTGCTTTTCACTTGCACAGAAGGAAAAAGAGTACACCAAAGAAATGAAAAGGAGGACTGAAGAGATGAAAGCAAAGATATACTCCCTCAGAACCCAAAAGATGGAGACTGACAGAAAAATACTGGAGATGCAGTCCACAATTGATTCCCTAAGAGATGAACAGAAGGTTATGGAATCTGCACTCGAGGAGAAGCTGAATGAGATCAACATGAATAGAGACACAAGTATTGACCCAGACGCTGCAAATCATCAAATTAGAGCCCTAATGGAGCAATTGAAGCAAAAGGAATCTGAGATTGAAGATTTAAAGCGCCGATTTGAAAATCCATATAAGATATGGTCAGTAAATACAGATGACCCATCAAACTCACAAATAAAGTTAAACATGACTACAAATTTGGCAGATAAGGATAAGACAAAGGTCAGTGACAGTGAAGCTAAAGGTGGAAAAATGCATGAATCTACAAGTTACAGCAATGGAGATAGCAGAAGTGATGATGAATCCAACACCCCCATGAAGATGCTGAGCAATTCACTTGAAGGTCTCAGAAACAAGGACGCCATTGATAATGGTCAAGAAAACAAAAACGAAACTTCCCAAGATACCGGTGCTTTAGGTGCGCGAGAGGAAAATAATACTGCAAATGCAACTGAAGGAATTGGCAGTACAGTTGGGAAAGTAACACAAACTGGTGATGCTGATAATGACATGAAAGTAGCAGATAGTCAAGCGTATAAAGTTGCCAGAGATGAGTTGCAGGGACTTAGAAGTTATCAACAGGAAGAGGGCCAAGAACAAGGCACTTTTAAGGGCGGAGTGAAATTGGAAATGACTGATAATGCTAGAAGTTCCGGTTCTAAGGCGAAGGGAAAACATGCAAAAGGAAAGCGATGGAGAATAAGTGCTCAGAACAGGAGGTTAGAGAATAACAGAAATTCTGAAAACAATGGAGCTACATTGAGAACAAGAAAATTTTCTCATAATGACCAGGATGCACCAATGGACAGAGAAGCAGCAATAGCTTCTGCCAAGGGAAAAACAGGCAGCAAGGAAATAATAAGTGGCGATAATCCATTTCAAGGAGCAAAGGAAGAGGATTTTTCCAATGCCAAATTACTGGAACCTCGAAACTCTGAAGATTCAGAAGATCTGAAAAACAAACATATTAGAGATGATACAACCAACCATGTAGAGAAATTTGATGGGGTGTCAAAAGGGTCCCAGCTATCTCAGGATGGGCAGGTGTTGATTAATGGAAGATTTGATGGAAAGGCTCCTGAAACCAGAAGCAAAGCCAAGAAACAGAGCTCGGTTGAAGTCCAACAATATGAAGGCCAAGAAATTAGCGGCATCAATGGAAGCAGAAACGACAGTAACACAAACATACAAAACAGTGCTGAACAAGTGAATGCTGCTAGCAAGCATGAAAGGCCAGAAGAAATAGAGCCTCAAATTATAAACCTTGAGACAGCTGAAGCCACTGGAGACTTTTACAGGGAATCAGTTTCTGATTTGGAAGAAGGCAAAGAAGAGTACAAAGAGGAAACAGACGAGTCTGAGTTCTAGCTAACTAAAAATATGAACGCTATTTTGCTTGCTGGTAATTTTCAAGTATTTCACCTTTATTACAAAGACGTAGTGGCTAGTGCCAGCGTCCACAATACAGTGCAATCCTCCTCTATGAAAGAACACAGGCCCGAGTTAGGAGCTACAACTAAATGGCTATAAGGATTACCTGAAGATGACACTAATGATCTGAAAGGCGCCAACTTTATAAGAATAACATGCCTGTTGCATTACTCTGACCAAAAAAAAAAAAATGCATCTAAAGAATAATATTCACTCAATATATCCAACACTTACCCTCCTCAAATATTAGTTGGTCAGTTTGGCCAGAGGAAAAGAGGGTAAAATAATAATCGGTTTAGAATTTTACATTATTGTACAGGTATAGTTAGAAGGAAAGATAACAATGAATGAAAATAGGCAATGAGTAGAGTAAATGGATATTGCTTCACAATTGATGTGCACCATCTGATATAGACAATCAGAGTAAGTAAAAGGTAAAGGATCAAACAATCAAAGTAATGTAGTCTTTAAGTTTACTCATCTATCAATTTTCAATAAAATAAATCACAAACTGGTTAGCAGAGTAATCTGCAGACAATGAAGATGAAATTCCAACCAAACATATTATTAGCGCGGATGCTGATGGATGACTCAAAGCTCCAAACCTCAGTGTGCAGCTTCTACCAATTTCTGCGAAAAGGCAACAGCATCAGAGAGAAGCTATAATCGTTTTTCTTTATAATTTCACAACCGCAAAACAAAGATAAGATAAAAACGCTGGCAATTGGATTGCATGGGCAGTAGCTTCCAAGCAGAGGGTAATAAACAACATGGTCCGTGAGGCAGATGTGTATTTTCTCATATCATTCCCTCTGGTCTCAAAATACTTTTATGAGTTAGCAGCTGAGTTATAAGCTCCATATGAAAGTTCTTATGGCAAAAGATACAACCTCACGACTGCCAAATGGCTAATGAAGCTTTTATTTGAGAATTGTAATTTGTAAATGAACTAACTACATGCAGAAAGCTATTTGGAGAGCAATATAATTTTTTTAAGCAAAAAATTCTTCCCATAACAACAAATTCAATCAATATGCAGGACTGAACATGAGACCATGATCTAGATTAGAGCCAAGACAGAATTGAGGTCTAAAAATTATAAATAACAACTATTACATAAGATCAAATATGCACCAAACAGTTATATCTTATAAACTGAGGAAAACGACTCTATGCCACCAGCCAAAATTACAAGTCCAGATCCTAGGTATCGGACGACAAAGACATATTATATAAGAAAGCAAATGAATATCAAGTGAAAATAAAGTACCTCTTGGTTCTTGCCTTTGCCTCCAGTAAATAACTTGTATCCACCAAAGAAGAGTAGACCCCAACCGGATAAGGAGACTATTACAAACTGCAAAAGCAGTACATCCAGTAAATAGTCAAGAAAGTTTCTCATGTACAAATCTCTTCGATAACATTAGTTTACCAACCAAAATCTGTTGCAAATTGCAATAATGGGACAAAAAGTAATTGCTAAGAGATTATCAATATTAAGAGCTCCTTTACCATAAATGAACTCAATAAAGTTCTAAGAAACTCTCATATAAATCCACATTTTTTTGTTTGGCCTAAATGAAAATTCATTTAAAACTAACCGTTTGTAATCCTACGGAATTAGTGGTCATTGAGCCAAATTCTGCCAAAATGAATTCTTAGTACAAACCGATAAAGTTAACAATTTGAAACAAAATTTCTAGTTAATCCAAACATGAGAATTCACTTATAAATGATATTACAATGTTAGTATGTTGACTCCACTGACAATGAATTTTAGAAAATAAGCTTTGCAAACTTGAAAATAATAGAAAAGGTAAGACTCACATGCTCTTCCTTCCATTTAGATGGACTCATAGGGTCTTGCCAACAGTTAACCTTTGGAGGTCCATGGTGATCTGCGATAACCATGAAAAGAAATCAATTATGTGAACATGATTATAATGATACAAAATCAAATCTTTCATTCGACCGAGGAGCAATCCAATTAGCCAATTTGCAAGAAATAGCAGACGAAACTCAAATATTAAAATTTGAACTTGCAAAAAAATCGGATAACAGTAACAGACGTTGATAATTTTTTAAGGAAAAAAAAAAAAGACTAGTTTAATGTCAGAAAGAAAAAGAACGTTTCATCTCAAATTATGGGCATAAGAAAAAGAACGTTTCATCTCAAATTATGGGCATCCAAACTAAGGCTACAAGCACGAATTGTATTTTCGATCTTGGATCTACATCAGCACAAATCAGGATAGTATCTGTGTCTTATATAAATATGCTGTAATAAAATGTGGTGCCCATAGATGATTACCAGCAGCACCGGCAAGGCCACGGCGGTGGACGAGGGAAGCGGCTTGAACGGATGTCCTGGAAGAGGAAAGTCGGGAGAGAGCAACTGTTTGACGAGCTGCTAAAGTAGCCATTCCTGCTGCTGATTATCGATTGTGAAATAGCAGCAGGTAAGAGATCAGAAATAGGATGGGCACCGGTTGGGTCGAATTCAGACTAAACTCTGAGCGGATTAAGTCTGGCCACGGTTCTGGTTTGGATTGGACCGAATCAGTTTCCTAGAAGATTGGTCGGACCTGCTTTTGGTTTTTGATGCTAAAGTACCAAAAGTATTTATGTTGTATTAATTGAATTTAAACCCTTTGATTTCAAGATTAAATTAATATTGAGAATTTCGTTAATTTATATTTATTTTCTTCAATTTATAATATTTTATGGGTTTTTTTTTATTAATTTTTTAGTTTTGGTAATAGCTTTGCCAATATGAAACTATGGAGTATGAAATACCAAAATCGAATATTTTACATTTTAAACTATATACTCTATGTTTCCTTTCCTTTTTGTTTTTTAGTTTATAAAAATATTTATCATTTCAATAAGTTTTTGAGACATCAATTATTTTTCCTAAATAATTAATATAAAATAATCCTTCTTTCAACTCGGTTGAATCTTATATCATTTTAATAATGACAATAACGGGTTTTATCGAGTTTTATTCAAGTGTAAAAAGAAATATTTTTCTCATCTTAAAATTATATATAATTTGATTTTTACATAGATATTGAAGAAGTCATTTTAATAAAATATATAATATTAATGTATTAATATTGCCTTATTTATAACTTCAATGGGAGGTGACACAAAAATAAAAATAAATTATTTGGATAACGTTACTTATAAAAACTTTTTAACTTATTTACATAAAATCAAAATAGGAAAGCTAAAATAATAATAATAATAATAATAATAATAATAATAATAATAAAGGATGACTGGGCAAAGAGGATTGAATCAATATAGATTAACAAGTCATGAAGGGATTTCATGCTGCTGCTGCTGCTGCTTCTGCTGCCATGAATTCAACTGTATTATATAGCACTTGAAGCTACTTTCTTGAATCTGTCCAAACAAGTAGAAGCAAATTACTATGGAGGAAACTGAGAAAGACAGATTCCAAGTTATCTGGTAAATTTATTTGAGATTGTAAACGAGCAAAAGAGTATAAAATTTGTACCTCCAACATGGATATTGTCTGTAGAAGATCAAAGCATTCCTGTAATATTAACTTTTCTTGTGAAACCACTTCTGCTAGTTGCGAAAGTACCATAGAACTCTTCTCTGTCTGAATATGAAAAGACTTTCAAGGTTATTTATTTTTTAAAGGAAGCAGTAGTACTATGTATTTGCTTTGGAAAAATGCTGCTTACCAAAGCTGAGAAGGCAGTTAATAATCCTGATTTGATAGAAGATGTTAGATCAGATGCATGTCGAAGTGCAAGGGAGGTTAGTTGTGGATCCACCTAAAATTGTTAGTTTTATTAGTAAAATTACTTAATAATGCAAAGCCATAAAGAGAATGTCTGCTCTTCTTTTTGATCTCCTCATTTCATTTCTTATTCTTTGGCTTACCTTTGCACCTTCAATTAGAGGTACTCTACAAACAACAGAATGTAGACATTCTTTGGTCTTCGAAACTGCAGATAAGTGCTGCCTTTCCATGTCTCCCCAAGCTTCCAGTAGTTTAATCTGCCCAAACCATATTGTATAATTTATATCATGATATTATCTGATATTACAGTATATCTGATATATTCCACTCAAGCCATTAGTAAATGATCATCTGATCAAATTTGTTACTCACTTGAGAGTTGAGCACAAAGTCCAGCTTCATCTCAAACTTTTCCTTCTGAAGTTGTAATTTCTTAAGCGGCACAGAGCATTGCAAATTAGCAAGACTATCCCAAGCACATAACAAATTATTCTGCCAACCCAAAAACATATCAGCAAGTGAACTTTTCAAAATCTACAGAATTGTAGACCAGAATTCAAGAATCGTATGCAATTGCAATACCCTTTAACTAAAATATATTGTTCTTAACTAGCAGAAGTTAATCACAATTCACATATACCTCTACTTGTTTGATTATGTTCCCGTTCACAGCATCAGCTCTAGCATTTGCATATTGCCACTGCATCAGCCGATTATGAAGCAACCTCAGCTGATGAATGTTCTCTGCATTCCCAGATCCCACCAGCAATGAATTTGATGAAGAAGATTTCTTGCCCTTCAACAAGTCCAATCCCAAATTCAGCAATTTCTCCACACCTTTAGACTTAGAGGGGCTTGATGGAGGTTTCAAACTCGAGAAGGACATTAACCTTCCTTTACTTTCTACTGACATTGGTGGCGATCCTGATCGCCCTGGTGATAACGCCCATTGTGAAGTGGCACTCCCATAACCAGTAAGAGAATTAGCCCTTTTAATTGCATTCTTAATTGTAAATTTCTTCATTTTTGGAGAAGCATCAAGTGATACTGGATATTGAATGTTAGTATCTGATGTTCCTCTTCTTGACCTTGTAGGAATATCCTGCAAATATTTGGAAGATACCTCTATACCGGTTTTTCTTGAATTTTTCCCTGCAGTCGGAGATGCATAATCTGTTGCTGAACGATTTTCACTGCACTCAGATTCTGTATCAAGATTATCTGTAAAAGAATCTGATTTTCGCTGAGATGCACCAAGATTTTTGGAGTTTCTATATAGTTCATTCTCATCAACTGATAGTCTTCCTGGCAAAAAACCAGAATTGTTAGACAATGTATTCGAAGATGAAGAGGATGACGAGGAAGAAGAAGAAGAAGATGATTTTCGAGGAAAGTGAAGCTTCCCAGTATATCTCATGGATCCTCCAATTGGCCTGTGATTTTCTTTCATGCTTTCTTTCTCTTTTTCATTCTCAAATCTACTGTACTCAGAGCTACTTCTTTGCCTACTAAGCGAAAACACATTTACAGTATTATTGGCAGATTTCTCAGCTTTTTTCCTCTCTAGAAAATCTCTGAGTCTCTCATTTCCAAGATGATCAGCAAGGGTGCCAAGATCATTGCTGTTGGATGATGAATGTGAAGGCGATGAAGAGGGCCAAAGGCCTCGAATGAATCCGGAGTCCCGGTGCTTCCGGCTATCGGTGGATTTATTAGCAAGTGGTGACGAAGCTTGGCCGCGAGTTGGAGATGGGATTCCATTATCTTGTGAATTTGTGGTTGGAGACAAAAATCTAGAGCTTACTCCACGAGATTTTGGCTTTCTTGGCTTCAGAGATTGATCTGAGAGTAAAGGGTCATTGTCATTCTTCATGGTTTCTTGAGAGACAAAGGATAAAGAAAGAAAGTTGTTATAATGGAGATTTGGAAATATATGAGAGGAAAAACAAACATTTTGAAAGTGGCGGCAAAATAGATATACACATGGCCAGCCGGCCGATTATGAGTCGCTTGAAATTACTTGAATGTCCTCTTGAGTTGGTTTATGCTTCACATTTCTATTTGTTCGATCAAGGGTAGTGCTGGAAATGAGTTTGGTTCTGTTGGGTTTTCTGAGAAACCTTCGGGGAGTAGGAGACAAAAGGAGAGTTCTATTGTTTTAAGCATCTTTGCTGCTGCCGGCATTTGAAATTACAAGAGGACCTCATGGAACTTTTGCCACGTGGCTAGAACATACTTCTGTTAAATTTTTTTTTCAGCTGAGGTGATCAAGTGTCAAAGATAGAGAGGATCAGTTGTAAATTTGACATTTGGCAGATTTGGCTGAGAAGGCTTGCTGAAGCTTCTTGCAATCTCTCTGACACAAGGCATCTCTAGTTAATGTATTCTTGCAAGGCAGGGTTTGTGAGAGCTATTGTTATATATAGCAAAGAAGTATCCCATGAAAACCCATTTTCTATTTCTGGCTGAAAAAATACATGTGTTTGCTGAACATCATAAAAAAGAACTTGACACTTACGTTGAACAATTTTGCAACATCCATATATGTCAAGAAGAGTAAACTTTGATAGAAGCTAAGCAACATAAGTGAAAAGAAGATTGGCTACAACTCAAGTCTACAAAAGTATAGACTAAAAAATCTTGGTCAATAGAGAATCCTCAATAATTGTGAAATTTGCTACAACAGGGACTTTTACAACCACCAGCCATGCTTGATCTTGTAAAAACTGTCCAAGCATACTTTGACTCCCAAAATTTGGATACTCTTATGCACCAGGGGAAATCTGTAGCTTCCCTTGTCCGGAATCAGTGAAAATTGCACTGTTGCAATAGAGGATGAGAGTAATCTACGTACTTCTCCCATAGAGGCTTGTACTTTTCCATGCCAATCTTCAACCATGGCTTTGAGTTTCCATTGTAGTGCAACACTGCCCCCTTCTCGATCAAGTGAGGATCAACATTTGTGTACCCTAAACCCAACACATGCCATGAGGGATCTAAAGGCTCTGTCAACCCATAGAAAGTCAAAAGTCCGGGCGGCAAAGTCCCAAGTTTCCAAAGTGTCCGGTCTACATTCCTTTCTTGCCAATAATGGTAGATGTTGGTTACATTTCTTTTCCTCCACTCAACCAAATCAAATATATTCATCCCGAATGCCCAACCACATGCATCAGGATCAAAATGCTCTCGTATGAGAGGGTGAGAATAATTCAGGTACTTATGATACCGGTGAAATGTCTCCATGCAGGTCTCGACTGCTCCATTGACATTGCCATTCAAATCAATTGAAAATAGAGCTGACAAATCCTTCTGAACCACTACATCATCATCAAGAAATACAACCTTCTTTAGGGCAGGAAAAACTTCAGGAATATAAAATCTGAGGTGATTTAGCATAGACAAGTATTTTGGGTTCCGAAACTTGATTGGAGTCCGGCCATCATCAGTGTGGCCTGAAAAGTAATAGCTTTGAGTTTCAGAGTCTTGAAGCTGCTTAAGAACTGGAACATAAGAAGCATTCAACCACTTAAAGTCTTCAAACTTTTGAACCTCAACAGTCACTCCTCTAAAATTGTTCATGGCAAACCAAGCCTTCATGGCAGCATAATTTATTTCATCAGTTACAAGATGAAAGACAACCATATTTGGATTTTTGGAATTTAATGCAGTTGAATTGACTACAACTGAAGTTGCAAGGATGTTGTCGGAGAAGACACAAAAATGATAGAGATTGTTATCTCTCAGTTTTGATTCCATGTGCGCTCTTTCCTTGATTTTCCTCTGGACATTTAAATTTCCAAACCATTCAGTGGTTAGTCGAATTCCAAGGCAGTAAAGACCTTTTGGAACTTCCTCAGCAGCTATTTGTCCATACTTCGAACTTTTTTCAGTCACAGAACTCATTTGTTCTTCAAGAGCTTGGAATTTGGCTTTCAGTCTCATTATCATAGTTGCACTATCATAATGAAGCTGTTGGGCTTGGTAGAGCAAAAGCGCCATATCACGGATTGCAGTTTCTGATTCTCTGGTTGTTAATGGAGCACGTCTTGTCGCAGCATTAGAAAGCAGGACCTGTGAATTCCGGATTTGGGCACTTAATTCCCAAGCAAATTGCAGATTGTTGCTTTCTTTTGCAATCACAACAAAAGACTTTGCAAGAGAGATTTGGTCACTAAGTTGTCTGGTGACTGAGTTGGGGCTCAGCATTTCATCAGTAATGTTTAGTCCTTCCATAATTCTGTCATGACTGTAAGGTTTTTGCTGAACAGGTAAAGAAGCACTAGCATTTTAGTTTTGCGTAGAGACAATATAACACAGGAAACAAATAAAGGAAAAAACAGGGGCAACAGAATTATTATCACCATCAAATTGGGAAATGCACAGAAGTTAACTGTGAACCCAGATCACGCTGAGCAATAAAGAAGCAGGATACTAATGCTTATCATATGGATTATGTATTTAAGTCATGAACAATTTTCAACTTGAAACATAAAATTCAGCAATTCAAACATTATTGTGCACCAAATGAATAAATGAATAATAAAGAACGAAAATAGTATTTTTCAACATAATATTGGTATGCTATCGTGCTTTGGGTAGAAAAAGGAAACATGCTGCTTGGAATGATATATGTTACACAATTACGGCATAGCTCAAAGAGAGGTGTTGGCTTACAATGATTAGTTGAACTTCTAAATCATGAACACAACAGTAATTATCAGATTTGCTCATGGAATAGTTAGTTAACTTGATTTCAAAACCACCTAGAAGTTCTTATCCTTTTTCTTTTTCTTACTAGGAAAATTAGATCAGTGCTGAAAGAGAGCACGTTCTGCCTCACCTCTAACATGAGACTTCATATAATAATAGCTTTAAGCCACTAAGGAGAGTCATTGATGCTTAAATCACACTGTATACTTTTTGCAAATCTCAAAATAGGACATTTACATCTCCCTCTCTCAGGTGCAATAAGAATTTGAGGGTAGACACTGACAAAATGTACTGATCCTTAGATGAACAAAGGAACTAAAAAACACACTTCTTTCTAAAATAGTTGAATCAAAATTAATATAATAACTCAGCAACTTACAACCATGATTCAAGTTTGATCCTTGAGAATTTTATTTGCACTACAAGTGATCCAACTAAGATGCCTCCATATGCTTGAAGTTATTAGACAATCAGCTATTTTATAGCTTAAATTTCAAAAAAAAAAAAAGAAAAAAAATAATACTATACACCTAATGCAAATGCTTGACTTCCGATATTTAAGTTCAAAAAAGAGCATTTTAAGTTCAAAAAAGAGCATTTTAAGTGATAGTCCACCACTTGCAGCAATTCAACAATCCTATCTACTCAGACATATGCTTACAAAGTTTGCCATAGCCATCAGGCATGAGAAAATATGATTGCAATCACAAAGACACTTGCTTCCGTAACGTTAGTTCGCATCATGAATATTTGAAGAATTCGTATATAGCTAACAGCAGTTCCAAAAATCTATCTTCTTACACAAAAGCCAAGGCCATTTATAGCACTCTAAAATCTCATGAACACAAGGAAGCATGAGAAAACCTCAACAATCATATTATACACGCGACGAGTCTTTGATGCTTCAGAATAATAACTCTGTTGCCCAGCCCCAAATTATATGTCCCTTAGAGTAGAAAGAAAGATAGTTCTATTACCACATAAGTCTCTCATGTCTAATTAAGTTTTTTGCACTGAGAAGCCTATATGCACAAATAAAATGAGAAAACTTTAATAGCTATTATCTGTAAGTCAAAAATACACTTTCTCAGACCTTGTACTTTCAAATTTAAACGCACATATCATTTTCTTCAACCATATTTACCTAATTTCAACTAGCCACAATCACGTTGACTGAAAGACTTTCTTCACTTCTCTTTTAATCAGGTTATATATGTTTCAGAACATCACCCATGAATCTGCTAAGAATACATTTTAGTTGCTGCTCTTATTGCAATACCCTCTTCCAACAAGAATGGGTATATTAATGAACCACCTATTGTCATGTTTAAGCTTCTTAGATGCTTATATCCAGCCAAATATGATTTCAACATAAAAAGTTTGAATATAAACCTGCTGTGAGCAACATTTTCTTGCTCCAATACTTCAAGGCACCTTGTGGGATTTTATCTTCTTTATAAATGATTCATCACCTAAATGATCCAAGTACATCCACAGCGTTTTCCCCCTCCCAGATTATTATTGCAAGATACTCAAAAAAACTTGCTGCCTCTAATTGCACTCACAATTTTGAAGCAAGCATGGCCTATATGCTAACCTTAAAAATGAAGCATTTACTTGCTTAAATCTAAACCATAGAAACACTTCTAAAACAAGTCCAGAACCTGAATCCTAAACGCCCAAGGGATCAATTGGAGTCTCTAAATTCAGCAAAACACCCACAACAATGGACTAGTCGTTTCAAATTTAATTGATATTTAACCAAACAAATAATGAAAATAATATTGTGCCATCATGGACCCTCGAGTAATCGTACTCAGAGAAACAGATCTATTGGCAAGCTAATGATTCAAAACAATTGTACGAGTCCTAATCACTAGTGCAATGCTTTGATTTCTTGCTCCAACTTGCTCAAGCAAAATCATAGATCAAACAATATTTTATTAAACTTTAAGATAAACCCAATATTTCAAGAACTTTCAAATATTAAATTTCCAGCTGTAGTTATACTACAGCTATAATTCCAGCAAATCAAGATCTCCGTTACCCCAATAACAACAAGTACAAACCGAATTAAGTGCATTCGTTTCATCAAATCCTAAACAACAAAAATCCCAGAGTTCAAACCACAGATTCCCTTTGATTCCCCCAAATTTTGACGCAGCAAAGCTCACAATTCAAAAACTGAAAATCATCATGAAAAAAGAGAACTTTACCTTGGTATGGACGCGTTTGGATTCAATCTGACCCTCTTTGCTAAAAATGATAATAAAGATCAAAACCACTATACCACAAAGTGTCCACCACACCACATTGGACAATCTCCGCCTAACCGGCCTTCGAAAATCCATTGGTCTCCGCCTCATCCTCCAATCCAGCTTCGGCAAAATTCCAGCTTTATATTTGTTTCGAGAGAAAGTTCAAATTTCTCTCCCGGAAGTACAACAGAATTGTGTTATCAGATCAAATGGAAGATGGGTTTTTTTTGGTTTTGGAGTCAATTAAAGAGTTTTGAATGTTAAAATGGAAGTGACGCAGAGTGGTTGTTTCAATGAGATACAGTTAAAATAGTTATGGAGTCAAACGGAAAAGAGAGAGACAGAGAGAGCAGAGGAGAGAGGGAGAGAGAGCTTTGAGGTTTTTGATTTTGGTATTTTTTTTAATAACTAAATTCTTTTTTGGGTATTTCATTTTCTTTGATGCTTTTGAGTGAGTGGCCCTGATCTTGATTTGTCGGCAACAGAGACATCTTGGCCTTTTACTTTCATGGGACCTACTTAGTATATTAATTATGTTATACACAGTTTTAAAAAAATACATAATTAATATAGTTAAAATATAATTTTTATTTAACTTTTTTTAATGTGCCCTTGCATAAGTTGCATTAAATTTTTGTTTAGCCCATGTTTTTTGACCAAAAATGAACCAAAAAAACTTAAAAGGAAGGAAAGAAGAGTCTGCTCCTATTCTTGATCCAAAAAAGATCAAAAGAAAATCAAGAATTAGCTCTGTTTAAAGCAAATCTATACTCCATATGAAAAGATATTTCAAAATTTGCATAACGAAATTTTATCATTTGATGGTATCATTAATTTAGATTTTATTTTTAAATTTAATTAGCTATTATAGTCAAGTAGGTTTTTTTTTTTTTTTTCTTATCTTGATTGTTTCAATAATAATAAATCTATTAACACTTCAACTCCTGAAAAACAAAAACAGCAATATTCAAATTAATCTTTGAGATCACAAGCGAAAATCTTTCATGATTCCATAAAAAATAATTGCTCTTAGTCAACAAGAACATCGATACAGAAATTGCATTCATTTTAGACATGATTCTTGGGGGAAAAAAAAAATGCATGCACAGTCACTGGATTTTGACTTGTCTGTCAAACTATGTCCTTAATGCACTATACTTCAATTTGTCACTGTCACTTAAAAATACTTCATAAATAATATTCATTACTACCTCATCAAATGGATGGATTATGAACACTTATACACAGAAACTTTCGAATGTAATGGATTACAGACAGCTAACAAGAATTATATAAACTTGCTACATGAAACAAAATGCTCAATAACTTTGCATTATAGTTCTGTAGATATTAACATGAAGCTAGATTCAGTAAACAAAAAACAAAAATATTCAAACCTAATTGACCACTTTTGCAATATACAGCACTTCTTTATCGGTTCTTGCAATTATACTGTTATTTTAAAACAAATGCAATACTGGAAAAACCTAACAAAAAAGATGCCAACCAGCAAAATAGGAGATCACAATGTCCCTGTTGAAAGTATTGTGTCTCGAATCAACTGACGAAATCATATGAATTTCATACAATTCTTTAACTTTATGTTACCATCCATGTCAAATGCCGGTAGCCAGCCCACTTAGCAGCAAGACGAATTCCAATGGCTAAGGCTGCACATAACAATGGTACTGGAACCCTTTGACCTGTTGCCATAGTTTCAACTTCTTCCTTTCCATCAGAAATTTTCCTTGAATTGTGAGAAATAGCCAGAGCCAAATAAGAAAGTATCACCAAAACTCGAACCCATGGTTCACCAATGGCAGCCAATACAGCAGCAGCAGGCAAAGCAGATGTAACATGATCTCTCTTTTTAATAAGTCGTGAAAAAGCATACAGACCAACAAGAAGTGTCCAGAAGAATGGCTCAGAGATGTAGTTCTTCACCGCTGCATAGCCAATCAGGCCGGATAATGTGAGAAGATATGGTTGGCTGGTTATGGAATTTGGAACAGCAGCTTCTGCAATAGCAAAAACTGCTGATGCAAGCACAATAATCATAGTCAATTCGGGAACAGGAGCATAAGCCACTATCCCAGAATAGTAGGCCCGAATAGCATAGACCAAAGTCTCTATGCATTTGATCAATGAAGTGATTGGATCCCCGATGAAATGGAAGATAACAGCTAACAGAAGTTTCAGGAGGTATCCCACAAAACTAATAACTGCTTGTACGGACTTTTTCCAGTTAGCTAGTTCCAATAAGACTGCCCTCCATGCATAAACAAGGAAACCTAGTGCTGCAAGTTAATTGCAAATGAAAAGAATTAAGTTGACAAACATTCTGTTGTTGTAGGAATAACTATTTCAAAAAAAAAATAATAGTCAGAATGAAAATTGAAAGAATAATAAATGGAAAAAGTTAATTTCTTCACATTCCTCCCCGCTCTATCATAATCCAGCCATGCATAGTCTTACACAAGAGCTGGGAGCCTGGAACAAACCACAGAGTGAAGATGGTTTCCATCTCCAAGCAACACATCTTAAAGCATAAAACAGTAGATCAAATTAATCTAGTTTACTAGCAAATACTCTCCTGATAAATATTTGATAAGTAAGCTTCCAAATGATTGAAAATAAACATAAAAACATTTCTCGGTTATAAATTTCAGATGTCATACTGCCAAAACAAAAACATTCCCCTCCCTTTATCTGGATATCAGATGTCATCCATCTTGATGTACTTTAATAGAAACAAAGGATTGAACTATTGGGATCTTTCATTTGAAAAATATCTAAGACAATCAAAGGACGTTGTTGATGTTTTGTGTTGTATAGTACATAAAAGAAAAAGCTTGGGCTTTAGCAACGATTCAATTTTAACCTTTCAAGCTTCATCAACCAAATATCAGCTATTTATAGGTAAACTTGTTCAAATCATAAAATATTTATCTGAAGAGAGTTAAAACATACCGACAAACCAAGGCCATCTAACGGGAGGGTCAGGTGCTTCTTTAGTCAGGTACCTGAACCTATCAGGCATAGTACTCTCCCCTCGAGCCATCTTTTCAGCACCATCGTCATCAACGCTACTCTTGCTCTCTACTTCTCCATTATCAGCTGCATTTAGACAAAACCCTAACTTTCTAGTGTATAAAAGCCCAAATCTTTTCTGGGTGAGTTTTGGATTGAAGGGTTCGATTTTGATCGGTAAAGAACGAAATGAATTGACCTGGTTAGGTAGTCGAGTGGAGAAACGAGAAAGTGATGAAATTTTGAATGTTGGCGAAGGGAGAGCGGCGACTGGAATCGACATGGCTATGGTTCTACAGAAAATTAGCCATTTTCAGTCCAGTTGCAGCGTTGAGTGCTGCACTAAAAGCGGATTTGTTGGAAAAACCAATGACTTGTCGTTCGACGACTGCGGAAATTCCGTTGTCTAACTCCCATGCACCAGCCAATGTCCATGAAAAACGACAGACGTTTCAATTAAAGCTGCTTACGAACGACAGCACAAGCAGATTTTAAATTATGGATCTAACTGCTCTGGGCCCTTGGCCCATCTAAATTTACATAAAAAATCTAGAGACTTTCTTCGACCCAATAACTAACCCGTATAAGAAATTAGGGTTTTAAGGCTTCACAGTCTCTATATAAGCACAAGACCTCTTTCTTCGTTTCATGGCAGTCTCGACGATGGAAGCTGATTGTTGGTAAGCAACGCTGAATTTCGCCTTATACTTTATCTGCTTATTATCTGTGTTGTTTCTGCACGATGCCTCCCGGGCTTCTCTGAATGTATCAGTGACGATGAAAGCCCCAATGCACGTGCTAAAGTGATGCCGTTTAGTGTTGCAGTTTGGCTTTTCTCTCTCTAGGGCCGATCTGTGTCAAATCAACGGTTATATCTCTTTCTGTTTGCTAAAATATTTTTTCCTTGGTGTGCCTCTCCACACCTCAAGCTTGTTTTCAATGTAAACTGTTGGAAATAAGGCTAGTCATAGAGGCAAATAGAGATGCTTTGCGGTGTTCAACGTGGGGGTATGTCTTATTGAATAGCTTTGCCTCTAAAAACATTCGCTACACTTCCTTTTTAAAAACCTACTGATAAAGATTATTATTTTAGGCCTTGTACTTAAAAAGTTCACTGACCTGGTTGTATTTTGGTTGTATTTTGGCGATGATTAATTATTTATCCGCGCTTCTGAGAGTAATCGATGAAGCAGAAAAATAAATATGGTTGAATTTCTTGATATGAGCCAATTAATAGTTTAATCAAGTTATTCTTCTTGTAAATAATTCATCTTTTTTCTGTTTCAAGCAATTTTTTGTTGAATGGCTATGATGATTAGTATCCAGCTTTAATGCCAGTTCTGCTTCAGAAAATTCTTGATTGATAGAGCTGTTTATGATTCTGAGCCTTCTAAAATTTCTGATTTTTATTTTCAAAATATTCAATTGGCGATTATTAAAAAATAATGAGAAAAATTGTTAGATTTCGATGTGCGAGTCTCTGTATTTTGGGATAATCTTTCTTGAGTACCTCATATTAATATAAAACTATGAGGTTGAATATTGATTTGACAACATTCTTTTGTAAAGGTGCCAATGATGAATTAATCCACCCTCATGTAGGTGTAGTGAAGCCAAGTTCCTGCTTGTCAGGAAGAACCTACTTGGTGGTAGCTACATTACAATGACATTAATGGATTTTGCTGAGGCAAATTTAAGTGATTGTTGATACATATTTATACTTTTTAATATATATACTTTTTAAATTTGTTTTCTATTTTTTTATTGTTGAATTGAGTTTAACTATACCCTTGTTCCATTGTGAATTGAATTAGGGTCTGAAAAGCTCAGATATTGTGTGTTGTCATCAGCTTCATCTCTTAACTGCCCACGAGATAGGAGTTAAATAACAGCACTAAATTTGGTCTTTTTGTTGTTTTCATAGTTCTCTTTCTGTATATTGGCTCTAGTGTTTCTCATTGTTCATTGTTTTGTGATTGCAGATATTTCCGAATCCAGTAGCCTTAGCTTGGACTAATTCTGATGGAGGACTGAAGTTTGTTGACGTTTTAGTCTGTATTTTCTGTATTTACTTGTAAAGATAGTATAATATGAGAACTCGAAAGATTGTACAAAAATGTAAAGTTCGAAGATTTATGAATAAAGAACTGATAATGATTTGTGAATTTCGAATTATAGTGATGTATCGAATTAAAATGATAAGATATGAAGTACTTGTTTGTCATTTATTGTGATTTTCACGAGTAAAAATGCAAACAAAACAATGAACTGCATAATAATTTCTTATGTAAATTAAGTTGTTCTCTTGATCATTGTTTTATTTACTTGCATTCTCTTCTTTTTAGAAAAATGATCTCCATTTTCTTTTAATGTAGATGGAAAATTATCCTTTAATTTGTGAATTGATTGAACCGAATGTAAAATAGTAAAGACTTGGAACTGAGAAATTACCTCAAAGGATTTACTTTGGTGTTCGTGGATCAAACGTCAACGTTTACTCAATAAAAAACAAAAAGTTCACGTGTTTGCTGTAATTGTGAAAGCAAATTCAAAAGGATTAGATGAATGATGACTTAAAACGTGCTGTAGCAAATTAGCCATCCTTGATCTACTCCCCACTCTACTGTCAATTCTCCCTCTCTGTCGGATCGACATAGGAGATTAACTCTCTGTCTTTGCCTCGGAATGACGGTTGTGTCCTTCTTCAAGAGAGCATCACAAGTTTTCCATGGCTACTCTACCTACTCTAAGCTTCTGGTTCTCTTCACTGTTAGGTTCGCTTTGCTTCCATTTCTCTGTTTTTACTTTTCTGCTTTGGATTCTTAACTGATTGATTCAGAAATCTTCTACTTCTTGCGGGCGCTTAAGGTAGCTAAGAACTCTGATGAATTAACCGTTGGACAAATATATTGGTCAATATAACTGGAATTCAATCTCTTCAATCTCTCAAGTTAGCTTCTTTTTGTTTCTGTAGTTCTTTTGAAACTCAAGCTGCCAGAGAGACATAAAAACAAATTAGAATAAGAAAAGCTGTGGAAAATTGGTTTCTCTTTGTAATTTCAGAAAGGATAGAACTTTGGTTGATTTCAGAGAGAATCACTTAAAGGATGGAAAACGAAATATAATTTTGACACTTTTTTCTTTTGCATTCAGATTTCGTCGGCAAAAAGATGAGTCTTTAGTTGGGTTGACTTTATATTTTCAGATGGCTTCACTTTTTTCTTTTTTTGGGTACAATGATTTCAAATTTCTACAATTTAGTTTTTCTTCGTGATGGGTAATCCAAATGGTAGATCTTCACGTAACATTTTCATGGAGACGAAGATATATGGTGTTCCTTCTTCTTCCTCAATATTTTGCATCTTCCTTTTACCCTTAACTGGGATTCTGGAGCACTTCTTTTTATATTTGCCCATTCAACCCTTTGAACTACCATGTCCTGTCCAATTTCTATGAATATCTTATCATGTTTTTCTCAGCGTTTCACTTTAGGAGTCTGGTATAACATTTGAGGTCTATAAAAGGTGGAAAATTTCGAAGAAATGTAGAAAAGAACTTCTTTCTTTTCTTTTTTTTTTTTTTTTTTTTTTTAATGTAGAAAAGAACTTCTTTCTTTTCTTTTTTTTTTTTTTTTTTTTTTTGGGGGGGGGGGTTCATCTTCTGAACCTTTCCATTTCACTGAGAACGGAAGGTTATCAAAAGTTGCTTATCACTTTTTTTTTTTTTTTTTTTTTTTTTTGGGGGGGGGGGGGTTCATCTTCTGAACCTTTCATTTCACTGAGACGGGTTATCATTGCTTATCATATGGATTCTTTGATGTCATATATTGCAGCGGTGGAGGTGTAGCGGCATATTCTGAGTCACAATCAGAAGTTGGCACTCCTGCTGCTGAAGTTAATCAAGATGAGCGCAAAAAGAAGAGGGTGGTGGTTCTTGGAACAGGATGGGCTGGTATTAGTTTCCTTAAAAATCTGGATGTTTCTTCATATGATGTTCAGGTTGTTTCACCCCGGAATTATTTTGCATTCACCCCTCTGTTACCCAGTGTCACCTGTGGGACAGTTGAAGCTCGAAGCATCGTTGAGCCAGTTCGTAAAATTATAAAGAAGGTAGATGAAGAAAAGAAAAACCACAGTTGATTGTGTGATGGTTCTGTGCGTGTACACATGCATTTTGTTCTTGCTTGAAGCACTGTGGAGCCAGTACGAAACATACATAGAAATTTCTATTTTTCCAGGTTTCTCTTCTTATAATTTTCCATTTTACTAGCAGAGAAATGGAGAAATTCAATTTTGGGAGGCAGAATGCATTAAGGTTGATGCTGCAAACAACAAAATTTTGTGCAAGTCTAATTTTGAGAACAGTGCAGTTGGGAGTGGAGATTTTTCTTTGGAATATGACTACTTGGTTATAGCAGTAGGAGCACAAGTAAACACTTTTAACACCCCCGGTGTCATGGAGAACTGCCATTTTCTCAAGGTAGGGTAAACTGACTTGCATAGCATGGAGATTTGCAGTATTTTTAGCCCGCCTTTATTATTGGGATGCTGCTACTTAATGCTTCATGCATCTGTTATGTTGTCTTTTTGTATTGACACTATTTTGCACTTCATTAAATTCTAAACCAGTCTTGCACAAGCATAAGTTTTGTGCAAGTCTAACTTTGAGACTGCTGTGATATTTTATTCAGGACTTGGAAGATGCTCAGCAGCTCCGCAGGAGTGTGATTGATTGTTTTGAAAAGGCTGTTCTCCCTAATCTAACTGAAGAAGAGCGTAGAATCAACCTTCATTTTGTAGTTGTTGGAGGAGGTCCTACTGGCGTGGAGTTTGCTGCAGAGCTGCACGACTTTCTCCAAGAAGATTTAGTCAACATTTATCCAATGGTTAAAGATCTGGTGAAAATAACCGTGATCCAATCTGGTGATCACATTTTGAACATGTAAGCGTATAGTTTTCGCATCCTATCTGTATAATGCTTTTGAATATAAGTTAATGGAATGCTAAGAAGAAGAGAAAAGGGGAGAAAGAAAGAAAGGGGGGGGGGGGGAATATAGGTTAAGGTGGAATGCCTAAGAAGAAGAGAAAGGGGAGAAAGAAAGAAAGGGGTGGGGAGGGGGGGTTTTGGTTTGGAGGTGGTGGGGGGGGGGGGGTTTGGTTGGAGGTGGTGGTAGGATGGGCATTGTGTATCCTAGTCAGTTATTCTAAATGTTAATACAATCACCTTGAGCAATATGTTAAAACTCTAGTTAATCTACCTATGTAGGTTTGATGAGAGAATCAGTTCATTTGCTGAACAAAAGTTCCAAAGGGATGGTATTGAAGTTCAAACAGGGTGCCGAGTTATTAGTGTATCTGATAAAGAAATCACCATGAAGGTCAAACCGAAGGGAGAGGTTTGCTCTGTGCCACATGGATTGGTTGTATGGTCTACTGGTGTAAGTACTCGTCCAGTTGTGAGGGATTTCATGGAGCAAGTTGGGCAGGTTTGTTCCACAATGACTTATAATTCATATTTGTCACCAGATTTGCACAATTTAATATTTATGCTTTTGGTTTTCAAAGTTAATAAAGAATCTTTGGAATGCATTGTTAATCTTTGCTCAATCAGCTATCATACCATAAGTTTTGTTGTATAGGCTAATAGACGAGTTTTGGCAACTGATGAATGGCTACGAGTAAAGGGAAGTGAAAATGTGTATGCACTTGGAGATTGTGCTACAATAGATCAACGGAAGATCATGGTATGTGAAGCTTATAGCAGGTTAATTTGGTTTTTGCATTTCCTTTCCAGTGCTTGATTTATTAATTATCAGGCACTCTGCATCAGAACTTGATTAGTGGCGAGCAACTTGGTCGAGGCAACATTAACTTGTCTTGCATTTTCTGTTAAAAGCTCAATAGTGAAATCTGCAGCCAATAGACATTGTCACAGAATAGTGCATATAGGGTCTGAATTATGCAAAAGAGATCTTTGCTCCATTTTAAAAAAGAGGAAATTTAGCATACAATTATAACTATGTCATGTAGCACTAATGGATGAATTTTTTGGTTAAAGTAATTAGCTCTCAATCAACTTTGGAAATATGCTTTCAAATACACTTATCAAGACTAAGAATATGCTGTACCTTAAGCTGTGAAGTATGTCATTAATGTTAATCATTTTGTTAAAGAAGGAGAAAAGTACAAACATAATTTATGGCTTCCTTAATAATAGTTATAGAAAATGTTTCATGAACATATTTTTCCTTTACCAATTATTTTTTGGTTTGATCAATTTCTTAATTTTCTGAATATAGTTTTATTTCTCCTTGTAAATTTTGAATAGCATTTACATTTTGGAACAATAACGTGTTTTTAGGAAGATATTGGAGCCATTTTTAAGGCTGCAGACAAAGACAATTCTGGTACCTTAACTGTTCAAGAATTCCAAGATGTAATGGATGATGTCCTCATAAGATACCCTCAACTGGGACTTTATTTAAGAAACAAGCATCTGAGAGATGTAGCAGATTTGTTGAAAGATCCTGAAGGTAAAGACCGAAAGGAAGTGGATATTGAAGGTTTTAAGCAAGTCCTTGCTCATGTGGATTCACTAACTAAAAGCTTACCAGCAACTGCGCAGGTATTTGCCTTTCATCTAGTGGCTGGAGATTGCTTAAATGGGAGTCTGTTGCTTTTGCTGTCAGAAATGGTACAAGAAACATTTTCCACCTTCCTTTTCCATATATTTTCAGGTTGCTGCTCAGCAAGGTACATATCTTTCCAGGTGCTTCAACCGTATGGAGGAGAGCAAACATAATCCTGAAGGTCCTCGACGTTTTAGAAGTTCTGGGCGTCATCAGTTCCGACCTTTTGCGTATGTAAAAATGCTTTAAGTGTTCTTTTCTCTTGTATACGTTATTATGCTCTGTACAAGGACATCAAAACCCGATTTATTTTCTTTCTTGTGCAATATCTGTTTGTGTATTTCTATACTCTTTTCTTAAATGGTTTCTCTACATCAACATGCATAACTTTTACCATGTTATTGTGCTACGGATACACTTTTAACTGAAACCATTTTAGAATTATTTTTCGTTGTTCCAGACAAATAAAGAATTTGTTCATGATAGGAAAATTTCAATCTCTACAATGAAGGATTGCAATTGATAGTGGTACTTTTTGTCAAATTAGCTGTCTCATTTCTTTTCTTTTGCCCCTGCTGATCTTGTCATGCTCTAAACTTGGAACTGGAAGGTACAAACATTTTGGGCAATTTGCTCCTTTGGGAGGAGAGCAGGCTGCTGCAGAACTGCCTGGAGATAGTGTTTCCATGGGTCACAGCACCCAGTGGCTCTGGTATTCTGTATATGCAAGGTAATCATCCATGATTATTGAGTGAGTGAGCTTTTAATCTCTGCTTCCATGATTTGGATCTAACATAGCTTAATTGATTCAGCAAGCAAGTTAGCTGGCGTACGAGGGTGTTGGTGGTCTCCGATTGGACTCGGAGATTCATTTTTAGAAGAGATTCAAGCCGTATTTGAGGCATTAAATTGGTGTTTACCTGGAGGCAGGCACACTGATTGCGCTGTTATTGGGCGTGAACATCTAATCATGTACCATCTATGATTTGTATCTTACCTAACTATCGTGTATGGTTTTATTTTGTAAATACAGAGAACTATCTCTTTGCTTGTGCACTTGAGTCTTTGATGTGCATATTATCATTGTGATGAGGCCGCCTTGGGATATTTTTTCTTATGTTTTGGTTTTTGGTTTTTGGTTTTTGTTTCTGAATTACTCAAGAATGTTCTGTTATTGAAATACATTTATAGGACGAGAATATGTTGATCCAATAATGGAAAACCATTACCATTTTTTTGGTGGTTCTGTTTTCCTATATCATAATTTTAGTACAAGAAAACAAAATCCAAAAACCAATGTGATAAATAAAGATACCAAACAACCTCCCCTAACAGGTTAATATTGCAAAAGGGAAAAAGGAAAAAAAAAAGGACTAAATGAGGAAAATCGACACTTTGAAAAATTATTTCCGCATAAAATTTCAATTGTAATGGTTGTAAAAGAAATCTCCGACACTGCAAATTACTGTGTGACAATGAAAAAACAAAAAACAATATGAATCCGTAATTGTAGGAAATATATGCTACCAAGTCTGACAGTTAATAGTTTCACGTTTTGCTTCTGCTCTTTAGAAACTGAAAGCTCCCATTTTTGGGATCTCTGAACTACCAAATAGAAACTCCCTATTATTTTGCAAACCAACCGAGTTTCCATCTGCCTACATCAAAAACAAGAAAATTAGATTTTTCCTTTCTGAAAGAGAATAGAGCAAGTAGGTTTTACACAATGAGAGGCTTTACATTCTTTGAGAGAGTCTTTAGAACTTTTCATGATCACCCAACAGCATCTAAACTTCTTGTACTGTCCAGTGTCAGGTTATTATTTGGGTTATTTTTCCTTTTTTTTTTTCTTTAAATCTGTGGAGTTCACTCAATCTGTTATTTGATTAATTTGGTGTTATTGTTGACTTGCACATTTTCGCAGTGGTGGAGGTTTACAGGCATTTTCTGATGCCAATCAATCACAAAGTTTAATTTCAGAGTCTGGTGAAGCTAAATTCAAGAAAAAGAAAGTGGTGGTACTTGGAACTGGTTGGGCTGGCACCAGCTTTCTCAAGAACTTGAAAAGCTCATCTTATGACGTTCACATTGTATCGCCTCGAAACTATTTTGCATTTACTCCTTTGTTACCAAGTGTTACAAATGGAACAGTAGAAGCTCGTAGCATTGTTGAACCCATTCGTAATATTGTTAAGAAGGTATGTATGCAATGTGGACATTTATAATTTTCTTCAGGTGTAAATATTTTTTCTGTCTTGCAGAAACCTTTTAAAGTTGAATTCAAGGAAGCAGAGTGTTATAAGATTGATCCTGTGAAAAAGAAAATTCATTGTCGATCAAGAAATGCTGAAGAATTCACAATGGATTATGACATTTTAGTGGTGGCGATGGGAGCTTGTTCAAATACTTTTAATACTCCTGGTGTTCTGGAATATGCTCACTTCTTGAAGGTGATGTTTCTTTGATTTGTTTGCTTAGACGTGTTGTGAAAGTAACATGAGTTTTCTTTTCCTTGTGGAATAGAATAAAAATAAGTTGCCAAGCTTGTGTCAGAAATAAAGTAAAGTTGTTATTCATAATGCAGGAAGTAGAAGATGCTCAAAAGATCCGTAGGTCTATAATTGATTGTTATGAGCGAGCAAGTCTTCCCAATTTAAGTGAAGAAGAGAAGAAACATATCATGCATTTTGTAGTTGTTGGCGGTGGTCCAACAGGTGTGGAATATGCTGCAGAGCTTCATGATTATGCAGTTGAAGATTTAGTTCAGCTGTATCCTTATCTTCATGACTACCTAAGAATTACACTTATTGAGGCGGGCGATCACATTTTGAACATGTCGGTGGCTGGCTTCCAATTTCAATTTCAGTTTCAATTAATAACAATGGGCTTTCAATTTCTTGCTGCATTGCAGGTTTGATGCAAGGATCAGTGAATTTGCTATAGGCAAGTTTCATAGAGATGGAATTGAAGTAAAGACGGGGTCACTAGTCACAAAAGTTTCTGAGAAGGAAATTTCTACTAAAGATATAAAAACTGGCCAAACCAGTTTGGTGCCATATGGAATGGTTCTTTGGTCAACAGGTATTGCTACTCACCCTGTCATTCGGGAGTTTATGAAGCAAATTGGCCAGGTTTGTCACTCTATGACTATGTGCATCCTAGTATTCCCTCCTCTTCACTTTCAAAACCTTGGAGTTAGGACTTAATTCCACTGTGGATTCATCTAACGCTTAAGCACAGGGAAACAGGCGCATTTTAGCCACTGATGAATGGCTCAGGGTTGAAGGATGTGATGACATATATGCTCTTGGTGATTGTGCCACAATAAATCAACGAACGATAATGGTAAGTGGGTGTTGGTTGTTGATTCATCTAATAATCAAGTTAACAATTTTGTGTCTTTGTAATATTGCTGCTTTTATCTTGGCTTGTTAGAGCTAAATTCTGAAAAGAAATTGGTTCTGAGATAGCTTTACTGGGAAAAAGGCTATAATGGGAAGAGCCTTTATAATTAAATCATAATTGGAGAATATGTGATTAGTAATGTCCATAACTGATATTTTTTAATCTGCTCTTTATCAGGAAGACATAGCAGCAATATTCAGTAAGGCAGACAAGAATAATAATGGTGTTCTAGAACTCCGAGACTTTAAGGAAGTTGTTGATCACATTAGTGAGAGATACCCTCAAGTGAATATTTATATGCAAAGGAAGAAACTGAAAAACTTTGATGATTTGCTCAAGCAGGCTCAAGGAAATGACAAAAAGAAAATAGATATTGAAATGTTTAAGCAGTCTCTATCTGAAGTGGACTCTCAAATGAAAAATCTTCCAGCAACTGCTCAGGTAAACTTAATTACTTTCCCTATTGTCTATTGGCTTTTGATATCTTTCAAGCTGGTACTTGTTTTCATTCTGGTTTATATAGGTTGCTGCTCAACAAGGTGCATATCTTGCGAATTGTTTTAATCGGATGGAGCAATGTGAAGATAATCCTGAAGGTCCTCTCAGATTCAGGGGAACAGGCCGCCATAGGTTTCATCCCTTTAGGTAAAAGATGTTCTTCCCACCGTTCTTTTTTCTCCTCCTTATTATGAAAAATATTTAATGCAATATGATGATTTCTACTTGTAAGGAAGAAAATGGTAAATCACGGCCCTCTATGAACCAGCTTTTCCACAGATACATCTTTCCTGATGCCTCAATCTCCTGCCAATCACTTAGTGGAATCTAGATTCTAGACTTACTGCTCTATGATTTCAACAAATTTTCCCCTTTTTTCCTCTTCTTTAAAAGCCTACCAAATCTTCAAGAGAATAATTTATTTATGCATCAAATTCCAAATGTGTCATGTGGAGTTGCTAAACTGATTAAACATGGAAATATAAGGTACAAACACCTTGGACAATTTGCTCCACTAGGAGGAGAACAAACAGCAGCTCAACTTCCAGGAGATTGGGTGTCCATTGGTCATAGCACTCGGTGGCTCTGGTACTCTGTCTATGCAAGGTAGTATAATTTTTCAGATTTTTCATTTTTCACCCTATATATATAATGCGTTGTAATCATCTAATATTCTGCCCAAATTTGCAGTAAGCTAGTAAGTTGGCGAACAAGAATGTTAGTGATAACTGACTGGTTCAGAAGGTTCGTATTTGGAAGGGACTCAAGTAAAATCTGAGAGTGGTTGGAGCAGATGTTTTCTGTTTTTGCATCTCTAGTTTTGTTTTGTTGTCTTCATTGTTATGATTCTCCTGTATTGGCTACAATATCTATCTTCTTCAGTAGAAAATAAATTCTCAGAGGAATGCTTTTCCTGATAAATTCCCCTTATTATGCATGCTGAACAATAGCCTGAATTCCAGTTTCCCTTTTAATATTATCATTCACTTCAATTTTTATTGTTAAACCTTTCTATGTTCTTGACTTCCAAGAATGTATTATCTGTTTCTTCAGCTGGATCTAAGCTTTAATATGCAGAACGCAAAATTTACAATTTTCCAATACTCAATAATATAACTTTTGCATGTGATTTATATATACTGAATCTTCTGGTCATAAAGATGAGTGTATGATGCATTTATGATTTCCAATATGGTAAAGTTTAGTTCCTGCAGAATTGGAAACAAAAGAGAAGAATTGGAAACAAAAGAGAAGAGCTTTACCACTATCAATCTTCACCCATAGCCCCACCATCAAAATGCCTTGATTATACTATATTAAGGCGCGCATTATAAAGTGTTGCTGTTCTTAATCCTGTCCAAACATCAAAATCATCTTCATTGATTGGACTTTTGAAAATTATATATACTCAGTTCCTGCAAAATTGATTTACCTAATGATTAACATTATACAGAAATGAGACCAAAATGCTTACAATTCCTTCCACTCTGTATAGTGGCCAAAAAGTGTGGCTAAGAAAACTGTTGTTATACATCAGAATAGAAAGCAACAAATTGGAACAAGTGATAGCATATCATTGCAGAATTTAAGTTCTCAAATTGATAACAGCTCATTACCAAGAAGGCTGAAATCACAGTTATGATCAACCACGGGCAAGAGGCAAACTTATTCTATTACTGCATAGCAGAAATATCAAATAACTAGACAACTTAAAATCCGTTCAGACCAGAACATCCCATAATAAGAGTTATGGCTGTTCAACATTCATCGTTACGCAATTAAAGAAGTGCTAAAATTTCTTCACATTTCTTCGTCTTCTTCTTCAAAATTCAGAGCCTGGCAAACAAAGTCCTCTGCTATCTCTTCGTCTTCTCTGCAAAAGAAAGACTTCCTCCCAACCAAATCAGCCACTCTTTTTGCAGCACCAGAGTCTCTAGGAGTGTCATTGACACATCGAAAAGTCTTGATCTTTGGTAACACATCAGCCATTACAGAAACAGGTGGTGCCGGCAGAGATTCCTCCACTGTCTCATCACTTTTATACATCACTACTTCACTTGGGATTTCCCATTTCTTCTTCACTTTTCCACTCTCATTTCTCTGATTAACTCCATTGCCTCGCGAAGCACGCCTCTTATTTCCATCTTCCTTGTCACTCTCAGGAAGAGACCTTTTTCGAGCCTCACTAGCAGTTAAATTCCCATTAGACTGGTTACTTGCAATCTGATTATACCTACTTGGCACAACCCGTCCAGTTTTCACTGATTTCTTGTTTGGCACTGATTTTTCTCCATCTTTGAATAGAGTCTTGGGTTGGATTAATGCAAGAAAACCATCATCTTTCCTAACTGACTTTTTATGCCCAACTGTAGTAGCCGCCATTTTTGGAGCTTGAATCTTGGGCATGGTTTTGCGTGATCTTGGACTTACACTTGAGCTCTTTCCTCTTTCTTTGGTTGCTTTTAATTCATCGATTTCTTCAAGTTTCCAGAAACAAGATTTTCTACGATTCTGTGTAGAAACAGGAGTAATTTCTTGCTTATTCAATAACCTAGACTTAGCTCCAGAAAAGATCTCTGATGGCCCTAAACTGACTCCCCTTCGATTAATATTTGTTTTTGCACTTGAAACCAATGCCTCTTCCATCTTTGCAGTCTGTTTTGGCACCATGAATTTTGCAGGCACAACTCTTCCTCTCTTTTCAATACTCTTCAGACTTCCCTGTGCTTTTTCAAGCCTCAGCGCTTCGAGTCTTGATGATAGGCGGCTTATTTCCTTCTCAATCTCTTCTATCTCCTTATCGATCTTTTTCTCATCACGATTTTTCTCTTCTTCAAGATTTACATTCTTGGACACCAAACCCGGTTTTGAAGCAAGCTTCAGTGGATTCACTTGGGCGTTGATGATGGCGCTGTTGGAGTTAAGAGGCTTGATAGAAATTGAAGAAACCGAAGATTTGAGAGAAACAGGGGATTTCTCAAAAACAGGGCTCATATTCTCTTTACTGCAATTAGATTCAAGAGATTGAGTCCACCAAGAGGATTTAATCCCAGTTGAATCCTCTGATTCGCCGTTGTCAAATGCCGCATTGTTCCATACCTGGAGCTCTGGTGCGTTCGCTGCATCTGGGTATTGAAGGAAACTCATTATTCTAGGAAATGGCGTCTTTTGATAGAGATCAAGATTTGGTTTCCTTTTTTACACTTTGTGCTCTTATCTTGTACGTTAATCTTTGAAGGGTCTTTGTTGACAGAAAATCACAGAAATGAAGGGATGAAGATGGAGAAAGAGAAAGTGATTCATCTTAACGATGGAATTTTGTTTTAAGATTTTTGACCGTTGGGGAGTAAACGTTGGAGGAGTAGGGATTTTGTGAAATCTCAGTCGTCGGATGACAAACGGCTTTGATAGACGCTCCGATTTGATTTAAAGTTTATTTCGTTAAAATAAAAGGAAAATATATATTTATATGGGGTCCACTGGGAGCGTATGTACTATAGTATTTGGCCCGGCCCATACTTTGTGGCATTCGAAGCGGTGCGTTTTGATAGGATAAACTGGATAAAGCTAGGAAAGAAACGACGTCGTGGGCTCTCCCCCTTTCTCTTTTTTATTTTTATTTTTATTTTTATTTTTATTTTTTGTCCATTAAGATATCTAATACTACATATCTCTGCTGAGACTGTGTCAGCTTCCCCGGTGATTTTCTCAACTCCGATCAGGTAAATTATCGTTTCAGGAGCTGAACAGATGGATCAAGGCAGGCCTGTGTTCACAGTTGATCTTCTAGAGAGATACGCAGCTAAAGGGAAAGGCGTAATTACATGTATGGCAGCTGGTAACGATGTAATTGTGATAGGAACTAGCAAGGGATGGGTTATTAGACACGATTTCGGAGTCGGCGATTCTTATGGTATGTAATGTAACGTAATGCTTCTCTCAAACTGTTTTCTTGAAATTGATTGAAAAATTATCCAACTTCTTCATTCATTTTCCTGTTATAGATATTGATCTTTCTGTTGGTAGTCGACCTGGAGAGCAATCTATTCACAGAGTTTTTGTTGATCCTGGCGGGAGTCACTGTATTGCCACTGTGATTGGTAATGGTGGTGCTGAAACTTACTATACTCATGCTAAGTGGAATAAGCCTCGTGTTCTGACCAAATTGAAAGGTCTGGTTGTTAATGCTGTTGCTTGGAATAGACAACAGATAACTGAAGGTAAATTGTTCTTAAATGTTTTTGTTTGGCATTGCTTTTTTGGAAAATTAAAGTTGGGGTTTGTGCATATGTATGTGGTTTAATAATGTATCTGAATGTAGCCTCCACGAAAGAAGTTATTCTGGGCACAGACAATGGCCAACTTCATGAGATTGCTGTTGATGAGAAGGATAAGAGGGAGAAATATATAAAGTTTCTATTTCAATTAACTGAACTTCCAGAAGCTTTCATGGACTTGCAGGTATCTACTGCATACTGGAAAAGTTTTTATATATTTTTGTAGTAAAGTTAAAAAGTTTTTCCTCCTTATTTACGGTTCGTCTATTTGTTTCTATTTGATAAATTTGATTACTTGATGTTATCCATCTTGGATGAAATTGTACAACTTTAAACTAAGAAATATTTATGTCATTGTGTTTGCAGATGGAAACAGCTAACTTAAGCAATGGAACGAGATATTATGTGATGGCTGTTACTCCTACACGACTTTATTCATTTACTGGAATTGGAACACTAGAAGTATGTATCTGATTGATTACATGCTTTTTTCTTTGGTTCCCTTCCCTGTCTCAGCATCTCCTACCTGGAATAGAATGTGCATGTAATGGCGCCCATTTTCTTAGAAATACTTTGAGAAAGACACAGGCTAGTTTTTGTTAGGCCTAAAGCAGAATACTGAAAGCCTCAAACTTGGCCAGTTCATTGACATGCCAACTACCTCCAATCCTTTTTGGGGGGTTTTGCAATGAGAATCGATGTACTCTTGTTTTACAGAAAAATAAAAAAGGAAATATGCTCTCTTTTTTGAATGAAGGCTTTACATTAATACTTGTATTTTTTTTTTTTTCTCTCCATAACTTGCTATCTTTCCATGCGAGAATTTATTTTATATCTACCTAGGCCACAAAATATCTTTTCCCTGTCGAGGCAAGTGTCATCAGGTGGTTGATGGCACTTAGAAATAAGTGCAGTAGTGCTACCAGTACTGGTGCATTTTGCAATTAAGTGATGTAATAGGCTGAAGTTCAGTCTAAGAAACATGGAATTACTTTGTTCCCTCTTTATCAGTTACATGGTTCAGATTTTTTAGCTCTTCTGTGCATTTCTCCCTGGAGGTAATATTGTCTGCAAAGGTGCGCTATGAAAGTTATTAGATTAGTATTCCTGTACTTAACCTTCTGAGTACAGCAAATATTCAAACAAGCGAATTGCATGTGTATTAACCATAAATCTTCTGTATGCTTTTGATCTTAAATTTCTGCTTATATTATGAATGCTGTTTATGTGGATTTAACATTTATTTCTGTAAAAGACATCAGTCCTTTGTTTTTTGTTCGATAAGGGTTTTTATGACTTAATTTAATGCTAATTGTGCTGCTTTGCGTTCCCAGACGGTTTTTGCCAGTTATTTAGATCGTGCAGTGCATTTTATGGAACTGCCTGGGGAAATACGAAACAGGCAAGTGCTTTTCTTCTCATTAAAATTTTTTAAGCTGTCTGAGAAAGAAGCTTAGAGAATCTGATTTATTAGAAATTGTTCTGATTTTTTCTTTAATTTGTAATCTGTGGTTTTATATAAGTGGGGGAGAATCATTACTTGCTAACTTTTCTTCAACTTCCTAACGGATGGAAAGTTCCTGCCATTTTGATAAACTCTCAGTGAACTACATTTCTTTATCAAGCAAAGGAGAGCTGTGCATTTTGCATGGCTTTCGGGAGCAGGTATCTATCATGGAAGCCTAAATTTTGGAGCACAGCATAGGTAAGCAATGGCAGTATTGTCTCATTCTTCCTTTATATCCACATAATTCTTGGTCCTACAGCTTCCTTAACTGTCTTTTTTTTTTTCAAATTACTATTTGTTATTATAAATATATGATGAGTTTTATGCCATCGGTATAGCTTTGTAGTTCAATGATTGGGAAAAATCTACTATATTTTATTGATATATGGTTTTTATTAGTCCTCATTGTATCATCAAATTTAGAAATCTTTCCTTACAATTGCTTATTGGAAACTTCTGGGGTAGTTATCCAAATGGAGATGAAAACTTTGTGGAGAATAAGGCTCTTCTCAGCTATTCAAAACTTAATGAAGGTGCTGATGCAGTTAAACCATCTTCTATGGCGGTTTCTGAATTTCATTTCTTGCTTCTTATTGGAAACAAGGTTAAGGTGTGTTGTGGATGCACTTATGATTTATCTCTCGATAGTGCTAATTGTTTCTCTATGTTATGCATGCAGAAAAGGGATTTTTTTTAAAACCTTAGTTATTTTGTTAATTTTTGTTAGCTATGCTTCTTACTAGCTTGTGTTTTATCTAGGGTTTTCCGTATTATGCATCTGTCATTTCTTTATCCTTTAAATATTTTCATGATGCTTTGTTTTTCCTTTTCTAAGGTTGTGAACAGAATTAGTGAGCACATTATAGAGGAACTTCAGTTTGATCAAACATCAGAATCAGTTTCAAGGGATATTATTGGATTATGTAGTGATGCGACTGCTGGCTTGTTTTATGCATATGACCAAAATTCTATATTTCAGGTCTGTATATAAGGAGGACCTCATCTTTTCTGTTTATGTTTCTATTGGAAGAGAGATTATTTTCATTCATTCTTCTGGATTGATAAATGATATAGGTGTCTGTCCAAGATGAAGGCCGAGACATGTGGAAGGTGTACCTAGACATGAAAGAATATGCTGCAGCTTTAGCAAATTGTCGTGACCCACTCCAGAGAGACCAAGTATATTTGTTGCAGGTAATCTAGAGAAAACCTCATGGCAAAGAAAGTTATGGTTACTTTATTTGCAAATACTATAGTTTCATTAGTTACATTGATTAAAAAAAAAAAAGAAATTTTCCACCTAAATTTTAAATGCAGAAATTTTCTTGTATCTGGAATTGTATAACTAAAGTGGTTTCTGATGCAGGCGGATGCTGCATTTGGTTCCAGGGATTTTCTGAGAGCAGCATCTTTTTATGCAAAAGTAATTCTCTGTTTCTTTGATTTAGTTTTCAGTGTCTTCATTTTAAATTAACCTCCCCCCCCCCCCCCCCCCCCTCCCCCTCCCCACATAACCCCCCCCCCCACCCAAAAAAAACCCCCAAAAAAAAAAGTTTCCTTTTCTGTGAGACAACCTGTAGCTAATGGAAGCTTTTCTGCAGGTAAACTATATATTGTCATTTGAGGAAATTACACTGAAGTTTATTAGTGCAGGCGAACAGGTAATTGCAAATATTCATGTTTTCCATTAAAGCAAATGAAATAACTATTTCCCATATTGAATAAGTTTTTCTAAGTATCTGATCCTACACTAGATTTTGACAAGAATTTTGATATATGGTTTGTTTAATAATCTTCAATTATTTCAACATTCTTGACGTGGTTACATGTTGACATTGCTTTAGTATTAGATCTCTGAATCATGTTTAGTTTTGAGTTCTAAAATATATATGATATTAGTTGTCCTTAGACAATTAAGTATAGTCTTTGAAACTGGTCACAAAAAGGGACGAATAATACATGCATTTTGTTGAATGAAATGCAGTTGTCTGGGATTTGGGAATGCATGCACAACTGAAAACTTTTTGCCGACTTTGTTTACTTGCAGGACGCTTTGAGAACTTTCTTATTACGGAAGCTAGACAATCTTGCAAAGGATGATAAGTGCCAAATAACAATGATTTCCACATGGGCAACTGAATTATACCTGGACAAGGTTTTGTTTTATGCATTACTTTTGATGAATAACTTGATTGCCTGTTTGCTTTATCGGTTCTTTGTGAGCTGAATGCCATTATACAATTGGAAGATGCTACTGACGCAAGAGGGGAAAATGCTTCGGTTTAGGTTGGGTAGATGATATAACACCAAGCATTTTGGAAAAAATTTTTCATATGGCTTCTCATTTTCCGTTTACATGTTTATGTTATTTGAAGTTCAGAATGTAGTTGCTGGAATTAGTTCATTATGTATGAATGCAGGGCATGTTTTGACATTTTAAGTGTGTAATTAGACACTATATCTTGAAACCATGCATTTACTATGAACTGCTTTCCTATCACTCTACTTTTCATTTTAAAAGGCTGTGCAAGCTTGATATCTG